ATGCCATTTAATCCTAACGCAGTAATCACAAGTTTGTCAATCTTAACCCTAACTCTAACATCTCCGCCGCGCTAACAACAGCGTCACCCGTGCAGTGATCGTGGATGTAAGTCTAAGCCTAATAAGCAGAGAGCAATCACAAGGTTGAAGAATGATTTGGTCATCGGTAGCTAGTGCATATTATAAATATCGGGAATTGTTGCGTGCAAACGTTCGGTAGAGCTCAATCTGTGTCACAGGACATGGGCAATATGGTAGAGCGATGATTGAAGATTGGTTGACTTGGCCTGGCTGGCGGGCAAACCGTAACTGCTGGTTCATTACCGCCTGTTCAAAATACCAAAAAGGGTCACAGAAATAACATGGCCAGACGGTGGCTTGGGCATTGCTTAATCTCAGGAATGCCACTGGAAAAGGATCTTCACTGCTTTACAATGATCCAAAACAAAGAACCTTGTATCCAGTAGGTGTGTATAACAATCAAAATATAGCTGACTCTCACATAAAATCTCCCTACAGAAATCAACACGGAATGCTCTTTCGATAGTTCTAATATCGGCTGTATTGTGCGGGATGGTACAAACCAGATAATTGGCTCGCTCCATGTAAGAACGTAGATGATATATCCGAGCCCCTGGTGTAATACTGCCTACCGTGCACGGAGAGAAAAGATACGCTTTCGATGATGACTGCACCTGTTCCTGCACGACCAGAGCCCAGTGGACGGCCCAGCGAATGCAGATATCTAGATCCGAACTGCTGGCTTGCGGAGCTTCCAACATCACAAATGTTTTATTTAGACTATAAATGAGGCTGCCCAAACAGAAATAAGAGACAGCAGCAGGTGCGCCTTCTACTTTACAGATGCCCATATAGCTGATTCTGGTCGAGGATATTGCATTATGCAGAGCGTGCGTACCTACGGTCATCTTTCAACGGCCGGACTCGAAAGGTGCACTCTGGCGTTTGGACGAAGAGGTCCTTTTTCTTTGTTACGGTTCCCACGATTTCAAACTCAAATCTTCGCAGAGCATGGAAAAGGAACATTTTGGCGATTTTATCGCCAAAGAACTGTCCGACACATTTGCGCGGACCTTAGCAAACAAAGAACAGTGTTATTTTGCGACATCGCTCTTGATATCCGAGGAGAATGCCAGATGCCGCTAGGATAACATACCAATGCCAAATCTCCAGAAGGCGTACCGATACTCTGTCGGTGAAATGCTTGCGAACCTTTCAGGACGGTATGAGTCGCCGTCAGGCTGCCAGATCGGGGCGGTGCGGTTGAGAGTATTAGCGTCGATAAGCACCGACGTCTTAGGAGGGATATTCAAACTTAGCTGATCAAGAAGCTTTCAGTTATTTGCGGAAGAAACGCACTGGAACTCACGTTTGCAGGAATGCGGTATCCGCAAATGAGCTTCTCTTCTGCGGTAACCTCTGGAAGGGAGTAGACTTGGCCCGCACAGATTAGGTCGCAAGCTCATTCATTCGTGACGGTCTATAAGTGCTCACATAAAAGCGGTACTAATCTTGTGGCCTCCAAAACACAGAAGTGTAAGAATGTGTTCTGCTTCTCAATGTATTTTGCGGTTCGCTCTTTCTCGGTTGCACCATACTGTGGATTGTTGAGGGCCTCGAATAGTTCTTTACGAGCTTTTTCCTGTGCTTCAGGATTCTGCGCAAGGTGGATAAGGCCCCATGTTAAGGATGTCGAGGTAACATCGATATTTGTATATAGAATCTCGTCTGCGGTTTGAAGAAGCTTTTGCGGCGACGGCACCGACGTAAGAATAATGGCGTTGAATGCAACGGATGCGGACCTACCTCTAAGAGTTCCATATCACCGCTTTCAACTGATTTGTACATTTCGCTGATAGGACAAGGTTTATTTTGCTGCCCAAGGTACTGGTCAGCATATGCCCAATTGTTCCGAGTCCCACTCGATCTCACCTTCTGCGCGCGTGAAATGATATCTAGCACCACAGCTTTCCACAACTCTTGGTAGCGGTCCATCCGCTTGTTCGCCGCCGTAGGTAAGAACCTGTACCAATGGTAGGAAGGAATTTGGTGCAGGAAGGCAGTTTCTACAAGTTTTTCGTGGATTTCGTTCATCTTGTACATTTTTTCAAAGTCCTATGGACTGCATGTTAGACCATATGCACTTATAATAGAGATATTAAACATTTTCTATTACCTCTTCAGTCATGACAGGATCAAATAGAGCCCTGGCGACAACCTTGAATGGTGTTCGTTCCGCTACTTTCAGGCCGTCGATTTCAAACCAAATTGGCTCTTCGCTGGCGCTGCGTCTTGTGATCCCAGAGTGCTTCTCCAACTTGGCGAACCAGGTACCAAAATCATCGTCCATCCTTCCCAGCAAGTTCTTGACGACACCCAACTGAAAGTGCGGATCGACGATGCGTCGCACGCGGAACCAGTCTGTGTTGTGCATCGTTCCTACAGCTTTTCCCAAGAGACGACCAAAGTAGTAACCCAATCCCATTGCATGAGCTTTGCGGTGCACTCGACCGTCATTTTGATAATACCGTTTGACGGCATCCGGGGTTGTGAGAACGCTGGAGAGTTTTCGATTCGTGAGTTAGCGAGTGAATCCTCCCTTGGGAAATAGAGCGAAGCCTACAGTTCGGGAATAGTGTCGTTATAGACAATGTACACTGCGCCATACATCTCGGCATAGTCCCTTGTAATAGTCGATCTAACAAGACACAGATTCATGAGCGGATCTCTCACTGGATGCGCTAGCTCAAGAAACCAATCCGGTACTGATACTAACTGGTAGTCGAATCTAGTGAACCGAGTCTCTACCAAGGGTCCAGGACCAGGTATCTGCTTTCCCTCGTCATTGACGATTTTTGGCCTGAGCAAGAACTACCAGAAACCCAGGTATCAGCATGTTAAGCGAACCCGGTAGAAACGGTTGGTATTAAAGCATACTGTTGTGAGTTTTCGAACGTTGTTCAGCAGTTGAACGAGGCGATATAGCTGCAGTCTGGTCGAGTACAAGAGCAAAATTGTGATCGCGGCCGCCAGTATTGGCGTGCTCATCATTGGAACTGACGATGGAATAGAGAAGCTCATGTTGTAATTGACTCTGAGTCCTATGAGGCTGACCAAAGACGGCAACAGTGGCGGATAACAGTTGGAAGATGTCAGTCAAGCTCGGGTTTTAACTAACGGCCATTGAAGCTTCGCCTCTGCAGCCCAGGTGGACGAAGTGGATGAAACGAGTGCGGTGGACTTTCCCTTTGCATTTTCGAGTCGCGTTGCCGGACTCTACTTAGGAAAGTCCTACCAGAAGCGACGAATGATACACAGCTGGATTTTGACTTGAGCAAACACTCCTTCAGACTACTCCTGCAATATAAATTTATCTGCAATCCTCATATCCTTATCACCAGTAACCTCTTAAACCTCACGGCATGATTTCATTGTGTAGTTACATCATTGTTTTCCTAGCGATCCATGTCTCATCCCTCATTGCTATACCTCACGGCCGTATTCGCACCTTCCGTTGGAAAATTACGAATATCACAGACGCTCCTGATGGCATTCCTGTCTTTGCAATAGGCATCAATGGCAGGACAGGCGCCTCGACTGTAATTGGTGCGTGAATGTTCATGCGAGTTATGTTGAATGTTTTTTGAACCTGCTGGGATTGCTGGGGCGACTCAGACGTCAATCTTGGGGACCTCATCAAAGTGCATGTGACAAATGCACTGGACGTGCCAACAGCTTTGCACTGGCATGGCATCTTACAAGAAGGTAGGCCACCGATGGAAAGGCGTACATTTGACCCAAAATAAGGACTGATATCGCAAAGGTACGGTGGATATGGATGGGCCCGCTATGGTCACCCAATGTCCTATTCCGCCAGCTGGCACCTATACGTATACTTGGCGAGCAACTGAAGCAGGAACATTTTGGTGGCATGGCCATTACCGAGGACAATGTACGACCCCATTGTTGGTTGCTCGTTGAGTGAACAACCTGACACTTCTGTGCGCATTTTCAAGTATCCGACGGCCTTCGTGGTCCGATCATTGTGCGAGGAGCTGAGACTTTTAGTACGTCCAATGAACTTGCACTGGAAACGTTGCGAGTTCCCAAAACTGACCTGCTGGCTGCCGCAACCCCAAGATTACGATGAGGAGTATATTGTTTTCTTGGAAGACCATTTCTATAGGACATCCGAAGAAGAAATAGCCGACTACCTCGTAAGTGAACGCAAACTGCGAGAATGCACGTCCGTTCACCATCAAAAATTCACCAGATCCCACGAGCCGTTGTGCCTCTTCCTGAGTCTGGTCTCTTGAACCGTAAAGGCTTTCCCCACGGCGGGTTGGATGGCGTCGGTGACCCCTCTAATCTTACTGACTTCATATTTCAACGGAAGAAGCGTTACCTCCTACGTATCATCAATGCCGCTGCCGTCGTACCTTTTGAGTTCTCCATCGACAAACACAGAATGACAGTTGTGCAAGCAGATGCCACCGATGTGACGAATATGACTGTGGACAGTATTTATATTGATATTGCACAACGATATTCCGTCATTGTGCATGCCGATCAACTTGTAGATCGATACTGGATGCGAGCTGTGAGTATTCAAATGCTTCCGCTCTCTCCTAGTCATCCCGGCTAACGATTTTGTAAATTGACCATCCGCCATTTTAATGAAAAGAAAATGCGTGAGTGAACATGTTAATCGAATTACTCGCGGAAATATGGAGTGCTGATGTCGAGTTTACAGCGGTGTCAAAGCAGAAGCGTTCAATAGAAGTTCTTGCGACTATCACCTACGATGGAGCGGATGGACGTCAGCGTCCAAGTACAAGTGCTAAGGAGAATCCAGTCACTCTACCGGAAAACGGTCTGGCGCTGAGCCCAATGGTTCCCCTGATGGCCCCACCCAAAGCCGATAAGACGTACGTCTTTGCGTGGGACTTTCATGCAGATGAAAGTGGGCGAGATGATAGCGAAGTCACTCGCGGATGGATCAGCGTGAACATAACTAGGCCACTGACTCGGAGTGACGGGCTGAGTTACGTGACGCCAAAACGACCAACTTTGTTCGACGTGGTGGACGGAAAGGACCCGGACACCCTGCCCAAAGAAAGCGTTGTTTTCACAGCAGAGCCTCAAGAAGTGGTTGATATTGTGTTTATGAATAGAGAGTTTCGTATGTACCAATTTCCGAGGTTATTCTTTAGTCAAATGCTCGGGCCTGTATTAACGAGGATATCCATTGATATTTCGGGGTAGCACCTCATCCATTTCACCTCCACGGCCACACGGTATGGGTCCTCGGCTACGGCACGGCCAAGTCCTATGCGGAAATTCCCTTTGAGAACTTCAATTTGACAAATCCTCTGCGCCGCGACACCTTTAGCGTCCCATCTGGAACTTGGGATGGGCTCACTTTCGGGTGGACAGTGGTTCGCTTTGTTGCCAATAATCCCGGTGTGTGGTTCCTCCACTGTCACTTAGAGTTCCACATCATAGCAGGGCTTGCAATGACTCTGGTTGAAGACGTGGCCGCTCTGAGAAGAATGGGAATATCGCCACAAAGCAGGCAACTATGCAGAAGCTTTGAGGAATGGAGAGAAAAGAATGAACTTGGTGAGAAACTGGTTGACGCTACGGAAGAGGGAGATATGTTGGTCATGCAGCCATGAATTAACGGAAGACGATGAAAGCCATATAACTTTGGGTTTAGAGTTGGGTGCATAAGCCTGTTCCACTACGTGGAGGAAGCACAGTGTTAATACTTGATGCACCATACATTGGTAACACTTTCAGCCTATTTGGTTCGAAGCTGTAATATATTTTACAACTATCATCCAAGTATCTTGGTGAATTTTACGAGTTCCGCATCCATCACAAGTCTTTTCATTGGGAGGGCTGTTAGTCCGACCATCACTTCGATGCCTTGACGTCCGGGGGCAGCGGGAATAATTACAATTACTCCGTCGCCGACTGTGGAACCAGGAGATACAAGAAAGGGACAATTTCCAGTACCGAAATGAAGCTTTTCTGCTTCATAAAATGGATACTTGCTCCACTGAGTAACCGCGACGTCGTCACCAAAAACCTCTGTGTGGCTGGTACGAAGAAGCGGAAGCTCGGTTGCCGGGTCCAAGGAAAGGAGATAATCGACACTGGAACGAATTCGCTCAGGAGAATGTGCCCGAATCGCTTGGCGCAACATGAGCGCCGTGGTACCCAGCGGCTGAGTGAGAAGGTTGTCCACAGTATGCGATACACATAGGCCACTTCCAACATAATGAGCAATAACAGTTTGCCTGTAAGCACAAGAGGACTGCACCCTAGGTTTGAGAGAGGCACTTACGTTATAAAATTTCCAAAGTAGCCTTTGCTCTCGGGGGCCAGTGCCTTGATCCTCTCCCGCCCATTCACCGCCAAACCTAGTTTGGTTATACCATTTTGCTCAAGCTCGCGGGCCCTGCTAACCGCCCTCCAGAAAAGTGCTGCAACAGCATCGTTGGTAGACACCCAAGAGCCATCGTTGAGACCAAGATGGGCGTACTCTTTTAGATTTGCGAGAGCTTCGCTATCAAGGATAAACTGCTTGCCGTAAATGGGCTCTGGCTTGCGAGTCATTCCCGTATCCTCTTCTCCAGTACTCAACCGGTATTCATGGTTCACATAAGAGGGTGCAGGCTGGATGATTTCAACGAGATTGGCAAGGTCACGGACAAGGTGCTTCTGCTGAATGCATATCAAATCTTCCTGGACTTCCACTGACGTTTTACCGTGCAGCTCACTCCACCGATATATGAAATCGAGGAATGCCGGTAAGTCGGCAACATAATGGTGACGGCGGAATCCCACAGCTACTTTGCTTCCTGGGAACTACGGAAACCAAGTGGTTACCTATGACCCACGAGAATGGATGTGAACATAACTCAGCTGGCTTACCAATGTTATTTGAACGGCCAAAACTGTCTCTCCAGATTTAGGGAACGGTCCTCGAGGAAACAGGTTGGGAGGGATGGTTTCTGGTGCAAACTGACCTTCCACCATTGGCTGAAAATCCTCTTCAGAACCCTGTGCATATACGAGCGTTGCTCCTTTGTTGTTGAAAATGAGACGAGGTACAGCATCTTTTTCTTCAACAAGCTCAGCGGCCAGAGCAGGATATTCGCTTAGAGCGCGTTCCAAAGAGGACGAAATAGCGCCGTGGTCTGAGAAGCGTCCACTCGGGTCATCAAATAAAAGTAAGAGAGCTGCGTAGACTTTTGGAACGACCAAGTCCAGAGGAGTTAAATTGACTGACAAGCCCGGAGGCTTTATTTCAACGGATGGCCGAATGGTGGCCTCGGATATGATGCTGATCATGCTTGTAGTGGTTCAGAGTTACTGCTCGGCCAAGAATCCCAAAATGCGGGATTGGAATACTAATATGTTTGCTTCAAGCATAAATAGTTCGTTTAAAACCCTGAAGACTTATGTCCTCTGATTGGAGCAAGCTTGGTACAGCGGACCGGATCGGTCCACCGCATCCACTCCATCCAAAGAGTTTTACGCCTCGGCGACCTAGGGCGCAATGCTCACGAATATATATGTCAGTATTGTGAATTACAAATTCGTTTCGCTGTTCAGAAATCCTCAATCCCTCGCAAACATGACCATCTTATCGCAGCAAGGCTGGTCAGAATCGCAGCTCGCTTCGGTTTCGCTGGCTATACGTAAGTGTGATCCCCATTCCTGCGTAGCAGCTGTGCCCTGACATTTTTTTGATATGCTGTGTACTTCACCAGTTTCTGTCACCCAGTTTTTGGACTTCCTGAACTTATCCGCCCTCAACATCGCAATCCCTACGATCGCTGAAGAACTCAAGATTCCAGCCGGGCTCGAAGGATGGATCCTCATCTCATACTCTTTGGCGCTATCCGCCTTCATGCTGCCATTCGGAAAGCTGGGAGACGCTTGGGGCCACAGGAACATATTTATTTGCGGCTTGCTGATCATGACAATAGCGAATATCTTTAGTGCAATGGCACCGACCTTGCCAGTACTGGCCACATTTAGAGGGTTGCAGGGTTTGGGTGCCGCAGCAACAGTAAGTATCCTGCGCAGCCAGTAGTTATGCTACGCAGCTTAATAGTTTGTCTTGCTGAAGATGCCGAACGCTTCCGCTATTATCGCCCGGATATTTCCAGCAGGCGCTCCGCGTAACGCAGCATTTGCAAAGTAAGGAACGATCTTTAACTTTGAAAATATGATCTAACATGTTAGCAACATATGCTAGACTGGGCGCTGCAAGTGCCATTGGCAGCGCCGCCGGGCTCATCGTTGGAGGTCTTTTTAGCGGGATAATTGGCTGGCGTTACGTCTTCTATGTATTAGCACCGATTTGCCTCTTGGTGATGGTCCTGTCACTCCTGTTCCTGCCCGCCGCACAGGATGACGAGACAGTGGACAAAGGTTTGAAGGACTTTGACATTAGCGGGACATTGACCTGGTTGGTGGGCATGTCTCTCATCGTATATGGTGAATATTCCTACATGACTTTCTCTACACTTGCGTGATTGAGGCTAATAGTTTACGTCGTGCAGTGCTCTCGACTACCAAGGGGGCAGCTTGGAAAGAAGTTCAAACGATGGTACTTTTAGGCATCGGCGTCGCTAGTTTCAGCTCCTTCTTCTTCGTTGAACGCAAAGCAGCCCGTCCACTCATTCCACCATACTTGTGGCAAAATCATGTTATTGTGGTGAACTCGATTCTCATCGCCATGGTACGCGGCGGAGCGTCCATGTTTGTCTACCTCATGTCCCTCAAACTTCAGAGAATCCTGTTGCTTTCTCCTTGGGAAACGGCATTGCAAAGTTTACCAATGGCAATTGTCGGATTCTTCTACTCTTTCTTTGTCGGCACCATCGTGAAAAGGCTTGGATTCAGTGTACCTGTCATCCTCGGCTTCGGTATGGCGGCTTTCGGATCCGCCTACTTTTCGTTTTCCTTGCACGGTCCAGATGAAAATGGTAATAATGCCTCATCGTTTTGGACGTCTACCTTTCCGTCTAGTGTGGTCTTTGTCCTTGGAACTCCGATGGTGTTCATTTCAGCGCAGCTCGCGATGCTCCACGTCGTGGAACCTCGTCAATATGCGGTGGTTGGAGCACTGTTCAACACTGCCGGTCAGATCGGCGGACCTGTGGCACTTGCACTTCTCACGGCAATTATGAATGCAGTACTGGTCAATAAGGAACGAAGTGGCTGGTCCGAGAAAGAACGGCTGCTGGCCAGTTATGATGCGGGGAATTGGACAATTGTAGGATGGGAGTTGGTGGGGTTGGTCATCGCGGGACTGTTTTGGTTGCGCCAAAAATTCATTGAGGAAAAGCGGCATCTCTCTGTAGACGTGGAAAGTGACGAAGGGGAGAGGCAGCGACTCCTAGGAGATACCTCCAACCCATGACTCTATGATTTTGTTCGTATATCAGATTCATTGAGAACATCATGAAGAATGCAATGCTTCACTGTTCAGTCAAAGATAATTCTATGACCATCAAACCCTTCTCATCTGTGAGTTTCGGCAAACCGCATGAAAACTGCGGAGTGATGACTTTCGACTTTTGCAGTCACATATAGGGCAAGTACTACGCAAACAACTTGAAAAATGTGTAAACTCTCCGCAGCATCCGCCGTCCACTTCGTCCGCATGGATCCACTATATACCGACGCCATCAAGATTGCCGGAACAAATCGCCTACATGGCTCATTAAACAACTGGAGAAGGTAGAAACATGTCCTTTATCTGTACGCGAGTCCAGCAATTTTCCCCGTCAAAAGCCGGATTGACTTTAAAGGCCCGTCTTTACGCACCGCGATTACTTGGTCATCAGACTTGTCTTATAGCCCAGCGGAACAGTATTACCTCTATATTGACGTTAAGGATGACAGTCTCTACAATGCGAGCGTATCGATATGACAACACTGGGGGCCTTGACCAACTTCGATTACGAGAGGTCCCCAAGCCAGTTCTGGAACCTGGAGAAGCTTTAGTGAAAGTAAAAGCCAGCGGAGTCAATCTGGTACGATCTGCGGTGACCTTGCAGAAACCAACTGTCATTGACGTTTACTTTGTGCAGTCCGACGTGGTTGGAATTTGCGGTTGGCTTCCATTCGTCACGACGCCCAGAGTACCAGGTCGAGACTACGCCGGAATAGTGGAGGCGGTACGAGATCAGCATGACGACCACTGGATTGGCAGCGAGGTGTGGGGGACCGGGGGTAATGTAGGTTTTACCGTTGACGGATCATGGGCAGAGTAAGTGGGTTATGAAAGGAAAAACGCTATAACATCCTCGGTAATCTCTTTGGTCCCTCAACCCTCTGAAGGTATATCAAGGTACCTGTGAAGGCTTTGAGTAAAAAGCCGACCAACCTCTCATTTGCTGCAGGGGCAACGGTCGGTTTGCCTTGGCTATGCGCCGATCAGGCAGTGAACACCCTGGCGAGTGTTCGTAAGGACGATGCCGTACTCATCATTGGCGCCCGCGGTGCAATTGGGTCCGCCGCTGTCCAACTATGTCGATCTATCGGCGTACAAGAGCTATACGGCACATTTTCCAGCAAGCCATCGGAATCCCCTGGCTTGAAGGCTATCGATCTGAGTGCTGCAGATGGGTCCAACATCGGTGCATATGCCGATCTTTTAAAACGAACGGTAAAAAAAGTCAACGTTGTCATCGATGCATACGGGTCAGACTTCGACGCCCATCTACTCAACGCCTCCCTCGACGTCCTGACGCCAGGTGGACGAGTGGTTGTGATGGCCGTGCACAGCAAGGTCAGTTTTTCCACGTTTCCAAATCTCAATGCTAGTCTTATTCTCTGAGTACAGTCAGGAGTATCGTGTCTCAATCTCCGCAAGTTTTATGCCAAGAGCCTCGTTTTATATGGATTAAGTTCGGGACAAGTGACTCAGGAAATGGGAGCACGGTTGCTCGATAGACTTGCGCCTGGATTTGAGACTGGAATTTTCAGCAACGAGAGTAAGCCTATGGCTCTGGTAAGGTTTTCCGATGAACAAAAGGTACACGATGGTCTCAAGGCCGTGTATGAAAAGACGGGAAAGGAAAAATACGTAGTGACATTCGATAGTGAGTAGTACCAGATGGAGGGGAAAGGCTTGTGTTATACTCATCAACAACCATCTCATGGACGTGGTTAATGGTCGAGAGCAAAAGATCATTCGTATGAATGCTGAACTAGTTTTTTTACCACTAAAATACTGCCCATTCACATAAGTGGGTCCTGAGAGGTTGATTTGGGGTTGAGAGCTACCAGACTCCTTTGGGTCGCTCCAGTCGACAGCAGGATACTTTTGGTACGGTTATCATGAGAAAAGTTCACACAGTTGTAATCCTCAATTTGGTTGCCAAGAATCAGTCGTCTCGCCTGGGGCAAGCAAGTCGCAGCATCCAACCGTGTGACTGGAGGTATTAGCGTAAGGCTAAGTGATAACCCGCTTTCCCATTAAGCTCAGGAAGTCGGATGATCCACCACCACCACCACGTAGTCGTACATGACGCTGCTCAACAAGCTGAGGTGTTTGCCATTTGCATGCAACTACAAATCTATGTGTCCATCATCGCCAAGCGTATATTTAAAGCAGGTCCATTTTTTTGGCCCTATACCAATAATATCATCTAGATCGGGATAGCCTCCACGATACTAATCGCACTCCTGTTTTCATGCACATCCACAATCCGGAATCCCGCGTCGTAAAACAACTTCTTAAACTGCTCCTCTGTTCTTTGCAGAGAGTTCACTAGGGTCAGCATGTTGACATCTACCATGTGCTTGACACGGTTGGAGGTAGCGGTCATTACAAACTCGGCGGCGAAGAAACGACCGTCTTCAGAGATGGCTTGGCGAATGTGGCGAAGGATTCGTAGACAGTCAACATCGCTCCAATTGTGGAGGCACTGCTTAATCAAGAAATGTCGGTGTCGACCACTTTGAGGCTGGAAGAAGTCATGAGGAGTAAAAGTTACGCGAGAACACAGTTCGGCGTCTTCTTTCGCCCAAAACTGCAGGAAAAGAGGAGACGGCAGTTTAGCTTTAATGGTAAAATCACAATTAAGCTGTGAACTAACAAGCAAACCAACCTTTTTAGCGTCATCAATGACGCTTGGAAGATCCTGAAGTTCGAAAGTGAGATTTGGCCATCGTTTGCACAGGGCAAGATCAACTGCTCCAACCCCACAGCCAATATCCACTAGCGTGGCCTTCTCGCCGAGAATAGACCAATCAAAGTCTTCGACAATCCCGTCTTGCAAACCATTACTGTAATTCGACATCGCACCGTTCACGCGTGTCGATAAAGCAGCATTTTCCGGCTGATGAATCCAGTCATAAAAGCTCTTTCCCATTTCCAGTTCCCACGGAGCTTTACTTGCATTGGCAAGCCGAATAGCTTCAGCAAGCCGGTTGGCACCACGGTAACTATCATGGCCCCTACGGCAGTGAATTGTCAGAAAGTACGACAGCTTAAAATTGACAGATATCATTTCTCCTACCAGTGAAGCACAAAATCTCTCATGCTTTTAGGATGGTCCGTCCTTAAGGACGACGAAATGGCATTGTTGGTAAACTTTTCACCATTTTGGATAAAGACGGAGCGGTTGGCAAGCAGTGAGAGGATTTGTCCTTAACCGACGAGTATTAGTACACAATAATCATGATATTGAGATCCGACGAACGAACTCACGCAATTTCCTCGGATCAGCATCTACCAGTTTAGCAATTTCATCAATTGACAACTCCGAATCTTTAAGCGCATCCGCAATGCCGAGGTCTGCCGCTGCTGTCAATGCTTTTGACTCTAAGCAGCTGCCCACAATCAAGGTAAGTACGTCCTGTGGCGGAGCAAGCATGCTTGTCAACTTGTCGACGCCATCCCAACAAGACTGGAGAGCCTTGCGTGAATCGATATTCACGGCATTGTGGTTGCGCTTCAAGTCTGACACACTCGTTTTAATGTTTTGCAGAGTAGAAATCAATTTATCGATTTCTGAAAGTACGCTTGCAGGCTCCGCGGCAGGAATTTCGATGGTCATAATGGAAAATAGTTTTTCTCCTTACGGGAGTTGGGATGTGATAATGGGTTTAAATATTTCAAGGCTGAGTTTATAAAGGAGCTCAAGGCTCCTTCGAGTGGACACGGTAGGTTGACCCGCGTCAATCCGAGCGATCCGCCTCGTCCACAGGAGATCGCAGCACTCGTCACACACAAAAGTTTAGAAAGGGCGGAGCATTTCGTGCAGCTACTGCTCACTGATCACTTGTCCTTGCACAGGCCTGCGGCACCAGAAAAGGAATATCCCGGCTTCTAATGCTCCGAGATCATGAACACAGCCATGCTGAGCATTGAGGTTTCTTACAAGGAATGCACTGTATATGCAAAAATAAGCCTGTGTTTTGTACAAATGCCTCTTTCACATACAGTTTGCAGGTAATGCTATACTTGCATATACAGATACTTTTATGACGTCAATAGATTTGAGCTCGTAGGCATGACAGCTACAAGCAGAGGTGATGATGCTCTACATATCCGATACCCCACTCTGCGGAATCTGTCACCCTATCGTCTACAATGGAATGGCCATTCAGATCAACTTTAATACGGGTGGTCCCACCGGTATGCTGACATTCTGATGAGATCCTATACTGCGCCGGGAGATGGTAGTAACCTTTCTCTCCGCAGATGTCATACTTCAACAGGTAACTCGTTAATGCTGAATCACCCTGTCGATTTTGAATAAGGGAGACGTCTGCTGGGTTCCACAAGCTAAAGAGAGGATCGTGATGGTGGGCAAAATATGCAGCAAGGACCGAGTCTACAGACATCAAAGTCATTTTAGGATTGTAGATCGCTGTTGAGGTCGCATTGCTTGCGCACGTACCTTGACCATCAGGGGACGTGGACATTATAGCATTGAGAGTGATATTCCAGCTATGTGCGCGCAATATCGACCTGCATTTCAAGTTCCGGCAGTGTGATGAGAGACAATCCTGAGATTGCCACAATATGGAAATATTCGCATCAAACTCACCATTTGTAGTCTTTATTTACCGGAATAATTTGACCCCACCGATGACTCTGCAAAAGCAGTACGAGGATTATTGATCAGTATATACCCACCGGTTTCTAACTTTCAGAAACGAAACTCTAATGCGTCGGCACGTACGTGAAAGCCGACATTTTGAATTGTCCACCTTTCGCCATCCGCGAACTCTACCCATCCGTCGACGTGAGCACGAGGGATCGGGACAATGAAATTGAAAAATGGGAAGACGCTAACCGAAGAGTCGTATTGCCGAGGAATGAATGGCATGGAAATCATACTTTCAGATATCAAAGATGTTAGACACATCCCGCAATCGACAGTTGTTGTGCCTCCACACATTTTAAACCCAGGGCTTACTTTTCGTAAGTCAATCTAGCTCTAAAACCTTCGATAGCAATTTCCAGCTCGTAGTATTTCATATCCGGCGTCCAGGAAAATTTGTTAGATCCCATTGTGAGCGAGTGATTTCCTTGTTCGCGGTACACTGATGTCGACTTCACGCTCTTTGTCCAGTGAGTTCCATTGGGTAGAGTATACTCTACGACGAAGACAGGATCGTACCCTCCGTGCGCAGGGTCGTTCAAATACCAGTTGAAGAAGAACTCGGTGTTGTTTTGCAACAGCACCACATCGAAATGCCATGATTCGAAGGCACCTTCACCAAAATGTCGTAAGCGCGGTGCATCAAAAGATCCATTTAATGCCAACGGAGGGAATCTCTGACAACTGCGGTAGGGAAGATCGAAGGCTGTCAAATGTGGGTCATCAACGAAAACATGTGAAGCGAGATTCGTTATGGGGGTTTGTTGGATGAGCGATGGTGTCGGTGCGCCTTGGACGCCGCACAATAAGGCACAGAAAAGGACTATGAGGATCATTTGGGTGATGAAAGCTTCAAATGATGATGGCAAGAGGGCAGTACGAACGCTCACTCATAAAAGAGCAAATAGAACTGGGCTTGCAACTGCCCTATCCACATCGTCCACCAGGACCAAAACGCGCCTGTCCGCTACGTCCAAACTGTTGCTCTGCCATCCATTGCGAGAATGAATTTTATATTCTGCGGCATATTTGTACAGCTCCGCTTGTCGCAAAGTATTTCAGTGCCGGGTGCTTGATATCTCATTTGCTTTCTTACTCGAAACTCGCAAGACACTCTCCTTAGCGATGTGTGGGATCACTGCCTTTGTTGATACGGGGGGCCGCCAGAGAGTCTCCCCTGCACAGTTAGAGTCCGCTCTCGATCTCATCCATCATCGCGGACCAGACTCGAAGGGGACATTCATTACTCCGGATAGGCGAGTCGGTAAGATAATGGACAGAATGCGGTGGATTTATGACCTTGTTGTACTCTCTAACGCAAAAGAACATAGGTCTCGGGCATAATCGTCTCGCCATCATGGGTTTGGCAACAGGACAACAGCCAATTTCAAACGAAACTGGTGATATCCATGTTGTAGTGAATGGAGAGCTGTACGGATTTGAGGCAATTCGTTCTCAATTGCACGCTGACGGCCATGTGTTCAAAACCGAAAGTGATAGCGAGATTGTAGTTCACTTGTACATATTCCTTTTCAGCTTTCAGATCACTACTGGCAAAACTAATACAATTTATATTCAGATATGAGGACCTTGGCCTGTCGTTTCTCGAGCGCCTCCGCGGCGAGTTTGCACTCTGTCTCTGGGACAGCCGAAGGGGACTTTTCATAGCCGCCCGGGACAGGTTCGGCATCAAACCATTGTACTATAGCGTAATCAACGGAGCACTTGTCTTAGCCAGCGAAATGAAAGCATTCCTTGCTCTGGGATGGAAACCCGAATGGGATATCGAAAGCATTGTGCACGGCGGTTCCTCCTTTGATAACAGAACCGTATTCAAAGGTGTTAGCAAGGTTTGGTCGAGTGCCTGCTCACATTGCATGGAGGTACACTCATCTTCTCGTATGCATTAGCTGCCCGCTGGAAAATATATGACTGCGACACTCTCCGGCAGCGTCGATATCCAAACGTACTGGGATGCAGCCTACCCAGACAAGCGTGTACCAGATGTACGTAATCTAGAAGATATGATCCAAGGCGTTCGTGAACGCCTTTTCGAAGCTATCAGAGTGCGAATGCGATCGGACGTGCCTTTGGCGATCTACTTGAGCGGAGGCATAGATAGCGCTGCTATCGCAGGAATCGCGATGGCTATTCTAAGGGAGACTGACGCTAAAGCGAGTATTGATGCTTTTACCATCGCATTTCCTGGTAAAGGTATAGTTTTCCTACTCATGTACGACTTTACTCTGGCCTGAATTTTTGCACGGGTAGGAGCTGAACAGTTCGACGAAGGACCTATTGCGGAACGCATGGCAAGACACATCGGTGCCACATTCCATAAGATTCCCATCACAGAGGATGACCTGGTTGCTGGATTTGAAGATGCAATATGGCATTTCGAGCACCCGATGCCAGATCTGAACGCGATCGGAAAATACCTACTGTCCAAAGAAGTCCGAGACCGCAAGTTTAAGGTGCTGTGCTAGGTTTCAATTCACTGTTGGTCGGCCTCTGTCCAATATCTGATATTGCTCAATCGCATTGTCATCATAGGTCGTGCTCACCGGTGAGGGGGCTGACGAACATTTCGCTGGATATGCTTTCTTTCTGGCGGATTACCTTCGCGAACCTGATGTGGCGGTTGAAAATCCTTTGTCGGATGTCCAGCGAGAGGCTAAATTAAGGGAAATTGAAGGAGTGACGGGCGGATCCTATGATACAGTTCTAGTCTCAAAAATGTCATACAACGACGCTTCGGTTGGACGGCAAATGCTTAATGGAATAAGCAGCCATCGTCAACTGGCAGGGGCAGCCCAAATCCCCCAAGATATATTTCAAAAATCGCTTATAGAGAAAACTGGTGCTCCTGATGCGTGTACCGCCCTTGCGGTAGGATTGAGTGGAATAGCTAGGGAGAATGCAAGAACGAAGGTAATGTGTATTCGTTGGTGTATTTATCTCCGAGTCATAAATTCAAGCTTGCCGTCTACTCCCCTTCTACCATCAGTGGCACCCTCTGCATACGGCTTTGGTGAGTTTCTAATGCTTGGTGCTCATTATCCCCTATAGGTATTTACTCGTTTCATCAGTATGCGGAAAGTAGGACGTTTCTGGGGAACGTATTGTGTAATGTCTTGGGAGATCGTAGCGAAATGGCTCATTCTGTTGAGGGGCGCACTCCTTTCCTCGACCATCACCTATGCGCATATGTAAACAACCTTCCACCGTGAGTATTGTCGCCGAGGTTTTCTTATTAATTATTCTAGCAGTTAGAACAACTTAACTATGTTCGCAGCTCCGTGAAGATACGTGCGTCTCAAACAGGTGAATTGACTGAAAAATGGATATTGCGGGAAGCAGCAAAGCCCTATATTTCGGAAGAAATTTACAATAGGCGTAAACATCCCTATTTGGCACCTGTGTCAAACCTCGCCGAATCTCCCGTCGGTGTTCTTCTCAGGCAACGTATCACAAAGGAAGCTATCGACAGGCTAGGGTGGGCTCGATGGGAGGTGGTGGAGCAATTGAAGGAATCGTTTGAAACGACGGGGTCAACTATGGCCTTACGCACATTGCTGGTCATGTTGTCATTCGTTGTGATGAGCGAAAGGTTTAACGTGAAGATCTATGAAGACAGCTCGACAGAACTTGTCACCAACTTTAAGCAAGAGTCTAATGATAGTACCAGGGATGTGGAATCCTGCCCTGGAAGTAATCCACCGCTCTTTCAAGTAGAGACGAAGCTTCCTGACGAAGATGTATCAATGATTTCTGGATGGAGATTCTATGTTCTAATTTTCATGTAGTGTCTGTCCTGCGATGTGTTTTTTCAAAGGCAGGCATCTCACATAGACTTTCTCCTCATATAGGTTGGGAATGGTTGTTTTCCTTGCGGCCCTTGACCAGGTGTGTAGTGTGTTCTTGGAAATGATTTGACTCTGATTGGTGCCATATCATAAGTAACCCTTCCACTCTCATGAAAGACCATAGTTGCCCCAGCGGTGGTCAAAATCGCCGATGAATTCAATGCTAGTTCACAGCTGTCATTGATTGGCACCGCATATCTGTTGACATCGGTTAGCGTTCAACGAGAGATTGAGTACAAGTATCAACAATTTCTGATTTACGTATCACCCCACTTAGACATGCGTTGCCCCACTCTACGGAAAGCTGTCTGACATCTTTGGCCGGAAATACACCATTATCGCGGCAGTCTTACTGTTTTCGATTGGATCCTTGCTATGTGGAGCATCAAACGGAATGGCGCTACTTACCGTTGGACGTGCAGTCGCCGGCTTGGGTAATTTTCGATTTGTTTCAGACAAATAGAGCAAATAGCTTACTTTCGACTGTAGGAGGCGGAGGACTAATCAGTCTCGTACTCATCATCATCGCCGATATCGTTGCAATTGGTGAACGCGCCAAATACCAAGGGCTTATGGGAGGGGTTTTTGGTCTAGCTGCTGTCGTTGGTCCGCTGGTCGGAGGTGCATTTACTGATCACTGGAGCTGGAGGTGGTGCTTCTATATCAATCTTCCAATATGCGCTGTCGCCGCTACGGCGATATTCTTTCTTTTGCGAACTCGATCCGGAGAACCAGGGAGCGTACAGCGAAAGCTGCGGCGGCTTGACTACATCGGCACGACCTTGATCATTGTCGGTTGTGTTTGCTTGCTGTTGCCTCTGCAGTTCGCTGGTGAACGATGGAAGTGGGACAGCCCACAAACCATTATCCTCCTGATTCTAGGCGCGGTGTTTGCTGTCGCATTTGGATGGTCGGTCACCAAAGTCTCTGAGCCGATCCTCTCACCTCAACTTTTCAAGAACCGGACCGCCGTTGCCCTTCTGGCTACATCCTTCTGCCTTGGTGTATCTTTCTATGCAGAAGTATTTTACACCCCGTAAGTGGCTCTTGTAGTTCCCTTCTATATCTATCGATGCCACTCCCATTGACATTTTCGCTCTTAGAATCTACTTCCAGGTTGTTGATGGTGCCTCCTCCACTGCCGCAGGATTACAGACAATCCCTTTGATTATGGGCGTTGTTTTCATGAGCGTCTTGTCAGGTACAGTCAAAACAGCTAAAGCCTGAAACATTGATGTAGCTGACCTTGTATTGTTTTTACATGCAGGCCACCTCATTGCCAAAACAAACGTCTACCTCATTTATCCATTTATTGGTTCGGTCCTTTCTAGCATTGGGCTTGGCTTGATGTCCACTCTCAATGCAGACTCTAAGACGTGGCAGCGAATCATTTATCTGCTCATCGCGGGATTGGGAAGTGGCAGTATTGTTCAAACAGCTGTGGTCGGCATACAGCACAGTGTGAGTCCCGACCTCATTGCAGTGGCCACCAGTGCCAACACTTTTGTCCAAATTCTTGGAGGGTAAGTTCTAAATGTCATATGCCAGATCGGTATTTCCGCGAGCGTAACTCAAGGTATTTTCCTGCTCTTCAGTGTATTTGGCATAGCCATGTCTGGTGCAGTTTACAACAACGTTCTCAATCATTGCCTCTTATCCGATGCTCCTTCCGTGGACGCTGCCAAATTGCAGTCTGCCAACGATCTTATACAGACGTTACCGGACAACGTCAGGCATGCGGTTGAAGCATGCTTCACAACGAGCCTTCAGAAGACTTTCCTATCATTAGTGCCATTTGCGGCACTTATCTTTGTCTTCATGCTGTTCACAAAGGGAAGGAAATTTTAGAGTGCTTAGGGACACTGGGTCAAACTTTGAAAGCTTGAGCATGTAGCGTTAGGGTTTCTAAATCTCGCCATCTGTGTATTATACGATATATCTATGCAATATGATGTCTTGCGGTAGTTGTGGCCTGGCTTCAGGGTGTTGATTAGGGTTAGCGCTCCGGATCTCGCCATCTGTGTATTATATGATATATCTATGCAATATGATGTCTTGCGGTAGTTATAGCTGGCTTCCAGGGAGATCCCATTCCTCAACACATCGCGGAATAATGCAAAGTGGATTTCAAAGCCCTAGGAAAGTTCGAGCCTAGCATATGTATTGCAAGTCATAGCGACAAATTTGTCTAAAGAATCATAGAAGTCCTGAACTGTCCTAAATCTACAAGGTCTCTGTGCTCGCTGAGAGTAACAAAAGGTGGTAGCCAAAGGTTGAAAATAACAGCAGGAGAATTATCAAAGGAAGGGTGTAAGCAAGGTTGCGTGCAATTGCCCGATGATAACGACCTGCTTCTGTAATGGTGCTTTGTGATGCAGCTGATTGCACTCCTTCCCTAATGGGCATCCGACTAGTGATAGCAACGTTGCATTCGTCGAAGGTTTGAAGAATGATAGTTATTTTCGCTTTCTGGAGGGTGTCGTCCGTCGTGGAAAGCGTTAATGAGATCTTTCCATCGATATCGTTCGAGATGAAAATGTCGGTGCAAGTAGCAGAGGTTTTGGTGCTTGTAACCCCTTGCGCTAGATCCTCCGATGCAGAAGAGTCGGCGTATGATTTTCCATGTTCTGTGGACAGCTTCTTCTGCCTCCTGGTACTATCGACGGAAGAGACAGAGTTTGTGGGCTCTTTGTACCTTGTGGAGTCGTTTGGATGTGTGGTGCCGCAAGATGCTCTGTCTTTACTGGTATCGACGGAAGAGACAGAGTTTGTGGGCTCTTTGTAGTTTGTGGAATCGTTTGGATGTGTGATGTCGCAAGATGCTCTGTCTTTACGCGTAGTTGGAGAAGACTTCTTTTTACTAGCATCGTCGGATGTTTTATGAGCTTCCGTAGTCTGCGGTTTCTTGCCTTGTCTCTCTTGCGGGGAATGACTTTCTTCTTCAAAAAAGCCTGGGAGAATTACACGTTTGCCAGCGCGGATTCTATCCTCTGTAACTACAGCCAAGTGTCTCGGTCGTTCCAAAAACATGTGCTGCGGAACAAACAGATGCATTGCATCATAGGAGGTTCCCAACTTATGAGAGAAGGCGATAAGTTTGCGATGTTCTTCATTCATGAATCGGAGGCCGTTACTATTGAACGATTGGGTGAGAGGATCACCATCTTCAGTAATATCGGACGCATTCAACGGGAAAGGATAGTTGGAATGCTGGGCAAAAAACGTGGTGATGACATCGTTGAAATTGCAGGACAGGATTTGACTCACGGCCTTCTTATTGTTCTGGCAATCGCAGTCGTCGTGTAGTCGGGACCACGGACCCTCTCCAGTCACGCCGGAGACTAACTCGGAATTTCCTCCGTCGAGAGAGTTTGCGATAATACAAATGTGCGGTTCATCGAGACAAGGATCAAAGTTGGTTGCCGATTGAATATCTATAGTCTCCACGTGCTTGACGGTAAAAGTGATCTCGTTGCCGATTATGTAGCGACGCAGGACATCTTCATCTGCATCATCTCCCGGCGGTGCCAAGGCTGTCGTGGGATGAGGCTCGATGCGAAAGTAATTTGCGTGGTATCCTGAATATTGGCAGTAGGCAATCAATTCAATGCTACTAACTAGATAACACCAAACCACTTACATACCTTGAGGACAAAAGCGATAAACTAACAAAAATGTAGGAATATCCCTCATGACCCAGGCGTGCCTGATTGCAGGTATAGTCAAAAAGGTTGGAACGGCCGCAATTCCACGAGCTGACACACGCACGGTCTCGCGAACCGCTCTATAAAATATAGAAGTACAAACATTACCAGCAGAACCTTGTATGCAGCAAAAGTGTTACGAAGCACTACCTTTCAACGCTTCGAGGCATTCCCATTGCCCCACATAACTTCTCCATGAAACTGCACGAAAGACGCGAGACCCATATCTGCATCATGGAGATCTCGTCGTTTATGAGGCGGGGTCCGTCCTTGCGCACCCTGTACGTACATCTGGCTGGGGTGTGCACGCAGCGGCAGATCAGCTCTTCCCCGTCGCGAAGGACGTGGGCATCGAAGGCACGCTGTTGCGAGACGCGATATATGAAGGCTTCTGCATCCGGTCGGTGCAAACATGTTTTGAAGCGGGAAAGAAAATTCGCGTAGACCAGAAAGCGAACGACAGTGCGGAAGTTCTTTACATCCCAGATGGGATGTCCTTCGCTCGAAATTGCTTTAACCCGACCGCCGTTGCCCGAATGCCTGATCTGAGGTGAGCCGGGCGGCGTAGGAAGCTGATGGTTGGGAGAAATCGGGACAGCAAGATCGAAGCTGCCACTTGCACGGGCCTTGGTCGAGTGAATAGTGTTTTCCGTGAAAAGGAGACTGTCATAGCTCTCAGGGTCAACCCATGTGGTAAACCATTCCGATAGACCGACTTTCCGATAGAAGGCGTTGAGGGTTTCTTCCTTCCTGCTCAACCCATTGATTTTCTCGACGGGGGTATTTTCATCACAAAGTTTTCGGTGTACTTCCATAGCTTTCGTCACCATGGCTTCCAGCTTTCTCTTGGTCAGATTGAATGCCTCCAGCGTTTGATCAGGATGTTTTCTGTACTCCCCAACTATCTCCATGAGCAGCATGGGGCGAATCTGGCATGCACAATCTCCAACGTGAGCATCAAAATCGAGGAAGCCATCCCATGAGTACGAATTGTTCTTGATATCAGTGCTATGGCGACTCGACTCTCCGATGACTTTTGCAGGAAACAAGAGATTTTCGAAGCTCTCCAGCGCATGAAGGGCGTCTCTCGCTCCGCGGATAATCCGTCTAAGGTGGAACGGATACAGCCTCTGCAAGAGAGGTTTCTCGCGAGCAGATTCATCGTCAAAAAGAAGAGTCGCCATTACGAAAGTCAGTTAGAACCGCGATAACACACAGTGGAACACATATTCCCGCCGGACTCATTTATTAAGAGGACATGATGGTAAGGCCTGCCTGCGGACTGTTCTATCCGCCTGTTGCGGGTGGCAGTGCTCTGTTTTCTGTTGTACATCGGATGATGGGAGCATTCCTCCGAGTCCACCACGTCCGCTCGCTTGGCAGCCGTGCACTGCCGGTAAACGTTGCCCCATCATAGTTTTTGTTTGCGTCATCTTTGGCGCCAGCCGCTAGGTATAGACGAACCCGCACGACGGTCCTGCCATTCTGAAGTTTGGCCGACTCCGCCTGGAGTGAGTGGGACTCGAAACTATTAGACAAAATCCTGGCCGCCCTCGTGCAAGGAGCGTCCCCATTCTCACCGAAATCAAATATCGCAGCAATGAAGGTGCCTCTTAAACTTTTGAAGTTCGTTCAACAATGCCGTTGGCTGGCAAAGCAGGCGAGCAACCGGCAGCGCAACGAGACCGACATACGACAAATCCTCGTGAGATGCGCACGCCGGTATCCTGGTCGTGGCCTTTACTACGTTGCCAGCGTATCAGGAATAGAAAACCCTACTTTCACGACCTATATGGAACTTCTCAACCGGGCGGTTCTCATCTCCAGCTTTCTGAAAGCGAAAGGTCTATCTCCCGGTCGTGTAATAGTTCTCTACTTTAACAACCACCAGGACAACATCGAATATTTTTGGGGGGCATTGTTTGCGGGCTTGTTGCCCTGCGTGCTAGGGCCTCTCAACCCCAGCGTGCCAGGAAAGAATAGCAAGATGGTCTCCTACCTCCACCGCCTGTTGAACAAGCCAATATTTCTCACACGCCAATCACAATGCGCTGACCTTACCAAAATGACCGAAGAAGATACACTCGACGTCCTTACTGCCGACGAACTCGAATCTAAGGTAGCTGTCATGACGAAGAGAACGCATTCGCATAGACAAAATGGCGGATCCGCGTACGACACGACTTTGCTTCTTCTTACCTCCGGCTCGACTGGCATGCCCAAGGCTGTGGAGCTGACACACGGCAACATTTTCGCCGCATCGCAAGCTAAAACGGCCTCTTACAACCTTAAATGTGATGATACGGTGCTCAATTGGGTTGGGTTCGACCATGTGGCATGCGCCGTTGAGAATCATATAACCCCCATGTGCGTGGGAGCAAATCAAGTGCACGTCCTGGCTCCCCTGCTTATCAACGATGTCGGCTCTTTTTTCAAAATGATTGAGCATTATGGTATTACCCTGACATTTGCCCCAAATTTCCTTCTTGCAAAGATGAACGCTTGTCTGCGAGAGAATATGGAGCAATATCGAGGAAAGCTCGATTTATCTGTTTTGCGACGGATCAACTCTGGCGGGGAGGCAAATGTGGTAGAAACAGGTCAGCAGCTACTGGAAGCGTTGGAGAAGGCCGATGCACGTTTTGCCGGGTGCATTACACCTGGATTTGGCATGACCGAAACCTGTGCTGGATGCATATACAATCTTGGCTACCCGTTTGTTGATGCTGGCAGAGAACTGGCTAGTGTTGGCCGCTGCGTGAAAGGAGTTCAGATGCGCATTGTGGACAAGGATGGGAAGGAGACATCATCAGGGAGAGTCGGAGCGCTACAGATTCGCGGCCGTATGGTTTTCAAAGGATATTTCAACAATCCTGTCGCCACTCGCGGATCGTTTACCGATGGCTGGTTCAAAACCGGGGATTGCGGGTTTGTAGTAGATGGAGTACTTACATTGACCGGTAGAGCCAATGATAGTATTATCGTAAACGGCATCAACTACGGCACATCCGAACTTGAGAGACACCTGGAGAGTGTCCCGGGCATCACAAAGTCATTTGTGGCTGTCCTTACAACTCGCCCGCCAGGTTCAGGTCACGAACATTTGGCCATCGTTTACCTTCCCTCATTTGCCTATCCCGACGACGAAGAGACCCTAGTAAAAACCCACGCTGCTATCCGTGAGCGCACTGTACTATATTGCTCCAAAGTCCCCGAAATCATCCTTCCATTGCCACAAAAAGCTATGGAAAAAACATCACTCGGCAAGCTCCCTCGTGGCCAACTACGGAAGCAGTTGGAAGGAGGTGGCTTTGATTGCCATCTGTCAAAGGTTGAAGAAATCTTGGCAAAACGACGACAGGTTCTGAAAGCATCACCGGCAACCCCAGCTGAAAGTACTCTGGCGACATTTTGGAGCCATATTTTCGGGGTTCCTCAAGAAAGCTTGGACGCGGAGGAGAACTTTTTTGAGCGTGGCGGTTCGTCTCTGGAAGTAATAAGGTAAATAGGTGTCACTACGAGGACATGCGACTTCCTTATTGGCGCAAGTATATTCATTGCTACTATTTCGTCTGATCTGTGCAGATACAAGTCCATGATCGTTGAGCATTTCAGCCTTGACGACAACTGGCCTGTCATAAGGATCATGCAATATCCGACCATCCGCAGCTTGGCTCATCATCTTACATCGGAGACGCAGTTCGCTGAGAATGTAAAACCAAATTCAAATTACGATCCCCTCATATGTTTGCAACCAACCGGCTCCAGGACACCTATCTTCTTTATCCATCCTGGAGTGGGAGAGGTTCTCATTTTTGTCAACCTGGCAAAGTATTTTATCAATGAACGCCCTTTCTATGCTCTTCGTGCCCGAGGATTCGACGAGGGTCAGACCTATTTTGAATCAATGGAGGAAATGGTTGAGACGTACACACGCGCAATTGAGCGGAAGCAACCTCATGGGCCGTATGCCCTTGCAGGATACTCTTACGGAGGTGTTGTAGCATTTGAGATAGCAAAAAAACTCGAAGCCCGAAATGCAGAGGTCAAGTTCGTTGGACTGGTGAGTTGCTTTTAAGAAACCTCAGAATTATTCTCCAGCTGATCACATGGATATACTAGGTGAACATCCCCCCTCATATCAAGTCCAGAATGTTGGAGATCAATTGGACAGATGGCTTCCTTAATCTCTCATACTTTTTAGAATTCATTACAAAAGCGGAGGCAAAGGAGCTCGCTAGCCAGCTTCTCCCACTGTCTCGCCGCGAGCAACTAGACTACGTGTGGCATCGTGCCCCAAAGGCTCGAAGAGCGGAGCTAGGTCTCGATGTGGAACGCCTGGAAAAGTGGGTTGATCTCGCCCAATCGCTGCTTGCCTGCGGTCGCGCTTATGAACCCTCGGGAATGGTTCGCGGCTGCGACTTGACTGTATTCTATGCGGAGCCTCTTAAGGGAACAAAGACGGATTGGTTGGTGAACCAATTACAGGACTGGGCGAACTATGCCCAACAAAACGTTCAGTATGTTGAGGTGCCAGGGTCCCATTATACGTTAATGAATCAACTATACGTAGGACACTTTCAAAAAATTTTTAAAGATAGCTTGGCTAAAGCTGGTCTTTAAACGACATGTTTGTAATTACTTGATTAGATTTGGGTTAGGACTATTGCAAGGTTGTCATTCTAGATATTTGTAGTCAGATCCAATATGCAAGTGTCCATCTTTGAAGGGAAATGCGCTAAATTCCTAAATGCATACTATTGGACGTTAGATAGTAGGTATGGATGCTGAGTAGTAAGTATCACGAATCAAAGGACATTTTGAACAGCGTTCTCCAAGTGAAATGCAATGACATTCTGATATATGAATGGTATATGCAAATAATTCTATTTTGAAAAAAAAAAAAAAGAAAGAAAGAAAGTAAGCTGTTGCGTATAATGCCGCTGGAGCTGATATGATCCCATTATAGAGCTGTAGGTCAGATTTTGTGTGACGGGAAAAAGGCAAGAATAGGATCACCGTCACGCAACCCACAACCTCCAACAAGAGCTGCTCCCCCCAAAAGCCTAGGACGGAGGCCTTCCCAATACCAGAGCTGCATGTCATCCGGTGAATATGACGGAGAAAGCGGTATGTCTTCGTCCATTCTCGTCCGTTTTCGAGGCGGGCCTTGTTCTGACGGACCGTCCACAAATTTCATGTAGCGCAGAACGAGTTGCTTGAGGGACGAAATCGACATATGAGAAAGGACCGGGATAGGAATACTCCATAATCGCGGTGGTGGAGACGGAGGCCGTGGCGCGGAGATATGCGGAATCGAAGGCTTGCTGTCGTGCATGATAACGGATATCCACACAACTGCCACATCGTCTTCCGGATTGGAGTTTGGATTTGAAAGTAGAGTAGGTGCAGGTTCAGCTTGTGCACTTTCCTGCCACGCCAGCGCGGCAGACAAGTCCGCATCCTCCGGTGAGGAAAAGTCTGAAGATGGTGTCGGTGGCAAGAACGAAACAGGCATTGAAGTTCTGTTGTGACTTTCAAGTGTCGCCGGCGAACACGTATTGAACTCGGGCACCACCAAACGCTCCCCTAGTGGCTGACAGATCAGTGGAGATGCCGTATCAGGAGCTGCCGACCAAACGACATCTTCATGCGTTTGAGAAACGGTTTCGCCCGAATTTGGGCCTAAGAGTAGAGAATTAAGCCAATCGTCCTGGGATACACACGAGCCGTCTAGATCCGAAGATACACTGGCAAGCGGTGAATCTGTTATGCTCTTGCCGTCCCCGTCACTTGTCGAGAACGAAGAGCCATTGAGACCCGAAGGTGGGCTCGCGCAAGCCAGCATTTCTTGAAGGGTGGTACAGCTTTCAAGCGGAGCATCCTGAGCAATCTTGCAGTTGGGTATATGGGACGCCGCCTGTCGAAATCGCGCCAAGTTTCTGAGAATGACATAGCAGCAAATTAAAGAGATGATAGAGCGGACCTAAACAATAGGAAAAAAAAAGTTTGCGCAGCTCCTACCTTCCGCAAAGGCAATGCCAATGTCTGGACCGCTTGGTTTCCCGATACACACAAGGGTACCACTTGCAGGCGAGACAAACCTTGTCCCCTATAAGCGAACCCAAGGAAAACCATTTAGATACTCAGCGTAATGATGAGAACACGCGGGAGGTAAGGCTCACCGACTATCAGTAGCTCGGAATCCCTTTTGGCATGGTCTTCATGTAGATGAGGGCCTAGATATTTGGCGGCCATGGGGTCTCCACAAAGTGGACATTGGATCTGAGTATCATCTGCAAAAGGGGAATATGAACCGGGCAATACTGAGATTAATGACAGAAAAAAAAAAAAGAAAACTATTGGGCTCAGGCAGCCAACTGTTCGCTTCATCACTGAAGTTGCAAGAACCATTCACAATGCTGTGTACCTTGGATCAAGAAGACTGCTGTTGTTGCAGTTACAAAATCTGAGAGTGGGATCCACGAGGTGTAGCGTCGTCTGGCGACAAGGGGATTGTGTGGATGAAGTTGAAGCATTTTGGCCAGGACAATTTCAGTAACGGAGGACAAGCGGGACGTTGAGGAATTTTATAAAGCAAACCCCATATGTTCGCGCCCTGTGGCAGCGAAATAGGTATGCGCAGCAACGGCCTTTGCCATTAAAAGCTCTTCCCGACATCCTTTAGCCCACGTTTGCTGCTTGTTGTTCTTTACTATAGTACTCTCCATCCAGTTATAGAAAATCAGAGGTGAAATGGATGCGACGACCTAGGGACCAAAGCGCGGGTATGCTGCGGCATGCATTTTTCAGCCTGGTCATTGCCATCATCTATACCATATCCGTCTTGTTTGACGAGTAGGCGTTAGGGCTAAAAAATGGAGGGAAGACGGTGGGCGGAGGCGCAATGGGGGAATCCAAGTAGAATCGCAAAAACCTTTGGAAGTTCATCGACAGCTTTTTGCTTATCTAACTGGATTGGAAGGAAAGCCACGTTGTCGGGTCAAAATTTCGGATATTGATCGGAGGCAAAACGTAAGCAAAGCAAGTGTTATTATCCAAGAAAGTAACTTTGGGCCAAAATCCACACTTGTAAGGCTTTGAAACCGCTTTGCACCCAGAGTTTCACGCAAAAGAAGTGTTCCAAAAACGCGTGGGCAGTTGCCGTCAAGATACGAAAAACAGCCGAGAATGACACTTGACAGGTATTTGGCGCAGCAGAATCTGGTAAAATGAATGTGGCCGCCATTAGAAAAAACAACTCGTGGCAAGTCACGGCTGGCTGGGGGGGCAGTGGACGGAGTGGACCGGAACAGATTAGCGCCATCCGCTTCTGCTTTTTAATCGACGGCCCCATTCCTCCTCGAGTGACAATTCCCTTTTGTTGACTTTTTTATTTTATTCCAAAACCTCTTACAAACCGGTTACCTATTTTAGACATGTCTGCTGCAGTCAAGTGGGATGCCCGTTATGCAACCGCTGTTCCGCATGACAACGTATACTATGCAAAGTGCTTCATGTCAGGCATCCTCGCCTGTGGGTTGACACATAGCGCTATTACGCCACTCGATGTGACAAAGTGTAGTATGCAGGAAAGTGTTCTTTCACCCGTCACTGGCTGTTACGCTTGTGCAAGGAAACTTAACCTTTTGTCGATGTTATAACAGGTCAACCCTGCCAAATACCGCGGTCTCATCCCTGGTCTTCGTACCATCGTGGCCGAGGAAGGTGCCCGGGCTGTTTGGAAAGGACTGGTTCCAACAGGTGCGTCCCTCCTTTGCGTCCCTTTGCATGTCTGCGTATGAGCCAGTCAGCGGCGCGGTCCAACCGTCTTGCAATATACAGCTATCGGATACTCTGCTCAAGGAGCTTTCAAGTTTGGTCTCTACGAGTATTTTAAGGACTTTTACTCCAATTTGGTTGGAGAAGAGAATGCGAAAAAGTACAAGCAACTCATCTGTAAGTGTCCCTCTCCTCATTTGTTCATCCGTTCTGCTCCGGTAACAGTTCTTTACAAAACAGGGTGTGCGGGTTCGGCTTCATCAGAGTTCTTTGCCGACATTGCATTGTGTCCTATGGAGATGACAAAAGTCAAAGTGCAGACATCTCCTGCAGGAACCTTCCCGACGGCGTTCGCCCCCGCACTGAGGGAAATGGTCGCCAGACGGGCGGAAACGCGCTTCCCCTTTGGCTCTCTGGTGCCGCTGTGGGGTCGACAGTAAGTAGAGCATTCTGGTTTGATTGGGCATGCTGGTCACATCTAATAGTTAAATATTCAGAATCCCCTACAATGTCTCCAAGTTCTTCTTCTTTGAGCAGATCGTGTCGTCCTTCTATACATACGTCCTGACAGAGCCGAAGGACTCTTACTCCAAAACCACACAGCTGGGAGTGACCTTCACCTCTGGATACCTTGCCGGTGTGATCTGTGCCTTAGTCTCGCATCCCGCGGACTCGATCGTGTCCCTCATGGCCAAGCCCGACAACAAAGGGAAGAGCGTTGGGCAAATCGCCCGCGAGACGGGAATGAAGAGACTGTTGACTGGGGGCCTTGGTACCCGTGTGCTCATGATTGGAACCTTGACGGGTGAGTTCACATGCATAATATATAGTTGCTACCACTTTACTGAAATTTGACTCTTTGCAGGTCTCCAATGGTGGATTTATGATACCTTGAAGACGGCAATGGGCATGGGCACAACAGGTGGTGCGGAACCCAAGAAATAGAGGATTAGCCCCCTCTAAGTAACCTTGTGGTAGAGGATAGAAGCCTGTTTAGAAAGGGACGTTGGATTGTGAAAAGTGATATATATTCCCCATATTGATTTATTCGCCAACTATACAGCCCAGGTTTGAGGCTCTGTCTGAATGTTTTTATAAGAAAACAGTAGCTGGGTTGCAAATTGCACAGGTAGGTACAGAAGCGAGATCAAAGTTTCTTTAGGGTTATGTATTATACTCTCCATATTCAACGCCGAATGCACTGGCGTCTATTCTGAAGAGCATCACGGCAACTGGTCAGGCTGCATTGATTTAACAGTTTCTGGCTGACGGACCTTGGTTTGGTGGAGATCATAAACTTCAGAGTTTTTCATCTGTCAGCTAGGATGTCTAGCGTAATGGAGCTTTCCGTCAACAAATTGTTTGGATCAGTCACGGTGCTTCAACGTTTTCATTACTATATACAAGATCATGCAATGTCATCTCCGTACAGCAGTCGACGGCTCATACTCAGCTTAACGTCATCTTCAGCCATTTCTGTCATCGGCGTGGCAGGTCCAGCATCCTGCATCGGTTCAGATTTAAGGATACCTGATCCAAAGGGCCCCAGTCGCGCCTCTGATCCCTGCAAGCACTTTAGCGTCCTTTTCTCCGTTGGACTCAGTTCCTGAACAGTGGTTGTCCCCACCGTCGATATTTGATCTGGGACCCCCCTTTTCTTCTTTTTTCCTTTGCGTTTTTCTTCCGATGGTTGCTGTAGCCGCAGTTTGACGGTTTGAAAATACTTTCGCTGCGTCCTTTCGGTCCATGGTGAAAGAACGCCGCCGACCACGAGTCCCGCGCAGCCGTAAACAAAGATCAGTGTATATGCCTTTTCGGTCTTTGCCATCATGGGTATCAGAACCGCAGCAGACAGATCGATTCCAGCGCATGCAACGGCATAAGGGCCGCGGACACACTCTGAAGAACTGCGTGCAATCATGAAATTAATGTGCAAAAAGAGCGCCGATATGCATCCGGCTAGCGCCGCGCCATGATGACCCCCGTCCGTCGACTCTTGCAGCACTAGTGAGCCATGTCGGATCAGTCCCAGATTTGCTGCTTGTATGAGAAGGTAACAGAGTGTAACGCAGATTTGTTGCCGTCTCGGACGGACTTTGCCTAAGCCGGGGATCCATGTCAACCCTAATGCAACCAAACATGCGCCAGGGATGATAGCACCAAAGCCCATGAGCATCCAAAAATCTAAAGGCTCGTTGCTGTGGTACCTGAGATCAACAGATGTGAACTGGTTGATGATAATGGCCGCCGAAGCTCACCACTTTGCAAATACTTACTTTACAAATAATCCGAGAAATGATAACCAAGCGGATGCTATAGTCGAAAGGTAAGTGATTCTCGCATCGACTAGTGAACTCCCAGAGTACTCGATGCAGAATCTTCTTTCTAGATCCGCATCATCAAACTTTTGTGCCATGGCTAACCGGTACTGCCGAAGAACATGCAACTTGGCGGCCGTCATCCATGTGGGTATAAGCCAGCATCGAGATCGACCGTCCCGCGAAATTTCAGGCAGAGAGTTATTGGCGCTTGAGCTGCCGTCAGGTGCAAAGAGGTAACTGATTTTTGTTCGCCACTCCCGTACATAGGCTGACCGCAAAGTGAGGACAACACCGAGGGCTAGCTGGAGAGCAGGTTCCCAGTCACCGCCAAACAAAAATGCTGGAGCAAAGATCCAGCGGGCTGCAATCCGCCCACAAATTAGATATACAATCGACGTGAAAGCCTTGTATCGGAACTCGACTTGTAAGCCGACGATCGAAAGCCACGTAATGCCCAGTTCTGTAGGTGCAAGCATCCTGGCATTCGCCAGAGGAACATCCTATCACAGTTATGATGAGTGCACATATCCAGTATGAGAAGCTCATAGTTAACGCTTTCCTTACAGGAGTAGCAAAATACTTTAGTCCTCCTACAGGAATCGCAACATAGGCAATGCAGAGGAAAATGAAGAAAAGCAGACATAGGAGTGCAGATGAGAAGGTCGGTGATGGCCATTGAAGCCGCATTTGGAACAGCAGTAGAATAATGGCAAGCAGTGGGCAGGCCAGCATGACCTGCATCTGGCATATCAAAAACATCGTTCCGCCGGCGAAAGCGGACAGAGTTTACCCACCCAGATTACGTGAAACATATATCTTCCATCAAGTTGACCATGATTCTCAGCGGCCCTGGCCATGGCGACATTTCCAGCGCATGCGCAACTGGCGATAACTGTGAACGAGATCTTATTGAGTGTTCACGCGTTTGCCCCGTCTGCAGTGGGTGCGGGACGCAGTTCTTACACATGACCATGATAGTATTGCGTCTCCATCTCGGCCAATACAGATGGGTGAACCTTTGGAAAATGGCAGTAGGTTCGCATCAGTGAACCTCTACGTGTTCTTGCTAAAAGAGCAAACACACCTGTCAGCAGTATCAGAGTTCTGAAATCTCAAGGAAACTGTGGAAATCTTCTCTCGATCATTTCCGTCATGTTCCACAGTACCCAAGTCTTCAGTCCCGAGGATCAGGCCACTCAGGGCCTGTGGGAGACCTTTAAACGACATTGATGGCGGCCGGGTTTTCATGATGACAGATCAGGCAGAGTAGGACATGATGGGGTTTTCACAGGTATTCACTTCCGATCGGACTTTTGAGCGCGGACGCTTACGTAAGCTGCATTGATCTGTCAATCTGGTCCCCTGGACTTTTCCCTGGTGGAAGCTTCCATTTCGCTACCCTAACCTTCCTGGTTGGCGTCCCACAGATCCTGATTCAGCGCATATCTACTTTTAGCATTGCGCTTCATCGAACTTGATGAGGTTTTCTGCATTGAACACCTCCTCATATTCTATTAATAGTTTTTCAAAGGGACCGTTCATTCGGGTCTCCGTTTCGTTGGTAATTATCGTTTCTATTGCGAGGCACGTGTGCAAGATACAGCGACCGCATATCCAAGGAACCCAGGATGCCATGAACAATAGATGCATCAGCCTTGATACATTATTACATCTATTCATTCAACTCGCGGCGTTCTTCCAGAAGGGATACGGAAGTAGATTGGATAATTAGCGATTTACTATTCGGGCAACGTTCCGTCAGCCGGTGGCATTTACCATTCCGTTGAACTTTCTTAAAAATAACCATCACAGCCTCATTTTTTTGTGATGACAATATTTGCGGCTATCTAGAAGGGCAAGATGCAATTATGAAAGCCGCAAATAGCGGAACTCTGGATGGGTATCCAAGGTGGCGAATGAACACTTGACAGATGTCACAATGAGGCGGTTTTTCTTAGCAATCGAGAAGCGATTAGACGGATATAAAGGAGAAAGAGATGTCCTCTTTTTCCTTTCTTCAGCAAATTCAAGTTCCCTATCCCTAGCGACGTGTACAGTGCAAGATGAGCTCAGTGTCGCTTCCTCCGTTCCTCTCGGCAACGTTGCTCATCACGATCCCGGCACTCGGCTTTCTAAGTCGAGGTCTAAACCGATGGATTCCCAATAACGGCGCTGATCAGAAAAAGAGGCTACGAGGAGTCACGTTCATCGCGTTCGGTATACTTCGCTCTGTGATCCTGGGATTGGGGTTGTGGAAGGCTCCCGAGTTCTTTGCGAACTGGTTCACGCCCACGAACGCGTCAGAAGAGCTCCAGAGCATCATTCTGTATACGACCGGGCTGTATTGCTCTATGCTGAGTAGGCATCCTTTCATTGCGCGGTATTGCTTCATGTGGCCTTGCAACTTACATGTGATCTTGTAGTTTACGAGTTAACCGTGAATGATCTCTCCTGGGTTTCCATTTTGCACCACACCGCAGCGTTGATCGGCAACGGCATCCTTCTCGTTGGCGTCGAGTTGCACCCTCTGTACCCTTTCTTCGTTCACCTCTACAGGATGGGAACTTTAATGGCGACACCAATCTTCTTTTCCATTGCATATTTCTATCTTGGGCAGGATAAGAAGCCAGCCCTTCGATTGAAACTGAGCTCTCTTCGCCTCACCTGCGTTGAGTTGAACATCGCTTGCATCATGTCAAACTCGATTGGATTGGCATTCTACTTTACTCACTTCAAGTCGTTACCGAACATTTTGCGCGTCCTCCTTCTGGTTTGCAACGCTGCCTTCATTCCCGAACAGATTCAAACCAGCAAAGTTATGGGACAGGTAGATATTGATGAAGGTTTCATGTTGACGCTTAGGATATATTCTAATCATAGTTTTGCAGTGGCAACGAAAACTCTCCATCGAAATCAAGAGACGCCTATCAAGTCCAGTGCTGACGACTTTCCCCGCCCTCTCTGCCTTGTCCATGTCCTCTGCAATCCAGAGGCCCTCTTCCCCAATCAAGCGTGTCCGAATGACCCACACAAAGTCTCTGTCTCTGGATATGTCAGTGATCAGCCGTCGTCCGTCCTTGGCCCACTCTGCTCTACCTCTCGCCTCTCCTGCAAGCGCTGCATAGAATTCTTTCTGTTCATATCTGCTTTATTTAGATCGTCCGAACCTATTACCTACTTGCAGCCTATTAAGCTTAGATTTTACTTATTGTTCTAGTAGATTCAGGCTGGTGGCCCTACTTTTTGTCGGATGTATCAGCTTACCTATTAGGCTCTTAACACTCGTTTCTTTCGGGATCAATAGATTTTAGATTTTAAATTTGAATGAAAAACTTATAAATGTTCTCTATACTGCTTGTGATTTCTTAAAGTGGCCGTGTCTGATGCAGTTGACTTGAAGATCATTCCTACTATAGTGACCCAACAGAATGTGCTGGTTCTTCAAACAAAAAAGGCATTAGAATATTCAAGGCCCCCGTCACGCTGAGCACTGCGAACACTCTAAAAGTTCAACAAACTCAAAGTTAAGCGTCAATTCTAGCAACCGTCTCAAGTATAGGCTCAAAGTTACTGCTCGGAGCTTCCCGCTGACATAATCATTAATCGATTCTGAATAAGGCTATATGAGTACACATGCCGTGAGTGACTGTGCCTGGGCCTGTCGGTGAGTCAGCATGATGTGTCGCGCATCATCGCCTAAAGTTGGAGTTTGTCTTCCTTTTCCCTAATTCACAGTTCAGGACCTCGCACTACATTCAAAGACCTAGAATGCCTCATCACGCACATCCACCAGCGTTGTTAGACAGATACACTCTTGAAGATGTTTTGAAGGACAAACCAGCCGAAAAGCTGGTGCAAGTACACGCCGACGCCAGTGCACTGGACGCTTTGACCTTGATGAAAAATCATCATATTTTGGGTATGCTGAACCATGAAATACTGTCTGGATCATTGACTGAGCAACATCCCACAGCTGTACCTGTTTATGGAGAAAAGGGTCGGTGGTTAGGGGCCGGAGGAACGGAGGCTTTCGCTGGCTCGCGGCAATACATTGGTGTCGTCAGCGTACGTATTTCACGTCATCATGTCCACCAACCATTGTCTGCTGTCAAGAAAGCTCATGCAATCTAGCAGATTCTGGATATTGTAGATTTCATTACAACCCTTCTTCCCGATGACTTGGGGGCTCCACTTCCGTCTCATGCGACAACGGGTCCGCATCCAGACCTCTCTCACATTCGCGTGATGGATCTCATTGGTGAAACCCTCGAGAGTCGTTCTCTTTGGGTCGCACGTCCGGATGTCCCTTTGCGGCGGTCGGTGGAACCTATGGGACGAGGCGTGCACCGGTTACTTGTGCCGACGCGACCCGATAGTGCCGATGCCGCACTAGGAGCACATGGTCCAGCTTCCATTGCACTTGAAGCTGGTCCAGATACAATGTCGAATGAGTTTAGAATCGTCACACAGACGGACGTAATTCGATTCCTGCTGCATCGGTTGAATGAAGACCCAGAGTTAGCAAAGATCTGCTCAGCAAGCTTGGAGCGTCTTGGGCTGGCGGACCAGTCAAACTCTGTCATTATAACAGCCGACATATCTGCCCCTCTTTCTACCATTATCAAGCAAATGACGCTGCACAACTTGAATGCTATTCCCGTCACCAACTCTCATCTCAACGGCACAGTGGTCGCGACACTTTCCGTATCTGATCTCCGTCCATTTCTCATATCCGAAACAGATCTTGTCGATATTGTTAGAGATTTAAGACGACTGACTGTAGGAGAATTTTTAAGAAGGGTCAAGGGAGACTGGTCTGGGGAAGTTGGTGGTGAGAAGACTGGTGTGAAATGCAGAGCGGAAGCATCGCTACGAAGCGTGATGGAATTAGGCGTTGAAAAGGCTGTGCACAGAGTGTGGGTTGTGGACAGGGAGGGGGTTCCTATCGGTGTTGTGACATTTACGGATGTGATCAGATTGGTAGAAGCTGAGGTTTTGGCGAGAAGTTGAAGAGCGGGGATCCATTTTGCTTATGTAACAACCTTTCAAGTGAATAAATGCATTTAACCCGATTGCAATGTAAATCTGGTCATTTACGAACTTGCAGCACGCAGCTGATTCTGGACGTTGACGAGTAACAAAATGGGCAAGAATACGGACAAGCTATATGTAACCCACTCGGAGCACGCCGCGGGGCCGGGGTATGTAGAGAACTATTTTGTTGTCAACTCGGAAAAGCTGATTAAACTCTGGGTTTTAGAGGTGCCAAGCGAAGAACGGGATCTGAGTTCAAAAGGTTGCCCTTTTACTGCTGTTCTCTTTCCTTGCAGCCCTTCGAACATCCGGTATGCACAAAGGACGGGATGGTGTTTGATCTCATGTAGGTATGAGTGTCTGTGCGGCTGAAAAACAGCCAACTGGTCTGCGTGAAACCAAATACTTAAAATTCCTACCCTTCAGGAATATCATTCCTTTCCTGAAAAAGTTCAACAATAAGAACCCAGTAAACGGAGAGACCCTCATGCCAAAAGACCTTCTCAAACTACACTTTCACAAAAACGGCGATGGAGAATATTACTGTCCGATAACCTTTAAAGTCTTCAACGAGAACACTCACATTGTTGCCGTTGCTACGTCCGGCAATGTCTACTCGTATGAAGCCATCGAACGTCTCAACATTCAAACGAAGCACTGGGCTGATCTGCTGACGGATGAGCCTTTCAAGCGTAAAGATATAATCACGATACAAGATCCCCACGAAATTTCCAAACGAAATATATCAGAATTCTTTTATATTAAGAACGATATGAAAGTGGAAGATGAGGAGGCCAAAAAGCTTGAAAAGGAAATTGGTTTCAAGATAAATGCTATGGGGGCGACCGATCGGGTGCTGAAAGCCATGCGTAAAAAGGACTCCGAAGCGGCTGGAACCCTGACGTCGTCAGCAACGTCAAGCGCGACTGAATCAGTCACCCCGTCATTTGTCTCCAAGGAAAAGAAGGCATACAATGCAGCGCATTACTCTACCGGTGTTGCAGCTGCATCGTTCACATCAACTGCTGTACCGGTCGAGACGAAAAATGCAGCTGCGATCATTGATGAAGAGGAGTATATGTTTCAAAGGATCAAAGAGAAGGGGTACGCGCAAGTCCGCACGAATCTGGGCAACGTCAACTTGGAACTTTATTGCGGGGACACTCCGCGCACAGCGTATAATTTCATTCAATTGGCGAAGAAGGGTGCGTTCATGACTTGTTAAATGTGTCAGCAACCTGTCAGGTGTTGAGCCGCATTTGTTTAGGATATTACAAAAATACTAGTTTTCATCGGTCCGTTAAGAACTTTATGATTCAAGGTGGAGACCCAACTGGGACCGGACGAGGAGGCGAATCCTTCTGGGGTAAACCCTTCAACGATGAATTCAAAGCCAACTTGACGCACACTGGGAGAGGCGTTTTGTCCATGGCAAACAAGGGCAAGAACACGAACACTTCACAGTTGTAAGTGCTGGTTGTTGCATTACATGCATGTTTAATGACTAATGAATGAACCTATATTGGTTGAAGCTTTATCACTTATCGATCGTGCCAACATCTCGATTACAAGCACACCGTTTTTGGGAAAGTGGTCGGAGGAATGGATGTTTTGACGAAAATGGAATCTATCGAAACCGACGATGGGGACAAACCAAAGGTAATATGGTCATACCCACGTCGTAAAATATGCGCGTATGTTTAACCTTCCTTGCAGCAAGATATTCGCATAATCGACATTGAAGTGTTTGTTGACCCATTCGAGACGTTCCGAGAGAGCCTAGCAAAGCAATTGGAAACAGGAGAATCTGGGCCCACGAAAAAGGGCAAACAAAAGAAAAAGGAAGACGAAAAGAATAGTGGTGGTGGGGGAGGAGTAGGAAAATACTTGAAGAGAGACGTGAATGCGGGCACAATTGACTGGGGTACGCATGTCGGGGAAGTCAAAAAGAAACAAAAGGTCACAAGTGGAGGTTTTGGTGATTTCAGTTCTTGGTGAACCGTCATGAATTGGGTTAGAAATTTATACATTATCTGTACATACTATGTCTTGTAATTTTATTTATGGGCTTTGCAGAACTCGATATAAACCTGCTAAAAAGGATTGCATCCAGGCAGTGTGGCTTTGCAGTGCTGACGTAACACGTTTCGTCATGATGATCGGTCGAACTGGCTTTGGGTGAAAAGCTCAACTAGCTGCATGTCTTGAGACTATCAAACCTTTCTACGCTTCACTTGCCATTACTTGAACTTTACTCTCCCAGAATCCGTCAGTTTACCACCATCACTATGCCCTCGTCTGACTTGATGGAAGCGCTCAAGGTAACCAATGTGTGACATCTGTATAGGTCAAGGGAAACCTTTATCTCACCTTTAATCCACACACACACACACACAAGGCATTTGGCCCTATCGACGGCCCCAATGCAAGCGACACAGGGCCATGGGACCTGGATGCCACCCGCACCTCCAAACCGGAGGCCGCAGCCCGCCTGCAGCAAACTCTAGCTCAAAACCGGCCCTCGCCCTATACACATAACCCACAAACACACCCGCCGCGGGACAGTCGTATACAGTATTATGATGCAACGCGCACCACTGATCCCGAAGAGCATCGGAAGATCATCTCAGTCGTGGATCCTGGGCGGGATGTGGACACTGGAGTCGGGGCAAGAACTAAGGCAGTCGTAGAGGGTGCGAAGGACGCTGCTAGGGACGGAGTTGAGAAGGTTAAGAACATTGCTGAGGAAGGGGTAGAGAAGGCTAAGAATATCGCTGGAGGAGTTGTTGACAAGGCCAAGGAAGTTTGGAATGAAGGAAGGAGCAAGTTGTAGGTTCGGTACTAAATTGTTGTGTGATGTATTGTCTTTTGCAAGATAAAATACATTGCCTATGAGACCGGACTTCCTGTTGAATAGGGCCTTGTATTGTGCGTCATTAGAAAGCAAGTATCCGGAAGGTTTTGTGCCACGAACATGTGCGGAAACACATTGCTAATATGTATTCCATCGCGCACAACCTTGCACCAAATAATAACCTAAACAAACGGCCGTCGGATCAACCTTCCCTCTGCTAAAATGTCCCTCGTTTCCTTTCTTATCTTCAATGAATACTGTCCAGTTCTTCCGACCTTCCACGAGGGGAAAGTATTATTTATGCTCGGATTCTGCGCGTCGGTTTCCAAATTAACCTGTTGGATCTTCACGCTTTCCTGTAAGGGTGCACACGACTTGGGGCGGGGCGGTGCTGGTTGTCCTGCTCGGAATTTGGTATGAGAGGATCCGAAAGGCGCTAGTGAGGAAGGCGAAGGCTGCGAAGATGTTTGCCTAAGACAAGAAAGGGAGGATGATACTACTTTCGCAGTCTTTGATGGCTTTGCGAGACATGATAAGGAGGAGGATGCACGAGGTTTCATTGTGTGCGGCTCTTTAGTCAGATTGGGTAGTACTCTCACTGTTGCGCCTGGTGTCAGCGATCGCAGCATGTCTACTCGCTTCTGGTCGACTGGCTCTAGATGAGTCCAATCGTGTAATAGCCGTGTTGCATAAGTGGTTGAGTTGAGATAAGGAAGCTGTTGCGCTCGGCAAGCGGGTGGAACGAGACGAATAAAATTTCCTCGACGAGAGTACTTGAGGGTGCATGCTGCAAGTTAGCTCCGTGTATTGTCTTACATGATAACCTTGTAGTGCATACCTCGTCCTCAGATTCTTGGAGGAGGAGAATATCTTGCACACTTAGCGGCCCTAATTTCACATGGCGATCCTTTTCCAGTATACTGGACTTGCACCGGGCCTTTTCAAGAGGGAAGCTTGATGGTGACGAGCAGGAGGAAGCCGACGGACTCCTTCGTCGCTCCCAACTTGATCCACTAAAAGAGTAACATTTTGTTCATCTCAACATCTTAATAAGAAGTTTTACCAACACTTACGACTTGTCTGTCATCCCAAACGCACATTTCTCGATATCACACACCCTCACTCCAACCAAGTTCAATATATCCGTCACTACGCTGCTCTTTATCTTCCAATCCAAATCACATGAGGCTTTTAGCGATGGAGAAATGTTGACTTCCATTAACCAGGGTTTAAGTGCAGAATCCAGTAGAATGTCAAAACCGAAAAGTTCGTAGCAGCTGGTCCTACCCCATATGTGTATGTTGAATTCTCTCATTTGTTGCCGAGAAGTGTCCAATCAAGTTTGTGAACTTACCGGCTCTGAGTATACAGTCTCATGCCACTAGCGTTTGAAGCATGGCCGCAAATAATGGTGTTCACCACAATACGTTGGATTTCTTTGTAGACGGGCACAAAGTCGATGCCAATTAGTGAGAAATATTCTTGCAGAGCCGAAAAGGACCTTTCGGTACAAGTTTGCCAGTTCGAGCCCTCTTTAGTTCATCGCCTTGTATTCTGGCGTTTTATAAAGCGGCAACATACCTACCACTTATTTGCGGTAGTACTGAACCTGGGATCGCCCAGAAGATAACTTTGCTCCTCATTTTCCCTTGGGTGGGAAGAGTCTTTTGAGCGCTTATTGATGCTATAGTTGGTCAGATGTATGAAGCGATTGCTGGCTGATTTTGGTGAGTTGGTATATCTACGAATCAGTGAAGGCATTTGTCAACACAATCTCGTAACAAGCAGCATGGTAAAAATGATCGAGAACTGATTCTTTACTTGCCTTTGACCAGCGAACCTTACGATTCCTTCACTAGCAAGATAAACCCTTAAAGGCTCCCAGGAAGTAACAAGGACATAAAGCCGTATGTCAAATTTCCTCCCGCCAATGAGAAATGGTTTGGTGATGTACTTTGAAATGACCGCTTTTTTCTTTTTGGGCAGCCTTTTCGGAGTATTGATGACTTTGATGCCGTGACCGCGAGCTGATGCAGGAGGTTTGATGATCCAGAGAGGGTGGATTGAGAAAGTGCGTAGAAGGGATGGGAGATGCGCCGGAAGGAGATAAGTGTCTGGGATAAAATTGAAGTGCTATTGCGGATTAGCTCAGAAAGGTCTCGTTCGGGAGGTAAAAAACGGTGTTCATGAAACATAACCAACCTCATGTCCCCACACACCTCGACATTTCACGTAGTTTCCCCATAATTTGTCCTTCCGACCGATCTGGAAGCTCATCGGGAAGTGGTTTATTTTCTGCCACGACTGAACGCGCTTGAAGCGACATGGAGAGCAGGGATGTTTTCCCCAATATCCAATCCAGTTTTTTCCTTTCCTAACTAGCGAGAAGTTGGCGCGTAGTAGGGCCGCTAGACAATAGTACGAGATGTGAGCGTCGGTGTTTGATGGACTCTGGCATGCAATACATGACAAAAACTAACCTCGAACTACTTTGGGCGTGAAGCCGCTGATTTTCCATCGCAGTGCTTCTTGTAACCTGTCCGGCAAAAAGGAGACTGATCACAACCTTTCGCAAATTCATTCTTTATCCTTGACCGTCGAGTGAAAGCATTTAGCATGGACATTACCTTTCTCCCCAACTGGTGGAAACACCAGTACATCTTCTCCTTGCGAAAAGAGACTTTTCCGAATGGGATCTCTCGAGATTTCTTTGCGCAGATCAGAACCTAGGAAGTCGAACGCTTGCATGTCCTCATAATCGGCCACGACAGTGGGAGTGGAGGAAACAGTCAGATCTTCCTCTTCGTCCTCTTCTTCTTCTCCATCTTGGTCAAAGTCATCGTCTTCTTCTAGCTCATTATCATGTTCCACGATAGATTCCGAGTCAGAGTCTGTTCCATTGCCAGATAAGTCATCAGCATCATCGTAGTCACAATGAATTTGCTGAACACTCCATTTGGCATCACGCTCGGATATCCTGACGGGCACGATCATTTGTACACACACAAATCTTGAACTTCAGATTCAAGAAAATTGCACAGTATAAAGATGTGGTTGGTTTTCGCGATTGCATATACGTGGATACTTAGGGCGAAATGGGCGAAAATTGCCCGATCTAAAGAATTGCTTGGGATAGTCCCTTGTCGCTTACGATAGGCGCGAACCTTCCATATACACTCTTTGAAAAGGCAGATGTCGTCTACTCACAGCCCTCATAAAAAGTCATATTGCATATCTCGCTTACAGCGTACCGCATGATGACGATGTTATGCAAGATAAACGATGGACTTTGTCGATAAGTGATGGGATGGAGGTCGTCGAACCGCCATCTGAATTTATCGAGAAGCACATTCTGGCTATCAGTAATTTCAGCGCTCTGAAGGCCTTTTCCTAGAAGGAATGACTGCGTAGAGTGCTATCCGCGAAGTAGCTGGGAGCCCTAGGTCGTCGGAGGAGCTTACTTGATCGCTCGGCACGTGCGCTGCTGCCTTCGTCAGAAGCGCATTTGCAGATTGGAATTTCACTTGGAAAGCTAGTGCCGATGCATCTTCTTTCCCTTCCAGTGGAATTACTCCTTCATGTGAGTCTGCAAGAGATTGGCCCTACATTGAGAGCGAATGTTAACCATATTAGATGCGCTTAGATTGCAGAGTATGCGATAGCCAGCGACCCCACTGCGTTCTTGCATTTAGTTCACGCTAGCCCAAAGACGTTCAAGCTATTTACAGCGGAGCCCTTCATTAGTTTATGGCGCTTTCACGCTGCACATGCCCTGGGGTGGTCGTCCGCTCAGGATCTCGAGGTCTATCTCAGACAAAGTTTTGACGATAGGTTGGCAATAAATTCCTTCCCGGCGAATGCAAAATCATTGTGTTGGTGGCGAGTATTTGCCCTTCGCGATCAGCTGTGTCAGTTTTGCTGCTCAAATCTTGAGCTGGTCGCTTGTAAAGCATCTAGAGACGGTGATGTACGAAGACACGCGTTGACACGGCTTCTGGGTGATTGGTGGGGGACCGATGGACCTTGTCCTTGCTGCGTTACATCATCTCCAGGCCTCCTAGATATCAATACTTGCGGTAGCTGTGGTAGCCAGTACTGCTGGACCTGCGCGGTAGACAGCGCTAAAGTAAAGCACTGCTGCTCCTGTTCGGATAGTTGGGAAAAGTTCTGTCCTCGATGTTGGTGGTATGTCTTTCCACGGTGTAATCAGTGTGGAGTTCGAGCGTGTAGCTTTTGTGAGACGGACGTTGAGGCCGGGAAGGAATACATTTGCGCGGACTGCCGAGATTGAGACGTGATTGCGAGTTCATGGAACGATGGGTCATGCCGCTCATTAAAGTGTTGGACTTTAACAATCGGCTGTGAGAAATGTGCATATGCCCTGTAATAATCGTAACAAGAGGACGCACTGAGGGCAATTTGTAGGCACCGGTCGGGTGCTGGGAAAATCAATACTGTACTTATTGTGAGCTCCCAAGTGACAATCAGCATATGTGCAACAGCCGCGCGCATTGCTGTCTGCAACCATCAAGTTGGTTCTTCCACCTGTCCAGTTGACCATAATGCATCGAGAACCTTTACAGTAGACTATGCCTATCCTTGGGCAGAGACAAGTAGTGAACTTTGCTGTCTGTGCGTACGATATTTGTTCTTCATCTCGTTGGGGGAGGACCGTGGGAAAATCAAGATAAACAAATGACTCGCTTCACGCGTTTACATAATCCGAACTTACGCGCCGTGTGCAAGGGGAACGAACGCACGCCAGGAGGTCTGCCAGGAGGTGGAAACGACGACGATGATTGGGCGTTCATGGCGTGCTCAGAAGAATGACGTACGCAGGATACGGAATCTTCTGCCGAGAATTCTGAATTGCAAAAAAAAAGTGCAGTCCCCCAGGGTTATAAAAAGGCACCCTTTCTCGCATCCCCCCACTCGCTCTTCAGTACTCTCGCCTTGGGATGTTGGCGTTAAACTCAACTCGGTCGAAAAGTCTTAACCGGAAACTTTAATGGCCGTTGTAGTAATGCAACGTACTACCTCTTTGAGGTGGGCGCCTGGGACTGATCGTTTGCGCGCGCCAGAAATAGAAGGAGCAACGACTCGCCGGAGCCTTCGGGTGATGATGGCATCCTCTTCGGAGGAAGGGCCTGTGATAAAGGATGAAATAGGATGAAAAATGATATGTTGACAAACTACAAAAACCGGCGCGAAACCATATTTGCGGAAACACATCAGGCTAAATGTGGGCATTAGCTTGTGAGCTAGAGGTTTCTTCCCGATGTCGCAAGGTATAAAGTTCAATCTCCACAGTTACAGCCAGGCCCCAGCCTATCACATCCCATGTCATACCTACCGCGCTGTCCGTGGAGTGTTGTTTTACATTCATGCAGAAACTCTCTTCCTCTTTCGTTTTCCTGAAATGAGCAACATATATTTGCATGGATATACCCAAAATGTCGTATTGACGGCAAGCTATTATCGTAAAATACCAGTACTTTTCGTAGATCTGGTCAAGATGTCCAGCGAAGTGTCATGTGACTTGGCATCTCCGAAATGAATTGCACTGCCACCGGGGAGCGCGCTAGTTGCTTCCAAACGCTTTTACTGCGATTTGCCGATGCACATTCGTGGTGGGCGTATTTCCTGGTGGTCTCTTGGATAATATCGGCAATTAGACGTCTGGCTCCATAATGTCTCTGGCGCTGGAGCCAGAACTGCTGGACCAATGGGCAGAGCAGGTTCTCGCCTTTTTCCCTCACGTTGCGAAAAACAAGATTCTGGTAGATTTAAGGAAGACTCATAGCCTGGAGTTAACTGTCAACAGAATTGTGGATGGACAGGTACGCTATAATTAGGCCGCAAGGAGGAGGCCAGATCTTAATTGTATCAGCGTCCCTAGTTTTTGGAAGGAACGTACTTGGACCCCAGCTACGATGTCATCCTTTCCAACGAGCTCTCACCACCACGCTCGAAGCAACCTGAGATCCGACAAGAACCAGGACTAGAACTAGGCCCACCTATCTTTTCCCGATCTAATACCTTTCCGATCGATTCCCATGCACCGCCTGCTTTTTCCCGTTCGAGTAGCTTTTCATCCTTGGGCAACGCGTCACGGGCTATCGAGCTAGATTCGCCAGAAAAGACGTCCGATTTTCGAGCTCGTGTTGCAGGACGACAACTTCCAGCGTAAACTAGTTCCTTCCATATCTTTTGGATCGGGAATCACCGTGACTCACGACATCTTCTATCAGTCATACCGCCACAGATTTACCGCCAGGGAACATTGATGATATCGAAACCGACACTCATGAATTGACGGTGAGTCCGATCAACTATTGCTATGTGAAGTGTAGTTAAACTCCTGCGTTATTATGATTAGGATAGCGACTGCGAAGTTATTGACTTGAGTCAAGATACGCTTTCGACGGGCTCGGCATTGGAACAGCTGGATGCCGGTGGCAGTGTTGTCGAATCAATTCATCCCCAACCAGTTATCCCGCCAAGTCTTCCTGACCGTAGAATAAAAGTACGTGTTTACCTACTTCCGAACCCATGTAGAGACTGGGCTAATACTACTGATGCAGCTCGACGATCCCGATGACCAAACTGATGATATTGAGGAACTGATAGACCTCAGTCAGAACAGCTTTTCTTCATATCTGGAAACGGACCAACTTCATATCGATCGTAGCGACGAGCTAATGAGTAGCCTACGTAAAGGCCGTTCATCCGCGCGACGGCAAATTCCAAGCGCACAGACCCGTCACCATCTGATAGTATCCAACTCAACGGATTGCTCCGACGAAAAGCGGAAAACATCGAGCATTGGCGTAAAGTCAGCAAGCCATTCAGCTGCTATTATCAATGGGGGCTCTCAAACTTCTCAGCAAGTCATCGTCACCATTCTATCAGACACAGAGGATGAACTTGAAACATATAGGCCGCCATTCAGGAACCTGGTAAACACCTTCAAACAATCTAAACCGATACTTTCTGCCGAACGGAAGGCCAGTCATGGTAGGAAGTCAGGGCAGATCTCATGTTTTCTTTCACGATCTGACAACGTTTTCAAACTCGTAATATCAAGGTCAGCCCAAAAAACATGGATCTCTCAGCTCAAGTAGCTCCCATAACGGGATCACAAATTTCCGCTCAAATCAGGCGGAAAACCAGAATCAATCTACCGTGAAAACATCGTCGCTGCCCTCATTACGCAACACGGAACCACCCACCCACTCAAAAAGCATGGAAGACACACACTCATCTGAAAGCCCTACCGTTGGAAGTCAGTCAACATCGAAACGAAAGAAGCCATCTGATAAAAACACTCGGTGCCCCAGGACGGAAGAACGGAACCATGAGGACCATGACAAGACAACAGATCAGGTATGAGGAAGGCCAAGTTCACTGTAGAGGAATTGGAAATACAGAACAGTTTATCCTATGCTCTAGAATGAGAAGCCAAATGCAGCACCAGCAAAAAGGGCAGAGAGGCAACGCGAAAAGGTAAATACCGTGTTCCGCGCCTTAGACATTGGTACTGACATGGATGGTGGTCCAGGAAGAAAGAATGAAGCGAAAGAAGGAAGAGGGCGAAGCTCGCAAGGCCATGCGAAATGTCAACACAATCCGATCAAAATCAGATTGCGTAACGGAGATGATTGTGGAAATTTCCTGCGATTTTCTTTCTGACGAAGAAAATGCACTATTGCTCGCCACTTTGAGGGAAGCCGGCGCACAGGCGAGCTTGATGTCTCTTCCTATTTCTCGCTGTTTAAGATGGTCAAGGAAGGTAACCCGAGAGTGGAACGCTGCCGACGAATGCTGGGAGCCCTGCTCGGAGAAGATCGAAAGTGAGCCATTTGTTCTCGTTAGACTCACCGGGGATCACTTTGCGGAAGTTCTCGCGCGCGCAAATGGATGCATTCTGCCCTATAACCAAACTATTCGTACGGCCCTTCCTGATACTAAAGTCATATACCTCATGGAAGGCCTGGAGACGTACTACAAACGCAAGAATCGGACCAAGGCTGCCGCGAAGCGTGCAAACGATGAAGAAAATGACGAGCAGGACAGCGGAAGGAAGAGAAAGCGGAAGCCGGCTTCAGATTCCACACTGCCAACTCCATTGCAAATGGAAGAACAGCTCTTGAAGCTGCAACTTGAGGAAGAACGCAACGTGTATGTACATTTGTCAAAAAGTCCTAAAGAGACTATCGAGTGGATTGGCAGCTTCACAGATCAGATATCTATGATTCCAGAATTGAGGTAAAGAGATGCGGTGGCGGTCGCGTGAATATTGTGGGTGGGGCTTATCCAGCTGTGCATTCGACAGACATCGCAGTGAACAAGCATGGCAGCTAAACTTTGGAGATAAGATCCGATCAGGGGCTGATGACGCCAATACATGGGTAAAGATGCTAGAACAAATCCAAATGTGTACAGAAGCCCGGGCGAAAGCGATCGTCCAAGTGTACCCGTCATTACAGTCTTTGTATTGCGCGTACGAACGGTGCACATCAGCAACCGAAGCACGGAATCTCCTGGCAAAAATTCAGGTGCTTATTCATCGTCAATTGATATGGGCCAACCTCGCTACGGAGAGCTTAAGTATAATCTTATCTGTAGGTCAACTCTGGGACTGCTGCGAACCCGAATTTGAGGAATATTGGTCCCCAGTTATCTAAACGGGTCTACGCAGCACTCATGGAGGAGGATGCGTCCAAAGTCTTGATGGAGTAGCTAGCTACTCTGGGAGAAATAAGATGTGTAAAGGAACAAGAATCGTCATGTACATGTATATATTAATCAGTACGCCGCGCCTATTTACAAATAAAAGAGAGGATTGTCTTATCTAAATCACCCATGCCTTTGCATATTTCCGATTGAAAATAGGCCTGCTTCATATTAATTGGCGACAGCTGCCTTGTCGCTTTTCATCAGGATGGCAGTAACTAATGGATCAGCCTCAGCCGCTAAAGCACTAACAGCTAAAGTACTAACAGTCTCGAGATTGGTTACCTCTTCGACTACCTGGACCTTGTCAGTTACAACTGCTATTCTGTGTACCTCAAGCATTGACGATGAGCTGTTATCTGTGAGCGGATCCTCTTCGGTCTCGGCTCCGTTCGACTGTTCCAACGCCTCCACAAGTTCATCCCGACTGTGGGTACTACCGTTTGACGGGCTTTGTCGCGCTTCAGATGTCCCATTTGTCCTCCGTCTGCTGCGAGATGCAGAGTCATCCTCCTTTTCGTTCGTTTGCATCTTTTTGCGCTTATTCCGCTTGCATGTTTCGCATGTACATGGCTCGCTATTTTGTTCGCACCGAAGATGAAGTGCCAACATCTTGGCAGAGCGGAAAATCCCGTGAAATCCCTGATGCCCCAAATGAACAGCACATTGTTATCATCCAACGTAGCGATTAGAGCGAAACGCCGGAGAGCTACCTTTCTCAGTACATAGTAATCAAAGACGCTGTGTCTGGACTGCTTCTGGAATCGCTCCACTTTCACCATTCTGAACTCCTCAGGAATGTCTTGCCATCCAAGAGTGTTAAGCCATCGTCGTTTCACAGCCTCGTCTGCCTTTTCCAAAACTTGAAATCGGTTCGGGGCATCTTCGAAGCCGTTCCGCTCGAATAGATGGCCTCGCCAATACCAATCGCCGTACGAAACCAAGAGCTCTTCATCTTGGAGGATGTCTCTCAACGCTGTTACCACTACTATTCCATTTTTTTCTTTGAATTCCACATTGCAAGGCTCGTTCCGGATAATGGGCGCTTGGTCATCTGAGGATAGTATGACGCTGTCATTAATGTATCTCCCCGGAATGTACGAATGCGGAACTATGACATTGCTATCCTTCAGCCAGAAGGAGTCGTCATTGGATGTGTGTCTATTATTCGCCAGCAAGTGGGACATTGTTTCTCCATGATAGTGATCGATACAAGCACCCGCTGGAATAAGCTCTTGGTCGCAAAAAAGACCTTTCCCATGATACTTTGACTTTTGGGCCTTTAGGTGGACGACATTGCCGGTATCAATCCAAGTAACTTTAAACCTCTTGTCATCATCCGGTAGGTCCACTATCTCGTATGTTACGAGTGGTATGTCCTTTGTGCACGGTTGAGCGACATTGTATGTGCCGCGTGCTGGTCGTGGCCTCGTCATGAAAGTTCCACCAGTCGCACACAACGATGACTACAGCTCCACAGCGTCAATCACTTGCTGCTCTTCTTGGTCCTATTCAGCCCTCGGCTCCCCAATGTCCTCGACGATGGCAATCTCCACAGCTTTTTGAAATGGGGTGAAGGAACTCAACCAGCTGGAGGAAGGCGAACATCCTCGCAGATGGCACAGCCATGTAGCTTACTCCTGGCACAGTCACCTTTCGCCAACGTCATCGACAAATCTGTGGGGCGCATGTGGCTTAGATGTCTTCGAATATCCGCGCTGCTTGCCTTTGGGCGAAGGGAAACCCTTCCCGTTCTCGACGGCTCTAAAGGTCCATCTCACCTTGTTACGTGGTAGACGTTGGCTTGTCCTGCGCTTAAATCCGACGTATATCACCCTTGCAAACGCAACATTGTGTCTACCAGCTTGGAAACCCTGCAACGCTGGACGTGCGACACTTTTGTGCGTGGTGGAAGCTCATTTTCAACAGGAGACCGAGTGCTTCTGTGAGGCTGTGAATGACCTGCAAAGCTCTGCTAATACCTAGGCCAAGTCACGCATAGCTGCACTTGAGGAAGAGGTGAGCATGCGCTTTCGCTGGAACGAGAAATTAGTACGGATTGCTGATGCAAGTTGCCTTGCTGCCCCCCAGTTGCTCTACCTGGTGACTGCCGTCCTGGTCTTGACCAGTTCATTCTTGCTCCGACTCGGGAAAGCATTTTGATAGGTGGCATATCCCTCTGGATTGATTTTTTCTCGTTCAGCCGTCATGGAGACTCCCCCATCTGTCCCTGTGTCGGTTCCCGCCAACGGGTCTTCGGGAGGTGGGCCAACCATCTATTCGGCCATCTACAGTGGTGTGCCGGTTTATGAAATGATGTGTCGGGACACTCCTGTTATGCGTCGTATGGCGGATGCTTATATGAACGCAACTCAAATCTTAAAGGTGGCTGGGTTCACAAAGCCAAAGAGGACAAAGATCTTGGAGAGAGAGGTCCTCCAAGGCGAACACGAAAAAATACAAGGTGGATACGGAAAATATCAAGGAACATGGTATGCATGGGCTGGTGACTGTGTTATAATGATAGGGAATGAAAAGAAATGAGTGACACACTTTGTTGTAGGATACCCCTATCAGAGAGCCGCATGCTCGCAAGCCGATACAATGTGGATACTGAATTGCGTCCCCTATTTGATTTCGATCCACAAACTGGATCTGTTGCTCCGAAACCACCGACATTGAGAACCCCTCACGTAGACCTCGCTGGAGATGGCCTTGCATCACCGAGTTCACCCTCACCACCGCCGCATCATTCGTTAGATTACTTCTCCCCAGTCGACGGGCCGTCTCACCTATTGTCGGAGTTCAACAGCCCCGATGGTAGCATTACGCCGCAGGGCACTGTAAGCCCTCCGCCGGGAATAAACGAGGAAGCACCGCAGCCGACGTGGAGGGATAACCTGAATCTATCTTCCATGACACGCGAAGCGTCTTCACAACCTCTTGATCAACCGCACTTAAACTCTCAAGTACAGTCTATACTAAATTCTTTCGGCATGCAGCATTTACTACAACATCCGTCTACCGATGGCGCTATCAGCAACACAGAATCATCTTCCAATGCAAACACGGTGAATGAGATGGAGACGCCCACTACGACAAATTCACAGGAAACGAACAGGCAGACAAGCTCAAGTCAACAAAGCGGTCCTACACCATCTAGTCGACCTACGCAATCACAAGCGACATCGATTGAGGCGGAATACTATCAAAAGCTTCAACAAGGGCTGCTATTGGACGAAAGTACAGCACAGAATTATGTCGCACATATTCAACAAATTCTCCGCACACAAGACATGCAACAATTTCAGCAAGCACAGCAATATTCTAGTTACCTGCAAGCTGGGTCTTACCCAGCTGTGCAAAGTGCTTATCAGCAATTGGCCATGTTGAACTTGCTAAGTCTCGCCGCCCAGCATGCATACACATATCCGAATGGATATCCTTCCTTGGATAGTTGGTTTAAGCAGACCGACGGCACTGCGTCAAAGTCTCTCAGTGGGCTAGGGCAGCCGATAACTGGCCAGCGTTCTCAGGTGTCAAGTTCTCCCGAGCAGTCCAAAGTGCCATCAAACGATCGACGACAATCAGGAGTCGAGGAGGATCATGATGCTCCTGAGCTCGATTCACGGCATACATCTGCGCATCAGCTCCGACAACGAGAAGTTCTGACAAACCTTTACCTATATAGTGATTCCCAACTTCATAAGATCATCGACAGCCTCAGGAATCCAACTAACCCGCGAAAGCTCGACGTAAACTTGGTACTTGAAGGGAAGCGCGGAAGTACGCTGTTACATTTCGCGGCGGCTCTTGGCCGGGAGAAGCTTGTCAAGGCTCTAATAAGCAATGGAGCCAATCCGGCCATTGCAGCCAACGGCGGAGAAACTCCACTTATGCGTGCCGTATATCATGTCGGCTGCTACGACCTACAAACGTTTTCTCAGATTGCCGACTGGCTGCGTGATTCGGTCTACTTGACGGATACGAGTCGGCGGACGGTTCTCCATCACATCGCAAAGGCCAGCAAAAAGCGGGATCTTTGGGCGGCAGCAGGATATTATGTGCGCTGCATTGCTCAGGTTATTCAGGAAGAATACTCTGAAGCAAAGAACCTCATTCCTCAGGTTGTCAATGCTCAGGATGCATATGGCAACACCGCACTTCATTATGCATGCAAGTATGCCAGCAGAAGTGTCGCGGAGGTGCTTCTTAAGCTTGGTGCGACGCATGAGATTGCAAATCATGCTGGCGAGACGCCTGTGGATCTTGCCCGGTATGAGCCTAAATTGCTCGCTTTGCTATTTAGAGAGATCGAAAGGGTGAGTATTTCTTAGCATCGTTAAGGAGATCTGCCCATATGTGCTGACATCTATCTCAGGATGACGTGGCGGCTTGGGATGATTTTGATGAAGACGGCGATATTCTGATGCGTGATTTTGATGAAGCAACGGACACGGACGACGACGAATTTGAGAGATCTCCGAGTCCTAATCCAGTAGAGCGAAGCATGCACGAGCAGACGATGAACACATTGGACAAGTTCTACGGAGAAAAAGTGGAAAACAGTAAGTCGTGCTGCTACCGCGAGGATGTGTCACCATAAATACTTAATGCTATGTGACCAGTTTTATCAAATCTCACTCCCTCCGTTACCAACGCGGTAAAGGCGGGCGTCGACCAATTGCGCAATAATCTGATGAGCCGGTATCGTGAGCAGGAAGCTCGGGTGGAGATAACTCAACTTGAGCTCGAGCAGGCCAAAGAACAGCTGGCCAATGCTAAAAAAGAGCTTTCAGAGTTGCAGGAAAAGAGGAAGCGGATGGATGAGTTGGTTGAACTTGCCAATGAACTTGAAGACAAGCTCGAGCAGCACGCGACGCGGTTGATAAGGAAGACCAAGGGAAAACGCGCTGTGGAACCCTCAATCAGTTCCGATGAGGATAAGGAAGACGACGACACGCATGATCCTGACATGGTGGGGGAAGAAGCTACCCAATCGGGTCCGTCAGCCGAGGCCGAATCGGCCGCAAGACCGTTGGAAGACGATCCGTCCAAACCTTCCCGCGACCCATCAGACAGCGCACGAATGAACAACGAAGCGATCCCCTCCCAATCAACTGACCCAGAATCATCAATATCCCAAACATCAACCACCAAACGTAAACGATCTGCGTCGCTCACGGATGACGAAGATACCGTCTCAGACGCCGCCGCACACTCCTCTGACACATCCCACACCAGCAAACTTCGCAAACTGATGCCCAGCGATCGAACACGAACGCGATCTGGCCGACAAGCGGAGGTACGTCTTAAAGCCGAACTGGCGGACCTTCAGCAAGAAGTCGAACGAAGCGAGCAAAATCGGCTGAAAATGTTCCATGAGATTGAGAATATTCGGGCACATCGGGAGGAAAAAGATCGTAAATTTAAGCGGATTATTGCCGCATGTGTGCGCATGCCAATGGATAAAATCGATGAGCTGATTGAACCGCTCGTTCATGAATTGGAGTAAAGGGCGGTGGTGAAGCGACGGTGAAATTGGAGACCACGATTTTTGATGGGATAATTTAGTGTCAGATTACTGCAATTACCAGTTCCCCCTTTTTTTTTCTTTGTATAAATGATTTCCCAACAATCTTGAATTTCGTATTAATAATATGGTGTATCTCGTATACTCTCTGGAGCATTATAGAACACATTACTTTGTGTTTATTGCAATCTTCCATGCACACACAAATTATCCCAAAACAACTTTGCTATCATGACGCACAATCTGTCGTGTTTGTTCAGTCACTGTCAACTTCAACGTTGAATAATGTCATCAAATCGCCCAAAGTCAACCGTCCGCCCTTTCCAAATGCACTAGTGCCTTCGCCCAAGGCCGCTTCAAAAAGTTGTTGCTTCTTGTCTTGCAGGGCCAGAATCCGGTTTTCAATGGTCTTTTTAATGGTAATGCGGTGAACATGGACAGCTCTGCCGGGACAGCGTATTTAGTACATGATTCATGTGAGAGTAGGAGGTGAACTCACTTTAGTTGTCCAAAGCGATGAACGCGGTCAATTGCCTGATTTTCTACAGCTGGATTCCACCTGGAAGTTAACAATAGAAGCGGTGAGTGCCATCCCATGCATGTTAGGACGAGAAACGTCGCAAAAGCGTCCTACCAGGCATCCAATAAGATAACCCGATTTGCACATGTCAGGTTCAGGCCCAAACTACCACATTTCAGACTGACCAGAAGAATTGTAGTCTGAGCGCCGTTCTTTAGTTTGTTGAGGGATGCATCACGTTGGTCAGCGCTCATTGTGCCGTCATACTGTGATGGATCGGCGGTGAGGTAAGATTAAGAGCTTGGGGAACGACGTCGTCTACTTACTCGAGTGAACTTGTATCCCTTCCTGCGTAATGCATCCTCGCAAAGATCTAACAACACAACCGACATGTGTAAGTATGACCATTGTACAATAAAGAAGTATACGGCATTACCAAGCATTGTCGTGAACTGCGAGAACACTACATACACAAGTCATGTTAGACAAATGCGGTTACCCCATTTGCAACAAATCCGCCAATATACCGATTGTCTTATCTTCAGGTGCCTCTTTTTTAGCTTGGTCCAAAATACGTAGCATCTCCTCAATCTTGCTGCTGGTGAGCCCCTTTTCCTCCGGATCAGGCGCAAAAAAGTCGTTGTCAAAATCCTCGTCGAACAGCCCGTTCTTGGCGGGTTCCTTGCCTTTGCCATTGGTTCCTTCTTCTCTCCGGAAGGTCTTTCGGTAGAATGAAACTGGCACAAGAGCATCCAAGTCTATCGCTGCTCTTGTGAAGCAAATAGTGTTAGGCTCACTATCGCATGGGACGGTATGGTGGGTGCCACTAAGAGCAGGTGACCTTACCGGCAGGTAGGACAGCGTCTATCGCCGGCCAATCGAGCTTGACTCGTTACTGCCTCCGTCAAACACTCCCTGAACGTAGAACGGCATGAATAAAAGTCTCTAAACTGGCTGTTGTCGGTATATTGCTCACCTGCAAAAAGCATGGCCACAGCTGCTGAAAACAGCATCTGTCATACTAAAGTACAAGGTCAATACCACTAGTCCAGTCCATGGTGCAAGTACGAGTACGTACGCATCAAGGCAAATTATGCATTCTTGATCAAAATCAGCCGCCAGAAGCCGATTCTTGACTTCCGGATCAAATCGTGCAAATATTTGATGATAGTGATCTTCTTGCGTCGTAGCCGCCATTGCGTCGGCCGGGTCAGCTGCTTCAAAATCCTTAGCGACGAGTGAAGGATGGCAGCTAGAGAAGGCATGATATATATATAAGACTCGATCGACGCCATTTACTGACATTGCCATACCATGCTTGTCTTAGTCTTAGCAGCAAAACCAGGATGTTGGTATAATTCTTCATCACGGTTCCTGCACGCAACTGTGGATTCAGCATCCAGATGAGACTAGTGGCCAAAGAGGAACAAAAAATTGTCGAGGGCTTACATATGCATTAAACCGCAGCTGTACGCGGTCCTCAAGAGATCTGTAGAAATCGCGTTCAGCTGCTGTAAAGTCAATTTCAATGTGGTTCGTGTTTCGTTCCGGAAGTTGAATAATCGGTCGACCGTCTATCATGCACTTCTTGGTGCGGCGCAAACAGATTGCTAAAATAAGAGTATCGCGCTCGTAAATATGGTACGCAGCAAGTTTATAGAATACAAATTATACCTTGCAAAAGGCCTTGCACGCGGGCTATGGCACGCTTATGTCGACCCCGTTTAAATGGTTGTTCTATTTTTTTCTTGAACTCAGTCCATTCGCAAAAAGGCTATCATAGAGACGCTGTAAGGTAAACGCTGGAATGTTGAAAAGTAAGACATCAATCTCATACTGACCTTGATTTTAAGGAAAAACACAAGACTGTACAATTCACCAATATTATTCTGAATTGGAGTTCCGGTGAGACACCAGCGATATTGAGCATCCAGTTGTTGGCAAGCTTTTGCACCACGGGTCCTTTTGTTTTTAATCACATGCGCTTCATCAAGTATCACCCTATAGGGATGTTATGAATGTCTCAATGCAAAGCATAACCAAAATATTTGGGGCTCCATCCTACGTACCTCCACCATTTAATTTTAAAGAGTGGCCCGGCAGATTTCCGCAGCGTGATTTCTTCCGATTCGTCATCCTGGCGCTCTTTCTCGTATTCTGCATCGTCCATCGCCTGCCTTGCATTGCGGTCCATGAGCATCTCCAACTGTTCTTTCTCTTTTTTTTGGGACTTTGGCCATTCGAGAGCGACAACTGACAAGAATCGAGGTCAGCACTTGGTAGACCAGCTTCAGTTTTAAGGCTCAGTAGAACTCACGCGAATAACTTGTGATTACCACATCGTACGTCCTGATTCTGTTGTGACTTCTCTCACGTTTTGAACCATAGTAGATGAGCACACGTAGCGTGTTGGGTTTTGTTTTCTCTTCAATTTCCTTCTCCCACTAGTATAGCAAAAGTATGATTGAGATCATTATCTACTACTGCGAGCTGAGTCAGGAATCCCACCTGGAGTATCAGCGACACAGGTGCTATTATGAGAGTGGGTTGCGACCTGCCGCCCCTATTGGAAACAATGACGGAAAGGCTCTGCGTAGAACATGACTGTCAGTGGGATCGGACGCAATTATAGAGTACTGAACGACTACATACCTGGATTGTTTTGCCCAAGCCCATATCATCGGCCAAGACTATGGATAATCAATTCGGTTCATCAGAAATCCCACTGCGCACAGAAAAAATAACAGTTGCACATACTTCCTCCTTTATTAGTTCCTTGCTCCATCTTCAGCATCCACTCCAGTCCTTCAATGGAACGTGTCAGTTAAAAAGACAAGTCATTGTCGATGTAAGTGAGATACTTACCGAGTTTTTGGTGCTCCAAAAGCTCAATCCTCAAATCCGGTGGTGTTTGCAACCGCCGTTCAGGCGGTGAAACCTCTGCAGTGTGCTGCACATTCTCCAGCAATGCCTTCAATTGCTCCTCTGTTTCTTTCTGCATTCAAAACAAATCACATTAATGGAAGCCGTTTCAGGAACCGCCTGCTGCTGATATACTGACCTGGTTGAGCGGTGCTTCCCATTCTCCCTCCATATCTTCCTGATTCGGAAACGACGTGAGAGGCAGAGAGTATGGAGGGTATGGCACATTACCGTCCATGTTAGGAACTGGCAAAGAAGGATAGTCGTGTGGGGAAACTCGTGCCGGAGGTCCTCCAGTCGGGTAAATAGGAATAAATAGGATCAGGTGCGTCAAGTCGTCTGAAAGGACCAACGCAGAAGAAGGGCCCGCTTGGCAAGGTCCGCCACACTGGGTTGTGCGTGAAACGGAGATGGTTTGAAAGGTGATGAAAGGGGACTTTCCCCAAAATGTTGATAGTGGCTTGGCGTTGCTGGGAAGACTGGTGGCAGTTGAGGGGGTAGCGCACTGCTTGAGGAAGTTGCCGGTGTGGGATTGTTATTAGGTGATGTCGCAGGTAGCTGCGGAGGATAGGGCGCTGGCGGGACATGTGTACCACCGAAAGCCGCATTGAACATATCCTCGATATCCCTTGCATCCAAGGAGGTCAGATTCATTGGTTCGTCTTCAATGTCATCGTCCCAATAGTCAGGCTCTACCGCGGTTACTGGCTGGGGTTCGCCAGCAAGCTCACGATCCATACGCTGTTCCTCCTCAGCCAACTCTCGAGCAAATGCAGCATCTGCCTCTTCCTGTCGCCTGCGGTTTTCTTCCTCTTCCTCATGTCGTCGCCTAGTTTCTTCATCTTCAGGTTCCAGGTTCCATTCTTCTTGAAGCCTCCGTGCTAATTCTTCGTCATTGCTAATATCCAGTGCGTCCTAAATGTGATTTGTCAGTAAAGATGGATGAGCGATCATTTCAAATATACGTACCCCCTGGATTGAGGCTTCATCCTGAGATGTCAAGTCGATTAGGGATGCGTCATTGTGAGCTTGCTCAGTTTCCATATCGAATTGCGCCTGCAGCCATCGCGCATACTCCTCGTCGGACGAAAAGGTGGGCTCCTGGTCTTCACTCCCCGCACTGTTCTCGGCAGCGGTCAAATCAATGTGATCGTGGTCATGCTTGGGCCTTTTGTAAGACTCTGATGTATCTTGCAAAGACCTCGATGAGAAGAAAGGGGCGATAATCCTCGTAATAAAAGATCCAGAGGACCCGCTGCCCGCGTCGTCGGACTCTTCACTGTCACGGTTTGGCCTTTTCATCCTGCTGGCGGAATAGATCCACGACGGATTCTCAACGTCATGAAGCTTATCGACAACAAGACCCGCAATCTGGTTGCAATCCGAGATATGATGCAAGTGCCCGGCACTAGATGGCTCGTTCCTTCCGTACTCCTTTTGTTCGGGATCCCAGGAAGCTTTGGAAGAGAGCTTAAAATGAAACAGCCAGCCACTCGGCTGCGCAATAGTGAATGGCTGGAATGCGGATTTGAACCTCCTTGGCGTGGATGCAACCAGCACAGCCACAAAAAGCGCCTCGTGTGTCGCTTCTTTTGCCTCTCGTGTAAAGTTTAAGAGTTTCCATTTGGAAAACGTCATTTTCGGAGCAAGCGGTCTTTTTATTTTTATTCAAAGCGCATCGTCCATCTCGCTAGATTTCCGCATCCCCATAGCCAACGTCTTTTCGCCTTTTGCCCGTCGGCCTACGAGTGCCCTCCAACCGTCCAATGACTTACGCAAAGGTTAATGACGCGTACGGCAGCAGTGAGTGGGCTCCGCCACAAGGTGTTCCGCCTTACCAGCAAGCGGCTGGTGGACAGCCGTATGCCCAGTACGGAGCCCCCAGCTACCCTCCACAAGGCTACCCAACTTCATACAGTCAACAACCTCAACCTGCATACGGTCAACCCCCACAGGCGCCGTACGGTCAGGCCCCGTACGCACAACCAGCTCCGTATACAACGCCTTACAATGCACCTTCCTACCCACCGCCAGCAAATCCGCCACCACCGCAGTCGGTTGGAAACAGCGGGGAAAAGTTTAATAAGGAACCAAAGTACAAGGTGGGTTTTGCAAAAGGATTCACATGTATTGATCTACAGATTTCGCACGTCAACAAGCTGAACATGGACCTGCTTTCCGATTTTAGGATTTGTGGGCTACAGTCCTGTTTCTTCTCACGCTCCTTGGATTCGCTGCTACCGCTGTCATTGGTATCAAGAATATCCACCTAAGCTCGGGCAATAGCCCTGAAAACCAGCCAAACAATGGCAGTAACAATAATTTCGTGGTTCCTCCTCCAAAGGATATTGCTGGTATTCTAATTTCTGTTGTTGGAGGTGGATTTCTTATTAGCGCAGTGGTGAGTACTACGTCTGAAGATTCATGCGACTAGTGACACTATTCTCATCTGTTTGCATTCGTCAGTACTTTCTCCTCATGCAAAAGTATATATTGTCGTTGGTAAAGTTTCGCACTACAGGCACCTGATATCCATTCTTTCTTTAGATTTGCCGGAAAGCTGATCAAAGTATCCATGGTTTTAACCATTCTCGTCATGGTCGCTCTTGGGGCATATTATATTGTTGCGGGTTCAACCGCGGGAGGCATCATTGTTTTCCTCATTGCAGGCTTGTATGGTATGTTGTTGTCCTGTCTTCTGTTTGCCGTACTGCACGCATATTGACAAATGTTATTCTTAGCCTTCTTCTTGTGGTCATGGAGGTCTCGAATTCCATTTGCAAAAGTTCTCTTGAAAACCGTTACATCGATCACTGGCCAATACCCAGCAACTCTGTTTGTGGGTTTCGTTGGATTGATCCTGGAAACTGCTTTTACGGCACTGTGGATTGCCAGCTTTGCGGGCATGATGCAGTATTTCGATAGCGACAAGGCTAGCAATGGACTCCGATATGTTACAGTTGTGTTTATGGTGAGTGGATTGGATTACTGGCCTTGTTAGGTGGAGCTATTCCAACGGTTGTATCTGTTATAGCTGTTTGCGCTATACTATGTGACCCAAGTCATTTCAAACACAATTCATGTTACTATCTCGGGATTGTTTGCCACCTATTACTTCATGGGTACTCGCCAGCCGGATGGAAAAGTTACTGTACCCGTACGGAACCCGACCGCTTCCTCAGCAAAGCGTGCCGTTACCACGAGTTTTGGGCCTGTCTGTTTCGGAAGTTTGATCATTGCACTTATCCAAACGATCCGGGCGTTGCTCCGCATGGCATCACAATCTGCGGCTGAGGACGGCAACATTGCTGGTGCTTTGTGTGCTGCCTGTGCCGGATGTTTCTTGAGCTGCATTGAAGGGTTGGTGGAGTACTTTAACAAGTACGCGTTTGTGCAAGTTGCAGTTTACGGCAAGGTAAAATGATGCATGCTGCATGCAATAAAATCTTTATGGCTGACATATTCATTTTACTAGGATTACATTCGTGCTGCAAAAGACACTTGGGAGCTTTGCAAGTCTCGTGGTATTGATGCAATCATCAACGACAGCCTTGTTGGGTCCGTGCTCACCATTGGCGGTCTGCTGGTCGGATTCATCTGCGGTTTCGTGGCTTACCTCTACGTCCGTAAGTATCCATATCACTGCCTCAAGTTTTTGAAAAAAGAGTTGTGACCATGACACTATTTGCAAACCAGGATTCTCTCCCAATATCCCATCGGATGGGCTGCACTATGGCGTCTTTATCGCCGTGGCCATTCTGATTGGCATGTCAGAGTTTTTCGTGCTTTCAACGGTGATTGACAGCGGTGTCACTACAACGTTTGTTTGTTTGGCGGAAGATCCCGCTGCTCTTTATCGCACCAAGCCGGAATTGTATGAACGAATCCGGCAGGCAAGTACACCCGCGCGGCTGTGCAATTGCGTAGTTTTGATCGTATTGTTGACAAGTGTATTATATTAGGTGTATCCTCAAATTGCGTTCCCAGTGTGATCGGAGGAGAAAGGAGGAGGTTATTTAGATTGTGTGAAATGCTCAATGTTGTTTTTTTGGATCCAATTCTATCCGTAGTGTTGTTGCTGCTGCTACTTTAATTCAATATCTTCAAAGTTGGTCGCCAGCATTTTAAAGGGTCCACGTGGTCAAATGTCCCTTGATCCCCATAATGTGGGCCTAGACTTTGTTATATCCCCAACTTTAAGGAATGGGTCCGCCGGTTTCTCTCCCGTTACCAGGTCCGCGGACTTGGACCCGTGTGCCACACGATCGCACCGCTGAATAACAAGAGCCGATTTGCATTTCACGCTTTCCCCCACCTTTTTATTTTTTATTTTTTCTTTTAGACGTCGTTTCGGACGGGCGGAGCAAACGGCACGGTATTTAAAAAGGCTTTGTCTTGCTGCCATTCCCCCTCCATTGACCTTTAGAACGTCCATCTGCGTGTTGATGGTCCCTCGCAACACGCATCAAAAGGGGGACGATGATGGTTTTTCCGATATTCTTTTTTTTTCATTCCGCTTCTCCAGAAACAGCACTACCCGCTGTTCACTGCCAAATTAGCACTCAACGCTCATGAAACCTGAATGGAAAGACTATTAGTGTGGGTCGTCGCGCTTGTTTTGTCCGTGTGCACACTTGATTGGGAACACCGATACATGGCAAGAGTGTTTGCTTGTTGCTGGTATCTCACTTGGTTTTTTGTGTGCACGGACAAAATGAATTGCAGGCACTGCTGATCAATTCGAGAGCTTGACTGGTAATTTGGCTGCTGAATAGCACGTGTTGCTGTTTTTTGGGTTCATCCAAAAAGTATGGCAAGTTTCCCAAATAGCCGCCAGGTGTTAAGTAAGTAGTGCGGGGTATTAGTATTGCTTCTTCTTACACACATACACAGACATCTAGTAAAACACACGGCCCTCGTAAGTGAGCCCTACTACTCTACTTGGACACCCTGTTGACAGCGCACAGCAAACTCTTCACACACATCCGCCATGGCCGTCTCTAGAACTCGTTGCTTTTGATGCTTGGCCCATTTCCCCACAAGCCCATCCTCGCCCGCTACGACAGCAACCGATTGCGATACGCTCGTTGCAACGTGCATCGTATCTCCCGACACAAGGACAGTGTAGTATTGCAAGTGTGGCTGCGAGTCGGAGAGGAGGGACGTGAGCGTTGTTGTAAAAGGCTGGATGACGAGGAACACGGCTTGGGAGGCTGTTGGAATGGGCTCGCTCGAGTCTGATAGCTTATGTAGGCGTTCAATGGTAGACTGGGAATCGCAGACCAATGACATTGGTATTAACATTGAGTATTAGAAACACAAGGACTTGACATACCTCGACGATTTTGGTTGCCTCTTCCAAACTATCAGCGATCTTGGGCTCAGGATGCTTGACGCTGTTCACCGAGACTTTATCACAAAGGCGCGGTCGCGAGTTGAGCCACATTTCATTCACAGTGGACTGTACAAAGTCGTGGAGGTTGTCCAAATCTGCCGCGCCTGAAGCCTCGCCGCAGAACCAGACTGTGACATTTGACGCAAACATAGCTGTGCTGGGGTGATCTCCTCTGCCTATTGGAGGCGCAATCGTGTCAACAACACTTTGCGTAAGTCGCGTAATGTCTGTGCCTGTAGTTGGTGTGTGAGATCCCGTTTGCCACGGTTTTTTCAATATAACTCGTTCCACCTACCCAACTTTTCAAACTGCTCCTTATTCACATTAGATATAATCCCCTTGACTTTTTCGTTCGTAGATACCGCTTTGGCAGTCTCTTCCGCCATCGCTTTGGCCGTTTCCAATCCCTTTGTCAAGGACGTTGCAGCTGCACCGCTCACCTTGGCAGCTTGTGACCATATATTTCCCCACCCCCATGCATCTCCCCTGACAGTAGGTGAGGTATCTGTTGATTGATAAGAAGGCTGTATGAGTGGGACGTTTGTCTGTTGGGGAACTGTTTGCTGCGATGTAACTGGTGACGGAGCTGGAATTGAAAATCCTTGCGGGGGTCGCTGGGATGTAACTACAGGAGGGCGGTGTGGTGCGGAAGAGGTAGCGGCATACGGATTGGTCTGCCCAGGCTTTGATGCGGGTACACCGACAGGAGGAGCCTGGCTTGGTATTGTGGATGCACTAGGGCTTGCGCTTGAGACAGGTGGTGCATCCAGTTCGTTGAGAAAGCTCAAAACATCCTGTGATGACGCCGCATGGGTGGTAGGAGTTGCATTCTGAGCGACGCTTGTTGTTGGTCCGCCGGCAGCTTCTCCTGGGACAATAGAGTCCAAGTCTTGCAGAAATCTGAACGATGGTAGGACTGTGTTATACTGCGGCGAGTTGATGACCACGAGTAATCGATGCCATTCCAAACACTCACTGTAAAACCTCTTGATGTGCATTTGGTTCCGTCATCTTGTGTGTGTAGATGGCTTTAACAAAAAGCTGGATTCCGTCAAGGAAATGGTCAAGGAAGAAGCAGCGGTCAACGCGGCGCGAAAGGCCAACGTCACATTGAAATGTCATTTGACCAATGTGGAAAGATTGAATGTAGTGCGATTTAGTGTGGATCCAGATGCGGGCTGGGTGGAGAAACGAGATGGACTTTTGCGAACGGACATGTCCCCAGAATGTCGATCCGAATGGCGCTTTGGATCGACAATGCTGGGAACTATCCTGAGCGAAAAGCGTCCTGGTGGGACTTGCTCCACTTTGGGTTCAAATACGTTCAACAGGTGATGATTCCACTTTCCATTAGATCCTCAACATTCTTGCCCAAAAGAGACCAGTTGATGTGACCGACAACGTTTGCTCCTCATTGTGTCCAACCCTATTGCCTTTGGGAAGCTGTACAGTTTTGCAATGAAATGGGCACCGCTGGTCAGAGTCCAGCTTGGAGACGGTCATAGGATGGCCATCAGTCCTCCCAAAGCCTTTACAGCGGGGTCTCGTGTCAGGACCGATCTAAAACACGTTGCACACATTGGCGTATCCCGTCGTGCCATCATTTATTTTGTCCTTTGAATAGTACGGACCGATTGGCAACGTTGGCTCGGAGCAAGCATTTCAACCCTCTAATGCTCTAGGAGTGGCAAGTGGGAGCATTCAATGAATTGGACCCGGGGCCTTTCGACCAGAACAAAGTGGGGATTGCCCATCATCCAGGCGTTTTTTGGAGTCTCTGCAGTATAAAAGTGATCAGGGTCCTGAATGTCAACAATGTGTTGGTTCGATACTACCCAAACATAAGAGTGATCCAATTGCCAGATCAGTGTTATGTTAGACTCGGGACGTATACCTTTGGCAAGATGCTTCCAACATTGGAGGGCAACTACTCTATACCCTGCACACATGAGTCGTCACGCTTCTATGTCTACGTCGGGCTCTGCATCAGAATGTTCTTGGACTCGGCATCAGACGTTTGATATGAATGCAGCATCTGGTTCCCAAAAAATATTATAAAAACGCGAGCATTTTCTCCTCCTACCTTTCATCATTACAAGCAACCTACAAGCTAGAAATACTCATACATCACCTACAACTACCTTCAAGCGATCAAAACCAGTCATCATGAAATCTTTCACTGCCTTCGTCATTGCCGCCGTCGCCCTTCTTGCCGCCCCTATGGTTAGCGCAGAGGGCAGATGCCCCCCTGGCCAAATGGAAGTCTTCGAGTCAGTACTTCTAGTTGCAATTTTTATTCTCAAAAGGTTCATCATTCTGACTATTCCTACTTTTAACTTGTGCAGGGGGGGTTTATTCCCCAAGTTTAAGGAATGTAGGGACGCCGAAGTGTTCTGTCGAGGAACTCAGGCTGTACAATCGGGAAAGCAAACTTTGGATGCTTGCATCAAGCGTGCCCTCGGTAAATAGACATCAAGGAGCTGTGCGCACTCGTCATCTTTGGCACTCTTCAGCTTTGTGTATAAGAGAATGTAACAATTGTAGACCTGTACAGTACGAGCCTTGTGAATATATATGCTCTCTCATCAAAGTTTTTATGATGCAAAGGGTTGGCAAGTGTGAAAGGTTTTTTATGAAGAGATTCACTTGAAACCTGAACAAGCAGCTCCCGTGCAAAGACCCCAAAAACATAGGTATACTATCAGCATATGGCCCAGAGTCGTTTGTGTGAAGGAAAACGTAGTGTCAGCCAATAAAGGTCACTCGCTACAGGCGATTTCTTGCGGGGCCCACTAAATCCAAGGCAAGTTCAGTGTATTCTCATGGGACAAACCGACCGTACTAAAGCAAGTTTGCCCTTCCCAGAGTGCGGAATTTTGAGAACAAGCCGTGAAGAAGTCTATATCCAGAGCCCATGCCTGTTGCGATCAGCAACACATAAAAGTGCACCGGCTGAGTGCTCTACTTTGCGCGACGCGGCTTTTTGCGTTGAAAGCCAGTAGTCCCTGATGCCCATATCCACACCTGGTTTCCCCAAATGAGTGACTGTTTGATCCTGCGTTCGAGGAGGGCTTGCCGCCAGTTGCAGGGACGCCCTCCACACAATGAGTCAATGCATAAAAGACCATAATGTGTGTGTGTGTGTGTGTGTGTGGGGGGGGGGGGGGGGGTTGTTCTTGAGCGCAAAGCTCCTTGCTTGTTCTCGTGCTCTTCTTCTTCTTCTTCAATTCTTTTGCTAAAAACATGTACGCAAGTGACATTAACCCTCGTCAAGCTCCAATGAAACAGAAGCTCATCAATGAGCTGAAAACATTTCTGAATGCGCCTGTTCAGAATTTGATCAATGACCGCCAGACTAGGGACATGACTGAGCACCTTCGCTCCAGGTGCGACTACATGTCAATGTTGAGGCATGCGTTATGGCTTTTACCTTGCTGATGGTGGCAGAATTGTGAATTAGAGTACGTCCGTCTAAGCTGGGCCCGGCTTTGGTTTGCATTCCAGAGACCGCTACCGTTTCCGAAGCTTTTGCATTATTGAAGCAGCATAATCTGTTGGGTAGTTTATAACGCATTGGTTGTTTTCCCTGGTGACCATGGCTTACGGTAGCGTATGGTGATGGTACACGGCAGCACTACCCGTCTACCGCTTGACCAAGTCGGGTCACAAGAGTTTCCAGACAATCATTTCGGTTATTGATCTTCTCCATGCTACGCTACTAGGACCTGCCTTTGACGACCTTGGTCTGGTAGGTTTCAAATCAGCACTTTTACCTTGATATTGTTATCTTGCTGAATTTGTCGAAATGACGCAGTCTCAGGAATCATCCAACACTGATCTGGAGAAACAGCTCTCTACTTGGATGGACGAGCATGTGGATATGTTCAAGAGCACTACTGTCAAAGACGCTATGGGCCGCACTCCCGAATCCAAGGCCTTGATCACTGTCCAAACCACAGAACCTTTAAGTCGTTTATTGGACATCATGACGAGTAATGTTCACAGGGTTCTGGTTTACGATAAAAATCATGAAGGAGACGAAAACTGGTAACGCAGCGGATGCATGTTTGATCTGTTTCTAACTCAGTATTGAACAGAGTCTGCTTGTGATGTTGAAGGTACACAATCGTATCGCAAACCGATCTTGTATGGTACCTCCACGTCAATCGAAACAAACTCCCTGCATCGATTTTTGAGATGAAAGCCTCAGACATTATGCAATCCGCGGCAAAGCCCATTCCTCATCCGTATCTAATGTATGATCTCGATACTGGAGCCAGCAAAGCCTGTCCGATTTCGCTACTGGAGAATACACCAACGGCCATGGCCGTGAGATTGATGGCCTTGTTTAACACCTCGTGTGTTGGCATCGTTGATGAACAAGGGAAATTAGCTGGCAATCTGAGCGGTATGCCATGCGAATGAACCGCTGCTTTCCTTTTATGATTCAATTGGATAACGTTGACTGTCAGGTGCCGATTTCCGTGGATTCAATGAGCAAGCAATCCGCAAAATTCTTGACCCAGTTCTGCAATACATCCATGAGATCCACAATGTTGATCCGGCTGAGCGCAGCCCCACTTGTGAACCCGAGAACAATCTGGAGGAATGCATGCAAACCGTTTTGAGCAAGGGTGTCCATCGTCTTTGGGTATGTCCTCCTGACGATAAGATGCCTATTGGCTTGATTACACTCTCGGATATGCTGGTCATGTTTAAAAATCCTGCCGCGGTTGCGGTCTCCGTTGAGGAATAGGGCAGTGTGCACCGTAGCAAACATCTCATTACGCGGCTTCAGATCGCTTTTGAGTCTGTACATAAACTGAACAGTGCTGGATTCATGTATGATTTTGATAATTGGCAGTACGTACCCGAATGTCTTATTCTCTACTTGCTTTTAACTGCACTTTTTCTTTTCTGATGCGGCTGCATCACTTCTGACTGCTCCGGTCAACATGTTTGTTTATGTTCAGGCACCGGGATGTAAATTGATCTTGTCTGCGCACCTTGGACTCCAAGAAATTGACAAGCATCAATTTTCATGCCTGCTAACATGCCTGGAGTTGCTCAAGATGCTTTTTGACGATACTAGAAAGTTTATCATAGCACCATTTGATTACAGGACTTGTGCCGATCGCACCAAGTCGCCAAGTTGGAATCGGACGTCGTTCGATGACAATACGATTTATGAAATTCAAATGACTGCAATAATGTGGTCCTGCTGGCAATGCACCTATTATTTATCACAATCCATTGGCTGCCTACAAAAACGAATGGAAAGTCCTCCAGCCCTTCCTTGTGCACGTGACTGATGGCACAGAGCGCTGATGACAACACTTTGCGGTTTTCCTTTGGCCATTTGACGGGAGATCGCGACAGCACACGATGCCCAACTCGCTCTATGTGGGCGGCCACCGTCCAAGGAAGCATATTCATGTTTCCATAACATACAAGACGCAAAAGATTGACACATTTGCGATTGACCCCTCTGCGTCCCTCACGAGCATTATAAAGGAATTATGCATCTCCCACTTCGCCTGTGGGAACCCTGCAAACTATTGTCTACGACTGGTAGAAACAGAAGAGCTGGTTACTCAAGAGGTAACAACGCCCAGTATATGTCCTGCTTGTATTGTTAAGCTGAATTGAACATCTTGGGAGTGTAGAGACTAAGGAGGAAGCTTCGGGATGCCTCGAACCTCAAACTCGTTTCCTCTCCAGCCATCATGGCTGCCGATATGGTCAAAGACTTGACTCCAGAAGATCAAACCCTCCTCAAGCGAACCATATTTATGCTACAAAAATACCTCAAGGTATAACCCAATGGTCGTTTGGAACTTTTCGGGCACCTGCTTATCGTGACGTGCGTAGGAGGATGAATTTGTGGACGAGTTCATTGCCAGATCCGGACTGGAAAAGCTACAGGACGTGATAATAACGGCGCAAGGGAATACTTTAGCATATGCATTGACCTCACTGCAGACTCTAATGGAGCATGATCGTGGTTGGGACACCTTCAGTCCATCCTTTATCAGCACAGTAAGTTTATCTTCCCTAATGAGCGGGATTCCATGTCACATGTTAAAGTCTTTCTTTCGCAGCTCGTCTCTATCATCGTAAAACAGAATCTCGTCAACATCTGCCGACCAGCTACAGCGATTATCATCAAACTCGTCGTGGCCGACCCGAGTAATCCATCATCTGCCATCCAGTGCTACGGTTTTGATGTTGTTAATCGAGCAATATCAGCCCAGTCGTCCTTTTTACCAACCCTTGTGCATCGCCTTTCTGCCACCGACTATCTTCTTCAACTCAACTCGATGCATCTGATAAATTCTCTATTTCGACATGTGACCGAACGAGCACGGATTGGCTTCATCGAAATGCTGGACGCGCTAGATATTCGCACAGTAGTCTTGAAACTGATGCAAAGTAGTCCGGCGGACGAACTCAAAGCGCAAGTAGTCGAGTTTCAGCGACTACTGATCTTGGAAGGGCATAGGAGAAAGAGGACGCCAGTGAGAGTGCATAAACATGAACATGCAAAATCTTTAAAGGAGCTATGGGAGTGGTCGGAGATTGACCCTGAGGAAGTACCTGATTGGCAGCGATTGGGGTTTACGGTATGTCAATCGTGGCAACCCCGATGCTGTGCGCTATATGTGCGGTCTTGCTAAATTTCAGATTTCTGCAGAGTACCTTTCCTCATCGTGACCTGAGTCGCGTGGGTGTTCTTGGGCTGGGGGCATTACACAGCTATGCCCAACAAAATCGCGAAGCCTATCAAAAGGTATGCAGTCAATCGCATTTCGTATGGTTTTCCACATATCTTAGAGATCATATGTTCTTCCAAGTTTTTCAAAAAGCAGCAGGAACAGGTACCAGAAAGGCGATGTCCGTTTGCCCGCGCAGGCATCGAAGTTTGCGAAATACTCGCCGATTTTTGGGAAGTCAGCACAGGGTGTACGTACCAGGGAGGTTAGAATTTGGAGACATCCAGGATGCTAATATGCCATCTTAGATTCCACAACGACATCGTATCAGCCTCTTTTACTTACTTTCCATGAAGTGTTCGCTATAACTCTTCAGACGTTCTTTCGATTGTGGGACGAAATGGAAGCTGACGCCACAGGGGATGACATAAATCGTGTTTCCGCTCTTGTTCGATCTCAGTTCAAACACTCTGCATCAGCTGGCAAGCCGCTTGATCCAAATCTACTCTCATCCTTCAGGACTGAGATGCTAGAAACACCTTACAGCATTGTCAGAGAACGGCAGTTGAAGAATTTAGAGGTTGAAGATGATCTGATGACTAAACTTCCCGTCAGGTGTGCAAGTCTGAAGTTGTGTTGGAGAAAACTCACCTAACCTGTTGTGTTTGAAGAAATCTCCGCGAACGCTTTTACAAAGACAGCTATGAAACAGTAAAGCGGCAAAGAATATCGTGTTTGACGAAGGGCGCGTGGTTCCCAGTGATACGTGAGAAGGGAAGAGTGAAGGGGTTGTATCGATTTTATCGGCTTGGAGCAAATCATAAATTCCTGCATTACGGGGAATTCTCTGAAGTGCTAAATAGACGGCCTTTGCCAGATGAGCTCAGCGAGCGCAGTGAGTAATGGTCTATCCAGTCTGCTTCAACCATCTGCTAAACTGTTTATCTTGTCATCAGTCGACATGTCTCTTGCGACGGACCTCCTTACGGGCCAATCTTCCCCAATATTCCGATCCAGGAAGAACGCAGGAGAAAACCCGTCCCTATCCTTCTCCCTTGTGTCTTCATCATCGTCCGATCAAGCAAATCCTTCCATGGCAGATTTCGTGTGTTCTTCAGCCGTGCAATATTCCGAGTGGACCGACGGGTTCAACATGCTTTTAGATAAAAACATTGCCAACCGCGATACTGCCGAGTATATTCAGCAACTCACAGATGTAGCCGTCAAGCTCGCGTTGCTTGACTTGACGGGAGATGGAATCGACGTTGCTGCGGTGTCCACTGTTGATGTACCTGATTTGCCGACTTCTAGTACTTTCTGGTATGATGATGGTGCCGGAGTGGCCGGTGGTGCGCTCTTAGCGGCACTAGGCGATGGACGGTCAGCTACGCCTGTTCCCAATGGAGAGGAAGATGAAGCGTTTTCAGAGGCGGGAGGGTCGGTGTACGAGGTTGCCTCTACGGATTCCTTTTTGGATTGCTATACATGATAGACGTTTTTTATTTAGATTGTAATTTTACAGTGAATTTGTATGTATTTTTTTTTGTAATGTATATTCTTTGCTGCCGAGAGCGTTGCATCTGAACGAAGGAATAAAAACAAATGCTCTCATCGGCCACGTGAAAGGCAGGCCGAGTCATTTTGCTACCGACCAAATCCATCGCCCGACCAATTTACTTTTCACCACGCTAACAACATGTACCGAGGCTCGATAGAAGAAGAGTTTGATCGCCTCCCACTGCTCAGCCGACAAAGTGATGGTAGCAACATGGACGCATTGAGGTATAGTAGAGGGACCGAACTACTCACAACCTTACGTCACAAACTTACCTGTCCTTTCGATCAGTATGAGAGCCAAGGATATTCAACGGCGATTCTACGACCATATTCTCGAGCAAGTAGGTACGGTCTCCACCAGTTAAACTGTTCATCCCGGAATTTCTTCTAACGCCGCTCTCTCAAAATGCCCAGTTTGAGAGATTGCAAAAAGTTGACCCAACAGAACGAACCGACTACCACTTTGACCCGGTGTTAGCCAAGCTGCGTATGTATGCGTATACTGGATTTTTGGTTCGTCCAATGGATGGGCTCTCAACTTTCTTTGGTTTTACCAGGTAAGCTGCGCGAGGGCATAACTTCGACCGGCGTGTATGATGAGTTCGCCGCAAATGGTAAGACCCAATAGCGTACTTTTTGGCGTATTCAACGTATGGATAATTCATAGTCTAAACTACAAGTGTACGAAACATCCGTGGACGTCTGTCTGCTTGCGAAGAATTTTGCAGAACTGCTCAAGTCGTTGGTTCAAATCTTGGGAACAGTCTATCCAAGGATCATTGGGGATAAACAGGTATGGGAAGATCATGCAATTTTACCATATAACAGAGTTTACAGGTAACTGATACTTTGGTTCTTTCGATTGGAAGCGGGTTCCGGACCTGATCTGGTGCACCAAATGTCAGCGGGACCGGCCAATATCTTCTTTCGCAGGTTCAGAGCAAGAAAGAGCTTCTGCTGCGATGGAATACGGGCGACAGCGGAGGGTAAGGGGACCGACAAGCGATTCAGAACCAGAGGCTGTGACAATAAGCCGGTTCCAGACGTTTTGCAGTGACTGTTCTTCCGGGGAGCGAAAGGTACCGACTTGTTCTACATTGCGGGCAGTTATGAAGGGTTAAAACTTTCAGCAGGAAGACCTCCTCTCCCGCAGAGCGGAACTGACTGGTTACATGCTTCTCTATCTGATATGCTATACGGCAAGGGGACCAAAATGCTACGGGGACGCAAACAAAGTGATGGAGTATTACCGGGAACTGCCGACCGACCTTCAACGGGACCAAAATGTTACTTTTGCTCTCAGCGTATTCAAAGCCCTGCATGCTGACATTGATTACGTATCACTGGCACATCTGTGGCATGAGGCATCAACAAATCAGCAAACCCTTCTTCAGGTGCGTCTCTAGCGAGAATTTGTTCTGACATTTCCCATTCTCTAAAGCGGGAAATCCAACTATAGACTGTTTGGCCTTTGGCGCGACAACGAATATATGACGTTTTAAGTAGAGCCTATTATACATATCCCGAGAAACAACTTCGCTTGTCGTTAAGGTTGGAAGTACAGGACCAATTTACAGACTTTATGCGTAAGCAGATAGGGTCAGACTCGGTTGCGTCGAGAATAAACAATGGAACTGTTCAACTTCGTGTACCAAAGAGAGTAAAACAGAGATAGCAGGTGGACACAGCGAAAGAGAGCAATGAAAAGTGGGTGTGCACACGGGTTCCTATTGAATCATTTGGCCGGCGAATTGGTCGGCCTTCGCCTTATGGTCGGCAGGATTTGCTGCGAGCTAGTATAATAGCATCTCAGTCGTCCAATATGATTGCTTAACGGTATGTCTTGATTGCACACGCCAAGACCTACCTCGTATATGGTTATGATTGGGTCCTTGTTTATCTCCATCCACTCCCCTTTCAGTCCAATGTAGTAGATCCTCGATGTATCGTCACCAAAATTCTCGGGAAAGTACAAAGTAAGGTTGCGGACATTGGAGAACTTGGCAATACGTGTGGGATATTCCGCCAATTGCCCTTTTGGGACATCTCGTACAAGCTCCCATTCCTGAGTCGGCTCCGTGGTGTCCGCTGTGTCAAAATCCACATCGTCGCGGTTGATGTAGCTAGAAAAATATGTACAATAAGAGAGATGCGATAAATTGGGGAAGAGGCAAGTAGGACTTACGCTTTCATGCGTGAAGGAGCTTTTTCTCCAGGGCCCCCAAAGATTGCTATTGACTTTAGTTTGATGCTTGCTGTAAATCTAGGTATTCAAAGAACAAGCGCCATAGAAAGCGCTGTTAGGAACAACAGCCCTTCTTACCAAAAGACGGACGCAACAACAGTACAGGAAGCTTACGGTATATTGATAATTAACTGTTCGTCTGCATCGCTTTCCACATACTGGAGCATATCCACCAGTAAAATAGCTTGTAAGTACAGGAAAGTATTACGAAAAAAAACACACCACAATCATAGTACTCGCGCAAAAAACGTATCCCTACCTTTGTCAAATCTCCTCTCTGTTCCCACGTCTTGAAAACCGTCTTAGCAGCTCCTTCCACGCTTTCATTTAGGCATCGGACGTTGTCTATATCTATCTGCTTGTAGAGGGTATATTCTGCTCCGCGATCTGGTCCATCGTGGTCGTGATCGTGGCCGTGATGGTGACTGTGATCGTCGTGGTCGTGGTCGTGGTGTTCGTCGCGGCAGTGAGACATTCCAGGTGGTCGTTGACCATTGGAGGCAGAGGTGACGGCCAACTCGGCGCGATCACCTCATAGCAACGCGGTTGCCAAGTGCCCGGGCATCAACCGCCAGGATATCTTCATCAGAAAGAAACAGAAATATCGAGGAATGCAGACGAGGTTTTTTTATTAAAGATATTGCTCTCTATACTATTATTTTTTATCTAGCTTAATTTATCAATAGGTTCAGATTGTTATTTTTAAATATTGATAATGGGTGCGAGCATAATAGGGTTTTTTTGCATTAGGCGACGAAGCTCATTTTAAATCTTACGGTTTTGTATTTTTCGCCTTTAGAGAGTTATTAGTTACTTCCTTTTTATTTCTTGCTTATAATTAGCCCTTGAGGACGGGGTTGGGGTTCTGCACGAAGCGATATTTGAGATAGTCCCGGTAGGAAGTCGAGTTCTTCGCCCAGTCTTGAAGCACGAGCGTCCAGCTGAGAGGCGAAAGGTTCCAGAGACCGTACGCTTGCTGAGTTGTATATTCCAACTCATACGTAACCTTGTCTTCGGTGTTATCTCTCACTAGGTCAGACCAGTATTGGGTCCATTTAACAAGGCCTCCAAAAGCGAAACGACTCGTGTCGTAGGAGTAAACACGGATAGCAGGGTTGTTTTCACCAATGATACTAGGGCCTTGCGAGCTCACGTGCAGAATGCAAGTGTTGTCAAAGTCGATGCTGGGGACAGTGTCGGTAACTGTCGAAATGAAGAAGGGGCCGTCTTGAGGCGAGCTAGTATTGTTTGTGTACACATACGAAATGTAATCCTTGTTTGTGTGTCCGTAGAACGATCCAAGTATAACGTCCGAGAATGATCCGAGGATGTTGGTATAGTCGGTGTGGCAAGTTGGGTAGTAGAGTTTTTTACCAGAGTGGTCCAATGGGGGGATGTGCTGCATGACATATGCTTTTTTACCGGCACTGCGAAGCTGAGAAAGCTGGTTGCGCAACCATGTGAGCATGCCAGCACCCGCGCTGCCGTCGACTACACAGTCCTTGGTCAGGACATTGGAGGCGAACAAAAGCATACTGTTCAAGTTCAAAACCACGAGACCGGGTTTGACTTCGTAGGCAAAGTAGCCGCCGTTGAGCCAGTCCTGATTTTCGTCCAAGCCAAGTTTGTAGGGTGCCCAGATCTGGGTAAGGTTGGCGATAATCGGGTCGGTAACAGGAGCCATTTTGTTGTAATCAAGTTCGTCGTTATTACCAAAAGTAGGAATAAACTTGGTTTTGGAGGTATCAAAAGCACTGCAATTCAATCATCAGGACCAACGTATTGCATGTTGACGGATGCTGCATCCCATACCTTATAACTTTATCAACAACAATCTTGTGCTCATTCAACACCTCAGAGTGTTGACGAGGGACTGTTTTGTCACGGTCATGACGGGCAGAATCACCAGTATACAGAATAAAGTCAACATCGGCGGTATTTTGTTTGATCCAGTCGAAAGTGGCATCTAACATCACTTGAGGGGTATCGCAGATACTGGATAAAGTACCGTATTTTCCAGCAACGTTCAATGCAGCGTTGGTAGCACTTGGGCGGTGACACATGGTACCAGCGGGGTCGGTACCTTCCTTGTAGAGTTCATCAATGTGGATATCCTAAGTTTCCTAAAGAGTAAGTAAAAGTTTGCAAACCAAATCTTTGATGAGTTAAAGCATACCGAGATGTGCATAAATTTGCCATTCAAGCCAGTTGTCCATTTGGGCCATTGAATGGGCGCAAGGTAAGGCCCATTATATGCGCTGGCACCGAGACACTTGATGGTCTTTTGCAGCGAGCCGAAATCCGCAGCTGGCAAGGCAGCAGTCGGTCCAGCAAGCGCAAGTGCTGCGACCATGCAGGCAATCTTTGAATGGCTTTTTTTGTTGGGCATTTGTTGATGATCAAGAAGAGAAAAGACACAGAATTGGGTATTGAATGATGAGAAGGGGAAAGGAGGCAGTGTGGTCCCTCTTATAGCCCGTAGGATATCTGGGGACTTCTTTTAATTTCATGCATCTGGAAATGCGGCTCAACTCCGATCGTCCAGATCTTTACCTCAACGATGGAGTTCTTTTTTTCTTTTTGGTTGCTTTGGACAACAAGGCGGCGCTCTGTCAAAGAGCGGAAGTCTCTAGGTGAATCAACATTGACCAAATGTGAGTTCTGGAATAGCAGTTGGACGATGCGAGACGTTAAACCGTCTGTGGTAATGACATCTAAGTTTCTCCGGAGGCTTGCCAAACACATTAACCTTACCGTGAACCTTTTGATTCCAGAAATGCAGACAAAGGGTGACCCCCAAATATTCTTCATTGTGCGATTCCCAACTATCGGCCTTTGTCATTGAGCCACAGTCCAGGTACATTGAAGACGAGATCCATGTCTTCAAAAGTTTACAAGAGAAACAATGATAACGTTACGTTCCTGTAAACGAAAACATTCGGGCGTTTTCGATACGTTCCTGCAATAATGGACACCGGCTTTATTGGAAACAAACCGGTGCTAATTATAATTCCGGGCTTCAGCGGAAAATAGATCGTGAGGCAGCGCCTCGTACTGGACATCAACAGGGAGACGGCTGTGTCTATTTGGGAGCATTGGGTCGATTCGGGCAGTAACAGTCTCGGGGTGATGTATGAAGATCGATCGCCAATGGAGTTCTGGAATCCTGTGCTTGGGTACTCCTTAACCCACACTGACTGAAAGAACGATGGTGAAATTCAAGATGTCGTGCCTTCTGGAATGTTTTGACCACGGGAGATGATGCGGAGAACCATCCCCAAACGCTGTCTCTCTAACTTGGAAATGTGTCCTTCGGCCATCCTGTCTCCATCTCAAAATAACTCTTGGTGGCGGGTCTATTTCTTTTCAATAAATGTCCTGCCCCAGTGACAAATTCCTCCCTTCCGCTCTCCTAAGGATCTCTACGCAAAGATGCGACTTAATTGTCTAATATTAGTTTTGCTGGCAACTGCCAGCCAACTTGTTTCGTCCTGGCCTAATGGAAATTTCACTTATCGAGTACCATTCGCTCCGGGTGGCGGGTCTGCGGGTATCGCAGAAACACAGTCAAGATACATCCCTCAAGCGAAGCTTTTATACAAGTCCATCAACAGTGGAGCTACTGCCTGGGCGGACATGAAAAATGATCCCAAAGATGGTTCAATCGTAAGTAGATAACACTTACTCTTTTTCCAAAGTTTGTCTGTCCGCTTAATTACCACTCTTTAGATTACTTTAATCAACTTGCCACATATTTATATTCAACCCTACGTTCCTGAACTTCGCGCCAATTACACGCCAGATGACATTGCCATTGCCTACATCCACACAGTACGTAGTAGTATCACCGAGTTGCAACTGGGATGCCGTCGCTGATGACTAGGTACCTTTATTTTGACCAGTATACACCATTGGTGCTTCTCGTACCAAAACACAACAGCACTATTCTCACTTGGTCAGACTTTGTCGCCGCATGTAAGACCCGGCATATAACGGTTTCCGGTGCTGGAACCGGAACCGTTTTCGAAACTGGCTCGGGTCGTTTGCGACAATTGGCCCGCATCAAGTTCGATTACCTCTCCGCCGGAACAGGTGCAACTACTGCCATCACTGAGATGCTCAAAGGAAAGTATGATGCTGCGTGGACTACCACACCTGTCGTGAAAGACCGAACAGATGTGCGTGTACTGGCAATTGCTTCAGGTTGGTGCAATAAATCCTTGCGCAACTTGCCTTGCGCATTAGCTAACTTTTATATTCTATCCTCCAGAATACGAATTCCCCACCGTAAGTTGAAGCTGCACGGATGGAGTTTCATTTGCCAACAATTTATTAACAAGCAGTTCGTTGCAGATTGATGCTCCCACTTTCCGGACTTTGGGCATCAACTACATTGATGGTATCTACCGCGGTGTTGGTCTGCCTGCAGGAACACCAGAAAGCGTCATGAAGGTAAGCAATGGCTGCATTGAGTATTATGCTGATGGTTGCTCAAAATTATTATGCATTACAGGAAGTTTCCAACTACTTTAATGCATTGAACCGCAACAAGACCTTCATCGCTGAGGTCCAGGCAGACAACGGCGCCTTAATGTTTATGCCATATGACTCGCCTTCCTTGAACTATTTCACTGCAACGTACCGAAAGTCTATTTACAATGTGCTATTCCCTACCGACCCGATCTCCCGTGGGTCCATCTACGCCTTCTTTGGTAAATACCATCAAACTCAAGCATAAAGTGATTTGAAGTTAAAATTAACCTTATGGTATTCTAGCTTTTGGCGGCCTGGGAATTCTGCTATGCCTGGCATCTGCTATTTTCAGCTTCATCTTCCGTAACACTCCCGTCATCAAAGGCTCCAGTTACTTTTTCAACAACATTATTATCTTTGGCATTGTTCTGGCGTATGCCTCGGTGATTGTTACGAGTCTTCAAATGCCATTGAAGGGTGTCACTGAACGTACCCTCAGCGCTGGCTGCAAAGCCCTTCCCTGGTTGCTTGGCTTGGGCTTCGACATAACGTTTTCGGCCATCATTGTCAAATCATACCGACTCTACAGGTACGACAGAGATTGCACGCCATGAAGAACAGCAATGATCTTTTGTGCTCATTAACGGTTCTGGATAGATTGTTCTTGTTTACTGCTTCCAAGATTGTCCAGTTCGACGCAAGCAATCTTGCGATTCTGAAATGGGTGTTTGGAATCTGCGGCATCAACGCCATTGTCTACCTCGTGTGGACGGTGCAAGACCCACTCTCTGCGGAGCTATTGAGTATGGATGGCGACGACACCTTTTACTACAGCTGCACTTCCGAAAACGCATCCGCGTATTTGGGTGTTGTGCTGTTATTGAAATACATCATGCTATGCTGCTGCATCTTCTTTAGCGTAAAGCTTAGGGATCTGAACGCCATGTTGAACGAGGTAAGCAGCGGGTTGCCCCCTTTTGAGAAATATTGGATAATATTCACTCAGTATGGCTATTCCTCTAGACCAAGGCCATTGCCGCCGCAACATTCTCCACCACCTTCGTCTTGACTGTTTGCTTGGCTGTATATGCCCTCGTGAGCAGCTTCGAGGGACGATACATAATTCTGGTCGGGGGTACGACTGTCGGTGCCACAACCTGCCTAGGAGCTCTCTTCCTCCCCAAAGTTATGGTAGCCCTCTTTAACCCCGACGCCAACACCTTTGACTACATTCGTCGTGTTGTGAAAGGCTCCGACTTGTCTCGTGGAGCTTCCTCTGGTGGAGAAGGTGCAGCTCGATCGGGCTCGATTGACGCCAGATCAACGGGACGTGGCTCAATGGACCTTTTCACATCGAATCCTGTTCTCTTACACCCACCACAAAGTACAATCAGTAATTCATCAATGACGCCTATTTACGTGCAGGAGGGGCGTGCGTTCAACCGTGAACACCGTGACCGAATCAATGCTCTTGCTCGTGTTATATGCAACACTGCCTCTGAAGGCCGTGTGAGCGAATTCCAAAACCATGTGGGCAAATTGGCCCAGTTTGCCTCTCGGATCCGCGTCATGGCGACTGCTAAGAGCCGTGCTTTCTCTATACCCAGCATCAAGTCGGGGGAGCAAATTGCTGAAGATGTTGATGAGCCTTAGAAGGCTGAATTTGAGGGGTGGTGCTTCGACTTGTAAAGATACCTTTACCTAGACTACTTGTTTTTTGTTCTCACTTAATAGCATTTCTCAGCGTTTTTTCCAAATGAGCTCTAACTGTCGCTCCCTTTTTGGCAAGTATTGAATCTGTGAAGAAGCAGTGTGCAGATGACAGTTGAGTCTCGATTGTCAAGTGCCATTCAATACAATACTAAATATAGCAGTCAAAAGTTGCGAGAAAAGCCTAACCGTAACATTGAAGCATTAGTGACCCTCCAAAGGTAACTGCCGCCCTTAAGAATCTCACACAGAGGCAGCATGTTTGAAGGGGGTATGCGAGTATCGTGCAGAGGTCTATCATCCCTTTCTTGCAAGGACGGCCAGTGGCACTCTCTCGAATCACTACGTTCATTGGAAGCGTATAGACAAAAACTGCCTAGAGGTTTATATACAAGTTGCGACCACACGAGCACATCAATCCATCATGTCAAGCTGCAACAACTAGATTAGTACCTGTGACCGAAAGAAAAAAGGAAAGGAAATCGCAGCCTCCATACCAAATCCTCTTCCTCCACCTCATCCTCGTCACCTTTCGATATTGCTGCTGGCGGCTCGTCCTCGGCCCGGAGAAACTGTGAAAGGGGAACGAAAGGTTAAATAAATAATAGGAAATATACTGCCAAAAGATCACCGCATCATACCGCATCCGCTTCTTCTCTTGTAACGTTACTATCACCTGCTTCATCTTTAGTGATGAGTGAGATCTGCTGGTCAACGACCCGCCGCCAAAATGGTGCGTGACGGACGGACTCCCCAACAGACAGGAGGTGCTTCAGCCCACGTAGCCAATTGTTGAACTGGTCGGATTCGTCGTTTTCGGCAGAGACCTTACGTAGAACAACGAGGCAATTCGTTGCTTTGTCATAAAGCTGATCGCCAAAGGACTCTGTAACTAATTTTACGATGACCTCGCACATTTGCTCCACCGCTTCGCAGATGATGGTTTCAGATTTACAAAAGATTGCGAATACAGGTAACTCCGCCTACCTTTTGTGACCAGATCAATGTCTCTTCTCCCGACCATGGCATTGAAATCGCTAATGGGATCAACTGTGGACACTTTCTCAACATTGCGCGCTGTTAGATCGGTCAAGTTTTCTGGCATTGGTTCCTCGACTTTGATTCGCTTTTCAGCTGGACCATTATCGGGGCGATTAAGCACCTCTTCTGCATCTATCCTATTGGCAGATCTAGCGGCCCAAGCACGCTTTCCTGAACCTTTCTGCTTTTCAACTGTTCAAAAGATCAGCACAAAGCACAACATGATTGACTTGGTCGCGTTCCGGTACCTCGAGTTATCTTGAAAGCATCTTTCAATTTTTCGGCTGCTGATTTTGCTCTTTCAACAACGTCTGGTATTGGTTCAATGCACGCCATAATTTGTGGGTTCACAGGTGGCAGTTCCGCTTTGTCAGGATGGATAGCACGATAGGCAATGCACTGGTAGATACGCTGCCAGCCTGGGTTGAATACGTCCTTTGGTCTAAAGGCTTCCCTCTTGTGGCTGCAAGCTTGGTCAGCATCCAAGGCACCCAAGACTTGCCGCATTCAACATGTTCTCACCCGTCTTCATCCTCCACAGCGTCCGTCAAATCCATTGCGTCAATAAAGGCGTCCATACGCCTCATTGCCTCGTCAGCGGGGACCTGACGAGCATCGAGCTTATGTTTCTTCTTGCTTGAACTAGCAGGTGAGTCAGTATGAGATTGGGTATTATTAGAAGGCGATAGTGTCGAAACAGCCAAGGTTGAGTTAGATGCGGATGTGTCTTCAGCTAGCAGGTGATCCAAAGGTGCAAAGGAATAAGGTCGTAAATCCTCTGCAAAGGGAATCTGTGTCGGCCGTCAGGAATCAAACTGTGATGGAGGAAACGAACTCTGACACACGCACTTGTGCCCACCATCCCCACCCTTTTCTGGCTGGTACCAGCACACCAAGCTTCGGATTGGCGTCATTAACACGGACATAACGGACGAGGGCCGCATTCTGCTTTTCGTCAAGCGCCGCGATTAATGTGTAGAATGTCTGCGCCGCTCGTGAATTGCCTGGTTCGGGAACAACAGCCAACACATTTGCCATCAAGTGATGACGGGGTACCTGATACCCTATTTAATACCGGCGATATTCGCAGCATAGCAAACAGTAATACCTCGCTCTGTTTGACGAAGCCTAATATTGACATCCCTTTGGACGTACGTAGTTTCATTGCTTCTTCGTCTTCCGACGAGAAAGGGACCAGGGTTTTGCCATATCTATAAGCCCTCACAAGATCATCCTTTGATATACTCTTATCCTGCCCGTTTTGATCCTTCTGCAAGTCAGCATCTCCCAAAGCAGGTTTGTAGCTTCGCTGCATTTCCACTTCGCCGTACGTTGCCCCATTGCGCTCCCCTTCAGAAATAGCTTCTGCGAGCGCAGACCACTTTTTGGCGGAGGGCAGTTTCATCTCTGCTGTCTTGTTATAGACCCACACAGGGATTTCAAGTGATTCCGCGGGATGACTCTCAGGATCACCCAACGTAAGTGGTCCTCGAAATACGGTAACTGGTTTTACTGACTTTGAGCGCAAGCGCTCTAGCAACTCGGACGCTTCGTCTCCACTGAATAGGTTCCCTTCCGCCCTCTCGGTGAAACCGCGTAGAAACTCTTCATTGATCGCCTGACAGAATGTTAGCATAACCAGACTCCTTATGCGGTAGCGATCATCCAAACTGCTTGCCTTCACATCGGACTTATGCTCGTGCTTAATTCCGTGATCTGGATCATCGAAATCGTACCCGCTGCATATCAAACGAGAAAGCTTGTGAGAAATCTAATAACATTGAGTTCCACAGCAGATGATCCCACTCATACATCAGATTGAATGTGACTGCCAATTCTTTTACTTTCTCGGCAACAGCATCGCTGCCCTCGGTATCCACGGGATTTTCGGCATCCGTGAACACGTAGATTTTTTTTTCGTACTTTAACTTCCTGCAATGTTGCTCGAGCATATGTAGACCCAGTATGATGGCATCCATGACTGACGATGCACACATGTTGTTAAATATGGGAGACGCGTGTCATCCTAGCCGTCGTACCTACCATCACCAATAGCAGTCCCTTCTTCCGTACCCCTCTCCACATATTTCAGAAGCTCCAGATTCGGCTGCTTGAAGAGAGCAGCCTCGTCCTCTTCAAAGCAATACGCCTTGATATGCTGATACTGCTCACCCTCCGCCAAGATGTTATCCGACTCTGAAGCGGGCAAGACGGTTATCTGACTGTCGCGTGAGAGAAATCCACGGATCTCGTACCTTCTGTTCCAACCAACAATAATGCAACCTGGTCCGTCTTTCGCCCTGGTATTATCTAAATTGACTGAAATAGTCAGAATAGGTTGCATTGTTGCTTCAAGTGTTCGAGACCTTTGAGTGAAGAATTTGGAATAAGGCTTCGTGCGCTCTTTGATGATTTGTTTTGCCCCCTTCCTCCTTCTTCCTTCGCATAGAAGGATTGACGTCCACAATGAGGACCGTTGCCTCCTTGCTCGCCATCTTTTCGTCAAATTGTGGGTGGAAGATACCACGGCAGGCCCCAACCCACATTTAGAGTTTGCCATGGCAACAGTGTAATGGATTGCACGGCCACCGGTCGGAGTTTAGCTCCGTGGCTCTTGAGGATCAATAGGATCAACACGAAGAACCTTCGTGAAGGTCACTGAAAAACCCTTTGTTTACCTACCCGAATCTTCAATAGGATTAAGAAATGACATCAATCACTGATAACACTCTGTGTGTCCATGCCCCGAAATCTCGAATAGCATAACCGAAATGAAAGGAACATTGGGTTCCGCCGTAGCGCCCCCAGAGGTCCGGACATTACTATTGTTTTGCAGAATGACAACAAACAACTGGATACGACCCATTCAGTTCCGGCAGAATGATATCAACCACGGGTACTATTCTTAGTAAATTTGGGAATCCGCAACAAATCATGCGGTTGCCTATAAGAGCGAAGGGTTCTGTGCCCTCCCTTGTAAGTTACCATAGGTAGCCTAACATCGACTGCTGCGCCCCTATATCCCCCTGAACCCTCGTGCGCCATGCACCTGTTTACCCTCGCTGTTATTACCCTAAGCCTGATTGGTGAGTTTCATCACTGCATATCTGCACTATTCTTCCATCCCCCTGATCACTAGTGCTTTCTGAACAACAGGCAGCACCGTTGCTGCTCCCAGTGGCAATACATGCCCTACTTGTATTGCAACACCAGGGAGTAACCTATGTGACATTACAACGTCATGTACTAGCGTTACTCTTAAAAAAACCGCTGAGACAAAGCTATTTTGTGCGTGTCGTCCTGGGTTCAAGGTATAATAACGCCTCTTTATGCGATGCTTTCTTCCCATACTTAACAAATGAATGTGATCTAGGCTGCTGCCCCAAACACCGATTCCCTAACCCATTTTCGTGCGGAATGGTTGACCGATGGACAAGATCACCGGGTCTTTGTTCCACCAGTAAGTATCAGGCTGTCAGTATGTCTCAGATGGTGCCAGAACGCTGATGGTTTTCCATTTGATTAGGGCGTTGTTTGCAACACACGTAAGTAAGATGAAAACGCATTGAACGCACGACCACTGCTGATCGTCATCCAATACTTTCAATAGCCTGTACTACTTATGGTACAGATGCCTGCAGTGAGATTCCTATACGTGACTTGAGTGGTGTTTGCCCTGCAAGTGGAGGAGTTACAACAACGTAAGAGGCTGCCATTAACATCCTGTGCCTTGAGCCATCCCGCAAAGTGTACTTATCAATTGATATACTCGCTGTGATACAGGAAAGCTGCCACCACCACGACCAAGGCAACGACCACGACAAAAGCTACAACCACTACCAAGGCGACGACGACGACAACGACCACCAAGGTTCCAACAACGACAACCACGACAAAAGCGACCACCACTACAACGACTACCAAGGTTCCAACAACGACAACCACGACAAAAGCGACCACCACTACAACGACTACCAAGGTTCCAACAACGACAACCACGACAAAAGCGACCACCACTACAACGACTACCAAGGTTCCAACAACAACGACGACCACAGCAACAAAAGCGGTGACCACAACGTCAGTCGTCCCCTCCACGACAAGCCTGGCTCCTCAGCCCTCGTTGGCACCCACGCTATCAGGCATCTGCAGCAGTTGTCCCATCAACGGAACAGTATGCGCGGGAACGTCGATCTGCACCTCCACCATCTACGGCCCAATGTGCGCTTGCCCCGATGGCTTCAAGGCCAGCACAGACAACCTTAATATTACAATTCAATGGCGCCTCAACGGAATGAATACGACCACGGTGTATGTCGCTCGTGGTGTCACCTGCACTGTTCCTTGTCAGGGATCCGAATGTCGTAAGTTAAAAGTTCAATAACCCGTTCAATTTGACCGGAACTAACATTTTATTTCTTGTTGACCTTTAATAGAGGAGGTCGCAGCCTCTGATTGTGAAGTATAATTGACAACATATTATGTCATATAGCTGGAAACATGTTATTATGTAGTGAGATGCACTTAGATTACTTTAGAAGGATGTGATTTGAAAATCATTGTGGAGATAGTGGAGACTAATTTGATAGAGAGGATATAGAAAGATGGGGGATTGAGGGAGATGTTGTGCTCATCACATCTACTGATGTGGGAACACAACGATATATACCAAGCTCATCAGCATAAACATGGTGCTGAACATAGATGCCGAAACTCCCTGAAATATTATTGACTACCGCCCACATGTAACGCAGACCACTGATGCAAAAATCGCATTCGGTGAGAAATGACCTCCCTGCCTTTAACCTTTTTGAGGGATTCAATAGCCTGCTCATCATTTCCAAGCAATGTTGCATCTTCATCCGATGTAAAGATATGGCGTCGAATTTTGGAGCTCAGTTTCGCTACATCCAACCCAGCATCTAGGAGCTTTCGCGCTCTTCCGATTACTCCGCCCGACATGTGAACCGCCCCCAGGCATTGATGACGGGTGAAGCCTTCAGATGAGTAGTCGTTGCAGAGTTTATCGAATAGATTATAATACTGCGTCTTTACCGATTCCGCAACTTCATGGTGGGGTGCTGGAGTTAGGACCACATGGGGTATTGTTGCAGGCGGGGATTTTTGGCTAGGTTCGGGCAGTGGAACTGCCTTCTTTTTGATGACCCGCGAACTTGTCGGCGACGCTAAAAAGGGATTCTCGTCTGTCCTCCCCTCAGGTGCTGTCAGGTATTGAGTGTCAGAATTGTCCACGTCCATGGGTGCTTCTTCTGTTCCGCCCTCTTCATCTGCGGCGACTCCTTTCGCAGAAGATGCCATCTCCTCCAATTGTGCGTGCTTTTGGGATAGCCTTGCCTGTTCCTCAAGTAAACTGTCCAATTCTTCCTCTGTTGAGCCCACCATTTCCACAGTCGGTGGAGCCTCATCTCGGTCCATCAGATGCGGACTTTCAACTTCTCTACTTATGTTCCTCGAGATGCTTCTTCGGGTTTGTGATGCAGGCTGGGTATTGGGGTCTTGAGGGGAGGACAACAATTGTTTCCGAGGCGATGGATGGGGCGACGTAGCTTGGGCTTGTGACGATTGTGTCTTGGATGGACTGTTTCGTAGCTTTGGTCGGCGCGGACTTTGCGATGTGGCCTTTTCGGAAAAGTCACTAGTGTTCCTGCCCAGCGGACTTGCTTGTGTGGCGATTGCCAGTTCTTCCTCAGACGACTGCCCACGTTCATGATCCTGAGTGTCACCGATTGGCGCTTGAGTTTGCCATGGAGTGTCCTCTTCCTCTTCTGCTTCCCGTTCCTCCGCTTGTCCCTCTCCCTCCTCTTCCTCTTCTGCGTCTCGTTCCTCCGCTTGTCCCTCTCCCTCTTCTTGCTCTTCATCTACAGATGGAGCACTCTGAGGCTGCGTCATCCACATCCCAGTGTCATTTTCCTTTGCGTCGTCCGGAGTTTCCGTTTCCTGCGACCAATACTCCACATCGCTAACTTCTGTGTCCTCAAGCTGCTTCGATTGCGGTGCACCAGGTAATATTCCGGCATTTGCATCATTTTCGTTTACTGCCTCAGCGGTGCTTTTCTTTCTCACGTTTTGCAAGATCTTCTGGGCAGCCATTAGAACGGGCATTATTACTTTGGTAGCATGCCCTCGCCAACTATCTGCGCTGTGCTGGGAGTGCTGAGAGCGAGCCAGTACGTTAACAGGGTGCGGACCTATCACGGCTGCCCATGCAGCAGTGCTGTTACTTACCATCAAGCCAAACTCGACCCAAAAGTTTTTACCTTTGATACCTGCGTCTCCCAACCTGTTGCGCGTGATTTTCCTAATCAGCGCTTTATCACGCTCCGAGAATTCGCGACGAACACCCTTGAGACGTGACGGTGGTGGTGCATCTGTGCCTGTTTCCAAGAGCGCACCTTCGTCCTCCATGTTAGGGATAACTTCCTCTTCTGCGTAGTGTTTCCATGAGGCTTGGGAATGGGCAGTGAACTAGCAGCGGTATAAGCTCGCAGGAAACACAGCAAAGTGCCAACGACAGTTGTGACTCACCTGCTCTGCCAAGGCACTGTACACTAGCTCGCGGTCCTTTTCGCGTGATATCCTCAAAAGCTCTTCCAATACCTCACGTTCGTACTTTGAAAAGTGGTCCGACCGCCTGCCCGAATCTCGACTTGTTGTAGTAGACTGTTCAGCATCGACTGGGCTTTGGCCAGGATTTCGGATTCGCTCCGCCCGCTTGTCGATTTTCTTGGCCGCTGGAAGTGTAGGCAAGATATGCTTAACAGCGTGGTCCCTCCAGGATTGCCAAGAGTGGTGAGGGAACTTTGAAGTACAGTATGGCCGTTAGTGAAATCCTGGGACGAGTATTTTGTTCTATCAAGCCTACCAAAGAAGCAAATTCCTTATATATTTCATTTCCGAATAGCTTTCCAGCTTTGATGTGCCCTTCAATGTGATTCCTCAGATGCAACTTGTCTTTTTGGGTGAAAGGTTCGCGACTAGAATGCAGAAAATACTTAGACGACGCCGAGTGCTGTGTGTAGAAAGAAGCCACTCTACATACCTTGTCCGGTTACCAGGAGGAAGGCCGTTCAAGGACAACGCATACGGTGAGCGACCGAGCAATTGTCCAGTCTGCACAGAATCCTCTACATATTCTGAGGAGTAGAGGTCTATGGTAGCGGTTCGTATCCCAGGTTCTCCCAGCTTCATGAAGCAATCTGACCCAGCAACATCTACGACCTGACCTCCATGTTCCTAGAGAAGAATGCTTGTCAGGCGTCCGCCACGCTTCTCGCTTCGTGGTCGCGCTCATATTCTACCTCAATTAGCTTCCTGATACGCTCGCGATGTAGTCCACGCGTCACGTAGAATTTTAGTGGGTCCCCGCGATCATCAGCAAAGAGTAGCTTCTTGTTCCTTTTCCCCATTGGTTCCTCTTTGACAATCACTTCTTGCGTCAACATGATTGCTGCGAGATCCTTGGAAAACACGACAGGAGCTTGTAAGCGATCACGGCTGTGCCTCCTTATGTGGCGCGGTGACTGTAAAGCAAAAGCCATAGTTGGGCGAGCGATATTTGCCCTCACATCACTTGCTAATGAACGTATGCATTCGGCATGGATTGCAACATTGCGACCATAAAATAAGATGCTAGTTTCATCATGCGTGGCAAGTGTCTACCAGCAGGTCCGTAACATCCAAACGGCGTTTATTCAAGCGCTAACTGTCAGCCAGCCCTTGTCATTTCCCCATTCAAACAGTATGCATAAAGCAGACGTTGGCTTCACAAGTCCCTGCCCACCACCTCCACCACCACCACCATCATCACCAGCGACGATTGCCAGTGCCATATCTCTTTGTGCTCTTGAATCTTTGATCCATCGCCGAGGATTCCCATCTTACCAGTCGTGTGCTCGTGGCAAATGGCCTTTGTTGGGAAATGAACACTTTTAAACTTTAAATCAGTGTATGACTGTGCCATGACATTATTCCATAAAAGGATAGATTGTAGGAACCTTATTGGCTCAAGTGTCCGACGACCAGCTGCGATTCCAACGTTAAAAGTTACTTCCGAACCCATCGCAGCAGGAGAAACGGCCACGGATATGCAAGTTTTGTTGTTTTTTTCTTTTTCGCCCGGCCGACTGCGGAACCTCATCGCTGTCGATATTTTAAAACGACGGCTTTCGCTGCATCCCCACCATCGTTTACCCCATCGCGGTTGCTGGCCAGCTACCGAGAGAGCACTTGACGACGACACGAGCCAGAATGGACCGCGATAGCACTCAAGTGGACTTGGTCGGTTCCGACCAAGTTGGTTTCGACCAAGAGAAAGCCGTTCCCCGGCCTTCGGGGGAGATTGCTGCACAGCAGGGTGTGAAAGCCCTCGATGCGGCTTACAAGCTGTTAACAAGAACAGAATTCGCTATCATTTATGTCGGGTGCGTTGAAGGCTTAAAATCTGTGATAAAGACAAAGGATGCTAAACCGTTGATATCGTATAGAATCTTTCTTGTGATCTTTGTCTACTCGTTGGACATCAATACCTACGGCACGCTTCTTCCCTTCATCACGTCGTCGTTCCAACAGCACTCTGGCCTCAGTCTGCTAATGGCCGTGTCCGGCGTTGTAAATAGTGTTTGCAAGATGCCACTCGCAAAACTAGCTGATGTTTTTGGCCGGGCAGAGACATTTGCCTTTGCCGTGCTATGCTACATTGTTGGTTTGATCATCATGTGCGCTGTGGATACATTTGGCCAGTTTGCTGTGAGTACCTATCTCTCCACGACAGCCGAGTCTCGAAGTTGAAGTGGCCCCCTTCCCTAACTATAATTGCTTTATCACAGGCCGCGACAGTTTTGTACACAATCGGTACTTCTGGCGTGTATACCCTGCTGCAGATTGTCATCGCCGACACATCTTCCCTTGCCAACCGAGGTTTTTTTTCGAGTTTGATCGATCTTCCATTTATCTTGAATATTTGGATCGGTCCACCAATTGCAAGGCATTTTCTTGAAAAGCAAGTCGACGGGAAATCCCAATGGCGCTGGGCTTTTGGAATGATCATCATCTTGCTCTTCTGCTGTGCCCAACCCATCTTCATTGGTCTCAAGTGGCTTGAAAGGAAGGCCTCCCGAAATGGCCTGGTGGTGAAGAAGAAGAATGAATATCTCACGTGGCAGTTTTGGAAGAATCTGGTTTTGGATGTGGACCTTCTCGGTCTTCTGCTGTTTGGCGGAAGTCTCTTTCTCATCATTTTCCCCACAAACTGGTACCGGAATTACCCAAAGGAATGGAAAGATGGTACGTTTTCTTACTGCTCGTCAAGCAACGTAGCAGTCGACTAACCTTTACGTCAGGCCGCATCATCGCCATGCTTGTCATGGGCGGCGTTGGCTTTGTCATATTCTTCCTTCAGCAACAGTTTCTCTCCCGCGCCCCCATCTTCCCTGCCCGTTTCCTAAAGGACCGTACTGTCATCGGTGGCCTTCTTACCGGCTGTCTGATCTTTGTGTCCTACTACATCTACAGCAGTTTCCTTACCTCATACATTTACGTTTCTCGTGACCTCACAGTCGATCAATCTCAATGGATCTTCACCTCTTGGAACGTTGGATCTGTGCTCAGCAGTATCCTTATCGGACTCGCTATGAAACGCACTCGCAGTTTCAAACTGTGGGCTTTGATTGGACTCGCCATCAACATCATTGGAAGCGGTGTCATGATTAATGTAAAGGGACCTGAAAACCCATTGGCCGAAATGATCTCTGCCCAAACAGTTATTGGGATTGGTCAAGGGATCACAACATGTGCAACCCAAGTTGGAGTGCAAGCTGCCGTAGCACATCAAGGTATGTAGGTGGTCGTCACCGTATATCGATGGGATCTTGGCATCATCTGATCCTGCTGTACTTAGATCTCGGAACAATGACTGCCGTGTATCTAACAGTCACGTCCGTCGGCTTCTCGGTCGGAGCGTCTATAGCAGGCGCAATCTGGAAGGAACTTCTTCACGATCAACTTGTCGAAGCGCTTCCCGAGCTCCCTGAGGCCAACATTACAGCCTTCGTGGGTGACCACACCAAAGTCAGACTATGGTTGGAGGGTGATCAACTGTCGCGAGCGCGCCACGCATATACCTACACGAGCAAAACTCTAAACATCATCGCGTGCTGCTTGTTGGTTCCAATATTTGGTACCATTGGTATGATGCGGAACATCACGCTGACAGACGGTGCGTAGCTATTGTTCACAGTTCAGTTGGACACAATGACTAAAATCTCCCTCCTTGTTATTAGATGTTACGACTAAAGAAGCCGAAGAGGCTGCGATTGCCGAAGGAAGCGTCGGCACAAGTGCCGACCACGGCAGATAATCCTTTTGATTTTCACGACGATAACCATATATATGCATAACTCATTGTGAATAATTTATTAGATCTTGTATGTATGGATTTATAAAGTAGCTTTTGTAGCCCCCAATTATGTGAATGTCCGTTTTCAACGTCCTCCCTGCTTCACGACCGGTGATAGCAACGAGGTGGCACAGTCATAATGTGAAACTCGAGGGCTTGGGCACTCGAGCAAGTTCTCACACAGCGTTACGCCGCCGCCGCCGTCGTAACCACAACTCCGCCAGCGCCATAGAACGCAACGGCGGCGGATTGGAGTTACAAAAGCACTCATTGCTGGATAGACATGGATCTCCTCACCAAAGTCAGATCCCAAATAGAGAAATTGGGGCCTAGACGCTCGACAGGGAACCTTCTTCACAAGGTGTGTGCAAAAAAATGGCTTGTCATATCGCCTACTGAACATAACCTTTGTCATGTCCATTTTCAGTTTCAAATATGCTGGGATACGATAAACTTTGAAGTACAGGTGGAATCCAACCTTTCCCGAAATGTAGATCGAACAGAGATACCGCAAGCATTGCAACAAATGCTAGATATCTTGGTGAAGGAGCAGAGTATGGTAGACCGGGGTCTGGTATGTTTCTATATGTACAGTTCACCGTCCTTTTCACTGGATCGAAGGGTGTTTATATTGAAGCAAATCCTAGCATACGACTAACGGCTGTGCTGAAATGTTCTTGAACAACGACATGCTGGGTCAGTTGGTGAAACTGTCGCAAGCGGACGTTCCTTTGGGATTCAGAGGCGAGGTCATCCAGACGATATCTTCACTGATCAGCCTGCTGGAAGGAAAGAGCTTGTTTCATAAATCTGTCAATGGGGCTGCGGTGGCTTTAATGAGGAGCGCTCTGGCGAGTCGGGATCACAAGTATGAGGATGCAATGCTCGAGGTTTGGTTCTTATTAATCGACAATGTGCAGATAAGCAGTGGTTGCTAACGTGAAACCACAGTTAGAGTCCAATATTTCGACAAAGATTCATGAGCTGCCGGCACTGTTGCATCTCTTTTTTACAAAACGACCCGTAACCTCGAACGTATCCACCGAAGCTGTTGGCGGGCTCGTTGGTGCACGAGACGACCAGGACTCGGGACTTGACGAGGGCAGCTACGATTTCCCACTATTTGACCATTTGTTGCGCTACGTGCATATTGAAGGACGACGTGGTGATGTGGCACGGACGTCTTGTTTGTTCCTACTTCAACTGCAGCAGGATGAACTGCAGGATTGCATAGCGAGGAGCGATTTTGCGATTACGGTGATTGCCGGTATTGGCGGACTGTTTTCCCAGTTGCCTCCCCAATTGCCTGATCTGAATCCTGGGGGGCGTCAAGGGTATGCGTTGGTGACTTTTACGAGAGATGTCGAGTCCCTGTGTGGCCTTTTGCGCTTTGTTCAAGATGTACTGGCAAAATGCCCGTCACCGGATACGTGCGAAGCCATACTAAGAGAGTTTCGTGTGACCTTCTTGGAACATGTCGTGCAACCACAGCTAATGACAGCATCGGATTTCGATGGGACGACCGTGGCGGTTTTATACTATATTTGCAAAATGCTTGATGTCGTGTGGGAGGAACGATTTTCCTCTATATTTGTAAGGTTCCTATTGCAAGGTGATGATGTTTCTGACGATCAGGACGCTACCGCGATAGATGACGTTGAATTGCATGTTCGCGATGTCCTCGTTTCAAAATTGAATTCATTATCGGAAGAAGTTGTGACGCAAACATTACGGTTTTTCCATAGCCTCTTGACGAAACACCGAGTACAAGTCTTGGCGCTCCTTTTGGAAACCATGTCCGAACCAAAGTTTGCGGAATTATCGTCCAATTTTACTGTCGATGCTCATCAACATTTGGCCGTCGTTAGGCGGTATTTTGCTCTTATGAATACCGCTCATGCGGCGGTGGACCATGGGACTACCCTAGAAGCGTATCTTGAAGACGCAGAAACTGCACTCTTATCGTCCCGCATGACGTCTCGCGCATCCTCCCCTACAAAAGACAAGACAAAAGGAGAATCCATAACGATTGAAAATGCCGAGCTATTAGAGCAGCTGGATAGGCTAGGTCGCGACGCAACCCTTCAAAAATTTATTGGAAAGCTATCGACTTTCTTCAGCCATTCTATGGAAATCAATCTCGCCTTAACCGGTGTCCTTTCCAAAGTGGCCGCCTCTCCCCACCCTCTCCTTAACCTGTACCTCTTCAGCAGCGACATCCTTTTGGGACCACAACATCCCTCCCTCTATGTCATCATCACCCGTCTGCTCGCAGAGGTCTCAACGAAACGAGCTCAATTGGGCGAAGATGTATTCGATAACCGGTTGGAAATGACACGGGCGGCATTATATGAAGGTGATTGGGTGGAAGGGGTCGGAGAGTTGGATCTTGAAGGGGAGTTTGTAAAGAACGTTGTGGTTTTGGAGGAGTTTGTCAAGGAGTTGGTTGCTGTTTTGGTTACTAGGGGAGAAGTGAGTGCCGAAGAGGTAGCATTCGTATAGCTAGACCTTATGGCAGATGTACATGTTTGTTTTTGTTTGTACCACATTAGTCTGAAACTTTTGTATATAGTTGAAAGTGTTGATGTTAGGTAGACTGCCGGTATCGGAATAGATGCGAATTCAAATTGCGGATTAACGAGATGATCTTTGTAGCTTGATGGTCGTGACGGATTGCTATTCATTGGTTCTTTTGGAAGATAGGGTTGGGTCACATTTCACTGTGCTTCCCGTACGCTTCCCTAGCCAGATCCAGCACATTTTCCACACTAATAACCCACTCTATGTCCCATTCCCACCACCGACCCAAAAACAATTTACTAACAGCCACTGTAACATCGATTTCATCCTGCCCAGCATTTCCAGACAAATGCTTCCGCGTCGGCGGTACAACCCACAAAGCAGTAACAGAGGAACCAAACGGTCGTTTGTCTAGCAGCTCTATAAATTTTGGGCTATCGTGTAGTCTAGATGCTACGGCGACGGAGGTTACAAATCTCGCGAGAAAGGTTAAACACGCTAATCGTAATTTCGGAAATCGCATATCAGCACAGGGCGGTGAAGAAGGTGTTGGTGGGATGGCGCAAACAATAATGTTTGGAAGGAATTTGACGCATACGGATCGGGTTGAAAAGAGTGTCTCAAATAAACCCGCTGCGGAGAGGATGTTGATGAGTCCCGATAGGATCATCTCTTCGTGGTCTGGAGGCTGATAGGTGATGGGATCCATCACTACTGGCAAGTGTTTTCGAACCATATCGGCAATATTTGAAATGACTCTTGTGGCAGATGGTTCACTGAGTTGCCTCCAAATATGGACCCCTCCTCTCAAGTGTCCGGCGGTGTCATCCCCATTAGAATCTGGAGCGTCTGGTTCAACAAAGAGCCTCTGGAGACACTGCAACGCGGCTAGACGGGCATAGATGACTTGGTGCTGAGATGATTGCATCTGGCGATCCTGTCGACGTAAGGGAGACGGTGATGTGGTGGCGAGAATGGTCATGATGCAGCTCAGAGTGCTCGTCAAAAGAAACTTTGCCGGTGCCTCGGAAGACACGAGTTGCGACCCGCGCTGTTCTACACGCGCACAGATGCTGCAGAGATGCAGCGTAAGATCGACCAGCGAAAGCATGCAAAGGATCTGGCATATCCAAGACCTACTCGTAACGAAAATGCATTATTGGAATTGGGTCGCATGTAGATCAAACAGACTGCCACCACCTTTCATCATTTCGCTGCACACGTTTCACGGCATCAAGACCCTCGACCACAGACACAAGGTTTCGACAAACAGCGGTAACTTGGATCCCAAATCTCGTATTTCCTTCGTCGAGCCTTTGAGCAACCTCCGACAAGAGACAGCAACATAATCCAACCGCCCAAACGTCTTCTCCCCCTGCACTCAAACTCATTAAAACCTTGATGACCGCATTCGTTAACCGCTCGGCTTCCTCGCTATCCGTGGGACGAATGTAGGGGAGAGAAGCTATTGAACGAATGAGGGATACGGCGTGCGGAAGGGGACAGGGAGTTTGAAGAGAAGACAGTGTTTTCGTGAGGATGGTAATGAGCGCTCGGAGGTTGGGTCTAGTAGAAGCAATCTCGGTGCGGAGGTTAGTTAGGTGGGTTTGCACTGCTGGGGATAACTCGAAGCATGAAATGAGCGGGGAGGAGCCGGTAATGGAATGCATGGAGAAAGAGTAGACGCGATCTCACGCAAACGCGCAAAGGAGATGCCATCTTTGCAAGGTTTTCTGCCATTGCCGACGCAACATTCTGCAGAAATATTACTTTGCTGGTAGTCGTTGGATTTCAGCACTTCAGCGTCTTGGTGGAATTTTCATAACGTACCTAATGTTCTACATGGCAAACAGAAAGTGGAGATAAATTCGAGAAAATGACTGTTGTGCATAGACCTATGGAAAATATCTGTTTATTTACACCGACCTTTGGAAGCAGCACTTTCTTCCTTCTCAAAGTGAGCCGCCGCTCAAGAATATCGCTTGTTCCTCAGCTCTGCACTTTTGAATCACAGCTAGGGCATACAAGTCTCACGTTTCGGCCAGATATGTAATATATGCCAATGTAAGGTCTTGGCCATGATCGGCTTGTATCTGGCTGGTCGCTTCATGATCAATGAAAGGAACATATTGTCCGATTGAAAGTCCTGCATAGTAAGTAAATAACTTTTCATCATCAACTACAAGTTTGGAGTTCATGTGCAAACGGGACTGCGACTAGTAACCTCCTTTTCGCTTCGAATGGGGTTTCTTGGGGCTTCACTGGGCCAGTAGAGAGTCATTGGACCGATCCGGCAGAAGCTTCATGTACTTATCTATGTGAATCCACAAACAGATCGAAAGACCGGAACCACACCGCTAGGGAGATCATGGGCATGCAGGATTTCTTGTGCAGCGATTAGATGCACCCGATATGATTAAGCATCTACTACATTACGCACGCTTACTTCGAAGCATATGGATCAAATATACTGAGCATCCATCCATTCATAATCTACGATGTTGCGGGCATTCATTCTTTGTACCCGAACTGGTCATCAAAACCCGCAACGACAGAACCATACTGTGCACAAGAGGTTAATTACATGACATATCGACGCGGATTACTGCTCATAGCCATCCTATGCCTCAATGTGAAGGATTTTACTCCCCTTCACGACCAGCACCGTCAACGCATTCAGCAACAGGTGGAAAGAAAAAGTTACCTACGGTCGTCTGGTAAGATACGTCGTGCACTTGTTGCATAGGCCATACGGTTTGACTTAGATTTGGACAGAGGGAACGTTCACTGGCTACTAAATGACCACAATGGGTGATCCGCCCTTCAATAGAGTATTTCTGTCTTAGTTTCGATTTTGACTAGCAATGAAAATATAGACTGATATCTCCCTAAACCCTTTTAAGCGAGACTTCCGCTAGCAATACGTCATTGTATTTTGGGGGACAAGATGTGCCTTGTAGTCTCTGCAGAAAGAATGCTGACAGATATTGGCACGGCCTGCCATTTTATAGGCTGGTATAAAAGTTTGGACATGCGGTTGTACAGATGTTACTGGTTCAGCCAGCTTGAGATAAATTGTATGTACAAACAAAACCTATATATGTCCGTCTTCGTCCAGAAGATCCTAATTATGAGAGAAGGAGAAAATTCGTTGGTATCTGCAGGCTCATGGTATACTCTCCTTCCCCATGCCAGCTTAAGCATTGGAAGCCGACGAGGACGCTGATTTCGCAGGCTTTGTTCGGTAATGATAATAGCTCATTGCTAAGATCAAGAAATTTGCCCTAATATCATGAAGGTATATGTTAATTTGGCTCAAACGCATCTCAACTAAAAACTCAATTCAGCCTACCCTGGAAGAACCTATCGATAGAGCAACACGAAACAATTGACAAACAGGATATGTTCAGAGGCAAGAATGCGGGGAAAGCGGCCGGTGTAATACATACCATTAAATAAAAGGCATAGAATCCGTACGGAGCAGTATTCTTTGGAGGGCTTTTCCAAGAGATGCTGCTTGAAATCATGACTGACAGGTATGCAGCGGTAAAGAGAACCTTGTCCTATGTATGGGGAAAGTTTAGTTGATCTGTATTCAAGAAACGTATGACTGTAGGTTAACATACCATGACGATGCCAATTCCAACCCATCGCACCCTTTGGGCAATTTTCAGCATCTCCTGCCCCCGTAATCTAGCGGGATTGCTCATTTTGTGACTGGTAGCGGTTCCAGCAAGCGTGGTTTGCGTTTGGGGTGTCAATGCAGACGCATCTTGTTGAGGGTTTTGAGTTTGCTTAATCTCCATGTTGAACTGTGAGGTCGACTTCACCGCTTCCACAATGATCGCAGAAAAGTGGATAGAGAATTTGTAACTACAGACTGCCCAGTTGATGAACTACACGCATATGAAAGATATTAAGCTCGGAAATTGCATTTTCATATATTGATAAAGCATGTCACATACCCATGGTATCATCGAACCAAAGTAAAGTAGTGAAGCTATGTTATAGATCTTGAAAGGTAACTTGTTATTAGCCTCAAATGTTTGGCATTTTGCAGCTATACCGAATCATGCTGTACCTTTTGATTCTCCAAGCTGTAGTAAGCAGCACGAACAAACAGAATGGGTAGACAGATTATAAAGACTGTATGTGTTGGAACGAGCAGTGTTTTGCGAAGTCGGATCATTTCTTGTCGCAAAATCTCTTGTTCGTGCATGTCCACCATCTGAATCGTGAATTTGACCCAATGAAAGAGTGTACAGAACGCGGCCACCATAAGACCTGCACGAAAAAGGAGAGGGAAGGATGTTACCCTCTGCTGTGATAAGATCATAACAAATGTCACGCATTTCATTTTCTTACCTTCGGAACCAAAGATCCACACCAATGAATTCAGAACGGATACCGCCCGGCCCTTTGCAAAAACTTCAAGGCTCCCGATCATTAATCCCATGCATGTTATGCTAGTAGCAAGCTGCCAGGCGACACAAAGATGGTTTTTGTTGAATAAAGATTGAGAATATGACCCCACAGCAAGCAGAACACACACTCACATAAAATGCCTTGCTCAAAGTCCATTGACGCCCGACAATTTGAAAGTCACGTATCATGAACACCACCATCAATCCGCACACAAAGCAGGAGAATACAGTGTTTGGAATGCTAAAGGCGAGTACGAGTTTGTTGCTAACGCATAGGTTCGTTTGTAGGGTCCAATGGTCTAGTGTCGTCCCAAATATGGTTAAGAATGATGTGACTTCACAGAGCTGGAAGATGTACTCACCAATGGTATATCCATTGAGATCGTATATTCCCGACAAATCGCAAGGCCAGCTCGAATCTGTTGCCATGACCAAGGTAGTTGTAGTTTAACGTATCACTGAGTATGCTCCAGGAGGGAGACGATAAAAGGGGAGATTTGGTTAAGAGAGTTAATTTTGGGACCGCTCCTCATGTCAACCCGGGTACCAAATGAGGTTTCCCCGTGGATAAAAGCATGACTTGGATGACTTGCTCCAGAGCCTCATCCTGAGGGTATACCGCATATGCCAAACGCCAAGCCATGTCTTATTTACCAGCCTAGTATTGTTTTTTCTAATGAAATGTGCCTCCAAATATTTGAAAATGCTCATTTTCCAGGTCCAAACATGGCAGTACACCATAACAATGCCCAACAAATTACACCGAGAAGCCTCCGGCCTAGGGTTCCTCCGCACCCGAGAATTCCATTGTTTTGCCAATCAAGTCTACCTGGGATGTGCATCGGAATAATGGTATTATTTTAGGAGATCGACCGCATGATTTACAATAACCGTGCCCAAAATAGTGCGTCGAAGTCGGTCGCCGATGATTATGTCATGAACCAGCCCCCGGCAAGCCACGCGATTTCACAGTCATTCCTTTCGGTCTTTGCGCTCGTTGACGTCCGAACGGATATGTTGCCGACCAACAAACTCGTTGAGGATGCCCTCAGCGAGAACAAAGTCGTAGTATGTGTGGTGCCCCTAAATGGAATTGTAGCAGCATCGTATAATCTCCTAACGCTCTCCGCAGGTGTTTTCAAAGACGTACTGTCCCTATTGCACCAAGGCTAAAAGGCTGCTGGATTTTCTTAATGTTGAATATGAATCTTTTGAGTTGGATGAGCGACTTGATGGCCAAGCTATTCAGAATTATCTAAAAGAAAAGACTAGGCAGCGCACAGTTCCCAATATCTTTATCAATGGACAGCATCTTGGTGAGTTTCGTTGTTGCAAGGCGACTGTCGACAAGCAGTGTAATGTACGCATGGCGTACTTTTTAGGCGGAAGTGACAAACTTCATGAGGCTCACGCTAGCGGTAAACTGCAGCTCCTTCTTGCACCGTAGGTCATCAGTTTCCAGTGCATTTTATGGTTTGCTCTCGAGCTAATGTCGCTCCTTGTCAAGAATATCATCATCTCTGTAACATAACAGTCATTAAGATATCATCATCTGTATCATAGATTGGAATAATCATGTTGCGCCATGGCTCTATCGAAGCACGGATTGCACGTCGTTCAGTTGCGTTCTAAAGGACTTTCCATTTGCCTTTCAGGCTGGCTTTCCGGAAGCTGCAACTGCAAGCAGCACTGTGCAGGATGAACAAGTGCATGGAGGCCACGTCCTGTCACGGGATGCTGGCGGGGTGCACGCTCTGTTCCCTTGTCGCGGCGGTGAGATTTTCGGAGAGTAATTGAGGTCGAGAAAGATAGCAGAGTAGATCACACTGGCGCAATCGGCAAAAGCAAGCAAAAGTTTTCAGGCCCTTACGGTCTGCATCCAAATTCCCGTGAATGACATCCCAAACTCCAAGTCCCAGTCTGCATGACCTGAATGATGACTGCTTGCTGCTGATCCTTTCGTACCTCAGCGGCCCTGAGCTTGTAGCTATTACAAGGTGAATAGCCCTCCAGACAATGTGTGAAATCAGCGTACTAAAATTTGTTATCCGAAATTTAGAACCTCTCGTCGCATTCGACAAGTAGTTGAGAGTCCTGAGCTTTGGCGGCATTGCGCGATCAGCGGGCAGGTCTTGTCTGCAACTGCGTTTGTGGAAAAAGCGCTGTGTCCTAGAGCCGCGCACGTCAAGGGTTTGACATTGGTCGAGTAAGTGTGCATGTTTGATAGCATAGTAGTACATGTCCCGCTTTGGACTGACATCCTCGAACGACAGCGTGTGTGCTCCTCCACTTTTACCACCAGATAATGATCTGTCCCGACACCTCGTAACAACCTTCTTTGCTGCTCTTGATACCCTTCTCTCCAAATGCGGAAATAATCTCCATACCCTCGTCATTAGCGACACAGACGAGTCCTTCTTCTTTAGTAATTTTAATGTCTTGTTTGAAAGTGTCGCCCAGTATGCGCGGCACTTGAAGCGAATTGTGTTGGCTGGGACCGAAGAAACGGTTTATGTTGGGGATAGCAATATGTTGATTCTGATCATGGGATGCGGGGAAGTGGAAGAGTTTGTCGACGCCCAGGCGTTTGGGATGACCGCTCCGGTAGGAAAATTTCTCTTAGCTTGTTGTTCGCTGAACTTCTTTGTTAAATCCTTATTGGAATGCCCCGCCAGGCTTTGAACATGATGGTAGATGGCTGGAAATCTCTCCGCGCCCTGTCTCTCAACACTGAACTTCAGCATATCCGTCTCTTTACGCTGAACATTGGCCAGTTTCGATCCCGACTCAGATCTCTGTCAGTCACACATTTTTGGGAACCCCTCAATGCACAGGAAAACCTTTTCGCTTTTGCGGAAGCGTTGAAAAAGTTGCCGGAGCTGTCGCGCATTTCCATCGATTTACAAATGACAAAGTTTGCTGATGGTTTGCGCGCGAGTGACTGGGAAGTGATTTTGGATGCATGTCCGAATGTTCGAGAGGTGGAATATGTGGTATGCATTGAGGCATATTTTGAAGATATGGAAGAGGTTGCTCTTTCTGGGACGGAATCCACCCAGACAGTTACGGGCGAATACTTGCATTCGTGGTCCTCGGACGACTCGAAAGCCCTTCTCGATCGGGTTCGAGTTGAGGACGCGAGAAACACAACCGCACATCAGAGACGGTTCTTTCACATCCTGGACGAGATCAAGGTGCTCTGCAAAAAGCGGCGGATTCGCCTTCTACTAAAATGGTCCATATAGAAACCCTGTACAAATAATAGCAGCATCCTTGTATATAATGTAACAAACCAACACAATTTGCAAATATCCGAAACAAATAATCATTGTCCTTTATATAGATAACACCAGAGTCCCTTAATGCTACATTTAACGCAATTCGTACGCTATAAAAATCCAGACACAAAGTCATAAAAGAGAATATCATCCATCCGCAAAGCACCCAATTCTCATCAGATAAATAATTTGTTTTGCCTACCCGCCTACTGGCATTGTTTGCTAGTCAACGATTAAGCTAGGGTATCTGTCGTTGACAAGTACGTCGATGCACTGGCCCGCGGTGACCGTCATGGTATCCGTTCATCATGAGAGAGTGCGCAGGGTGATATGCTGAAAACGAGGCGGCCCGCGGCCGATTCATACCCACCAGAACGTGATCAGGAAGGCGACGATGGTTGTCTGGCACCGACAATTGGTGCAAAGGGTTCCAGTTTAGGCTCGGACCGACGGTAGCCACGTGCTTTGACCTTGTCTCTTCACCCACTTTGCCCCATGTGAAACCTTGCCTCTCATTGGGATGGAGGCCAGAACCAGGTCGCAGGCCAGAGTAGGACAGCATCTTGAGATGACTACTTTCGACCCTTCCTGGATGTAACGATGTGCCCTTCAAAAGCGCCCACGAAGCCTGCAAAAGATTATTGGAGGGTATTTGGGGAGTCTCCGGGCTGCTTCCCGCCGAAGGACTGTTTACGAGTGTCCGACTGCCAGGAGTGATGTGTCCATCAGCAGGAGACCCATCGCTGAGAAAGGAGACTTCTTCCTCAAATGAGGATTCATTGACCCAAGTGTTCTCGTCCTCTTCTTGTGTGGCAGCGCGCACCGGTGGCGGTTTGGGCACTCCAGGCGCAAGATCGAATGGGCGTGGCCAAAGGCGAGCTTGCGACTCGGCCAATAACATCTCAAAATCGTTTCTAATATCAGCGTCTAGTTGTTCAATGCTCTCACGGTTTAGGAAACTGTACTCTTCATGTGCCTTTTGCACGAACCGGGGGATGGGCGCCGGCGGGTACAGCTTTGGCCCGGCTTGATAAAACGGCTGAAGATTGTTTAGGTTGTTCATCATCAACTTCTCTCGTTCAACAGTAAGGAGGTCTTCATCATCTAGTTTAGCATTTTTAGCGTAGCTCACTACGAGGTTTGTCTCTTGGCGGAGTCGTCTCCAGCACTTTGAGGCTGCTTGATCAGTCTCAAAGAATACGTAACCGTATTTCCCGTGAAACTCAACTTTCAAGAAGCTTGATCCAAAAAAAAAAAAAGATTAGAACATACACAGAACAGGGCATCACAGGCATGCTTACCCAGGGAAAGAACGGAACACTTTGCACATCTCTTCCTTTGAATAATTTGTAGGCAAATGAGTGACATGGATGACCTTACAGCGGGAGCTCTCTTCTTCTGGTTGCGGGTATGGAACTTTGTAGTTTTTCTGTGCAGGCTCGAGTGTGATGACACCTTGAGGGGCTGGGATGGACAATGCCCGCCGGGCAGACTCTGGGTCAACGAAGCGGACAAAACAGTAGTGATCGTAGAATGCAAAGAGCTCAAATCCTAGGTAGTTCCGAAAGTACAGATAGAGCTCTCCTCGATCAGTCATCCCTGGGCTAGTGAATCAAGCGTTTTGATGAGATACTTTCAAAGGCATTAAATTGAAGTAGCGACACTTTACCGGTATGCGATATGCACCGTATTGGTGTCCGGTTGCGACGAAGGGACTTGCATACGAGTGGGACACGAGACAGCTCTTGGTCGGAGCTGGTGGGTGTACATTGGGCTGTAAACCGTGTTGTTGTTAAGGTTCGGGTTGGCAGACTTGTACATGTTTACAGGTTGCATATCAGCTCGCCAAGATAACTTTACAATTAAATAGCAAAGAGGAACAGCAAGTATGTAATATGAGAAAAGGAAAAGAATTTATCGGGAAAAGAACAAGGCGAAAAAGTGCTGACGACAAGTCAAAAGGACTTTGTCGCGGCGGTCGTCGTCAGAAAGCAATATGTACAGAAAAGAGAGCGGATTGCAAATAAGAAAATAACACGCGGCGCGTTGAGGGAAAGCCAGCTCTATCACCACGGGCGACAAAACGACGGCATCAAGGGGGGGCACGATGGGGGGGAGGAGGAGGGCGAAATCGGCAGGATGGAAAAGGGGAAAACGAGGACACTCCACGAAGGATATCACACTTCGCTCCGTCGAGTCCGAACACTGTCCAAATTGGGTTACATTACGCTTAGTATGAATTCTTTTTGTCTGCAACGCTTTGAAGGTTTCTTCTTTGTGTTGAAAACATCATGCTGCGGTTTGAAGGCCACAATTACTTTCGGCAACGGTTGCTGCTGGCGACTCTCAGCAACCAGCCTGTTCGCATTGACAAGATCCGGTCGGAAGACGAGGACCACCCGGGATTGGCTGGTGAGAAGGAGGCATCGTCCAAAAGGGTTGTCGAAATGTCAGCTAACAACATGAAATTGTCTAGACTATGAAGCAAGCTTTCTTCGCCTGCTGGAAAAGGCCACGAACGGCGCAACCATCGAGATTTCGTATACGGGCACGACAGTAGTATACCGTCCAGGTGTCATTATCGGCGGCAAGGTGCATCATGACTGTCCTCCGTCGCGGGCCATTGGTTATTTTTTGGAACCCATGATTGCACTTGGACCTTTTGGCAAATATCCCTTGCAGCTGACACTGACGGGTATTACGAATGATAATGTGGATGTATCTGTGGACTCTTTGAGAACGGTTCTTTTGCCGCATCTGAGACGGTTTGGTGTGGAGGAAGATTTGGAGCTAAAGGTGGGTTCACATGCTGCCTTTGGAAACTGCCAACGCTCTTAACAAACTGCCGCTTTTGTAGATTAGCAAACGAGGAGCACCGCCAAAAGGGGGCGGCGAGGTCTTTTTCCGCTCTCCAATCGTGCGCCAACTCAAACCCGTACAATTTATTGAGGAGGGCCAAATCAAACGCATTCGAGGCATTGCGTACGCAACTCGAATTTCACCACAAATGGCAAACCGAACTGTTGAGGCCTCTCGTAGCATGCTGACACAGTTCATCCCGGACGTTTATATTTACACCGATGTCTACAAGGGACCGGAGAGCGGTTTATCACCTGGATATGCGCTGACACTGGTCGCGGAATCAACGACTGGAGCATTGCTTTCTGCAGAATGTGCCTTTCAACCACGGCGACCGACAACCGGTGTGGATAATGGCGACGAAGCGAGTACACGAGGCGTGGAGGCCATGCTTGTAAATGACTACCACTTTGCGACCCCAGAAGATCTCGGCGTGCATACAACTCGAGTTCTCCTGGAAGAAATCAAAAAGGGCGGATGCTTTGACACTGTGAGTCAGTGGCTGGGCGTATTGTTCTTGGCGCTTGGGCCAGAAGATGTTGGTAAAATCCGCATCGCAAAGCTTTCTCCTTTCACGTAAGCTATCACATCTGTTGTCATCATCATTTACCTTGCGATGCATTTTCTAACGTGTCTCTGGATCCATAGAATACAATACCTGCGCGATATCAAGACTTTCCTTGGTCTTACCTTTAAAATTACGCCTGACCACAGCAACCAGACAGTAATATTGACCTGTCTTGGGGTTGGGTACACCAACGTCAACAAGAGGGTCGCATAAGTTTCTTAAGGGCGATAGACTCGTTTGTATAGTTTTTAATAGCTGCACCTTTCCAGTAGATTGTATATAGATAACGCGTATATGCTTAGATCCGACAACCCAGTGTCATACTGCTGTGACATGCGCAATTGAAGGAAACAATAGCTTTTTGTACACACGAAGGTGACAACAGTACGGCAAGGATGACTAATGGCAACAGACAAAGAGGCATTTGAAACAAGGCAGATGCTGCCGATAATATATTTCCAATGCACTCAGTAGTTACAAGTTTCGATGCGAGGTCGATTCCTTTTGGTGACAGTCTCATCCTTTCTTACCTACGATGGTTAGAAGCCTTGCATCAGTAAAGAAACAAGGACGTGTACAGAACTAGCAGAATTGCAGGATGCGCTCAGAACGTGATAATATGGCTCCTATCAAAAAGTTTGTCTTCAAAAGAAGAGCCGAAGCTGGTCTTCCAGTGCAAGGATGTGTTTCTTCATTGCGCATCCCACCCGCATACTCCCAGCTATCCTTCATAGCTTACCTTTGCGTACATGCGTGTTCCTTCAATCAGTCCCCGATGCAAATCAACAAACCCCATTCCTAGAATAAACTTGGCCTTTTGCCTCAAAACCGATCTGCTTATGTAATTTTTCCTAGCCATCTGATTGGCTGAAATCGCGCTCGTCGTGACCCGTTGGATTAAAAGTCGCTCTCGGCAGATCAAAGCAAGTCCCTCCTTTCGCTTTGTCCACATAGTCGAACGGGGCAACTATGGGTAAGTTTCTGAGGGATTTCATCCATCCATCCATCGGTCCATCCATCCGTTTGACGTTGAAAGGAAAGAGAGCGTTGGGGCGGCGAGGCGAAGGAATAGTGTGTGGTTGGAGCGAGTGGACAGGAATGGGACGAGGAGAGCATGACGAGCGCACATGTAGAACATGTGCATGCTACTTGACGACAAGCTGAGAACCTGAAGGGGGGGAGAATAGCATGGGAGTTGAGAGAAGCAGAATGATAGCAAGCGAGCGTCCTCAGTTTGCAACAATGGCATTGAAGTGTAGATCTGGCCAAGTTGAAGGCGACAAGCTGGAGCAGTGCGTTGTTGTAAATAGATAGAGCGTTGAAGCACGGACATAAGGAGAGGACACCCAGTCGTCAGCTTACATTACCGGTGGATGGGCGAAGACGACAAGTACCGATGGAATGGACTGGAATGAACTGTATCACTTTGTTGCGAACCAGCGCTAACTGCAATTCACTTGTTAGGTATCAGCCGGGACAGCCGTCACAAGCGCGCGCACACTGGTGCCAAGCGGGCCCAGTACCGCAAGAAGAGGAAGTTCGAACTTGGTCGTCAGGCTGCCAACACCAAGATTGGTGCCAAGCGTATTCACACCGTCCGTGTGCGTGGTGGAAACATCAAGTTCAGGGCCTTGCGCTTGGACACTGGTGAGTTTGTGACAGATATCTCTGCTCACTTCAATGAACAACACGACTGATGAACCATCTTAGGTAACTTCTCGTGGGGATCTGAGGCTTCCACCCGCAAGGCTCGTATCATCCGGGTCGTGTACAACGCCTCGAACAACGAGCTTGTTCGTACCAACACCTTGGTGAAGGGTGCTATCATTGAGATCGACGCTGCTCCCTTCCGTCAATGGTACGAGTCCCACTACGCCATTCCCATCGGCCGTAGGGCACAAAAGACCGGTGCGGAGGCGACCGCTGAGGACCCTCTCAACAAGAAGCGCTCCAACCACGTTCTCCGCAAGATTGAATCCCGCAAGGAGCAGTCCAAGGTTGACCAGGCTCTTGCGGACCAGTTCGCTGCTGGTCGTGTTCTTGGTGGGTTTTGTTTTTTCCTTGATTTTCCCTTTATGTAATTCTAACCGGGTTTGCTGTCTTTTTAGCACGTATCTCCTCCCGCCCTGGTCAGTCTGGCCGTGCTGATGGATACATTTTGGAGGGGAAGGAGTTGGACTTCTACGTTCGTAGGTTGAAGGCTCGTAAGGCATAAGAGAATTACAATTCCATTTATTTGTGTACAGAACATGCCCTTTGGTTGCGTGACCGTTGTGTTGTTGTGATTGCATTATATTGTTGCCGCATGTCTTTTTAAAGATGGTTTGCTCCTGATTGGAAGTTCCTACTGCTAAAACTCGCATGTTTGCCCTGTAACAGGATGTCAGCACAATTTGCGCGTGTTGCTCAAGACAATTCAATTTCGGGACTAATTTATTGAAATAACCGACATTGCTGCTGAACCAGCACCAGCGCCTTCTTACAAATGAGGGGAGGAAAACCACAAATTACCAATACAATAACGCTACACACACACGTCTCTATATTTGAATTGAATTCAAGCCCCGGGAATAGCTGCATTTCATTCCAATTTGCCCGTCACCACCATCCCATTTGCAGCAGTAGGGTCCTGCACGACATGAACGGCCCCATATCCACCATACTTGACCAAAATCGGTCGAATCGCTTGACGGTAAACAGCCAAGGATCCATTGCGCGCAAAGAGCCAGTAGAGGATGAGCATTTTAGGAACGTAGTAGTATCGGATGTAGGACATCACTTTTTCGTGATAGGTGTCTAGGAGGGTAAACAATCCAAAAATGGACCCTGTTTGGGAAGAAATGCATGAGGCAATGCACTTTGCCAAGACAAAATCTCAAAAGGCACACGTACAATAAGTTAACCACCGTTCATCATCATCAGCCTCGGGCCGCTCGACTCCCTTGATGCTCTGCCAAGCCGGATATAATACACCGACCAAATTCGTCAACAACAAAGGCTGCCTCTTGAGCATCCTCCTGAGCCCAACCAACGCCACCGCGCCAGCCAGGGCGACAACGGACATGGGGGGTATACCCAACTTTTTGTGAATGGCGACCAACACAGCGTTTTGGTGTGCTCGGTGTTCAGTGGTGGCCACTCTTGGGAGCAGGCGCGTTCTCAAGAGGGCAAAAACGGGGGCGAGGGACGTGGCTTCACCCTTGGTTATGGTCCGGGTGAGGAACGTTGTGGCGGGAAGGGGCGTCGGGGAGGTGATGATGGGTTCCGTCATGTTTGAAGGAAAAGGGGGTGGAGTCTCTAGCAAAAAGTGTTTTTTGTATTCTTATCAGGAAATGGTTGTAACCCAGCAAAAGATTCCAAAATACTTACAGATCAAAAGAAATACGGTGGGCAGCGGGTACTTGCTTCTCTACCAACCAAAAAGTATGGTGGTTAGAATCTCGCTAGCACTCTCAAGACAAAGACGTTCGAAAACAAACCCGCAAAACTCAAGACGATGATGATGTCGCTCACCTTTTGGCAAAAACCTCCGTCGTCGCCCCTTTAGTTTTTTTTTTTAAAAAAAGTTAGCGGTTGAAAGTCGGTCAGAAACGCGTGAAAATGCAAGTCATGAGAGCTGCACAATGTGGTTGTGATGGATGGAATGTGGATGGAGGGCATTGTCTGGTTTGTTCTGGTGGGAAGGCTATTTGCAAGTAATTGTTGATCGGCTGACGACGACGACGACGACGACGACAAGAAGGATAGCAACGACGATAGTGACAGTGCTTGTTCGTTCTTTATTTACGTGTTCCCGCAGTGTGGGGTCACCGCGACCTTGTCGTCTTTTCCGAGGCATTACCACTGGTATCCGCATGAACGTTTTAGTGTACACTGGGCCAGGCACTGCCCGCGGCCCCGTCGACAATACCCTGCTCACTCTCAAATCCCTCCTCTCCGCCAACTACGATGTCATCCCCGTTGATGCAGACACCCTCCTCAAGGAACCATGGCAAGACACAGCGGCGTGTTTGGTCATTCCTGGCGGGAGGGATCTCCCATATGTCGAGCATTTAGAGCCACAAGGAACGAGCGTCGTGAACGATTATGTGAGAGGCGGGGGAAGGTTTTTGGGGATTTGTGCTGGAGCTTATTTTGCCTGTCGTAGAGTTGAGTTTGAAGTCGGGAGGGAAGGCTACGAGGTTGTTGGGAAGAGAGACTTGGGATTTTGGCCGGGGACGGGAAAAGGGAGCATTGCTAACGGGTTTGTGTATGGGAGTGAACAGGGGGCAAAGGCTGTGGATGTGAGGGTTGATACAAAGGTGCTGCCCGGGTGGGCAGGTCCAGAAGATCTTCATCTCTATGTCAATGGTGGACCGTGGTTTGCACTGGACTCGGATGTCAAGGCAGATGATCAACCCAACATCTTGGCATGGTACACTAACTCTTTGGAAAGCATGACGCCCAAACCCGCCATTGTTGAATGCGCCATCGAAAAAGGCCGCGCAATCTTGTCCGGACCTCACATCGAGTACCGTATCGATACCTCAAAGCACAGCGACCCGGACGTTCAACGTATCCTGGAACCCTTGTCTGCATCGGAATCGCTGCGTGTTCAGCTTGTCCGCAAGCTTCTGGAGAAACTGGGCCTTAAATTGAATGAGGAACAGCATGTCGGGCTTGTGGTTGAGGATATCCTGCGACCCAAGTTAAGTTTGATGCACTTGTGTTCGGATGAGGGCGGGCAGCGCTCGATTCATAAATTATTGGACGGACTCTGTGAAGGGAAGGTGGGTGACGCTGTGGAGGTTGAGGATAGCGTCAATGTTCTCCGATTCCAGCGGTCGAATGTGGGTGACGAAGCAGTTGTGGACGATCTAGCTAGCATGACCCTTGCCGACCACGACGACGCCACACCCGACGTCAAACCAACGGTGAACATCATCATACACTCGCCCCCGTCTCTTCCCAGTCCACAACAAGTCCCGACATTTGATTTGGCATATTACTTTTCCGTGCTGGCACGGGCGCGAGAGGACAAGCATGAACGTGCAGCAAGTGGGGGATTTGGCTCGAGCATTCTGTACGGGGAAGTCGTTGGGTCCACACAGACGCTTTTGGAAAGGTGGGTTAGAACTCAAGACTTGTAACTTTCTCCGTTTCAACGGGCTGAGATCCGCTCATGCGATATAGAAACCTCAAGCTTGCATCCAAGCTTCCCAACGGATTTGTGTGTGTCGCCACGCATCAAATAGCTGGCCGAGGTACCTATATATGATACTTCAGCTCCTCCTTCATTGTATAACGAATCATTTTTCCAGGACGAGGGCGGAACTCGTGGATATCCCAAACAGGATGCCTCATGTTCTCATTTGCTCTTGAACACTCTGATGCACGTTCCGTGATATTCGTCCAGTACCTAGTTGGGCTGGCGATTGTCGAGGCAGTTCGATCGCGACCCGGGTGTGAGGACCTTCCAGTCCATCTTAAATGGCCAAACGATATTTACGCGCGCACTGGGGAGGGACCCGAAGGGCTCAAAAAGATTGGAGGCATCCTCGTGTCGTCGCACTTTAGTGGAGGTGCGTTCCGAATGGTCATTGGATGCGGTTTGAACGTTACGAATCCCCATCCGACCGTCTCCCTCGATGATGTGATTCGCGCACATGCGCGTCGATTGTCGAAAACGATTGCTCCCATTCGCCGCGAAGAAGTGTTGGGGCGATTCATGGTCTGTTTTGAGGACATGTACAAGGAGTTTGTTGATGCAGGACGAATCGAGTCGAGATTTGCGTACGCTTTTGAACCATTTCTGGAACGGTATTATTCTGCCTGGCTGCACAGCAACCAGCTCGTTACACTCGGATCGCTTGGACACGCTCTTGGGCGGATTACAGGTATTGATAAGAGTGGATTGTTGAGAGCTGTTGTGATGGAGGGTGAGGATGGAGTGACTGTGGGGCAAGAGTGCTTGCTACAACCGGATGGCAATAGTTTTGACATGATGCGCGGGTTAATTACCCGCAAGCTTTGACGAGTCGCTTGAAGGAAGAAAACACTTATGTAGAAATGATGCATCGAACGTATATATATTCTCTGTCACATCCACTTTGACGAGTTGGCTAAAGAAAGAAAAACACTTGATATGTAGAAAAATAATGTATCGAAAACGTTTTATATATATATTCTCTGTTTGCATTTTTGAATTGTATTTCTGTAGAATATATACACACACACAAAACCGTGTTGTTGGGACGAGCCTTGTTTAGACCCAACGACCCTTTATTTCTCTTGGGTCTGGAAGAAATTGACAGCTTCCAATGTCATTCCTTTACGCTTGGCCCACTGATGAGCATTCCAACCCGTCCTCTTTCCCTCAAAGACGCTCAACTCCATCCTGTCTTTTTGACGGTACAACAAAAAGACATATCTGTGCAGCCCAGTGCCGGTCTCGGGCTGCGGCTCCATAAACTCTGTCAGGTCCTCTCCTTTGTCAATGTTGCTGCCGGGAATGTTGGCGACGACCCAGTGGCGAATTTCACCTTGCGTCGGCTTTTCACGCGATGGCGCATCAGGATCGACCATGATGAGGGTATAAAAGGCGTTTTCGTCTGCTGGCCACGACGCTGCGGGGGCCGAGAGACAGGCAGCAGAAGAAAGCTCTTTTCCCAGTGCAGCCTTTTTTCCGGACGGGAATTTGATGTTGAGCTCATAGGCAGGCTTGAAGTTGAGGGAATCTGGAATGACGTCTGGGATGACACCGTTGGATGTGAGAGCTTTTTGGAGCTTTGCGAGCGCTGCTTGAGCTTTTGCTTGAGCCTTTTCTGCGAGCATGGTGGTGGCAGACTTTTATTCAAAGAACAAGAACGGGAGGAGGACACTATGGGCAGAACTACGAACGAACGAAACCAAAGGAGCTAAAACAATGGAATCGATGGAGCCAAATGGACGAGTGAACGCGAGAGAGCCAAACTGTAACTATTGTGTGCAAGTTGGGATTTTTGAGGGGGGGGGGGGGGGAATGAACAAGCCCTTTTTATAACCCTTCGACTTTTACACGGAAGGAACCTCAGCAATGATCGGCTCCCCCCTTCCTAAAACTCAACAAAAAAAAGGGTTACATCAAAGGCGTCACCTGGCCCTGTGTTGCTTTCCACCAACCTCCACACTTTACAAAACAAACCCCCCCAGCAAAAGAAAGCCCTTCCTTGTGGGCCAATAACCACCAACTGGAAGAAACGCAAAGGTGGCAGATGACCCTCAGCGCCCTTCATTTGATGACTCATCAAACTTGACTGTGCCACTGACGCGTTTGTCCTTCTGAGACATGTCCGAACATGTGACCTTTTTATATAGTTTTATTATTGAAGAGTTTGTTGAATATGCAAAAGGGAGTTACGAGGAGGAATGACTGGCAATTGGAAATGCATCTACAGAGCTTTTAGCATATCTATATATCGTTTTGTTGCAAGGTCGTTATTTATCTAGTTGGCTTGTGCTGATCAGGGAGGGAAGACAAGGGCCAGCAAAGGGGGGAGGCGTTCAGTGTTTGCGTTGTATGGTTGTTTTCTTGCCACATTTGGTGCTCACACACACGCCTTGTTCACACTCGCCCTTTGATTGTGTGTGTGTGTGTTGTCTTTCAAGGTCTTTTGTCTTTCAAGCGACAGAACTGTACACTCAATTCCATTGCTATTCATTTTGAACAAGCAGATAATGCCAATTCCCAAAACCATGTCATCCAGCTGTATAAAACACACGCACACACACAAATAAAACACGAATCGTATTGCCATCGTCCATTATAATATATGATTGCTCACGTACGCTCACGAGGGATAAATCATGACACCAAAGTGTTTCAATCCCCAATGCTGAGCTCTTCTTTTGAGTCGCGCGCGCGGCTGATGGCATATCACGTGATACATTAAGTAATCGACATGACATCATGATCTCATTACGCAATTGGAACAAGTTAGATCGACACGAGTGTTATAAAAAGGAGCTGTTTGTAGGGATTTTTTTTTTCAAGATTTCCTACCACAAGCATACACGCATACGCACGCACAAGCACAAAGTAACGAACGTTATGTCCTCTGTCCGCACCATTTCCCGCTCCCTCCGTCTCCGTCCCGTTCTCCGCGCACCCCAACCACGTCTCACTCTCCAACAGAGATGCTACGCATCAGGAGCCAAAGCCGCCAAACCCGGTGCTTCAAGCAAACTACTATGGACAGGAATTGCAGCGGCTGTTCTTGGTGGAGGGTATTACTACATACAGCAAACCCCCGGTAAAAAGAAGCTTGACCAAGCTGTCGATGTATGTCATGTTATTGTTTTTTTTTTTTTTTACTAGAAGGAATTTTTGCTCATGTCTTGAACTTTAGAGCGCAAAATCCGGTGACGTTCGTCAAGCAGCCGCACAGGCCACCCAAGCCGTCTCCGACTCTTATCCCGAACTCACTAAAACCCTTTCCTCCCTCCTCGGCAAGGAATTTGGTGATGCGGTAACAAAAGCCCTCGACGCAGCCAACAAGGCCCGTGACGCAGCTTCCAAGGGGTTGGACACGGAAACAGGCCGTAAGCTCCAAGAACGCGCCAAAGAGATTGAAGAAGGTGCACGGGCGGTGTTGCGGGATGCCATGGAGCTTCGCAAGCAAGCCGTCAAAGAACTCGGTCCTGCTGCTAAAAAGCACTATGAGGCTGTCAAGGACTCTATATCCGCTACAAAGGGGTCAAGCTGGGATACGGTCGAGACGGGTCTAAAGGCTTTGAGGAAGGAGGGATCGGAATTGTTGGAGGAAGCCAAGCAATCACATGTCGGGGAGGAATTGAAAAAGAGAATCAAGGATTTGGTTGCCAAGGCGGATGACCTGCGGAAACAGGCTGAAGCGTATTTGCATGACAAGCGTAAATAGATGTTATTGTATGCGTGTCCTCTTGTACCATTTCTTTTTTTGCATTAAAATCTGGCTTTCCGATCTGTTCGTTTGATCGAGAAGGTTGATTATCTAATCCAAATGCTGGCTGGCTTTCCACTCTTGCATGCCATTACTCTGACGTTTTCACACCAATGTCTCAAGAAGCCCTCAACACCGTATTAACTCTCTCGGAATCGTTTAAATCACCATATCGGCTATCGAATCCTCTCTTGCGCACCATCCTCTCCAAACACCCCCACCTTATATCCGAAGCACAAACTCACCCCACTCGCGCACGCATCCTCGTGCACCCCTCCCTCCCACCCTTCTTGACCGCTTTCCTGCAACTCAAGAAACAGCATGGCACACGTACAGAACAGACCGTGTACAGCGGTATTAAAACATGGCAAGACCTCGTTAAACGACTTGTAACATGTCGTCCCTATGTTTCTTTGGAGCCTCGGATACGACTCTATTACGGGACATGACATCCCCAAGTGGATCAGAATGGATCAAAGTCGGTACAGAGTCGGAAGGTCTCATACACATGAAGGACTATTTAACGTACGAAGAGATGGGTGTCGCGGCCTTGCTCGGCTTGTCTGCCCCAGTCTTTTTTGTCAATGCTGGAAGGAGATACAATCGGGGAAAGTTGGGTGAAGACGGGACGTTTGAATCAAGTGGAATTTATACAGCCTTGGTAGGGGCTCGATATGAAGTCCCTGGGAAAATGGAATGGCGGCATACTTTGGCTTACCCGGACCAAGAACCAATCACTCATCCATGGACGATGCTCTATGATACACATTCTTTGCAAGAGGATCTTGATCCTACCTTGTACGCACCGATTTCGAAATCAGTCGCTCTGCACATTCCTTCTTATATTCGTCGGATCAGGATTCCATTGGACAATCTATTGCTTGATGCCAACGACAGAGCTAGAGCTCAAAACAAGCGTGCCTATGTCCATGTCGTGGGACTGGGATTGGGCGTGTGGCAGATCTGTCAGTCACAGCCTCAATGGTTTGTCCGGGCCGCTGCCGAAGCCATACAAGCGTATCGGTTACCTCATGTAGGTGTGCTAAACTTTAGCTGGTTTCCCGAAAATATAAATGAATGCGGCGGGGTCAAGAGCGGACAACAGTTTAGGACAGACAAGGGGAACGATATCCGCATCGAATTCTCAAAACGAGATCCTGCACAGCAATTAGAAGCTAGAGATCAAGACATGCTGTTGGTGGCTTCGTTTGCCTGGGATGCCAACAGTTATGTGGGCAATGAGTTTTGGACAGGTATGCTGACTGCAAGCGGGGATCCCGCGGCGGCAGCTTGTTCGACCATCGGAGAGATCATGAACCCAGACATTAATCCGTTTCTGCTGGACAATATTTGGGTGGCCAGCGAGTGACGCGCGGACAAACTCATAATGTCAGGCATTTAGAATATCACTAGTAGATATCCCCTCGTACAGGAATGAGACGCGCGCGCAGGTGTTGCTGGGTCTGACGCACAAGTAGCATTGGCCAATTTCGCACTGTGCGAAGACCCACATTGATCCTCCTGTCCACAAGTAAACAGAGAAATAGAGTCACGATAGATATGTATATTAAACGAATAACCGTTAAAATACACCTCAGGACGCTTAATCGAAAAGACCTGTTGAAAATGAAGTTTGTCAATAACCCGTCAATCTCGTCAACTCAAACACAACACGACAACTCACCGAAGCCCATGTCGTCATCAGACTCCTCCTTGGCTTCCTCCTTCTTCTCTTCCTTGGGTGCCTCAGCAGCGGCACCACCGGCAGCAGCACCACCAGCAGGAGCGGCAGCAGCAGGACCTACAAGGATATAAACAAGGTCAGAAAACAAAAAGCCACAAATCACTCTAGTGCAATCTGAATGCGTACCAGCGGAACCAACGTTGAAGAGGAAGTCACCAACGTCCTTTCCGGCCAGGGCCTTGGCAAAGAGAGTGGCCCAGATGGGCTCAACTTCCACACCAGCGGCTTCGATCAATGAGTTGATCTTCTCGGCCTATAGTAAAGAAAAGCATGTTTAGTTGTCTGGTTGCTGAAAAAAGAGATCACTCCTTTGGCCATTGGCGGTATCTAGTCCCTTTGCCCTCCCACCACCACCATAATTCCTATCACACTCTCCTCAATCATTGCGCTTCGTCCTTTCAGACTCCATGCTCACTCCCAAAGGCCAACCCCGACATGGGCATGTAAACACCTACCGTGATTTCGACACCGTCGTCGTGGAGAATCAACGCCGCGTAAACGCAAGCAGCCTCAGCAGTGGACAAAGACATGACGGATGGATGGATGGATTGATAAAAAAGGATCTGTGTTGCAAAGCAAGCGTTTAACCCGAAGGAGCAGTGCACTCGAGATCCGTGTGTGGGTGGGGAAGGAAAGCAGAAGGATGGATTGGGAGAAGAGACTTTAAAATGTGATGATCACGTGGACAGGGCGCGTTGCTTTTTGGAGCTGCCAAACTGGACGACGGACGACGACGACGACAAGACAAACGGTAATGGAAAAGAAAGCGCACATGTTCATAGATAATCCAACACACACAAGAGTATCATCGTACAGTCTACATAGCCATATCTACTTTATACACAACACAGAAAATATCCATATCTCATACTAACGGTCTAATCTACACGTCTACAATGTTTACCAACAACATTAAAAACACAGTCTACCGACGTATGGAAATAATAAAAGAAAGGGGAATCGCATGAGTATCATTGTAACCGCTTGATCACGTCCCGCTTTTCTTCAAGGTAATCGTGTGCCTATAAACGTTCAAATACCAAAATCAGTTTTTGCGAATACATGGTCATTTCTGGGGGGCGCTCAGTACCCACCTTTCTCAAGGCATTGTCATACTTGTTTGGAAAATGATGGTACAAAAAGTTGTTCTTGAACTGAATGTTACAGAACAATTCCTTTTGACTCCGCTCCACAAGGTAATGAGGGACAATGTCGTCGATCAACGGATTTCCTGTCATGGCATCTTCGTTGATTTCATCCTCCTTTGGTGGTCGCTTGGTGGAGGAATGGAGTACACGAGATGTCTTGTACATATAGTAGATGGTGCCGGGAATGTAGACTTTGGGGTGCTCGTTGGATTGTTTGAGGTGGGTATGGTGGTTGGCCAATCGAGTCATCCGTTCCTGTTTCAACATTTCGTCAGAAAGGACCATAAGGAGGGTAGGGAAGAAAGGGTCTCACCTGAGTAGTAAGTTTCTTCTCATTCAGCAAGCCATGTGCAGTTTTTAGCAATTCCCGAAAATCCATGATCGCACCAAAACTGGCTCTTGGTACAATGTCATTCTCGTTGACATAAGTCTCAATGTACGGCTCAAACTCTTGGCATAGCTCCTCATTCACACACGGCGGAGTCGCAACGTTGTAACACTTTAGCTTAAACTTGGAATTGCCAGAGATTTCCCTAAACTCTTCAAGATGGCCATGGAGGATCATGGTAAACAGGGACGAAACACCAGCACCAAGCGAATGGGCACTAAGATATAAGGCGTTGCACTTGTATTGTCGTACCCAGCCTTTGATGCGGTCGAGGAAGTGATCTTCAAGGTATTGGGCACATCGAAGGAAACCTCTATGAGCGTAACCGTGAGAAAATGGCTCGTATTCGGCGCAAGCATCGGTGATGCACTCGTGAACATTCTGAATAGGGAACGAAAGCATGAGTTAGACAGGACTATTACCCCAGGTAGTTTATCAAACGCGAAAACAACATACAAAGGTTCCTCGGATGACAACTACAATCGCATTCAGCTTGGGATCTCTCGCAATGAAAAATTGAGGCTTGAAAAGCTTCAGATCAAAATCATACGCGAGCATGTCAGATCTCGCCAACCCCAAATGTTCACACGCAGTCTTTGAGTCGTTTTTGGGACGCACAAAATCACGAGCGTAACCCTTGCCGTAACCAAAGTAGTTTAGCACGAGTGAGCCGTACGCCGTCATGGCGTAATTGAGAAAGTAGCAAGCTACTCGGATCTGTCGTTCATCAGTGACAATGTCATTGGTGCGCGGACTGCCCATCAAAGTCAGAATTGAAGATGGTAGCGGCCAATCAAGATTCGAGAATATACATACTTGGGATGATATTTCGCATAGTACTTTTGCACAAACATCAACGCTCGTGCAAACTCCATTTTACTAATCTTCCATCCAGTGCCGAAAAAGGCAGACGCAAGTTCAGATACTTCTTTCAATCCCATAAGTGTGTTTTCGGCAATGAGAGTGGGTCTCCTCTTCTTCTCGTTTACATTCGAGCTGGAAGACGTCCGCATGCTGATGACAGACCGCGTTTCGTCAAAGCTCTTTGATCGAGACCGGGCATAGATTGACTCAGCGTCGCCATTCTGCTGCTCTTTTTGCAAGTACTCTAAGAACTCTGCCGCCTCCTGCTCGTGATCCGTATTGCCCGTCATCTCGTCGACAGGGAAAACATTCGAGTCCATGCGGTTCCGGTGCCCCGGAATGGACGGAGACAATGGTGGATTACTACTGCTTGTACTGTAACTCCGATCCAAGCGAGTACTACGCCGCCCACCAATGAAACTGAACCCAATCGTTATTTCTCCAATCTGCTTCCCGGCCAGCTTGGGACTGCGGTGCGCCTTTCGGTGATTGAGCGAGTAAGTGCTGAATTAAATGTGTGGATTTGTTAATGCATCGATTTTGCATCGAGGAGACTGACACATCTCTACATACTGCTCAATATCACCCAAGACTTGTGGCAATCTTGACAATCTGATGTGGGCCCGTCCGATGTGAGATCCCAAAAACCCAGCCTCATAGATATCGACCTATATGAAACTTGGTGAGCATCATGCAAAATTGGACACTTCCGCAGCTGATATGCGTTCCGCCGGAGACTGCATTGCATCCCTCCGTGTGCACATGCTGCACCTTGTTCGCGCGTCTCCGCACGAATACTCACCTTTAGGTGGTCAAAAAGCAAGGCATGATACGTAACATCAAACTTGAATTTCGTCTCCCCATGTCCATTGGGATACGCTCCCGCGGAGGTCTTAAACTTGCGATGACGAAACGAGAATTTCACGACAATGTTTGTCACTGGCTTGTTGAGTTTGATATCTTCCAAATGCACCATCATCGTAGAAGGATGATTGTCCCATGATAATCCGTTAGTGGCCGTCGGCATGGTCGTAGGATTGTGCAAAGACGCAGCTTTCGTTCGTGGAGTGACTGGAGCATGGCTCGCCTGTTTGTCCTTTGCCTGGTTTACCGATGCTACAAGGTATAATGACACCGTTTACCATCAAGAATTTGAACAAGGGCATGCTCGTTTCTACCATACCAATGTACAACTTTTCCAAATCCTGCGGGGACAAGCTCGCAAAGTCCAAGGTAGAAAAATCGATCGTAGTGCCATTGGGTGTTGTCGGCTCTTGTGCTGGTGCCTCGTCCTCTCCTTCTGGTTCCTGTACCATTGTCTTGCCGTCGTCCATCACCTTGTCCATTGCTGCCTCTACTGCCATCATGTGCTCAACCCTCCAAAGCAGTAAACATACAAGTAGTGCAAGATGCCAAATGCCCAATGTCTTTTTAAAAAGCCCTTCTAGGCCGCCCTTGCCGCCTGCGTCGGGGAACTCCCAAAAAGCCCAAACGACGACGACGACGGGCCGAAAGCGCGAAAACTTGACGAATAATTTTCCCTCTTTCATTCATTGCCTGTGGCACAGTCATACTATTAACAATTTTGATTATCATTTCCTTTTATAGATTAATTACGTGTGTAACTCTTTATGTCACCTGTCACGTGTGTGAATGACGTTGAAAGTCAAAAAGTGTTTAAAAAGCGATGCGCTACGAGCGGCCGGCAACGAGGCAAGTAACTAGCAAAATAACACAATGAACGCTGGAAAATCGCAGATGCGTGATCCCGCCATGGCCTCTGTCGGGACGATCAGAATGAAGGAAGGAGCTGCAGAGGTGGTTTTGGTGCATCTGTGCAGGAAGATCCGTTTGCGATAAATAACGCGTGTTTTTCCCTTTTTTTCGTGCAGCCAAAGGACAAGGCCAATGTAACGCTCAAGGATAAGGTAGTGGGTACCGCACAGGTAGGTTCATAGTAGCACATGCCCACTGGCCAGTGCTTGTATTGACGCACGGATGGATGGCCCTATAGAAGTACCTATCTTCGGACCCAGATACGCAAGCACGCGGCGCAGAGCGAGCGGCGACGGGGACAGTAAGAACCGAGGAGGAACTGAATCCGAATCAAAAAGCGAATCTTTTGTAAAAGTGTGAACAGTGTACAATTTAGCAACAAAGGATATTTCCGAACAGTCAACAGTTTGAAAACTAGCACGGTAACGCTGGTATTCACTCTCATCGTCCACGCCGTGCCTTTGTCGTTGCTGCTTCTCCAACTGCTTTCCGACTCCCTTCGCTGTAGACCTTTTCCACAAAGGCATCGTGATGACCTGGTGATTATGTAAGCCGGTTCCTGTCCGGAGGGTGTGAGGCGCGTTCAGCATGACCTCCACCTTCTGTCCAACAAATGGCCAAATTGAGATCGTCTGGCAGATAGAAGCGGATCGCGCCTTGTTTACCTACAGCGATTGTACAGAAACCTCCCAGTCACGCATCGGAATTCTCTTGTAGCAATACTTTTCACCAATTCTGGGCCACCTCACCATGGGTGACGCCACCATACATGTGGATCCTCCGGCCGGAGACGACCATGACGAAAGCGAAATGGAAGAAGGGGAACTTTATGAGCCTGTTTTTGTCGCACCCACCTCTATACCTTTTACAAGTTACCCTGGTCTATCACCCACCTCGCACCCACACAGCCCGCCAACACCAAAATTTAGCCCTTCTCCCACAGATCCACTGTACTTCCCCTGCACCCAGAACCCATTAAACACGAATCTCTCCAAGACATATGTGGGGACATGCCCACTTGAGGAATACGACAACCGTGAGAGAATTGGCAAGGGTAGTTTTGGGTAAGCTTTCCGAAAAGTGTTCCGCGCGTGGAAATCATGTCACTCACAATACTCATTGACACAAGTGAAGTCACCATTGCGACTCACAAAGAGACACAAAGAAAAGTAGCTTTGAAGAGAATTATTGTACATAAAGAGAAGGATGGGGTGAGTTGTTTCTGAAAGGGTGCTTCATGGTTCGTACTGACTATTGATCACCGACTCCTTGGCAGCTCCCAATTACCGCGGTGCGGGAGATCAATATTTTGAAAGGCCTTCGACACAAGTCTGTGATCGAGCTTCTGGGAATGGCAGTTGCGAAGGGTATGTGAATAAGGTGTTCCATTGCGCCGTGTAGCTCTTTGTCATTCCGGCTGATCTCACTCATTATCAAAACAGGCAATCCAGACGAGTACGAACCAGCAACTATCTACATGATATTTCCCTATATGCACCATGACCTTGTGGGCCTACTCGAAAATCGGTATGTCACATTGGAACCAAATCAAATCAAATCATTTACCAAGCAGCTCCTCGAAGGGGTCGCCTATCTGCATCGGGTAAGTCAGCGTACAGCAAGATTGAACCAGCTGCATGAGCATTCTCTCATACACAACTACGACTAGAACCATTTTCTTCACCGAGATTTGAAGAGTTCCAACATCCTGATCGACAACGAGGGGACCTTGAAGATCGCGGATTTCGGTCTCGCACGATCTTACAACGCGGCAGATAAAACAATTGAGCTTACTCCCAATGTCATTACTTTGTGGTATCGTCCGCCTGAGCTACTTCTAGGCCACAAAACCTACACATCAGCGGTGGATATGTGGGGTGTCGGGTAAGCGGTCCCTAGGTTCTCCCACTCTTACAGTCTATCTTTGCTCACCTTCGCATACCCCGCTTAGGTGTATATTTGCGGAAATGTGGGATAGAAAGGCCATATTCAAGGGGGAGACGGAACTAGACTTACTCGATAAAATACTGAGAGTGTGCGGGACCCCCGATGCAAAAGCGTGGCCAGAGTTTACAAAACTCACTGCTTCGGCAAGCATACGACCCAAGCAGGAGAGTAGAAAAATACTAGATATCTACAAGCCGGATCGGTGGGTTTCCTTGTTGCGATCAGATTATATCCGGTGCACACTCCCTGAGTGCTTATTGCGTATTTTTCCAGCCTCGATTTCCAGACAATTGATCTATTGAACACCTTCCTAGTACTCAACCCCGCAAGGCGTCCAACAGCTGAAGCTGCACTCAAACATGAATACTTCCACGTTGAACCCGAAGCAGCGAAACCCAGTACACCCGAGTAGGTCATCGGCGGCAGATTGTGTTCCAATAAATGCCAGTAGTAAACACTTGCAACTTTCAGCTTTCCAGGGTGGCCCGAGTCCCACGAATTAGGCATACGCGCCCAAATCGACCAAGAACTCAGAGAGCTCGATGTATTGCAGAGACCAATACCATCGATCCGACCACCAGCACACCACGATGCGCTCATCGTGGACGGTCAACCCGTGAGACGCCCACGTCTTCACGACGATGCTGAAACACGACAATATAATCGGCATCGTGACGATAAACGACCGGGGAGACGACATGATCACCGGCGCTTTGGACGCGGGCGAGGACGACCGGGGAACGAGCGGGGACGGGGCGGACGTGGAAAGTCGGCTCATGAGGCATCTGGCGAGCCAACCGGGGAGGGCTCAGTCATAATGAGAATGAAGCATCCGTTGCCACCCAAACCCGTACTCAGAGTACCGTTTTCGGAATGAGGGTTCGCTGGGCGATGCGAATGGAAGTAGACACTGGACTGTACATATTTGTTGCATTGCTGATGCGTTGAAAATAGCGGATGTGGATCTAGTTGCGGAACTGGGGACTGTGTCCCCGAGGTCACGAGCTCGTGCATGACTCTTTATGTCCATCGAATCCAAGAGCACTGGAGGAACGTTTTTCTAAACCAATCCAGCCTGACGATGCATGTGGGCTATACCATTATTGTTCATGGACGTCGCCGAGCAATATAATGATGATGCAATTCTCCTTGTCAAATGGGGCGGCACATCATAAACAGGTGAAATCGACACGTGGGATCAACATCTGTCCCAACCCTTTGAACCGCCGAGGCGAAAGCTATTTGTCCCTTGACAACCCGCAACGTGATACGAGGATGGATTGATATCCATGGGTATTGGTACATCTTTCTGGATGCACGTAGATATTGTATTTTATAGTACATAGTAATTTATGGACACTCTGTCATTAGAACACGCACTGTTGTCAGATGACTGGCGTTATACTTTTCTGTACGGCCTAATGGATTATTGCTGACAAAATATAGGATTTGTAGTCAACAAGAAGAGGCACGGAATAACGAACGACGGGCAACATTTTCCTGCAGCTGCAATACCTTTCTACTTGGTGGCCTGCGGTACCAGATGTTGGTGAGGATAACGTAATACGATCGGCGTGACTCACGTGCACAAGTCAGTGCCTGAGATCGGTCTCCCAAGGATCTCTCCATCTTGTCCAATTCAAAAAGATGACCCAACAAACGCTTAGCGCCGATTTTGACAAGTCGCAGGCAGATGACTGGTGGGCTCGATTGGTCCCAGTAAATGCTTCTGAAGGTTGTTCCCACGGGTCACCATCATGTGAACGCCCTGCCTGACACTAGCTCTGCCTACCTAAAAAGAGACACCGCTACTTCTGATGGCTCCAAAGGAAGAATACATTATCGGTCGCTCTTCCAATGAGTGCAATTTTGTTTTAGGTGGAGATTTGGTGTCCAGTCAGGTGAGATTCCTATTCTTAGGAGGGTTCTACCGTGCGTTAACCTTGACCTGCTAAAATCATTGACAACGAGCAGCATTGTCGCATATTAAAGGTAATCTTCTAATATACTACTTTATAATTCAAGTAATTTGTAGCCAACAAGTGGCTGTTCATGTTAGGTATCGGACGGGGAGGATGCTTTTATGGTTTTAATGGAGGACTTGTCAAGCAATGGGACAGTACGTGTCTCTCCCATTCTGGTTGGGTTCAATATGTGTATAGATAGGCTCATACTTTATTTTAATAAAAGTTTATCAACGGTATCAAACTAGGGAAAGGTTTTTATTGATCTTCATTGCTATAGATCATGTAGTTTGTTTATCTAACGACATTGCGGATGGAAGGGAACAAACGCATGCTTGTATCTGGGGATGAGATTGGCATCACGCCAACGGGCAGGACATTCGAGCATCGTGAGTTTGGAATTTCTTGGAATCTCAAAAGAAGGTTACAATGAACCATATCCAGACTTTATCTTCCAAATGACGAGTTCCCGCAACAGCGACGATGTGCATTATGAAGTGAGATTGGAATCATTTCATCTTGCTTGCTCCGGACGGCGATACCCAATTGGATGTTGCAGGTTGAATCTCCATCGGATAGAATGTATATTTTGCAACGGGAACTGGGAAGGTATGTTCGTATGTATGCGGAGGCGCCATGACAGCCAACCTAAACAGAATTGGCGGGCCGTAGAGGAAACTTTAGCGTTGTTCGGCTGGCCGTCAACAAAACTACTGGTGAAAAATATGCCATCAAAATCATAGGTGGGTTGTTCAAAGCGTGCGGTGGTCTTTACTGCGTCTCATATAAACAAAGACAAAAGACGGATCGCATTTAATGTACAAGCTGAAGAAGCTTTGAAGAGAGAGGTATTGCTTCGCGCCGTCTTGTCTTTCACTGTAATTATCTCAACTTACACAAGGACGTAGGCCGAAGTACTAAAGTCAATTGACCACGTATGTTACCTGTCCCCTTTGTTGTCAACTTTCAAGAATCTGACGGTCCCCCACAGCCCTATATTGTTCGGCTACACGAAGCATTTCAACTCGGCCACCTTTCATACCTTGTCATGGATTTCATTAGCGGCGGGGACTTGTCAAATTATGTATCGGGGCGTGATGTACTCCGAGAAGAGGAAGTTCGACGTCTGTTTCGACAAATGGTGCGTTTTGTAATGCGACTGACTAGAGCGCTCCATTTAAATTTCTTTGCATGTTTAGGTTGAGGCAGTGCAGGTTTGCATAATTGTGTTTGTGTATGTCTGGACCGTCAGTATAACAACTTTCACGTCTAGTACATACATTCATTTGGCATCGTTCATCGCGGTTCGTTGCTGGCGTGCTTCCTAATAATATCTCAACCTGTCATCTAACGCTGCCTAATGCAGATCTAAAACCAGAAAACGTCCTGGTTACAGAGGACAAGTCGCCCACTTTAAAGCTTTCCGATTTTGGGTAAAGTCCACTCGGTTGTGTCAATACTTGATCATCTATATCTCAATCATCGATTATCCCCTGCGTTCTGTCTTTTAGTCTTGCTAAAATGATAGGTTCCGACGAATGCCATACCATATGTGGTACATCGCATTTTCTTCTTTTCGGTGTGGTTGGCGATGATAAGTAACATTCTCTAGGAACACCGGAGTACCTTGCCCCCGAAGTGTTCCTATCTGGCAACTATGATTCACGGGTTGATCTCTACAGCCTAGGGGCCATTCTATATTTTATGCTGACAGGTAGAAATGCTCGGAGTGACATCATTTATACCTCTTTTGGTTGACAAAAGTATAGGCCAGTCTCCTTCTGAGGTGAATTTAGAGACAATCGGTGTGGAAGGCTCAAGCTCGAGCCTGCCAAAAGCAATACCCCCTCAAGGTCTACAATTAAATGTTGCTCATGTAGATTAGGATTATAACGGTATCTTTCTCTTTCTCAAACAGCGGCAGGGCTGATCAAAGGACTAATGCAGCCAGACCCTGAAAAGAGAACATCCTTGGAGGCTCTAATACGACATCCATGGATGCTAACGGCACCCCGGACACCAGCCACACCTCATGGTTAGATTCCTTTACCGTTGCTTTCTTGCGTCTAATCCTTCTTAATCTGTTTATGCATTTCTGTTAGCTTTCCGGAGACCCGAAGATCGTCCAGTATGGGCTACGTTATCCTCGCAAGAAGGTCCTCCACGTGTCATCAAGATGTTCCGCGATTCCATATCGTTTGGGCGAAGAGAAGGTATGTCGCATTGATCATGTAGAAGAGTCCTTTCGCTAATATGCCTTTTAAAAGACAATGATATCGTTCTTGGCGATCCAAGGGTGTCTGGTAAGTTTTATACGAGTTGGTTTGCCATAAAACTTGCTGCAATTTCAAATGCTCACATGCGAACATGTCTATCAAGGAACGCATTGTAAAATTGTTCGGGAGGGAGGACACGTTCTTCTGCATGATACAAGTGCAAACGGCGTGCGTGTGAATGGGATTCTGGTTGGGAAGGGAAATAGTGCCGAGCTGAGGCAACGGTAAGAATATGGTATGGCATCGTGTTTAAAGTAAGCGTACGCTAATGGCCTCCTTCTTTTTTCCTTATCCTTATGTAGAGATGTTTTGACATTAGTGCCAGAAACACTTCATCAATCTGGTAGGAAAGCGACTTATTTCGTCATTGGTCACTCGGAAGCTTATCGCACCTCCCTCTTTTAAATAGCCATGACCTTCACCTACGCAGAAATGCTGCCCCCATCCGCGAAGCGTAGTCTTTCTCCTCCTGATACTGATGAACATACGAGAAAACAGGCAAGATTAATCGAACTTCTGAGACTTGCCCGATGAGGAATATCTTAACAGGTCTCACTTCAACAGCAACGCATAAACTCATCGTTTACACTCCAATCTATTAACATCCCGACACTTCCTCCCATCATCCCTATGAAACCTCAAATGCTTATCGGCCGACGCCCAGACTGTGACATCCTTTTAAATGTCGCTGAAGTCAGTTCTGTCCATTGTCGGCTGACGACGAGTAATAATGTCACAACCCTGGAAGATTCTAGTAGTAATGGGACATGGGTGAATGGAACGAAAGTCGGAAAAGGGAATACGACGGTGTTGAAAGACGGCGATGAGTTTTTGATTATGAATCCAAAAGCCGCAGGTTTGAACGTGCTTTATGCTATCTTTATCAAAGTCATCTAGCATCACACTTTCCTATTTTTTACAGATACCAAGATTGGTTTTCGATGCGTATTTAGATAATTTCTATCGCTTGTATTTGTTTATTTAACAGCAAATCATATACTTTGTCCGTTTATGAGCGGCAGATGGCGTCTATCTCTTCGGCTTCCTCCTGCTTCTGCCGAGTCTGCGGTCGCGATGAGCTGATGGTTGTTTATCGAACTGAACTTGGCCTTCTACAGAAGTGTGGACAGCGTGCCTGCACCGCCACTTTTTCCGTCCTCCTATGTAGCTTTCCATGACCGGTTCCAAAATGTTTGGGACCGTGTGATAAATGTACTCGACAACGCTATGATGAGATATGGGATCTAGTTCGGAAAGTGGGAAGCGGGGAGAAGGTGTGATCAAGGATGTGGGTTTCTCAATGGACTGCGGGATGCGAGATGTCACAAAACGAAGATCGTGGCGCTCGCCACTGTTGCTCTCTGCTGGAAAACGATTTGTCAGTCCGAAAATTGCCTGGAATCATCCATGAGAAATCATACCAGAACGCAGCTTCATCTCTTTCTTTGGAACTCCCGTTTCCTTCCTCCAGACATCCTTTACCAAACCCATCACATTCGCATTTCCAGCTGGTCCCAAAGGAACTGGCCGATGTTGAGAGTAAAAGATTGCCTCGGCCATTCGAGCGTCCATCACCCCAGCTTTCTTCCTTGTATATACTCTCTTTACGGGGATCCTTTCTCCATCTTCTTCTGTTGAGCTGTGAAGGTGTCGCTTGGAGATCGCAGGCTGCAAATGGCAAAATCGTCCAGTAAGCAACGCCAAGCACGTAGATCGTCGCGACAGCATCGTTCGGATGTACGCTCTCTAATGTTTGAGGGAAACCGACGTTGAAGAGTTGCTACATATCTAGGTGCAGCAACATGATAACATGTGGCGCTTTACACCTCTTTGAAAAAGAAAGACAAACGATCTGAACAGCAAGCAGGCGGTCTTTTGATTGGGTAAGCAGTTGGTGGACGCGATTTTTGACAGCTGCTACTGGGCGAGGTCAGCGGGCAGCTCATGCTTTGCTGGCGAGAGTCCCTCAAACATGCATGCAGATGTCTAGCATATTACTCCTTGTGAAATGCAGAGGCGATTGTTGTCTCCCCCAGAAAGTACAACAATATTCATGATTCGTTCGTTGCCGATCACTCTTTTTACAATGCTATGGTACTTCCAACCGGAGTATTGCAAGCTCATCTGTGCTAACAAATGCACACAGCACATCGTCAGAGTAGAGTACGCAATGAGAAACCAACATGCTCTCGTTCTCGAGTGTTTGTTGTATTTGCAAAAATATACCAGCTAGACCTTGACCTTGAGGGGAACCCATGTCACCTGACCTGAGATCGTTATAAACTCGTCATGCAGAGATCTCTCAAGATTTTCTGGCATGGACATCACAGCGGATCTGAGAGGGAAGCTGAGAGAACAATCGCTTCGCTTCTGGTTAGGCATTACAGACCGCACGCCAGAAGCGTCTTTGCATCTATATGATAGGTATGTCCGTTTTTGTTGAAAAAATGCCGTGAAACATGCACCGACAATGATCGCCGATATAGGAATGTGGTGACGGGTAAATTACGGGGAACAGATTCCACAGCGGAGCTGTTCAATATTAGGGATTTGAAAACTCCTGTTGGTATCTACCCGGAAGCTCAAGTACGGTCAGGCGACGTGCGATATCTTACTATTGAGCTGTAGAATAGGCTAAGGCAGCGGACCAGTTGGTCCAGCCATTCCAGTAAAGTGAATACATTATACTACATGAAAATGAAGACCGGCCGCCTACGCAAGCCGAAAGACTGATGTTCCCATCCAAGGACCAGTATCCGCCCTTCCACCACCCTACGGTTTACCTCCCTTCTTTCGCACCCCACCTTCAAATCCTGGTCTTGGCTTTTTGCCCTTATCTTTTTTCCCTTTTGAACCTTTGGGTGCATTTCTGGCTTCTTGTCTCGCCTTCAGGTTCTCCTCTCGCTTTTTCTGTCGCTCCTCCTGCTCTTTCTTCACCTGCGCTTGTCTGTTACTCCAAGTGGTAGCACTCTTTTCCTTTGATTTTTCCTTTCGTTTCACACTCTTCTTTAGGAGCTTCAAGTCGTCCTTGACCTTTTCTCCTTCTGCCTGTTTAAGCAGCTTGTTCCATACCGCAGCTTCTTCGATTGTCTCAGCCTTCTCCTTATCCACTTGCTTCAGCTTTTCCAGCTTTTGTTTCTTTGCTTCAGCCTGTGATAGACGGTATGTCAGTTTTTATGACTCCTTGGACAATTATATCGGTAATTGTAATTCTGACCTGCTTTAACTGTCCCGTGAGATCAGTTGGACCTTTCCGCTTCTTTGCCACCTCAGCTATACCAAAGTCAAGCTTGCCAAATGTCACGTCCTCCTTAATGGCTTTAGAGCCACCGTTCGCTTTGGTGTCCATCTTTGATGGTCCATCAATAGCCATTCCCTGGGGACCCATATGTGAGTTACGTATTTAAATTAAACCAGTCAGCGTGACATACCTTTGTATCGTCCAACTTTCTTCTCTTTTCCTTCTTCTGTTTGATTCCCTCCTTACGCTCCCGCTTTCGCTTTGCCCGTTTTTCTAAAATTTCTTGTCTGCTCTTTGGTGCTTCACCATCTACTGTCCCCGTAGGTGCTTTGCGTTTGGTACGAAGCTCTTGAATACGGCTTTTCAGCTTCTCCTGCAGCTCCACAATCGACCCTGTTGGAAGGGGGGCTAATCCTGATATCCATACGGAGATACGTTATTGGTGCTCTGGGCATGAGACACCTTTACAGCATGGCAAAACCAACCTTCCATATGATCCACATCGTCAGCAGATGCTGGTTCTCCACCGTCCTCTTGTGCGGCCTCGCTCGTCGCCAGGGTCTCGGTCTGAATGTCCAATACAGACTTGACGTTCTCAGGGTCCAACTATCACCGAGACATGAAGCGTTACATGCTGTGCGCTCGCATTTCAGCTAATCGCAAGAACAATACCTTTGCCTTCTTGGCCTTCTTCGTCGCTTCTTTCACTACCTGTTTTGGAGCTTTGTTCTTTTTGTTGTGCATGTACTTTCCGGTCTGCAATCAAAAAACCAATCGGTCACACTTTCCACCCAGTACGATACTCTCTCTCCGCAGCACTTACAGGCGCATCGTCGTCTCGGGCCAGATAATATTTAGCAGGAATGAGTTCGACGAGGGAATCAAAGCATTTTCGGTGTTCCGCAAGTCGCTCCTGTACGTAGACTAGTGTCAGAATCCACAACGAACTCCATTACCACTTGCCCAACCCTCCTCCCCCATACCTGAAGGCCCTCCAAGGAGTATGTCGCTGTTTCTACAGCCATTGTTTGGCGATTGAACTCAATGAAATCTCGACAAGTCCGCCCAAGTGCGAAATAATTCTTTTTGACGTCGTCCCAAAAGGGATTTCATTTAACCAAATGCGGTTACATTGCAACTTTGGCCAAAGCAACGCTGGAAGATCCTCCGCGAAAGTGTTTGGTGGGAGCTCGTTGAGCTACGATTGATGAACCCATCTGACGCTGGTGGGCCTCTACCTTAGAGCTGTGAGTTAACGCGAGAAATGTTCCCTCGGAGAGCACTTGTGCGGGCGCTACGTGCCTCGTCGTTGCGGAACTCGTCGTTACTGCTCCCAACCTGTCAAGTCCGGCAAGTCATGAGATGGCAGTCGAACACCAGTGTCACCGCGGCGGAGGAGATAAAGAAGCAGCGTAAGAAAACGAGCAAAGTCAGTAAAGCGAAACGCGCGGGAATGAAATCGGTCATTTTACCTCCATTGCCATTGGAGCCCATTCCGGTTCTGGTCGATGCAGGAGACGGAACTGGGGCCGAAACGCCAATTCCTACTACCGCTCTTATGGCGGAAATTCAGGAAATTCAAGATCGATATCCCGATCACATATTACTGGTCCAAGTGGGAGGGTTTTTTGAGATCTATGACCACCAAGGATATCTGGAAGAAATTGCAGATCTCCTGCATTTAAAAATTGCGAGACCAAAGAACCAGACAAAAAATCAGCTGAGGTTTGCAGGATTTCCACTGGCGAGATACAAGGATTATGTGGAGCAGCTAGTCAAGCACGGAAAAACTGTTGCACTGGTCGAACAAGTAGGCAGTGACCTGACGAACAAAACGAAGACAAAAGTGCGCAATGTCACTCGCATCATAACCCCTGGTACCTTAATAGACGAGGATTGGGTCGAGAGTCGGGAGAACAACTTTCTCTTGTCTGTGACAGCATTGCCTAATTCTGATAAACCAAGCGACTTTGGGCTCGCCTGGCTAGATGTTTCCACGGGCGATTTCCTGGTGTGCGAGAGCTCCCTCGATACATTCGAAGAGCATCTTTCCCGTATCCAACCAAAAGAAATATTATGCGACCGTAGATTACAAGAGACTCATCCCACTCTTATCCAGTCCCTGCGTAACCGAGCAGGTGAATTCCACCTCAGTATGAGGGATACGGAGAAGAAAGCTGAGGCATATCTGGGCGGCTTGCTCATACAAGAGGATGCTTCTAGGGCGCTTCTCACTGATATGCGTAAGCTGCTGGCTGACTTTTCGCCGCTTCAGGTGCAAGCGGCGGGTACACTACTTGGATATGTTGCAGAAAATTTCTGTCACCTACCTTCCTTTCCAGCACCTGCAGAGTTTGTCCCGGAGGACGTGATGAGAATTGATCCTGTAACCCAACAGGCGCTTGAAATTACGCGGACTTTCCGGGACAGGGCACGAAAAGGAAGTCTATTGCACGAGATTGATCGTACCAAAACGGCTGCTGGATCTCGCATGTTAGCAACCCGTTTAAGTAAGGTTTGACGTGTCTTTTACCAGACTACATACTCGGTGCTAAGGAGACATCTTCCATGTACACAGAGGCTCCCTCCATATCCATTGATGAAATTAATCGACGACTGGACCTTGTCGAAGTCTTCTTCAGCGACACTCACTTGTTGGCAGACGTACGAGAGCTGCTTTCGAACTGTAAAGACGTGGAGAGAGCACTGCAGCGCATTCACCTGGCAAAGGCCACCCCCGGCGATTACCTCAATATCATTGCAACCCTCCGGATGGCCGATCAAATCTTCCGTCTCTTGGAGAGTAAACAAAATCAGCTGAAAGGTGCTGCCTCTGCTGGTATAATAAAGTCACTTGAAGCGCTTGCGGAAAAGCTCGGGAGCTGCAGGTCGCTGCTGAATGCCTGCGATGAGATATTTGACGAAAAGTTGCAGGATTTGCAGAAGATAACCGATTTGGAAGCGATTAAAGAGGGAATATCTGCAGAGCTTGATGAAAAGAGACGTACTCACCAGGTCCTTAAGCAACAAGAGGAGGCGTACCGAGTAAAGCTAGCACGGAAATATGGTAATAATCAAATGTATAATTCCATTAATATGGCTAACGCGGTCACAGGCCTAGAGGATAAGTTTAAGATTAGCGCACTTGCAGACCCCAAACTCGGCCCCATACTCGCTATTCAGGATGTGAGGGGCCCCTCTCGTCTTGCTGTGAAAGCCCGTATCGAAAAAGACTCTCACACAGAACTTTTGGAGCGAGCAAATACTTCAGTCGGCTTGCGATTTTCACACACAGTGCGTATCTTCCAAGATTCTCATTCAGCCCTGAAGAATATTTGACTCACGAATCCCTAGCACTGGTCCGGACTTTATCGATCATTGAACGAGTCTGCTAATGCGCTCCTTGAGATCCAAAAGGACGTATTTGAACGTGCCTGTGGAAGGGTAAGCTTCTGACCCGACTCAATTAGATTGAGTACGGACCGTTCACACGCATTTTTAGATCAAAGCACACACCTTGCCGTTCATTGAAACCTGCAGAACAATCGCTGAAATCGACGTAGCTTCTGCTATAGCAGCCCATGCTCAAGAGTGTGGATACACAAGACCGGTGGTCACCGAAGAGTGAGTGTTCCAGTCTACTTGGATGAACCGTCACCAGGCAAAATCTAATTTGAGTATCATCTTAGACTTGTGCATGATGTGAGAGGTGATGCGAGATGGATTCAAAACGTTATTGCAGAAGCTCAAATAGATGCACCATTACAGGTGGTAGACACCCCGTAGTGGAACGAGCTCAGACGTACCGAGAATCAATGGTAAGAACAAGTTGCAATCGTGTATTGAGTTAATTAATTGACACAGTTTGTTACAGTATGTAAAGAATGATTTCTATATTGGCGGCGACCAGCGTTTGTGGCTCCTCACTGGGGTAATTCTCACCTCTAAATGTGACCCCTTCTCCGCGTAAGGTCCTAACATATTCTTGCTTTCCGATCAGCCGAATATGGGTGGGAAGAGCACGTTCCTAAGACAAAGGTGCGTAAGCAGTAGAGATTCCAGTGATCAGTCGCGAATTGTGTGTTAAACTCTTGGGTGTGCCATAACAGCGCTCTACTATCCATCCTTGCGCAAACCGGTTGTTACGTGCCAGCGTCATCTGCCCGCCTTGGGATTGTCGATAAAGTTTTCTCAAGAGTCGGTGCTTCTGACGATCTTGCGGCTCATCAGTCAACGTTCATGGTAGGATACTACGCTCTGTTGGGCATGATAAAGTCCGGGTAGTTGACCATATTCTTCGCTGTAGGTCGAGATGCGAGAAACTGCGACCATTCTCAAAAACGCAACAGAGAAAAGCTTTGTAAGTCAGCAAATGGAGGTATACTGCTGTCGTGACAATATGGAGGTTTAATATCATCGATTCGTTTTGTACTAGGTGATTATGGATGAAATTGGCCGTGGAACATCTACGAACGATGGTTTTGCTATCGCACACGCCACACTTGTCTATCTGCATCAACACTCAAAGTGCCGAGGAGTATTTGCCACTCACTATCATGAACTGGCGGCACGGGTACAGGATGACCAAACCCAGTCCCTTGATGCGGTCAAGTGCTATCAGACCGCGGTCTTGGCAGATGATGTACGGCGCCTGCACCTGAGGCTCGAGAACAAACATTTGCACTAACCGGCCCATATCACGTTTAGAAAGGGCACCTCATTTACACATACCAGCTCCAGCCTGGTGTCATGACTCAAAGTCACGGCATCGATTGTGCCCGTGCAGCAGGTAAGATACGGTGGAGTGTTTATTCCTACCTTTGAAACTTCACCAATGTAACAACGGGCATTGGTCACTTGCAGGTCTGCCAGAACAAGTAATAGCATCGGCCACGACGTTCTATCAACAGCTTGAAAACGAGCAACGCATAAAAGATCGATTATGGAGAGACTGGCAGAATCAGCAATCTTCAATGGGCACCGGAGAAGCTGACGCCGCTTACCAAGCAACAATGAGCTGATTGCGCTGGGCTGATACGAAGCTATTCTCATGATGATCGGCCATAATGATCATGTTAAAATAAACTGTTTTATACGTATTTTACCTCAGGCTTGTATATATAGGTGGCATCTTGCTCTAGTTCCGATTCGTAGGGTAGATTTTACTATGAAAAGATTATCGATATGTCAAATAACTATCGCTCTGTTTCTTTCCAGGCGCTCTTTCTTCTGTTCGTTATCATTTCGCAACGCAACTCTAACTAACTAGAGAGGCTGGTGTGCCCAAATGGCCGGGCACGGAGAAGTGGACCGGGTCAAGCGAAAGGTTGCATCGCGAAATCGGCGAGGATGAAAATCCGGGCAGGGATATATTTCTATGCGCCCACTGTACATTCTAATAATATGCCGTGTCCCATCATGTAGGGCCGTATCACATCGCCAATCCATCATTTTATGGCGAAACTCAAATTGACGTGTCATTTTATACCATGATTATTAGAATGATGAGAATGATTAAAACCACAACAAGTATCAGTATTGTCCACTGCTGTTTCGTATCTAGAGGTGAGGGCGGTTAAAACACAGCATATGATATCAACCAGAGCAAGGCAACGTATCGATCATACCCGCGTTAGCTTTGATGAATTCTTGCATGCGTCGCATGCCTAATTGCAGTTTGCCTGCAGTTGTATCTACACCCGATTCAAGATCTACCAAAAGTCTAATAGCGACATGCCACTCAGCTTCTCGATGAGAAAGATATATCTACCAAGTTGAATATGCTTACCCTGTTTGATCATCCAGCTCGCGCCCCATTACTGAAGCAATTTCCTTTAAATTGCCCACAGTGTCCAATACTCCGTCCAACTGTTCGTCTTGATGCTGCATCAGCACCTGCTGTTGCTGTGCTTCGCGCTCAATAAATCGTTGATTTGAGAGTTGGTAATCTTCTTGAGTGCGTCCATACGGGGCGGTCGTTTTGACGGATTTTTTAGTCTGCAAGAGCGTCTGGCAGAGTACATCAAAAGTTGTCCAGGTGTCATTTTATGAGGACAAGATTGTTGGGTGCGCGGATTTACATACCTCTCGTGCTTCCTTGTCGATCTTTTTTGCTGTTGAGGGATTCACAACCGCCGAACGCATGTCCTATCGCAAAATGATACAAAAATTAGCAAGATGCTCTATTTGGCGAGGTTCATGGCCACGGTTGTCGTCTAGAATGCACCCTCCGCCCACCCACCTGGATGGTCTTGCGCGTCCGCGCAATAAAGTCTTTTCGTTCCCCAATTTCTCGAACATCTAATCTGAACTTTGCTGGGTTGGCTTCCACAATGTCTATTGTCTCCTGAAGAGCTTTTAGGTCCTCGTCAATGTCCAGCAGCGCTTCCCTCAATCCTTCCGACTCTCGTCGAAAACTCTCCGCGGATGCTGAAGTGTCAGGTGCGTTGAGTAGTTCATTCCAGTGCCTGTACAGTTTTGTAGTATTCTCGACATTGATCTCAACCTCACTAGATTGGTAAATATGGGTTATGACGAGGTATAACCTTGGAAGCGTTTTGGCAAAAGTTGAAGCGTTACTCTTTGAGCGCAAAGTACGGGTCTTCCGCCATTCTCCGACTTTAGCGCACAGTTGTGTAGGATGATACTAATTCGCAAGTGGCCGTCAAGTCCAGCGTATATGTTACAGGCCCAGAAAGCACGGAAGGAACGAATATGAACTGAAAGATGCTATTTGTGGAGGATGAAAATGACAAGTTGTAAACGGGATATTTCTCGACCAGCAACTGAGACGCGCCCATCGTAATCGTGGCGAACCACACCAAAGGATTTGTTTGACTGGCCACTCGCAGAAATGGCTTTTGGGTTTGGAAGGACATTGACACTAAAAGGTAGGTCCCATCTTCTGCTCAGTTCATCCCACCCACCGACCGAATCTGTCTGGCCTTGATACTTCCTGAAGCATATGCAGGCGTTTTGTTTTGTCGCGGCAAACTCTGTCCACTTGTATGGACGATACTATAGGCAGCTAGGATAGTTGAGCACCTCTGTGGGGGGAATTCTATTCATTACTAGCTGGATTGGCAAGGCGGTGACCGCTTTTAATATGGAATCACTTTGCCGAAACCTAATGTCAAGGGCTTGATATCGTTGGCATTGGACACATTGTCAACAGTTGTTGCAACGCGGTGGGTGAGCTGGCAACGATATTGCTTGCTGCAAGGAACAGCATGCAACTCTAGATTTTGCCGAGAAAATGTATCAAGCCCCCACCTACCTCACGACCCGATCTCTTTCCGAGGAGTTGGCATAACTCAATGAAAGCGTATATAATCAAGTAATGTCTGTCGCCCATCATGGAAAGGACGGGGAATTTTGATGCTTGTAATGCTGTTCATTTGTCCGTCGTCCACAGTTGACATCCAATAGTAATCAGCACGGCTGCAGACCAGGTTTCTTGTAATTGTAAACAAACCATGTGCAGCATCTCAGTTCACAAGAGAAAAAAATCCCAAAAAAGTCTATTTGATCTAACAATCTACGAAGGATATTCACCCGGCATATTATATACAATATCAATCATCCCTCCTTTCCTCACAATCCCGCCTCCAACCACCTGCCACCCCTTGGTCTCTTGTTGTCGTTTAACAGCTTGACCCAATCTTTCAGCCTGATCGAACCACTCGCATGCCTCGCTCCGAATCTTGTCCCGTTCCACAGGAGAGCAAGTCATCGCGATCGCGCGCAAAAGCTGTGCCAATCCAGTGTCGTATACTTGAAGGGCGTGGTTAGGATTGGTGGCAGCAAGACTTTGGGCTGTGTTGAGTACATCAAGGGCGGCTTGGACTTGCGCGTTTGCAGATGATGGTGTCGACGGAGAAGAAAGAAAGTCCGTACGGGCGAGCGAGGATGAGATGGGACCTGCTTTGACCGAGAAGGGTGGTGCCGACAACCGATCCTGATCACCGCTGGATCTCCGCCGTTCGCCCGCGGTTCCTGGCGAATTTTGCCACGTTTCCACTTGATGCTTTAGACTTTCCGCTCGATTAATGTACCGAGTGACCAGCTCCGCAACCTGAACCGCATCAGGATTCTGGGGTCCTAAATATTGAACATGTGCTAAAAGGTGCGCAACACCTTCCGCGTACAGGTCAATAATTTGCTTCCAGGCTTTCAGCTCCTTACGTCCAGATGGATTTTTTGACCGCACGAATCTGTTATCTAATTCCACTGCTTCACTTATGTATTCCATTCCACTGCTCAGGGATTCGGATCCTGGTATATGGGTCAAATCAAGATATGGATGATCGAAATATTCGTCAAATGTCAATCGTTTATTTGGATCTCGGGTGAGGAGGGCGGAGACAAGGGATTGTGCGGTTTGAGAGGTTGTTCGTGCAATTGTGGGAGGTAGAATGAGTTGAGAGGGGGTTGGGGAGAGGATTTGTTTGAGAAGATCGTCTATACTGCTGGCAGTATGGAAGGGGGTAGAACCAGCCAGCATTTCTAGCATATGATGAGATGAATCCAATTAGTCGATAGCGGGTTCGAACGAAAATCACCCATAAATCATACCATAGAATATTACTCCAACAGACCACAGGTCGCAGCGCGCATCATATTCTTCGTCCTTTAGAACTTCTGGCGCCATATAACTGCTCAACAGCAAATTGTCAAACAGTAAAGAAAAGCCACGATGACGTTGTAAGCTCTCTGGTAAGGCACAAGAATACTGAAGCATATGTGTACATACGCCAGAGTGCCAATCTTCTCCTTCATGGCTGCCGAACTAAAATCCTGATTTCGGCCGTAATCAGCAATACCAAAGTCCGCAATCTTCAGAATAGGTTGACCATGGGAATTTGGATTCGCAGTCAACAACAGGTTCTCCGCTAGTGCATAATAGCGCAAGAAACCCATTAGGGCTGTATTAGCTTACACACGATGGTGGTGTTGCGACCTACTTTTCAAGTCTCTATGCACAAGACTATGAGACCATAAAAAAAAGAGGCCTGATAAGAAAACCATCAGTCCCAACTCCAAAAAATAATAAAATGTACTCTTTGTACGCAGAGAGTCATACCTGCTGCAATTTGTCTGAGAAACCACCGAGCATCCCGCTCTACCAACCGTCGTCCATGTTTGCGAGCCAGAAATTCCTTCAAGTTCCCCAGCTCACATAACTCCATTACGATAAACACATTATGAGTATCCCATTCGAGGTCTACAAAGCGGACAATGTTTTGATGCCGTAGTCGTTTTAAAATGGCAATCTCTTGCACGACCTTTTCTTGTTTGCGAGACCGACCGAGCTGTGACCGTGGAATGACTTTGATGGCCACATCGGCTCCTCCGCTTTTTGGACGGCATCTATATACTATCCCAGACGTTCCTTCTCCAAGTTTGCTGATAGTAATGTAGGAAGGTGGGGAAGCCATCTGACTGCCATTCCCCAATTTCAACTGGCGGTTTGGAACGATGACGACGAGAGACCAAACCAGATCACATACACATTGGAACCATTATAAATAAAATGCGGATAACTTGAATCTATTAACCTCATGCTATGGGGGAAACTATTTGAAATATTCTTTATACAAGTTGATAGGTAATTTGAAGAAATGTCTACAGAGCACCGAAATCCCGTCTGTGCTCAAACGCCGCCAAGGTCCTCAAGTCCAATACGAGTAATTTCTGATTCTAATTGACCCGACCGCTCACCAGGCAATCTTGGCAAGAAGGGACTTGGGGAACGCTCGCACCAGCGCTTTCCTAATCTCATCTACAATCAAAACGCCAGCAGCAAAGGACAACGGAATGAACCAAAACTTTGTAGGAATGGGTGTTGTTCCAAACAAGTTTTGAAGGAACGGAACGTAAAGCGCAATGAGGGCGATACAGATCGATAAAGCCATTCCAGCAAAGAGTCTGAGATTGCGGCGAGGTCCGTAGAAAGGGTTGGATTGAAGAATCGAGACGCTTCGATTGCGAACAGCGAGGATGGCGCCAAATTGAAACATAACCATAGTAACGTAGCTGCAGGAAACCACCATCAATAAAGAACCTCTCACAAAAGAATTCCAAAATTCACTCACTAGACGCATTGCCCAACGCTGAGGAAATGTGTGAGCTCATCCATAGTGTATCCAAGATACCCATCTGTCCAATTCGAGTAGGCGAAGACCATGTCATAAAAGTAGATCCGCTGTTCAGACATGTACAAGAAGAACATGCCCATTGCGCAAGGCCATGCCATCAGACCAATGAACAAGTAGATATTTATGAAGAAACGATAATCTGTTAACCGATCTTTTCGGGCATTACGTGGTTTCCGCACCATAAGATCTATAAATCAAAAGGATTTAATGAGGATTCTAGCTCTTGTTGGGAAAGACTTGGAGCTGTGTATCATACCTGACTCTGGCTTCTCAAACATTAACGCAGTGGACATGACAATGTCGTTGGTCACACAAAAGAAGATTTGCAAAAACGAGGATAAAGGAATCTGGACTCCGAGAAACACATTTGCCATTACAGCCATAAATTCAACGTAGGTTCTGCATGTGGAATAACGTCAGGTCAAGATAACCAAGAGTACGGCATATTGCATGACAAAACGTACCCTATTGGCATCAAGTACATGATAACTTTCTTGAGATTATCAAAAACCAAGCGTCCGTTTTCGATGGCATATGGGATCGCCGTAAAATCATTGTTGAGAAGAATCATTGCAGCCGTTTCTTTTGCCACGTCTGAACCAGCACCCATGGCAACTCCAATGTCTGCTGCTTTGAGAGCAGGAGCATCATTCACACCGTCACCAGTGACAGCAACCGTATTATCCCCTCTCTTTTTTGTCTCTTCCACAATCAACAGCTTTTGCTCGGGTGTAGTTCTCGCAAACACGATCGAGTGATAGCCTCCGATGGCAACATCCCAATCTTCCGACGTCATTCCGTGTAGCTCTTCTCCAGTAATGACAAGAGAAGCCGGCTGGCGATCTTCATCAGGTTTAATCAACGAGCTCTTGATGTTGGCAAACGCTGCCCGAATGTCGGCTCTGCTTCGTAGATCTTGCAGAGTATCCACGCGCTCGGTCTCAACAATCCCGACTTGTTTTGCAATGGCAACGGCAGTGTTCTTAAAGTCACCAGTGACCTAGAACTCTCCATTAATTCGACTTTTTCAAGGCCACCTCCAACGAAGCAGTCTCACCATGAAAACGCGAACGTGAGCCTTGTGGATGGTTTCAATCGCCTTCTTCACTTCGGGTCGAGGAGGGTCACGAATGCCTAAATGCGCACCCGTCTAGGTGAGTAACGTGCAAAACCTCACCAAACACCCAGGACGTTGCTTACCAAGTAGTGCAACCAGAGTCAAATCGTTCACTTGAGCACACACGACTTCATCCGATTTCCGATCTTGCCAATCAATTTTCACGTCGCCAAGGTTCTTTTTACATAACGCGAGAACACGTTGGCCCTGGCCAGACCATTGCTCTTGTAAAAGTGACATTGTCTCTTGTGCCTTGGAATCGAATGCAACCGCGCTTCCATCATTAAGAAGAATGCTAGAGCATTTCTTGAAAAGAATATCGGGGGCACCCTTGACCATCAACACGGGGCAGGTCGAAGGTTTTGTATTATCGCGGACAACTGTCAGCATCCACTTGTTTTTCGAATTGAAAGGAATCTCGTAGAGTTTCTCGTGGGCGGAAAGGAGCATAGGCGTGTGAGGAAGAGACTCGCCAAAGCGCAAGATTGCCTATAGAGGATCGCGCGCGTCAGCTACTATAACGCTTTACCAATGGATATTAAAGGTCTTACCGAGTCGGTCGCATCGCCTTTGATCTTCCGATTTTCTATTGGCCCGTCATTCTGATCTCCCTCAAACACAGCACCATTGCACAGTCGGGCGATGAGGTTCATATCCTTGATTGCAGGCATTTCACCCTCCGTCGCGGCTTGTTGGCTGGTCAACGTCTTGTTAAGAAAACCGCACCGCTCAACGTTCATTTGACCGAGTGTGAGGGTTCCGGTCTTGTCCGAGCACAAGACAGACATGCAGCCGAGAGTTTCTACAGTCGCTAGATTTTTGACCAGAATCTGGCGTCGAGACATTCGTTTTGCAACAATGGTAAGGGTCAGTGCAACGCAGACGGGAAGTCCTTGGGGGACAAATGCAGTGAGGCAGCCTGTGACCATGGAGTGACCTGTTAGCATTGTCGACCGAATTAGGGATATCATCAACCTAGGAACTCACCAATGGCATTGATGATAGCGACAGAAGGCGTGGCGTAATCTGGATAGGCATTCCTGATCCAAGTACCCCATACAAGCATGGCCAAGGAGAACAATCCAAGGGCGAGTCCCGAAATGATTGCCGTGAAAATACCAAGTTCCTTTTGAAGGCTAGTCTGTTGGGCTTTCTGGTGTCCGGAGAGCCGAACAATGTGACCCATGATCGAGCGGTCACCTAATCAAATCGTAAGCCCAACAGCTGGGGAAAAACCAACAAGACAGTGGCAACATCATAGTGTAATTACCAATGGCATACACGACTCCCCTGCCACTGCCTTGAACAACAAAGGTAGATGCAAACGCAAGGTTTCTTGTCTCAAGAGGATTCGTATCGGTAGGCTCAACCGTTCCGGGAATGGGGTCACTCTCTCCTGTCAGCAGCATTCGATCAAAGGCGAGATCCGACGAGACTTGAATAAGGCGGACATCTGCAGGGACGCGCTGGCCTAATCTCAGAGTGAGAATGTCACCGACAACAACGTCCGAAGCAGGGATTGTCTTTTCAACTCCGTCACGAATCACTGTTGCCTCGTTGGCTACGACATTGTTGATTGCTTTCATGATTTGCCCCGCGCGCCAGTCGACGAGCGCATAGAACGTGGCAGAGACGGCAATCACAAGGAACTGCGAACAACGAGGATGTGAGTTCGTCATGTATAGCAATCGCATCAAGGCGGACCCACTTACAATAAGTCCCGCGACTCCAAGGTTAAAAGTTGCAGGCGTGGATCCATCCATACTTCCCAAAGGTTGATACGAAAGCTGCATGTGCCAACCAATGTCCATTTAGGTCTAGAAATAACTAGCGATTTTATAATCGAGCACTTACCACAGTCACAATCAAGGCGACCCACATGAGGAAATTGAATCCCCCAAAGACATACTGAAGAATGAGTTTCCAGTGTTTCTTTGGAGGTTCAGAAATGATATTCTTCCCCTCTCTGCTCTTGCGGTCGACGGCTGCCTTGTCAAGACCGATTTCTGGATGCGTACTGAATCGAGTAAAGACATCTTCGGGCTTGTTCAAGTGGACCTTGATCTCGCGTATGTCTGGCGGATTGAGTTCATTGTCTGCGGCCTGGTTGTTGTTTTGTTCAAGCCTGATTGACATTGTCCGGTACCTGGGAAGCACAGACATCCATCTTACATTGCTGCCGCCAAAAAGTTGATACAAACGATCCATGCACATACATGATCTGAATACCAGCATTGCTATGGTCAGTGTGAACAGGATGCAGGTATTGCCCCTGGTCGCGCGAGTCCCAAGCCGATCGCTTGTTGGAGGATGCCTTGATTTCTTCCATCTTTTGATCGTTATTCTTGTGTGTTGCAAGTCGACAAGGAGGGAGCAGCAGTGCACGCAAGCAGGATTCCGCACAGAGAAAACACACACGCACACTGTGTCCTTTAATGGAAAACTGGCGAGGGGGATGAGACTCATCTGCCTCGGTATTTATGCCTTTTCACCAAACGCAGGAAGCAGGATGGGGTGGGAACCTGTGTTTTTTTTTCAGCCTTTGGCACTGGTTCCCTTTCCTTGCCCATCCGATAAGCTCCAGGCGAGATATGGGATCTGGCCTTTTTTTTTCCCTTGGCCCAATCTCCCTCTCTTTTTCTTTTGTGTTGTCTCCAATGCCCTTGAAATTACCACAGTCGATACAGTGCGGCAAACCGAGAGCGATTTTTGGCTCACTTTTTTGCCAGATCGCTGAACCGTCCAACAGAAATGCTGGCCATACGCTTGGGGAGTTTGAATCCCCTTTTGAGCCATATGTCATTTGTTTCTTGCAACAACAAAAGCCCCAATTCTCAACTCCCCCCATTCTGCCCCATTGGCTTGCCATACGCCTGTTTCTTTAACGATTCCCAGAGTAGGAAACTGGGAGCCCTGCAAAAAAAGGCAACTCTCCCAAAACAAGAGCCTTGCAAACGCCATTTTGTTCAAGTCCAAGTCTCTTCCCTCCCGTCCAGAATGTGTCGCCCCCAAAGACTACAAGACAAAATGCCAAGTCGTTTCTTTTGTTCTTGTCGCCCAAAACTCTCGCTTCCTACTTATTGTTGATGCCAAGTCGTTTTGTTGTTTTTGTGACGCGCGCGGGCAACCCTCCGCCCCCCCTCACAGCCTCGCTTTTTTTTTGTATGTTCTTGCCTTGGCTTTTTTTGTTTTCCCCCAACAGGAGAGCTCCGATTTCCGTTTCACAGAATTTAGAACATTCGATGGCAGGAATCTCTTTGGAGATGAGAAAAACAGGTTTGAGATGCGTAAGACTCGAGCGTGGTTTGTGTGGAGTGGTGTTTTGTGTACCAACTCTTGTATGGTGCAAAACGGCAGCAGGATTCGATTCCAGTTGCGGGCAAGGCTAGTGTCGTTTGCTGCCATGGTTTGCTGCCATGGCTAAGGAAATGTCCACATCGAATTTCTTCGCTTTCTTGTTTGCATTGCTGTCGAGATCTGTAATCTTGGGGCTTCTAATCTCTTTGGCAGCATTTGAAAGCATCATTGGACAGCAACGAGGTTGGCAGGCGAGGCTTGTCGCCTCAAGTTCCACGAATAGCTTGCTTTAAGCGCTGCGTTCCAAGCTGGACATTATCCGTCACGGAAATCTTTTTTGCTCGAGAAACGGACAGGCAAATCTAGAAGTCCATTACGCAACATTGGGTCAACCACAAACACTTGCATTCTACTCCCAGCCATGTCCCTTCATTGTCCCCTCCTTTTCAAGTCCGAGATGCATTCTAAACACATTTCGCAACATGTGAGGCTCGTGGCCTGCACCCTTTGCAAAACATTCTTTGGTTGCCTGCTTGAAATAGTCCATGAGAACGTCCTTGTAGTCTGGATGAGCGCATTGTTCAATAATGAGTTTAGCACGCTCTCGGGGCGAGAGACCGCGAAGATCGGCTAGACCCTATTGGAATAACAACAAGCAGTCAGCCAGTGTACGTTCAGTATGTGGACCCAGTGCATACCTGCTCAGTAACAATCACATCCAAATCGTGCTCGGTCTGGTCCACATGCGTGCACATGGGCACAATGGTTGTGATACCAGTGGGATCCTTCTTGGTCGGTCTAACGGATGGAGTGTGCATGATCGAAAGCTTTGCATTACGAAGGAAGTCGGCTGAACCGCCGAGACCGTTGAGCATCCGGGATCCCATCACGCAGGTGCTGTTGCCGTGTCCATAAATGTCCACCTCAACCGGGGTATTCATCGCAATCACTCCGAGTCGACGGATAATCTCGGGGGAGTTTGACACCTAATGTGCAAGTCGTTTCCTCGTCACTCACAACCAAGGCAATGGAACAAATGTGCGAAAAATTCGGGGGCTTACTTGCTGCGACCGCAACAAAAGCTTATCATAGTACCGGTCCCAATTCTTGTAAAACTTTTCAAAGCCTTCCGGCGAGAAACGGACGGACGTTGCAGTGGCAAATTTGAGGTTACCCTTGTCAAAGAACCGCAGAAAGGTATCTTGGATAACTTCGGTCCAGACCGTCACATTGTTGAATGGGCCATCTGCAAGGCCTCCAATCACTGCGTTGGCAATGTTTCCAATCCCGGATTGCAATGGAAGAAGTGACGTGGGGAGACGTCCGTGTCTGATTTCGTGATTGAAGAACTCTAAGAGGTGGCTTGCGATAGCACGAGATGTCTCGTCCTAATTCCACTCTAATCAGCCACCGACGATACAAGGGCATTGTGATGCAGATACACGGTACATACCTCTGGATCATTTCCTCCCGTGTTATCGGGACGATTACTCTCAACGATGGCCACGACTTTCTCGGGATCAATCGGCACATGGTTGGTACCAATCCTGTCCTCGACTGCCATGACCAAGTATGGCTTACGACGAGGCGGAAGGGTGCTCATGGTAATGTCATGAAGACCTTCAAAAGATGGAATTGCAGTGTTGACTTCAATGATGACCTTGTCGGCCATTTGGATCAATTCTGGAGTAGCTCCCACAGATGCACCTGTTTGCCAGATTCGTTCATTCAAAAATATGCATGGTCTCTCATGAAAACATTCAGCCACAAACCAGGAATGATTCCACCCTCCTCGGTAATAGCCGTAGCTTCCACAACGACAATATCGAGTTTGTTTTTCGGTTTGTCCTTTGTGTAATATCCTGTACAGTGTTTGGTCAGACGTTTGGTGACTGTATTGCGTCGTCGAGATCCTTTTACCATAAACCAAATCCTGGGCAAACATTGATAGATGCTTGTCTGCAAAACGTATCCGCCCTGCATTGATACCCTTTGCAATGTTCCTGCCCACTTGATGAGGATACCGTCGATCAATCATGTCAAGCGCTGCCCAGCGATCTAACCGGCAATACGCATTAGGTGGGAACAAATGAATAGATCAAATCTACAAAGAGGGACCGACCTTCCGTTTCAGCTCCCGTCGAGGCCCCAACAAAGAGGTTGAATTTGAGCTTTCCCTGGAGATTGTTGCGTTCAACATGGTCCGCCAGAGCGACAGGAATCTTTTTAGGATAGCCTGTGGGAAAAAAATGGGTTACCCAAATCTGTGAACTCCCGTACACCGAACTCAATGAGACTGACCGACGCCCGTAAATCCAGACCAACCGATATCCATGCCATTTTTAAACATTGGCACAAGATCCTCAGCAGTTGCGATTTTGCTGCAAACAATTCACAATGGATTAGGTGTATATCCTCCACATTCTCGTTCTGTGTAGGAATACTATTTTTACCTGAGCATCGATGGACGCCGAACACGAGCCCGCAACGCAGCCGACACGGAAGCCATCACTAAATAACCTCGTCAAAAAGTAACAAAAAGTGAAATGGACAAAAGGGAAATCCAGATGGAAAACTCGTTCTTTTATAATGGCGAGTGGTGTCCAGTGTCTTGTGTCTAGTATTAGCAAGTCCCGGAAACGGACGGAGGAGGAGGAGGAGGAGGAGGAAAGCAAGACCCTCCCCTTCACGTAATCCCTTTTGGGCTGGCCGATTGGTGACGTTTTGCATTTTCCATTCGAGAAAGCCACGCATTCGGCCATGGCTTTTCTTTTTTTGATTTCATCGATATTTAAATACAAACCATTTGCATGCCGTCACTTACAGAAAACGAAAACGGATGCATTTAAACAAGGCGTAAAAGAATGGGCGGGAGTAGAAATGCATAGAAGGCACACATGGAGTGCAGGTAGATGCATTATTTAAAACACGACATGATCCATCATATCGTTTTTGGTGTCATGGAACAAGAAACAAGCCGTTTATCAAGCAATAGTAAGTTGGCAAGAGTAGCTTTGCATAAAAGACAATCTACCAAGTAGCTACAACGCAAGAGCACAAAGCCAGAATGTTGATCCGACCGCCGTTATCGCTGACAAGCAACTTGTAAGCCAATTCCATATTTTCTTCCATTGTGGAATTGAATTGTTCCATATTCCACCGTTGAATTGGGCAAAAGCTCCGTTGCTTTGCAAGTTGAAGGTCGTTAAAGTCTCCAAAGCAAAAGTGCGGAGAAAGCGGGCCTTTTGTAGGCCACGAAATCACGTTTTTTGCGTTGACTTCAGTCAACAGTTGAACGTCATTTGATTTTTTACCCCCAGAAATTTGGTTTTTGTGCTTTCGTTTTTTTTTTTTATTTTGAACGACGACGACGAACGACCGAGGAAGAATGTCGTTTATTTAAAGCAAGGCAGTCTCACTTGATTCCTCGCAAGCCTTTTGACAAGGAACACAAACCTCATTGTTTTTATACATTGCTCATTAAAACAAGTCGATATGCCTTCCATTGCATCCATGTCACTTTTCCTTTTGCCGGCCCTGGCTATCATTGCCCCCCCGGCCACTGCCATCCCACAGCCAATTGCCAACATTGAGCTGCCACAAAACTGCACTGCTCCCACTCCGCACACTTGCACTTTTTACGCATCCTGCCTTGAAGTAGCTATTCCATGTGGACCTGACGGCTATGCTCTCGGCTATGGAAACAAGTTTTGCTCCAAATTTCAAGCTAGTGCTGACAAGTTTACGGATGCTGGAGAACAATGGTGAGTTTTTCAAAGCAAGGGAGACTTTTAGGGATTCGCTCTCCCTTACATATTGTCCCCCTTTCTTTTAGGATGTACAATGTCATGTCTTGTCTTCAACATAGCCTCGTCCCCAAACTTCCAAACAACTCGACAAACTCACCAAAACCAATGTCCTGCTCTGAACTCAAATCATTCGCTTACGGCACTCACCCCAACTGCTATCTCTCGGCGGGCGTCTGCACACTAGCTCCCAAAGATTGGATCGTCCTTCTGGAAGTAATTGGCATTCAAGAACTCTTTACCATTGAAACTATTGAGCAAGCCTTGGCGGTTGCCAAGGGTTGCGGAAAGGAGTATATCGAAATTGTGAAAGAGATTTTGCACAAGCACAAGAAGGGGAAGCTTCAAGCGGCTGCTGTATAGGCATCTGCACGCGAACAGTCATTTATTCGAGTTGGATATCTCTGTGTGTGATAACTTTTATACCTCATTGTACCATTCAGGGGCAATAGAAATAGAATACATGTTTCTCTGGATATTTTGTCGAGCGACATCCACGGGCGTTCCAATGGCTTACGTCATGGAATACTGACCTTGAACAAGGCGAGCGGGTGATCACCCTACAGCGCCTTCCATGTGGTGAGAGGAGCATCCGCCTCTTTTTCGAGGGCAGAATGCACTGGTTGTTTGTTGGTCCATCCTTATATTTTTTTCTTTGTTACAAGCGCTTGGACGGTGGCTCGGAGCTCTAGGTTTGATACCATAATAATGGTTACCCGTACATTTTCAGATTAGACTGTATCAGCAACGAGGAATTTCAAGTGCAAGAAACGGACGGTAGTTCAACAGTAGATATTGTAAGATGCATGTGCAAAAACATTCACTGTAGAATTGTTCTTTGGTTGGTGCGTGACTTTTTTTTTCCTTTAGCTTTCAGGATTCAATATGCCTAAGATATCACCCCATTCGTCCATTTGAGAGTTGGGGTACATGCTCCTCCAGATGATATCAAAGATCTGTTGTGTCTGCAAGGGTTCATAAAAGAAAATCCTTTCTTGCGTCTTGATCATTCGACAGGATCCTGTGAACTATGTCCTGGCGACGTAGCTATCATGACAACTAGTACATGCCTTTGTAATGCCGTGCGTTCTCTCGTCGATGCTGTCCTCAATGTTGGAAATACCCAGTCAAAAGCTAGACGCGTTCGCTAGGAGCTCAGTCTCCAGAGTATCTATCCTCCAAAGCGCTGTGGCATAATCTGATAATGTCCAGTGTTTCGTGTGCGACGGCGACTCAACTACAGGTTCCAATATCCACCTCTGTAGTGATATCTCGAGTTCCAATTCTCTGATTTTCAAGTCAGCGTTTCGACGCCATTGATATACTTTTAGTTGCAAGGAAGAAAATCGGCGCCAGTTCATAGCATCACTGTCAAACCGGGAAGAAGATGGGGGGACCATTGAAATGACTGTTCGTCCTGTGGTTACAGTGTTTGATGGAGTCCCCGGAAATGCCTGTTTTTGGAGTTCATTGATTTCTTCTCGTAGCCGTCGTAGTTGCGTGATATATTGCCGTCGATATTCCTGTACTTTGTTCCGGAAATTTAAAATTTCACTCTGGGAAGAGTGCTCACGCTCCAATCGTCTCATCGCTAAACTCAAATGAAGGTGGGAGAAGCCTTTGCACCATGCCCTTCTCTTTATACCAGATGCATCTGCGTTGGGAGAATGCAACCAGAGCTATACTTGGCAAGTTTGAGAGCATCCTCAAATCAGCTTTGCATTCTCGAGCGGGAAGCATTCGTCCTGTTACTAAAATCTCTTCCATGGCAGCCAAAAATGGCCCCGTGCATCCTTTAACCGTATCAACGTCGCAATCCCAAAATAGCTCAATACCGTGGAATGCACTTCAGTCCCTCCTAAATCCCTCCTGATTTCCTAGATAGCATTTATCCAATAACTAAAAATGGTCACCAGTGCATCGTCCTGTGGTGGGTGTCGCTTGGTGGAATAAACATGAAAACGTGTACGTAAGCAGTAAGCACTTTTATGTCCTCACGATTCGGGTATCCACTAGCACACCCGCAGGGCTGTTACCCTTTGTTATCTAACCACCCGATATTGGTTCTCCTTTTCCGTTCAAAGCCTGTCGAATCATTTGGACAGAAAATGTACTTATTACTCAGTCCAGTCCACCGGGAACACACCGTAATCATAATACATCTGATATCTATCCGTTGCCCAGCGATATGGATGTACAGGGCTCTGAATGCCCAACAATTTGTGGTTGCATCAAGCCCTGGTAGGGTAGATGTAGTAACTATGCTATTACAGGCACTCTAAGCCGCTGAACGTCCCCACATCCTGCAACGGTACGCTTCCTTGGTCGAATCAGGGTATCGGGATGTACCATGGTTAAAAAAGCCATATTTAGCGGGCAAGGGCGGTCGTCCGAGTCCGCCCGCCAAAGGTTCTTGAGCCAAAAAATTGATGAGTTTTAACTAGAATTCATAGTCTCAAACAGTGATGTCGAACTGCGCCTATTGCTGCTTTTTATTTTTCATATTATTTTGGAGACCACAGTAGTTATTTTTATTTTTTTTTCTGGTCTTGTCCCGATCTGCTTTTTCTTTTGACGACGGAATCCCCAACTGGCGAATGATTCCCCAACCCTCCACCATGACGATTATTAGCAATCAAAGCGACAAAAAATCCTTTTTCTTGTCACTTCTTCACTTGCATTCTTCCGGCTGCGGCCCCAAAACGCCGTTTGTTTTTTACAGTTTTTTGAAGTTCTGAAATGAAAGCACAGAAATTGTGGCGGTCAAGTCACGGGGACAAGCTTAGCTTCGCGGTTGTTATTTGCAAAAAAGGTTTTTTTAAACTTGCTAGCTAGTTAACTTTCCTGCAAGGCGCAGTGAGCACTACCTTTTCGCATTATTTTTTTTGCAAGTATCGTGGCTCATGCAGGTGAGTCGAACTCGATACAATTGCGCGAATGGACCCTTGGTAATAAGCGTTTGGCATTTAACCGTAAAAAGTGGGGAAGCGAACAGTCCGACGCCAAGTAGGTTTTTTGTCGCTAAACTTTGGGCAAAACGGCCATCCTCGCCTTTTTACTTTTTTTTAGGGGCCGTGGCAGTTCTAGGAAAAAAAAAGAGTTTAGCTTTCTACCGAGAGCTTTTGCTACAAACACGTTACTTTGGGAAAAACATCAAGAACGCGATCATGTCCAGCCTGTCTATAAAAGAGGATCGGTAGTGCGTTTCCCTTCTCCAGACAATCCACTCAAGCACTACTCATAGCTCATCAGCTCATCCTTCCACAAAACTTTAAGTCTCATCTTTTCAAGCATGCAATTCAAAGCCCTCGCGCTCCTTCTCGTTGCCGCTGCACCGGCCGTTTTCGCTGCTCCCGCTCCTGCCGCCAATGTCAAGATCAACTCTGACCTCCGCGTTAACCCCGACGGATGGACTCCAATCTATGCCGATTATATCGGCCACATGAAATCTCGATTTGTCAACAAGCCCGTTACAGTTGCTCAAGCCAGCCAAGCCAACACCAAGACTGGCTACTATATTGAGGGCAACAACAACTCTGACGATCTCTTCATGGGTATCATGCGTCAAGTGACCGGACTTGTTCCTAACCAGCTCTACAAGATGGATTGGAACATTAACATGACCTCTCCCTTTGGCGACAACTGCTTCGGAGTCGGCGGTTCCCCTGGTGGCTCCAACTATGTCAAGATCGGAGGTGCCACAAACAAGCCCAACGTTGGTCAAAAGAGGACGGCCAGCGGTGATTTCTGGACCTTTACCAACTTTGACCACGGTCACCAAGCCGATGACGGAAAGGACATGTCTACCGTCAGCAACATTTCCGTTCCTGGCGCCGAGTGCGAAGGCACAGAGTACGGTCTTGTCCCCACCATCCTTGATCTGCGCAGGAGACCCGTCAAGGCTGATGCAAACGGATCCCTCTGGGCAGTCATTGGAATTGACTCTGGCTTTGAGGGTGTCACCGGTGTCTACTACCAACAAATCGCCATTGAATTTATCCCTGCTACCGCTGAGGAGGCTGAATTTCCCTTCTAAAGTCGTTAGAAATAGTGTCCGATAGAAACTCTCCATAGAAACAGTCTTATAGATGGGTCAGTCGTAGACAGATGAGTAAACTGAGATAGAATTCCTACATGGTATCTCATGTTTAACTTAAGTAATATGTATACTTATGTTGTGCATTACTTGGTGATTCATTCTACGCCTGAACGGTACGAGACTCTACTAGTAGCTCCTCAGTGCAGCCCCAAATGGGCGTGGTCTGATAGCGTACCTCATCGGAAACCAAGAGGGATGCCAGGAGTCCTAATATTCTAGGCCATGAATACCTTCAACAGTTTTTGCTTTTCAAATTTGTTCATGGTCTTTTATGATCTGATGATAGGTGCATCGCATACGCCATGTTCAAGATGATCATGAAAAAGAGTACGACAAAGTAGTAGAAACCTAATGATATTTTATCCTTATCGACAGTTCATTTTTAGAACAATGAAGTTTAAGATAAACGTAGAATGCCTACGCTCAAAACCTCGCTACGAAACCTCACACCATCATTCGAACAAGTCTGTGACACCATTTATCGTATCCTTCTCTCGCAGGCGTCCGTCGTGTAAAATATAATCCGTTTGCGCAGGACCTGGTTCATGAGCAGCTTGATCTCATGTAAGACGTGGCATTAACGGGACGGTGAGCATATTAGCCTCGTACGCAAAATTGCCGCATTCCTTCTCCGCTGAATCATTTGGCAGGGTTTGATCAACAAAAACAATCTTGGGCTCATTGTCTGTCGGCTGAGATAAAATCAACTCGATGGGACAGCTCAAATAGGTGTTTTTTCTTTTGTGCTTGCGACGAGCCCCATTGTCTCTATCTGAGCCACCGGTTTTGCATATAAATAATTTCCATACTTTCCGTATCAACAGCAATATTCACGATTTCTAATGCCCAAGGTATTTCGGTGCAAATTCCCGGAGACCACTCCGCTGCTCAATGTCAATTACACTACTAAACCCGAACCGGTAAAGGATACCGCTTTTGGGAGATATACGATGAATTTCTGCGTGAAGTATTGGGTATTTGACGCACCACAGAATATCTAATCGGTCGTACTCCGGATGCCAGTGGCATAAAATACGTGTCCTCTTTTCCCATGAGTTTGACGAGATCAGCACTGGTTGATCAAAGATAGGGGTTGAGTACGGCCTGCAGTGCAATTTTTCGGTCAACGTCCAATCTTGTCGAAAACATCCCGAAGAAGCTGCTAACCATCCAAACGTAAATGTTGCAGGAATACATGCAATATTTCCATTGTTTACACCATGTTTGGTAACCGTATGAAGCAAAGAGTCCCAGGTCACGAATGTCACGTTTCATAGCTTCGTCATTATTAAGCCAGTCCAAAACAGCACTGCTATCTGGTAGTGTGTAGTTATAAACTCTCAGCACAAATCGTGGCCTTCATGTTAACCAAGATTCCCTGGGCCCGACGGGGGCAAATCGCCACTACGGGTATGCCCGAATAATATTTATGCCCACTACATATCAATTGCTAGTCGGAGCACCATATTTCGGAATTGTATTGCTATTCGGGTTAAGCTCTTGCACTTTCTTTACTCTTTATGAATTCATCAGGTACGTAGAGCCGCAGAGAAATCGCCACCGGGCGATGTGTGATACACTACAACCTGCGTTAAGACATACCAACCAAAACTCACGGCAGGTGCGAATGCGATTGGAAATTACATCTCCCGCATAGCATGCTTGAACGCAACTTTCGACGCTGCAAGCTCGATTTGATTATGTCAGAATTTTCAATTTACTTTTAATTGATTTAATTTGCTCAAATTAAATTGGTTCTAAAATAGTTATATTATATGTCCATAATAAGACGTCGCTCACCAAACTAAACTCGAAGCACATAGAAAGAAAGCTGCGCATGGGACAAGGAAAGCAGCACAAGCAGAGCTTGGGATATGTGTTGGGCTGGTTGAAGGTGCACTGCAACGCTATCCCACGGGTATCATTTACAATGGCCACTGGTAACAGGGCGCTTACCGAATTTATCGGTTAAGCACTCTGGTTACAGCTAAACAGATATTACCAATTTTCGGGATCTTCCATCGAGAGAGCCCAAATCGACCGGCGGGCGGAATGGGCAGTTCCGGCTTCAGCTACCAGTACTCACCAGAAACAATCACGATTGCCCACGGAAGCCTCACATAGGACCACAAATGCCAACGAGTGCTCTTTGCATCCATATCTCCGCTTGATCACCGCAGCGTTGAGATCTAAAATGGTTCGACCGAGTTTACGCTTTCGGCGCTTTACCATAGGATGAGATCGGATGATTGAGTTCCTATCTGCTCACATCAAAGGTGTGTGCAGGGCTGGTTATCGACAAGTGCGCTAAAGGTGGGCTGCCACTCCTCTCTCACAATGCTGCCTGTTCATCAAAGAGCAGCAAGAGCACCTGTAGAGCAAACATTCAGCGGCTATGCCCAACTGGCAACTTCAGAGTCTATTCCAAATGGTATGATCATACGATGGTCAGGTTTAGCACAGTCCCAGTTGCCGGATGGTTGTAAATTTAGCTCAAACTAGCTATGAGTGGATCATACGTGCGAATGGAAAAGAAGGTTGACTGTACTGGTATCATTCGTCTATTTACGTCCTCCTACAAAGCGCCTTCAAACAGCTTCAGTTTTGATTTGTATTCCATGCATCCCTTTGATATCTTCGCTCAACAACTCCGTCACCATTCTATGCTGCTTGACCAGACTCTGTCCTTTGAAAAGAGGGGAAGCAATTTGAATAGAGTACATGGACCCGCATCCACCTAAAGATAGATAAGAAATTCAATGAGAAAGAAATTCCAAATACGTCATGCATGATTCGTTGGAGGTCAATACGCACCAGATACGTCGGAAACAAGGAGTTTGGTTGCCTGCAGCTGGTTGGCGAGCTTCTCGTGAATGGTGCGCTCCCCTTGTGTGTAGTTTGGAGACGGAGCCGCCAGAGGGGTTGACGGGGATGTGGTGTACAGGCGAAGAGACTGTGTTGAAAGGCGGGACCGGGAGGTGATTCGTCGAGCGAGGAAAGACATGGTGAATGATCTGTTGAAGGAACCGATCCAAACACTTCTCGCCATGAAGTAAGCGATCCAACTACCATGGCAACAAGATCTGGCTGATTCAGCTCCGCGGATTAGTCAATCCGGCAATCCGAGCTCAGTCTTTCCTCAGCTGCTGCCATCCCGCCGTTCCGCTGTCGTCGCAAATGTCTCTCATCGTCCACCATCCCTGGTTTCCCTCCTCCCTTCGTACCACTCTTGGACTAGGAGACTACGACCCAACTTATGGCCGCGCAGCCCTCCCTCTTAACGGACATGAGGACTTGTTTCATTCCGCCCCGTATAGAACGACCGAGACCACCACACCGTTCGGCTCGCACAGTATATTTAGCACAACATGGGAACTCGAGTCATCCACTCCTGTAGCAGATTTAATTCATATCCATGGTTTGCATGATTATGCCACACGTTGGGCGGATACAGACTGGCCAAAGGCGTTCGTTGAGGCAAAGTTCCGTGTGACGTCGCCGGATTTGATTGGGCACGGCCGGTCGAGCGGTAAACATGGTGCATTCACATCTATAGACGAGCAAGTAGATGCCGTAAGGGAGGTGATTATTAAAGTTGTTCGAGAGAGGGCCCCTTCAGAGTCTGGCAAGATTTTTATTTTGGCTGGTAGCCTTGGAGGATTGGTTGCCTTATCGTATGCACGCAAATACGGTCAGGATTCCCAGGCCGCCCCGTCTGGAATGGTTATTCTCTGCCCGCTCGTCAATGCTGCGGCCGATTCCAGACCATCATGGACAGTAGAACTGATAGCAAAAGTCCTATCACGCGTCGCACCCTCCCTCCCACTCGCTGAAGCCAATCGAGGCAAAAATGGGGGAAACGAGGAGGCTTTCTTCTCGGATCCGCTCACATATCATGGCCTACTGCGTATAGGAACTGGGTTGGCCATGCTCTATGGTTTTGAGAATTTGCAGGCACACCTGGAAGAGATTAAGACGCCTTTTGTCGTCATTCATGGAGACTCTGACCGTGTTACGAGGTATCGTTGTCTAGAGAGATTTGCATTCACTCGGCTCCCTACTTATTTCAAATACCTTACACTAGTCCACAAGGCTCTCAAGTTCTCTACGAGCGAGCTTCATCTAGCGATAAGACCATTCATATTATTGAAGGTCAAGAACACGATCTGATTCGTGAACCAAAGGCCGCTGAGATTTTAGCAATTTGTCTAGAATGGCTCAACAAACGGGTCTAACGTACGTTTTATTTATAGTGACGTTGCTTTTGTGTTTAATTGAACGTTTTGTATTCTGTAAAATTGTGTCATTTATAAAGACATGTTCGTAGAAAAACCACAGCAGAATGTTAACTTACTTGTCGTCTTACGTAATAACTCTGCACGTGACTCATCCCTCGCTCCTTCGCGCGCAGGTCGCTGACTCCAACTGACTTTGGGGATGGGAAAAACGGGGGTTTGCTTCATTTGTTCGAGACGGTTTAGAGAACTTTGAAATATACGCGCAGAGCGTTCACCTTCAAAGCCTTTTTGCTGTTGGTGGGGTGCGAGGCTTTGGGAGGCGCGGAGTTCCTAATTGTTGCAAGAGCTTTTTGAGTTTTTCTTCACGCGCGTTTGCGTTGACAGAGTTCCCTCTGGTGCACTCTGCAGGTCTTGTTGCTTCTCATTCTCAGTGTCGTTCAAGATGATGCCTCAATCGCCTGGCACTATGGAGGGAGGCAACGTTTTTCGGATGCCTTCTTCGTCGGGGTTTTTGCAGGACGTGAACCGTGAGGAAAGTTCACCAGGCGAGGAAGGTACCGGAAGTGAGGAACGTAGGGCCCCAAGCACAGGCCAGGACGGAGGTGGGGATGGTAGTGAGACTGGATCTGGCGGTGGGGTGAGTACATTCTGTTGCGGTAGAGTGTCTTTGAATTCCTTGCTCATGGAAATTCCCATGGCTGGGAAATGCGCAAAGTCAAACCGGAAACCGCCTACACCATCCGTATCCTCTACCATCAAGCGGACGAGTCACCACTGGTACACTGGCGTTGCAGAAGAAGCCTCGCGGTACGCACGATTAAACCCGGATGCACCCGAGTTTGCGCCCGTGTTTGAGGCTGGCCCGCGGTCGGCTCCGCCCGCCCCTGAGAGAGGGCATTTTGGCGGGACACATAGATATGGAGAGGATCTTTGGGACTTTCGAGAATCGCCCACGAGTGAGGTACGACTTGTTGTTTCGTGTCTCTTTGTTCACGTATTCATGACGTTCTTGTGGTTTAAGATTCCCTCGACCGTGAGCAGCGGGCAGGCACTTGTAGATCCGTCATCCTACACTATCCCACTTAAATCTGGGAGCAACTTTGATGATGGGAGGGACAAAAGATTGAGGAGGACGGCGTCAGAAAGCCATCTCATGAGTGGAGTGGAGAATGGGTCCTCCTATGTATGCTTGTTGCTGTTTTCATGACTTATTACATCGAGTATTTATTCTCAATTTAGGCGTCAGTCTCTCCTGTTATTGCACAATCTGGAATGGGCACTCGGGCGGGGGTGTCAACCTCGGTAATAGGATCAACCAACCGTGCCCAACAGTACATCACTCCAAACCCATCACCAAGTCGTCGTGGCTCTCTAACAAGCAGTCATAACGTTACGTCAAGTGTTCCCCCAGGAGCACAAGGTCCTACTTCGGAAAGTACCAATCGCGATAGTCTCGTGATGCGCACCAAAGCCCTTTTAGAGCATCAGATGCGCACCAATCTCGCTTTCGCTGAAGCTGTTGCAGCTGAATATGGCCGCGAACTATCCGCGCGTATTGAAACACAACGCCGAGCCTTCATGCTAGAACAGAACCGCCGTGTTCAAATGATGGAATTGACCATTCGTCGCCGGGTGGCTGAGGCGGAGGACGCGTTACGACGTCAATATGAAGACCGCCAAGCGCTCGCATCGCGCATAATTGATGTCAGACACAGTCTAGGGAATGGCGCAAACCTTGACCCCCGATCTATCGGAATGGATCCGCAAGAACTGGAAAGCATATCGCCAGCAGTTCAACGGCGCATAGCGGAGTTGGTGCGCGAAATGACTATAGCGCGAACGGAAGTAGAGATACATAAGCAGGCCATGCAGCGACTGCAACAGGAGTTAATCAGAACGCGTGAGGATACGCGGGCCGCTGCGCACGAATCAGGAAATGCCGCTGAGGTGGGTGCCCTTCGGCAGGCGCTGAGAGACGAGAGGGAACAGAGGCTGCTGTTGGAGGAGAAGGCGAGCGCTTTAGAGTCGAGTTTGCAGGATCAACGAGCGCGTGATTGGGAAGAAGAGGTTACAAAGTAACTATCCACGCTTACTAACATGGAAGGGCAATACTAATATGACTGGGTCAGATTTATGTCTATGCAGGTCGCGAGAGACGGGGCAGCTCTAAGCAAAAAGAGGCCCGATGAATTGCTAGCCTTAATTCTCGAAGTGGAAGCTGAACGCGAACGTCTTTCAAAAGACAATATTCTTCTTACGAGGAGAATAGAGGCTCTTGAGAACGAAGGCGAAGCTGGATCGCTGGATAGCGAATCACGTCCTCCAGACTACAGTTCCGAAAAGTTGGAATCGGAGAAGGAGATGAGAGTGTGGTTTGAGCCCCTGCAGGTATGTTTTCTCTGCTACGCAGTGCCGTTCTCATACCGCAGGCTAGAGTCAATCCGCACTTGCAGCGCGAAATCCTATCTCTGGAAAAAAGCTTAATGTGGACCGCTCCAACAACGCCCCGTATTTCGGAAATCCGAACTAGAATGTTGACGGTGCTCCAAACCCTGGAGTCTCAATCAGAAAAATTGCGTAACCTTTTGCGCGATGACCGTGTTCCTGAGGGAAAGCGTAAAGATTTCTCGTGGGATTCAGGCGTCTTTGTCGAGAGCGGTTTGGGTGGCGGCATGTTTTCACCAACAGAATCTTTTGATCCTTTTGCTACCATGGTGCAGAAAAAAGACGGGAGAATGGTTACGGTGAGCGCTGGGCCTTCATCTGCAATGGTATATTTTGGGTGAGCCGTCTTTCTCTCTTGCATTCAATCTTTCTGAGAAATACGTTATTCCAGACCAAATCGGAGACCGCCTCGCACTCTACCCTTGGTACGACAAGTTCCAGTGGAGGCACATCTTCTCGATCACCCAAAGACTATTCCTACGACATTGTCGGCCAAATGTACGCTTCCGCCGGGTTTGACCTTCAACCACACGACCCCTCCAGTACGTCTGCCGCAACCCCTTCAACAGCGACGCAACAACAGCCACAACAACTTCCATCCACCGGCATGCGCCCTTCCCAGCAGCCATTTCACTTTGGTCCGTTCCCCATCGGGTCTGTGAACGAAAACAAAACTTGAACAATACTGTCTGGGACGTTCTGGGACGCAGACCTTGTCTGATCCGGACAAGGCAAAGATTCTACGATTTGCCAGTGTGTCTCCTTTTCTTTCTTTCTCTTATTTGTAGCAATAAGCTTGGATACCCATGTATAGCATTTTTGTCTTTTTCTTTTTCTGATAGGTCACTGCAAATTCCAAATTTCTGTAGATGAGTATTGGATGTTCTGTTTTGTCTTAGTGTTTCAATAGACGGTTTCTTGGCAGTTGTCTTTGATGAGTCGTTACATATTCAGATTTATATACCAACATTTCTACTACTATGGAGTATCTACGTACAGTCTAAGGTACAATTTGTAACATCCAATTTAAAAAGGGAAACTTAGATACAACGAAAATAGGCTGTCGCGTCTACGCAGAACGTAACAAACCGAGTTCTTCCAATATGCTCCTTCCTTCGTCCGAAACAGGTACGATTCCCTTCTTTGCGGCTTCTTCATCAGGAACAAAGGCTGTTCCATTGCCCAACCCAATAACCGGTAATCTCCATACTGCGACATATTTTCTTTCCCACATGTTTTGGACCAAATGCTCATCGCTCGCATCGATGGTGTAAAAGAGGGGGAGGGAGAAATTGAATGGAGGTAACAGGGGATTATTGTGATAGAAATCGCCAGGTTTGATATTTGTGTTTTGAAAGTTGCCTTTGCGGGGGTCGTGGAAGTTGGTTATAAGGTATTTAGCGCCTGCATCGCAAAATAGAACGTGAGTAAACCGAGAGACCAGAGATGCATCGCAATAGGTTCACTTACCACTCCTTTGGAAGTTGCTATAAATCTTCAGGCCGTCCTCAAGTGGCAAATGCTGAATAGCATCTCTGCACAATATTGCATCAAATGCATCATGTGGAACAGCGTCCATGGCTAGATCTAGGTTGACGAATCGCATATTGGGTTTGTAAAGATATTTGCGCATGTTTTGTATTATAACGTTGGGTACAATGTCTGCGCCGGTGTACGCGATTTTGGAGAAAGAGGGGATTCCGGGCTGCCAGTTACAGTCGCCGCAGGGAGCGTCAAGAAAGGTTTGAATAGAAAAGTGATTGATGACGGTATCGATAAAGTTGCGAATTCGGGCTAGTGGAATGCGTGAAACGCGTGTCCAGAACAGTATTACTGACAACAAAAATGCTTACCAGTGTTTCTGACAGTCGATCCAGGACCAGATCTACTCTCAGGATTTCCCCATCCATTATTTTCAAAGATGCTCACAAAGGTGTTCTTGCGCTCCGCATCGGGATCAACCTGTGGGGTGACAACCTCAACGGGCGGGGCAGGTTCTGCTTCTGAGCTTTGCTGCAGAAGAATCTGGTCTGGAACCCTTGGCTGCAGTTTGGAGGCTGCAGGAATGGATGGTTCAAGGTTTGTAGCGTCATCGGTCGCGGGTGATCGCAAAGAGGAAAGGAGGAAGATAAAGGTGCAGATGAACAAGAGGAGAAGGACTGTTCGCATTCGCCGTGACATTCTGGGATTCATGAATAAAGTGCAAGGGCGGAAGAAGACAACGACCCACAATATATAGCACCGTAACGCCCCCCCGTCTAATTTCAAAGTCTATTCGTTGATGCTCCCAAAACAAAAAATGCGGAAAATGCAAATCAAACGGTCTGTTGGGGTCCTGGCGGTCGGCACCCGTGGCTTTTTGGCGGTGTGGCGACCAAAGTGGCTGTAAAAACCCATTATCCAAATTAGGTTAAATGAGTCTGGACAATTGAGTTTGGTTTATCCCACCAGGCTGTCCGAATCCTAGCTTTTTAGCTCGTTTGGACGAAATGCCATTGAACGAGCAGAATACCCCCCGCAAGAGGGAAGACATGAGTAGACAGAGCAAGACCCCTAGGTCGCAACAGACGACCTTGACTTCATTTTTCGGTGTTCCCAAACGCGAGGTTGGGACTCCTACTCCTCGACGAGGAGTTGCTGAAGGTAGTGTTGTAGTTCATGCGGTAGTGCACATGGGTGAAGCAGACATGTATGGAAGGGGTTGCTCGCTGTCTCTGGAACCATCAATGCGTCTTCCGTCTTCTTTCCATAAGCTTTCTAATGCGTCATGTCATATAGTCCGCGAACATTCGAGTCCCGTGGGACGGTCAAGTCCCTCAATATGCCCTTCTCCCACGCCACACAACAAAGATACTGTCCAACGAGGACAACTCCTCTCTCCAACCCTACCAAAGTCGTCCTTGAGTACACCACCTGCCACCGTTCTATCTTCTCCATCCAACCGGGCCCCCGGCCGGGTCTCGACTGGCAATAGCATAATAAATGATACGGCACAGAACGACGACCCGGATGATGAAGATGTAGTCATTGGGTTTCGAAGAAGGCTGAGAAAGCGAAGTAGCGCTGTGTATATTGAGTCAGATGAAGAGGACACTGAAAATGTTGCCCATAATGGAGCGCGAGCTTCGGGAAAGAGACTTAAACTCGGGGACAGCGATGATGAGGGAGACACATGGAAACCGCTCGAAGAGAAAAAAGATGCAACCGATTCGGAAGACGGTATGGAAGTTGACGACGTAGATGATGAAGAAGGTGTCACTCCAATGAAGCAGGCCAAAACGCCCAAGACACCCAAAACACCCGCGCGTGTGAACAATGCTATACCACAAGCACGCAGTGCTTCTTCAGCGAAATTGAAGGATTTTTCCATGACACCCAGCTCAGTCAAGAAAGGCTCAAGTTTTCTAAGTCCGTTGAACTCTGAGAAGAAGAAAGCGCGGGCCGAAACGTTTAAGCAAAAGAACGAGGATCGCTATTCGTGGTTGTTGGATATAAGAGGTGTGCTTCCAAGTACATTGTTCATCCATATGGGGAACCTCACTTATACCTCTCTGAACAGATCATGAAGGCCGCCGTCCTGATGATGAGAACTACGACCCTCGGACTTTATTGATACCAGATGCTGCTTGGAAGTCATTCACACCATTTGAAAAGCAGTTTTGGGAAATCAAGTCAACGCACTGGGATACAGTGGTATTCTTTAAGAAGGGCAAAGTGGGTTGATTTATTACTGCCATGTATTTTGCGTGCTTCTGAACCGTTTGGAAACAAAGTTTTATGAGCTGTACGAAAAAGACGCTGATATTGGACATCAGCATTTTGACCTGAAATTGACGGATCGGGTCAATATGCGAATGGTTGGCGTGCCTGAGAGCTCATTTGATCACTGGGCCGCCCAATTCCTGGCCAAGGTAGTGTCCTGCCTTCATTTTTCTGAGGCCTCGCAAACACAAGCTCAACCACTTTAGGGCTACAAAGTAGCTAAAGTCGATCAGATGGAGACCGCCGTAGGAAAAGCCATGCGTGACCGCGAGAAAACGACCAAAACGCAAGATGATAAAATCATTAGGCGGGAATTGAAATGCATTTTGACCACTGGCACGCTGGTTGACGCTGGTCTGTTGACGAATGACATGGGGACGTATTGCATGAGTATCAAAGAGAGATTGGATGCGGATCATCTTCCACCCTCTTTTGGTGGTATGTCCATGGCTTGCTTTGCTCAGCTTTTATCCTCTTCCTCACGGGTCGCTGTCTCATAGTGGCGTTTGTTGATACTGCGACATCGGAATTCTCTCTCTGTTCGTTCGATGACGATGTTGAGAGAACCAGATTAGAAACCCTCATCATGCAGCTCAAGCCAAAAGAAGTCATTTTGGAGAAGGTAACTGCAATGATGCCATCCCTGCTCCGGCAACCGTCTTCAACTGAGACTTCCCACTCATTCTAGGGTGCCTTCAGTAAAGCGTCCGCTCGGATTTTGAAGAACAATTTGCGTGAACTTCAAATTAATATGCTTGTGCCGGATAAAGAATTTTGGGCACATGAGACCGTTTTGGATGAGATCCGCGGTGGAAAATACTTTGCCGGAGGGGAGGGCGAAAGTGACGGAGAGCAGTCCTGGCCTGCTGCTCTGAAGGAAGCTCAACCCCTTGCTCTAGGTCAGTAATCGTGAGGTCATGTATTTCCTTAAACTTACTAAATCATCACGTTTCTTCAGAGGCCCTCGGTGGCCTTCTGTCGTATCTTCGATCCTTGATGATCGACAAAGAGCTGGTCTCAGCTAGAAATTTTCACACATACGATCCAATCCGGCATGTTGGAAGTCTCATTCTCGATGGACAGACCCTAATCAATCTCGAGATTTTCGAAAACACATCCGACGGTACGGACGCGGGGTCCTTACACAAACTGCTCAATCATTGTGACACACCCTTCGGAAAGCGTCTCTTTAAACGTTGGTTGTGCCACCCACTTCGCTCTATTCCTGAAATCAATGATCGGTTGAACGCTATAGACGATCTGAATAGCATTTACGGGCAACAGGAAAAACTGCAAATGTCACTCCGCAAGTTGCCGGACCTGGAGCGAGTTATCTCCCGAATCCATGCGGGCACGGTTCGGGTGCGGGAATTTTTGGCTGCCTTGAGCGCTTTCAGATCAATTGGGGTAGGTGCGAATTGTGCATTGACAAATGATAAACCTGACACATTACCTCACCAGGATTTGATGGAAGAGATGAAACCCTTCATCGACGAATTCACATCAGTTAGACTAAAGCGCATATTTGAATCGGGCATGCCCGACAAGCTCATTGAAAGTCTGGACTACTTCATGAAGGCCTTTGATCATGTCACTGCAGCGGCAGCGGAGAGGATAGAATTGCACCGAGGGTACGATGCGGTGTTCGATAAGGCTTGTGAAGCTATCGAAGGGATTGAGGAAGAATTGGAGGTTCATCGACAGGAGTGTGAGAAGAAATTGAAGTACGCATCTGGAGTCGGTGCTCTTGATGGAAACGATGTTGGCTGATTTTCCGCATCTGCAGATGTAAGATCAAATACAAGGACATGGGCAAGGTGAGAATTGGTCGGCATGTTTTCTTCATGATTTCGCGACCTTGACGAATCCCCGTATAGGAACTCTTTACGATGGAAGTACCAAAGAACACCAAAGTCCCTCGCGATTGGCACATCAAATCAAACACCGCGGTAGGTACCCATGAAGAAGAACAACCCTCTTAAACTGCAAATGTTAAATCTTTATCCAGTCTGTGAGCAGATATTGGGATCCTACCGTAGAGAACCTGGTTAGAGATTTTCTAGAAGCTCGCGAAGTAAAAGAGGAAGCCCTCCGAAATATCAAGACCAGATTATGTGCGAAATTTGATTCTCATTATATGGATTGGTTGGCGGTTGTAAAGAGCATTGCAGAGTTGGATTGTTTGATGAGTCTTGCGACGTGCCAGAGGAGTATTGGTGGTAAGTGGTGGTCTGGTACGTCAAGTAATGTTCCTAGATCATCTCATGACGGAAAATCTCCACAGAACCTAGATGTCGCCCAGAGTTTGTAGAGTCTGAAACAAGTATATTGGAGATTGATGAGATGAGACATCCTTGCATCACTCATGGGTAAATGCATGATATTGTTGCCATTGGAGAGCTGTGTTTGCTCTGTCTGACCTTGTGGTTGTGTAGAGCGGTCAGTGACTTTATACCCAATGATCTACACTTTGGTGGAGGTGATAAATCGAATATGGTCTTGCTGACTGGCCCGAATATGGTGGGTTCAGTGTGGTACGTTTACTCCATCAGGAATCAGCTAATGGAATATGTTCTCGTGGTAGGGCGGGAAATCTACGCTACTTCGCCAGGTATATCAGGATCATAAGAGGACTGAAGTCATTACTCACATATGTCCCGCAGACTTGCATTGCTGTCATAATGGCCCAAATGGGATGCTACGTCCCTGCACGGCGCTGCCGTATGACGATTTTTGATAGGATCTTTACACGATTGGGTAAGGATGCCAATGTAAGATTTGATGGTTGAAGGGTGGGGGTTGAAAAATTGCACATTTAGGGGCAAACGACAATATTCTTGCCGGTCAGTCGACATTCATGGTTGAACTTGCGGAAACGTGCAAGATCATGCGGGAAGCTACACCGCGATCCCTCGTTATTCTGGATGAGCTCGGCCGAGGAACATCAACTTTTGATGGGTTAGCAAACATTGGTCTACTGGCGTTCGCTATATTCATTGGCTGACCCTTTGTCATGTAGTTATGCTATTGCGTATGCGGTCTTGCATCATTTGATCACACATGTCCGCTGCCTCGGGCTGTTTAGCACTCATTACCGTATGCTTACCACCGAGTTTGCTGATAACTCGTTAATAACGATGAAGTACATGAGTTTCCTTACCGATGAGGAAAAGTGAGCTTCAAATTCAGTGCTTTGTCTTATTTTCTGTCGCAAGGATGTGCCGAATGCTGATTCTGTTTTTATTTTCTTATGAAAGGCGCGAAGTCACCTTTTTATACAAATTGACAGACGGAAGCTGTCCGAAGAGTTATGGGATGAACGTCGCGAGCATGGCTGGTGTGCCCATTGAAATTGTTGAGAAGGCCGATAAGATTGCGGCCAGTTTTCAGGATAGCAAGGAGGCGTTAGGGGAAAATGCGATGGAGTAAGTTTTCAGGCAGTGGTCGGTGTTTTCAAATCATTTATTTCTGACTCGCAAACGCTTGCGTCTGTAGGAGACCTGAATATAGGCTCACACGATTAGCAAACTTTGCCGAACTAATGGCTGCAACGAAAGAGCCCAAAAATTCCTTTGAGCTCGTAAAAACGATCTGGAGAGGACTCCGTGCTTGAGATCCGGAGGTGCATATAGACCTTGTCCTCGACGAATGCGTCTGTTTATTGGGAACGATTGGGAATGTTTGGGAATTTCGATGGCGGCCCCAAGGGGATGTTTTGCGCCTTCTATTACTAAGGAGTAGATGATGGGTTATCCAAATTGTATAATTTAGACTTCATGCTCCAATTGTAATCATTGGATGTTTAGAGCTTTTTTTCACAACGTCCCGATAACATCCCATCGAATAATTCGTGCATCGTCCGTAACTGCCATCAATATCCTGAAAAACAGATACGCCTGGTAAAAATAAAATGCAATGTGAAATTATATATGACCACACCCACGTCTCATCCCGCGCAAAAGCCAAAGCCCTGATCTGAACGGGCTTCTTTGGGCCTCCAATTACAACACGCATCCGACCAGTTGGGTCATCTTTTTTTGCAATATCGTCGATTTTATCCGCGACGCTCAGTTGAAGCAGGTAGGGTATGTCCTGTTGGGTTCATTGTCAGCTTCAGGTGAATAGCATGATAGTGTTGGCAGTGTTGTACCCATATGTAAATCTCTCCCATCATGTTTCCGACAGCTAGATACCGGCCTGATGGACTTAGGGTTGCGCGGACAAACCATAGGGAATGGTCATCTTGCTCTGGATACTAAAGCAGAACAGATGTGAGGTTCATTTCTATGTGGTACAACTGGCCCAGCTTGTCACACGACTTACTTCAAATTGATGACAGTAGAAGATGTCTTGGCTGATGACCCTCTTGGCCTTCAATACATACAAGACTCGTCAATTCATAATTTGAAGGACTCTAGAACGTAGCATGCTACTCACTGTGTTAGACAATTTGGTCCTCCGTTCGATTTCTGGCTGAAACATCTACCATGCTGAACACTGAGCACATAGCCATAACAAGACCAGATCAGAACAGCAGACAATCCTACCCTGATGCAGCTTTCCGTTGATTTGGCCAGACACAGATCCCCCCACCACTGAACCCAGTCCACGTAACCATGCCATACGTATGGAGATGACATGATGGGTATTTTTTCAAATGCCAACGAAGCAGGCTGCTTGTCTTTCCTATCGGATGACGAAGATTTCCATGAAGAACGTCTGGTACGATTTATTCGGCCTCGGTAGTATGCGGCAGGAGGGAGGGAAGATGGCTGCCCTTGGTAAGAGTAGGCTATTGCAGAGCGGATTGAGCGTGTATCGGTGTTCCAGAGGCGCACTAATTCAAGTGAAGTTAGAGGCAGTCCGTATGGCTGGCAGTGGCTGCTGAACCGACACTCGACTGTACCTGTTCCGTCCTTTTCACCGACCAGAAGTTTCTTCCCAGTGTGATGCCAAGCCTAAGTGCTGCCTCAACACTATGTGTATCCGTGAAATAAACACATAGTTTAATCATACCAATGAGAGTAATCCCATCCTTTGAAATTCAGTTGCGGTCATGAATATCGCAATCACATGACCCGTTTTGCCATTCCAGAGTCGAGCAGATAAATCACAAGAAGCAGTTGCGAATAGGAGCGGATCTTTGGGATGCGTCTTGATGTCATTGACATGCTAGACGCAAAATAATCAATGCGTGCTCGTTTGAACGACGGGACGGAACCGCACAACCACTTACAGACCCATGCGAATGTAGATGCTATTACAGCGAATTAGAACATTGACGCTCAAGCCGGCCAACTCAGTCGTCCTAACCTTATACTCTCCACTATCCGCATCAAAGACCATCAAAAAGCCATCAGATCCACCAGCAGCAATATGACACTTGGCTTCCTTCTCATCATATAGCCAATCACAACAAAACACGTCAGGAGGTTCGTGGACAAGATCAATACCAGCATATACTAGTGGATTCAGCGGCATCTAGTCAAGATATTATGAGGAGCTTGCGCTATTCACTTTATTGGCTACTGAAATTACCTGTTTGCTTAAATCCCACTTGCGTTTCATCTTCGTCTGTTTACCCGGTATTGACGTCCATATGGATACCTAAAGTAGATCATCATTTTCTGCCCATGAACCAACCGGAATTCCTGGATCTCACCTGGCCACAGCCAACGACAGCAAATTCAACTCCTGTAAATAGGTTCGCTCGCACATCGTAGAGCTTGTCATTCACTGGCTGTCTTTTCGTGGATGTGGGCTTTTGGAACCTGCGTACTGGAACTTGATGGACTTGAGCCCGCCCGAATAAAGGAAGAGGCTGGTAGCCGACGTCAACGTCGTCTTCTTCGTCCTTGTCCGAAGAGGATGCGGGGCAAGGTGTGCTTTCAATGTTAGCATCGTCTAGTGTACCGTCAGAGTAGGTCGCTACATTCGCCGAAGTGGTCCGGGGACGTTTGATTGCGATCTGCGGATCACTGTCCTCGATACGCCGGGCGCGTTTTCTATATCTCTTTAATCTTCGTTCTAACAGACTCTCATCATCAGATTCGTCAGCTGCCGAAAGCCGATCTGATTCCGCTTTCAGCCACATCTCGGAGAGGTTCCCCGGGTGGTATCTAGGGGGGTATCTTTGGTCGGGCGATCTGGCTTTCGGCAGTGACATACGTGATTTTGACCTCGTTGCTGAGGATTTACCTTGGAAGCTTCTGTCAGAGACGGCAACCTTTTCCTTTTTTAAGAAGTCAGAGATTGATGAGAGACCCTCCGGGACACTGTCGGGGAAACCAATCTTCACCGGAATTGCACCAGCTAGCAACCCGTCGCCATTTGTTATAGTACGGGAAGTAACGTTTTCAGGCCTGACGCCATCAAAGGAAATATTAAGTCGTGTGTCCACATTAGAGCCTCCTGTCGTAGGGGATACGGCGAGTCCAGTAGCAGTACTAACGGGAAAAGCAGAGCCGCGAGAGGATTCAACGACCACTGTTGACTGAAAATTTGATGAATCCAGCGAAAACGATCCATTTATGTGGGATATCGATATTGATTCTGTGGCGGTCGAGGCGTCGCTATGACATGGATCATCCCCAGCAGCACTCTTTGTTGCTAATTTGGCCGGTTCTCTTTGTTTGCGCTTCTGTCCGGTTGTATATCGACATGGCGCGTTCGGCTCTGTACATTGCTTCGTCAAATCAATGAGATCATGGTCAAGAATACGTTCTGCTATCACTTGAGGATGGGTCTTATGCTTCTTTCGAAGCCGTTTACGGTGGCGCCTCCCTTCTTGAACCAGATTCACAATACATGCTTTGACATTGTGTTGTCTCCTCCCTTTTCTGTTTTTCGATCTGAGCTTCCCTTCATCGTCCGATTCTGATGTTATGAGTACGACTTCCGTCAAGCGATCATTTGTGGAGTTCTGAACAACGACATGATCCGAATCCACTAAGTCAATGACAGTCTCTTGACCAGCAGGAGTTACGGGGCTTCCCTTGTTTGAGCTGCTGATGTCGTTACTGCCCAGTTGTGGTGTTTCAGGGGTAAGCTCGGACACTGTTGGCAGAGTCGACATGTCCTGCATCGTTAACTGATCCGCGACTTCCACTACACCATTGATATGACTGACAGCTTGACTGACGCCTTCCATTCCATTTTCTAAGCTGTATGGCTGAAAGTCATCTGGAGCACGCTGGTCTGCGACCATAATTACATTCTGGTCGACATGATCATCAACCATCACGCCCCCGGGTAGTGTGGAATTTTGGTGGGGTGTCCCAAAATGCCTGCCCAAACCTCCGTGGATAAAATTTTGAAGTTCTATTCCCGAAATCCGAAATGACCAACGATATGTCAATGTGCGCTGGAATGCCGTTTCAGGTATTCAGGTATCGTGGTCAGCGGATGCGGCTCATGCGGCTTCAATATTATTGAGACCGAGCTTTTCGCCAGTATAATAGTCGTTTCAGGGACAGATGGCAAGGGCCCTTGTGCACGCTGGACTGATATCGGTCAAGAAAAATTACTGCTGTGCGGGGAACTCTGACGGGAATGCTGAATCTGTTGTACAATGCGTCGGGTTGGAAATGATATAGTCAGTGGAAATTCTTTCGAAGATGCCAGGGAAGCATTTTGAGGCAGCAGTGAGCACGGCTTCATTACCCATTTGGTGTTTAAGTTTGAGCTGACGAATCTGGCGATCTAAAGATTCCGTTTCGTATTCAAGCAAGGGATTTTTAACATATGTCCAAAAACATATCTGCACCAAAACGGACGAGGGAAAACTTTCAGTCATTGAGTGTAAGAAGAAGTTTCGACTGAGATCTTCCAATGATTCATTTGCCAGCAAAGGAGGTCATTGCAGTTTCCGGATTGTCTCATCCAAGGTTCAACCCATGTCAGACATCCGTGTAATTATCCTTCGCTATGCGTTTGTGTGTTCCTCGATATTTCTATCTATGCATGTATTGTGTGCAGGATACATACCTCTTTTGCGTTCGGCTTCCTTCCCAATAGTGCAAAATCGTCGTCCCCCAGGTCTCAACACTCTCCAGATCGAACTCCCAGCGTAAGCGCATCAGGTGAATCTAGTCAGGTGATCTGATCATGTCAGCCAATTGAAGCATGTCCGAAATGCAATACGCTCAAGAGCGATCGCGGTCGGCTTGACATCTTCCTCGTCATGTTCGCCAAGCGGGCAAACTCTTCGCAGGGGGCCTGGCCGAAACCTGGCAGGAAGAGAGGGCGACAAAAGGACGCGGAGGGTCAGTCAGTGAGTATTGATAATGTTAACCGCAATCATGATTCTTGCCCATTAACTTTGCCTGGTCACGCAGCTTCAACTTGAGCGCGTATTGGGTTTAAGTGTAACCCGACCCTCTGCATTGACTCTCAATCAAAACTTGGATACCCCGGTCCTTGCGTATCCCGCAGGCGGCATAGTGGTTCTTTACAATTACAAACGTAACCGACAGGTTGGGTTTTTGACTCCCAATGCGACCTTCGACGCGGAGAGAGGGGCTGGATCGACAGGAGGAAGACGAGCTTCGCTGGCGGCAGGTGGCAAAGCAGTATCTTGTGTGGCGTATTCGCAGGATGGTGAATATTTGGCGGTTGGAGAGGTAGGTGGGTAAAGCCATGCATTGTCTGTCAGTAATATCCAGCGGAAGTTTTGAGTTTGTTCTCCTCAGGCAGGGCATCAACCGAAGGTGCTAATATGGAAGGGGTCTACTCTGGTTTCGGAGTTGGTGGGCCATTTGTATGGAGTCTTAGCAGTGGCCTTTTGCCCAGACTGCAAGTATCTTGTCTCAGTTGGATATCAGGTAATATTGGCAGAGGTTGTTCAGGCCCATAAGCAAAGACTCATTGGTTGTATCTAGCACGATGGATTGCTCTACGTCTGGAACTGGCGAACAGGGCAACGACTTGCATATGCTAAACTCGACGCAAAGGTGATTCTCGTCGCTGATCAGCCTCCGTGGTCGCTGTGTGGTTCTAAATGTGCTGTGCAGATACATTCTCTGGCATTCTCTCCCAAAGGAGATTTTTTTGTCACTGTAGGAGTGCAGCATGTTACGTTTTGGCCGATGGACGCAGATAAACTCGTGCAAAATGCGAAGGTGCGCCCGTGAACTAAATCCACCAGGCGACCACGATAAACTACTAAGTATAGTTCCTTTCAGGCTGCAAAGCCCGTGAATATTGTTCTTGAAGGAACCTCGGGCCAGTTTACTAGCCATAAGAATTGCGTGTTTATGGACGTAGCGTGTTCAACTGCAAGTGACGGCAAGACAACCACGTATTCCATTACTGATGATGGCACATTAGTGTGTTTCAGTCACGACAGAGAATTGGTGAAGTGGGTTGAGTTGAAGGTACAACGACAGGTGCAGGAAATCGCATCGTCGAGTCATTAACCTGCCAGCATTACACAAGGTGCCAGGGCGTTCAGTCAATGTGTCTGCAAAGTATATTGCGTGTGGATGCGCTGATGGAGTAATTCGCCTTTTTGAGACATTTACGATGCAGTATATTGTGACTCTTCCAAAAACACATCCGATTGATGTCCATCCCCATACAAGGGGTAGTCCGACGTGAGTCTTTGATAAAGCCCCGAGCATCATTTCATCGTTCTTATTCTCTGAACAAGATCCTCGTCGCTATACCCTGATGTCGAAGCGATTGCCATTGATGCACACAGCGAAAAACTTGCTTGTATCTTCAATGACCATTCATTGTTGATCTGGAATATCAAGGACCCAAAGCATCCGAAGACATATAGGAGCTTTCTTTGGCATAGCGATGCAATATGGGGAGTTGAGGTAATAAAGTTGCAAGTTTCGGAGGCATTGGGAAATTTACTGATTACCATTATAATAGATGGTTCCAACAATTGCAGATGATTACCCATCAGTAGACTCAGAGTCACCTCCTTCCGGACTCCCTCCGAACACATTCGTGACCTATTCGTCAGACGGAACAGTGCGATTCTGGAATCTGGACGGTACCAGCAGCGCCCATAGCGTCTCACCAACCGGCTCTGAAACAAGCAATGGCCTGACTGTTTCTGATTACTTCCGTCAAAATGATTACTCCCGGGAGCTTTTACGAATTTTGTATGTTGATAGAGCTGGAATTCTCAAGCTCAAAACTCATACTGATGGCGGTGAGAGTTTTCGGACTATATTTGAGGCTAGACGATGTGGCTCGGATTGACATGAGTTACTACAGAACCGTCAGCGGCGGAGAAGACTGGTGTACGAGCTTTGCGTGTAACACCTGATGGGCAGTTTTTAGCATCTGGAGATCGTTTGGGGAACGTAAGGTACCTTTGTACCTGCCTGACACCCGCATATGAGCTGAGCTACAACTAAAACAATTATTGCTTAGAGTACATGAGCTTGTAACTTTTCAGCAGTTGAAGTTTTTGGAGGCGCACGAAGCTGAAGTCCTTTCGATTGATTTTTCCGATGACCCACATGCGGGTATGATTATGCTATTTGGACAGAGACGCGCACGGAGCTATTGGCTAAGTCGGTATCATCGAACATAGATTCTTTCCTGATGGCTACAGCAAGCCGCGATCGGTTGATACATGTTTTTGATGGGGCCCGCGATTTTGAGCTGGTACAAACGCTAGATGATCATACATCCTCTATCACCTCAGTCCGCTTCTGCGATAATGGCCGCCGTTTAATGAGCTGCGGGGCAGACAGGTCCTTGATATTTCGCGTGACAGACGTACGTAGTTGGGTGCTGCTCGCCTTCCTTATCCTTGGCGATTGATGTTATGATTGTTCACAACAGACCGGTAATGGATTTCAAAGTTATCATAAAGCCCTTAGTCGATCCACAATATATGACCTCGACATCGATGCAACGTCAAAGTATCTAGCGACAGTATCTCAAGATCGGCGGATTAATGTCTACTCAGTCAATACTGGCAAATCCGTCCGTTCTTACCGCCCCGAATTTGATGATACAAGCGCAGACAGCGGTTTTACTAAGCTTTCGCTCGATCAGTCGGGTGCCTATGCAGCTACCTCTGCCTCTGACAAAACGATACGCATTTTCGACTTTTACTCCGGAGACTGTCTTGGCAGAGTTGCAAGTGGACATTCGGAACTGGTCACCGGTGTCAAGTTTACCCTCGATTGCAAACATCTTATCTCTACGGGTGCAGATGGGTGCATCTTTGTGTGGAAGCTGTCCAAGAGGATTACCCAGCAGATGCAGAAACGCCTGGGCAAAAAGTTCGGTAGCGGCAATGGAGCGACCCGCAGCAACAGTTTTACCCAGAGCCAAGTTTCCGCTCCTGAAACAGACCAGCCTTCTTTCCAGAGCGGAGAGTTAGGAGATACCAGTTCTATTAGAAGTAGTGGGGACGCATTGCCCTCCAATGAGCCAGCTAGCCTTCCATTTCTCTTCAGTGAGTTGGGGTTGCCGGCCTGGGCCAGAACAACCCGAAATCGCGAGCTTGAAGCCGATCAGGGGCGGTTTGTTGCTCCAAAAGGTCGTTGGGCACAGGTAGGATCTTCTTTCCTGTCGTTCCTCGTTAGGTCTTTATATGAACCTACTTTTTTACAGAGAGTGGGCCAAGAAGGTGTCATGCTGTTCTCGGAACTCAGTGAAAGCGCACCCCCGGTGGCGAGAATGGATGATGTTTTTGATCGGCGCTACACATTCGAGCAAGATCGAATCCCTAATACACCGCGGAGAGAGGAAGGAGCGTCTGTTACAAAAATCACTGACGGCCTAGCAGGGCCAAGTGACCAAATCATTAGACACGGTGTAACCACCAACGACATGGTCGTCCAAGACCTTGACTCAATGGCACTTACCTCAAGTCACATCTCTGACGATGACGTTGACGAACCAACAGAGATGGATATTGAGGATGACGAGGAGTTTGACGAAGATCATATAGTATTCCTTCCATCTGAAGACAAAGAGGACACTCTATATATTGTAATGGCTCAGGATGCGAAAGAACAAAGCCACGATGCCTCAGAGACTGCGCCTGTAGATGAAAGTAGGAAGTCACAGACACCGGAACAATCGCCAGATCTATCTAATACACTAGTCGAGCCCGACAAGATTTCGCGGACCCCCAAAACTGGGAAAGAGGAGGAGGACGACGAGGGTGAAGGCGGGTCTGGGAGCAAAGAATTTGGTGATATGACGTTTGAGGAATATATCGGACAGTCCGTAGCTCTCTCTGCTGGTTTAGATATTCGGCAGAGCTTGTCGGCCAAGCACTTGGCATTGCGAAATCATGAGACCACTTCTCACGCGGAGAATCAGTCCTTGAAGGCACAACCTAGCGCGGAGGAAGAAAAGGGCCCGATGCCCATAAGTACCGTTTCAGAAACGAGGACATCATCGGGCGATGAGGGTACAGAAGCAGCGTCGACTACGTCTTTGAGACAAAGGAAGGAAGCGACAGCTCAGGAGGTGGCGAAAGTTCGTCAGAAACTGGCAGCAATGGGCATTATTTGGCGAAGTGCAGAGAATCTAGCTTTGACAGAATTACCTTCAGAATCCGCTGCCGAAACACCGGCAGTCCAGAATGCAATCGAAAATCCCGAATTAGTTCACGCTATAAGCCACGATGCGGAACGCGCCGACGATCAACAAAATCCTGCCCAAATGGAGGAAAGGCCGTATACTCCTCATGAGACCGCCCCGGAACTAGTGCGTAGTCCATATCGGTCTCGATCTATGAGCCCGATACGGTCAGCCGTCAATCGCGACGTCATAGTCAATGCCATCGCGCACCCAGTTCCAGCTCCGCATGATGAGGCACGTACCCCAGCAGGTTCACAAGAAGGTGCAAACCAAACAATGGAGGAGCAGGAGGATGAGGAGGAGAAGGAGGAGGACGAGCTTGATGGTGGAGCCGCAGTTCCAGATAATGTCGTCGAGATGACCGACCCGGCCACTGACGCGATGGATCAAATACCTAAAGGTATGTGAAAATATACGACGCCTATTCACGGCTTATTATTGTGCTAACAGATACCTATACAGCTGAAGGGGCAGACCTCGAGTCAATCTCTGTAGACGAATTGAAACTTTTCCGATCATTAGCTGATCGTTCAGCGCAAGCCCTGGTAAAGCTCGCCACTCGTAAACCCTCCTCGGACGAGGAAAGAATCGCGAACGAAATACGATCATCTCTAAATTACGTGTATGAGGCTACGGCCACTGCCTTGGAAAAGAGTGACCCTCCGCCGGAAGCGCTCTTTAAGGATGGAAAAATGATTCACCTTTTGGAGAAGTATTCGGAGATTTTGGTCGACATGGTACAGAAGAAGCTGCAGGACGGCCAGAGTTAGAAGATTGGCAGTTTATTTTATCTATTTGTATTTCATGTACTGTGTAAATTGTTCATATCTCACAACCCTACCACCTGATCATCGAGGGCGTGTCTAAACATGCCGATAGCTCACGTAGGATAGCCATCCCTACCGCTGTCGTTATCCGGAAGACAGCTGAAAAGTATCGCAGAATGCGCACGTAGCGGGAGTTGAACCCACCATGAATAATCGCCTCTGTGGCACAGCACCGAACTCAAAGCACTTTCGCAGGACGACAGATGCCCATCGTCGACACCTGGAAGTAGATCATGACAACCGCAGCTACGACCCCCGCCATCTCGTTCACCCACATTGATCCCAGCGGACCCGTTCCCGCTCCAGCTATAGGATGGGAGGAGTACTTTCGTACAACTCCCCCACCTGACTTCCTCGAACCTGCGGGCAAGCGCGTAGAGGAATTTGTCGCCTTGCACGCCAAGGCTGGGAGAAGAGTTGTGCTGGTGACGGTAAGAGCCGGAAATACTACTGTCTGCCATCTTGCTATTAGCTATTTACATAAGTGTATAGTCGGGTGGGACCACTGTTCCCCTTGAGCAAAATACCGTCCGATTCATTGACAACTTTAGTGCCGGGACCCGCGGAGCAACGTCCGCTGAATACTTTATCGAGGCCGGCTATGCTGTGATTTTTATGCACAGACAGTTCAGCTTGCAGCCATATTCCAGACATTATTCGCATTCACGGAATTGTTTCTTGGATTACATGCAAGAAGACGGTCATGGCGGATTGATTGGTATGTGTTTGTATTGGCTTGCGGGATGTCAAAAGACTATGATACGGAGCGATTCCGGACTGGATTCTTGATCACAGTCGACAGGAAATATAGCGACCACATGCGGGAGGTGTTATTGAAGTATCAACGGGTATTGTCCTGCCAACACTTCATGAAAATCTTCAATCTAGAAACTGAACTCTTGGTTTGACCAGGCGAAGCGCGAACACCTTCTCATCATGGAAACATTTGTGACTGTTCAAGACTATCTCTTTCTTCTTCGCCGCTTCACGACTGCCATGTCGATTCTCCGGGAGAATGCGATGTATTACTTGGCTGCCGCAGTCAGCGATTTCTTCATTCCGCAAAGTAAAATGGTGCGCTACCTTGCACGTTGCTTACACACTTGGCCTTGCAGTACATTAAGTGTCATATTTGTTTATTTGTCTATATAGGCTCAGCATAAAATCCAGTCGGCCGAAGGCGCATTGGTGTTGCAGCTGGACCAAGTCCCTAAGATTATCTCCCCTCTCGTCGATACTTGGGCCGCTAAAGGGTTCATCGTTTCTTTCAAACTTGAGACGGACCCTGATCTTCTTATTCAGAAATCACGGCGCTCGTTGGAGCGGTACAAACACCAACTTGTCATTGGTAACATATTAACTACGAGGAAGAAGGTGGTCACCTTCGTGACCACAAAAGAAGAAACAAAGCTGGAATTAACGGACGAGGAGCTGAGAAATGGAGTGGAGATTGAGGAGAGGATAATACCAGAGCTTATTAGGAGGCACGACAAATGGATCATACAGACGAAATCCCAATAGATTGTAGACTTAATGGGTCCATCATTATGTCTTTATTCATCCCGCGTTAAAAGAACAAACAGTGCCAGGACCACCAGCAGGACAACCTTCAATTGTGGGTAATCATTCAGTAGTATCGTCACCATTCCTACATATGGCAAAAACCTACACCATGGCCAGTGCGAGATAGGATAAGTGCATTGCGCAAGTCACCCAAGTCAGATGACAGATCACATACCCTTTGACCCTCCCCACAACGTCTTCTTTTTTAATCCACATCTGTCCCGGATTGTATAGTCCTCTGTCATCCACTTGATTGTTATCGCCTTTTGTTAAAAGATACTGAGTATTGTTCTTCGTGGTATGCAACTCGATCACACGATGCACAATGGGAACGGCTTTCCCACGAAGTTTGAAGACGCATATATCGCCTATTGTTATTGGGGCGCTCGGTTGTGTAAGAAAAAGAAGGTCGCCACGGGCAAACGCCGGTTCCATGCTTTCACTAACACACAAGGATTGTCAGTAGCAAGAGAGCATACTGCATACGATAACAAATGTCGTACCTAAGGACCACGACAATAGGGGATTCGCTATTGGTCACAACCGATAGTCCCTTCCAGATCATTAACGCTGAAGATACAATCAGGCACACATTCAGCGCTTGCTGGGCGAGCTACAGCCTAGGTTTAGTTCAACTTGCTGAATCTTTTCATATTCCTAAATGCAACAAACCTGCCGAAAGGACATTCGCGTTAGGCTTTTCAAGGCGTCCATGTTGGGCTACAAAGGCCGAGCGACAGAGGCAATGGGCCGCATCTACGACACTAGCATATCGACACTTGGACGGGGGACTGAGGGCCGTGACTGTGCTGACAATCACATTGTGGTTGGCATATCAACAGTACATAACCAGCCAAATGCATTCCAATGAATGATTCATCATATCCCGTCGTTCCCCATTGTCTTCCACTTCTTGGTAAAGCAACCATTTCCCCCTCCCCGCGGAACGTCCTCCAAGCGCTGACACCAGACAAAAGTCCACAGCTTCCGGTTGAAGGTTTCGTCAGCTGTAGATAACTGAAGCTGAGAGGGACAAGGACACGTTCATTGTTGGATTCTCCACCTTGGGCTTGTCTCTGTGTCTTAAGTGATCTTCAGAAAAAAACCGCAGCCTGCACGCACCCGACGGCGTTTTCGTGCACAGTTCCACATTATATTCTCGTATAAAGCTGCCCATCTTCTCACAACTTGGAGCGAATAGCGAGAAGTGCCTTTTGCGCTCCAGCAAACATTCAGTCTTTCACCGCCTACAGGCCTAGCAGAGAACGCGGTGCTGTCTACGAAGCAGGATACCTATCCGGGAGAGCACACTGGACGCTTTCCCGTCGGTGTTTCGAAGCATACAGTAATGAGTAACCCAGGGGATCACCACTGGGGACAGCAACACGCGACAGCAGCGTTGCCGATGCCACCTACAGGCCCGCCCCAACCGCCGCAAGTACTACCGCCGCAGCAGTCACAGCAACAACCGCTATCGGCTAGCCAGCTTCCACCAACTTTACCGCCGATTCAACAGGCGGATTTGGGACCACAGGCTGGTCAGATGTCTGCTCCGCATTATCCATATGGAGGGTAAGCCTTTAGTGTATCTCGCGCTTGCAATGATCTGAACGGTTAGTAACCAGATAGTTTATTTTTTTAGACCCGCTCTTTCCTCTAGTCAGGTACCACCAATGCCTTATAATCACGGGGCACCTCCACTTCCTGCCGTTGAGTCGTTGTCCCAGGCGCACCATGTGCGACCAAGTCATCACTCCACTCCGCAGGATGTAGTCGTCACTCAGTCAGCCGGTCCACCGCCGGCACCTGCACCGCCAATGCAGATGACGTCTGTGTCCGGACACACGCTGCCGGCGGACTTGACATCAGCCGAGTCTCATGTACTGGGTGCTTCTCAGTCGTACCGTCCTTTGAATGTAAAGGATGCTCTATCGTATCTCGACCAGGTTAAAATTCGCTTCAGCGATCAACCGGAGGTTTATAATCGATTTCTAGATATCATGAAGGACTTCAAATCTCAAAGGTTAGTTTCGTTTCAACCCTGCAAACCACACGGCCGCGTCCACAGTGCCGACTCGGTGCGATGGATCTGCCTCACCGAAAGCGAATCCCTAACTCTTCCCGTCACTCCCAGCTTGGATACGCCAGGTGTCATTGATCGTGTCTCTACCCTCTTTCGTGAGCATCCAGAGCTTATCAGCGGTTTCAACACATTCTTGCCGCCTGGATACAAGATAGAGCCGGGCCCTAATGGAGACGTGAAAGTGACCACTCCTCGAGATGCGCCACCTTATCATAGTTCTTCTGCTGGTGGTTTGCAGTCGCTCGGTGACAGTGCAACGTCCGTTTCGAATGGGACAGCTAGCACCAGTAACACTAGTCAACTACCTAGTTACTTTGGATCGTCTACGGGAAGTTATGGCAGCAGTGCCATGGCCAATCTCCCCATTTCCCAATTAGCTCAACATGCGGCATCTCCGTCTGTTGCTGCTCAGGGCTACAACGCTGCCATCGCGAGCGCATCGAATATTATTAGTTCGATGCAATCTCATGGTGCTTCCGCTCTGCAGCAGTCGTCATCCAAAGGCGGCGAGCAAGGGGCCAACCGCCGTGCTCCTGTGGAGTTCAATCATGCAATTAACTACGTCAATAAGATTAAGGTACGGGTAGTACTGCCTCCGTGTGCTGATTTATATTGACTCTCGCTTTTGCAGAATCGCTTTTCTACGGAACCTGAAACATACAAACAGTTTTTGGAGATCCTGCAAACATATCAAAAGGAACAAAAGCCAATTCAAGAGGTACATGCATTTGTGATATTAAGCGGTTCACGCTGATTACTCTTCTATGATGGGAAAAACTTGTTCTCACATATTTACTACTTTGATTAAGGTCTATGCTCAAGTGCAAGTGTTGTTCAAAGGTGCTCCGGATCTGCTAGACGAATTCAAGCAGTTTCTTCCCGACAATAGCAATAATCAAGGTCAAAACGGTCTGGCGGCGTTTGGTCGTAGTGGTGGCATGCCTGTTTTGAGCACAATGCCGAACGGGATGGCAGTTACGCAAGTTCAATCGTCAAGCTCTCAGCGCCTACAGTCCCAACCTGCAGCGGCGGGAGCTAAACAGAAGCAACACAAACGCCCAGCTCCGTCTACGACACCAACGGGCGGTGGTTCCTTGTCCAGCAATGCAGCCACGATCCCTTCGGGTCAGATACCTGTTCCTCCACCAAAGAAAAAAGCTAAAATGGCTCGGTCAGAAAAACCAGGCACACTGGAAGAGCTGGAGTTCTTTGATAAATGCAAAAAAGTCATCAACAACAAAACGACGTACAATGAATTTCTGAAGATCCTAAACCTATTCAGTCAGGAAATTATTGAGGCCAAAGTTCTTGTTGAACGGGTTGAACCTTTCCTTTCCAAAGCTCCAGATCTCTTTGAATGGTTTAAGAGATTTGTGAAGTATGAAGACGATGAAGTCATTTGTAAGTGGCTTCATTCGGAGATATTAACAGGCACGTATGAGCTGGACGGATATCTTATTGTCTGTCGTAGATAATATTCCTGCGGAGCGCCCAGAGATCAATGTGAATAGCTTGCGCCGTCTTGGACACAGTTACAGGCAACTTCCGTCTGAGGTATTGATTTTATAACTCCTCGCTCTTCCTTAACCTTGCATACTCATGTAACCGGGCATTCTAGATTCCCCGACCAAAATGCTCTGGTCGTGACGCCCTCTGCAAAGAGGTACTTAACGACGAGTGGATTTCCCATCCTGTCTATGTGTCGGAAACTGGTTTTGTGAGTCACAAAAAGACACAATTCGAGGAAGCACTCCACAAGTGCGAAGAAGAGCGATATGAATTTGACATGAACATTGAGTCGAATCTGCACACAATTGCGCTATTGGAACCCATTGCCAAGAAAATCCAGAACATGAGCGCCGAGGAGAGGAACCGACTGAGGTATCCTGAGGGACTTGGAGGTACGTCCTTGTTGTTTTCAATCAGTCAGGTAGGCCTTCGCTAAATATGTGCGTTTTTCTCTTGAAGGGACTTCCAAAACTATATACCAAAGAGTCATAAAAAAGATATATGATAAAGAACGTGGAGCCGAGATCATTGAGGCGCTTCACAACAATCCAGCTGTCGCGGTGCCCGTTGTGTTGAAGCGCTTGAAACAAAAGGACGAAGAATGGAAACGGGCTCAGGTAACACAGCGTGATATCTGCAGGTTGATGCGATACCGGTGCTCATCAGCGTTATTGGCCACAAATAGCGTGAATGGAACAAAGTCTGGCGTGAGATTGATTCTAAAAACTATTATAAAGCTTTGGATCATCAAGGCATTCACTTCAAAGCTGCTGACAAAAAGAACATGTCCCACAAATCGCTCATTTCGGAAGTGGAAATGCTCGCTCGGGAGCAGCGCGAGAAAAGATCGACTCTGCCCAGCAGATACCAATTCGATTTCACATTCAAAGACCGGAAAATTTTCCATGACATTCGTCGGCTCCTGCGCTTACAGACCGAGGTCGGATTATCGCTGAACGATTCAGAGGCACGCAAGATGAAAAACTTTTTGCGAGTATTCGTCGACAGATTCTTTGACGTCGGTCATTCCCCTGTGGAACAAGAGGTTGACAGCGAGGACGAGGAAGAAGATGTGGATATGGATACGGAGGACGACTCGCCTCTTGGGAGCAATTCGCGAAGCAAGCAGCGGTCCAGCAGCTTGCGTCGAAATGTCCTTACACGCAAGTCCAACGGCCGTGATACAGGTGAGGACACCGATGAAGATGGCGATATCGAGTCAGTAGGCAGCGAAGGAGGACGTGGTCAGGAGGACACTCCTGGGGCAAGTGGAGATGAGGGCGCAGATATGATGGATATGGATGGAGTCAACGTGGCAAAAGACCGCGATGACGGTTTCAGTGAAGCGAAGAGAGCCACGTACGTGTTTTACTCGAATAACGCTTTCTACGTGTTTGTGCGGTTGTATCAGGTAAGACAGGCAATCGAGAAACTTGGCGCTCGACGGGTAACGATACTCACATGAACACTTGTACCAGACGTTGTACTCCAGGCTAGTGAGAATGAAAGAATTGTCTCAGGAACTCTCTCAGAACCCGCCAAAAGCCGATCGGAAAAGTCCGGTTGCCACGGAATTGGGCTTGCAGAAGGAAGCAAGTGAGTTCTTGCATCCGACAAACCTTATCTGCACATCTTCTCATATATAGCCCTTTCTCTATACAGTTGCAGCCTATGCGAACCTCGATCGTTATACTGAGCTCCTTCAGTCATGTTTCCATTTCCTTCAAAGCGATTTAGAGGCATCCGAGTTTGAGGACAAGGCGCGGAACATGTTTGGAACATCTGCTTATTTGATTTTCACTGTTGATAAGCTCTGTCAAGCCATTACCAAGCAGGTTCGTCTCCACATGGGTTAATGGTGACTTCAGCGCGATATAAATCATGAAACGAAAATTACTCCCGTAGATGCTTGCCATTGTGTCGGATCAGAAAAATATGGAACTTGTCAGCCTCTACTACAAGGATAGATCCAAAGTTGGTACCAGCGCGCGTCAGGAAGCAATGTACAGAATCAACTCGGAGTCCTTGATTCAGGACGACAACATTTATCGAATGGAATATGTGAGTCGTCTTTCAACTTGCCAAAGAGTCAAAATTTTAATGCCTAAAACGTGTTCCTCTTGCAGTTCATTGGTGAAAAGGTCCTAACCATTCAGCTCCTCGGAAAGGACGATCATATTTCAGACGACTCGATCAGCCATGAAGACAAATGGTCACTCTACGTAGACCACTTTGTCCAACTTCACTCCACGGAGGGTCTCCGATCTAATCGTCGTGAACCTTTCCTTAAACGTAACCTCCCTACCCAAGTTCCTGATACCCCACCCACAAATATCGAAACCCGCTCCGGACTTGAAATGAAAATCTGCGTGAATACGTACAAGGTCTTTTTTGTAGACCATACCGAGGATTATTTCTCAAGGAGACGCTCAGGTGGAGCAGAGATTTCAAGGACGGAAGCCGATGGCCAACGAAAAAGATTTCAAAAGTTCCGATCATGGCTTGACGGTCCTTTGGGATGGAAACGTGGCCTGAACGCAGAGGACATTAAAGGGGCGGAAAAGGACTTTACAGATTGGCTCACTGGGAGCGGTGAAAAGATGTTGACGAGTCAAAAGGTTGCTGGTGACAACCACGACTTTTCGCTCTGGGACGGCGTACCTAGAAGTGAAACAGGAATGATGGAAGGGATTATGAAAGAGGGAGAGATTGTATGAGATCAGTCTTTTAAAAACATCAAGTGCTCGATTTTGGATGTGCGATGATTCTCTAGCTCTCATTCTTTGGCCTATTGAACATGGCAAGAATGATGTGTCCCTATGAGACAACTCTACGCCATATATTTTGGGTATATAGACGGTCCATCGGTGGTGTTTGAAAAGGGGGAGTATGCTGCCCAATTTCGATTTGGGGAGGTAAAATGGGGTATGCAAAATTGGGTACCTTTTGTTACGACTCTGTCGTTTCTCTAGTCCCTTCAGTATTTTGCTTGTTTTAGGAGAAAATTGTACGAAGAGTTTTTCTTTATAATGTTTATGTCGTTGATGAATGCCTGCGTTGAGTACTACAGTTTACAATTTGCGAGAAGAGCAAGGCTTGCATAGGCGAGTGAATACCACAAAGAAGGAAAAAAAACCAGCCAGAAAGATAAGCCCGATGCGGGGGTCGAACCCGCAACCTTGAGGTTAAGAGCCTCACGCTCTGCCGATTGAGCTAACCGGGCATATAGCCACATGGACAATGACAGGCCCTACCTGGCATTATAAACAAAGCAAAAATGCGAACAACGACTCCACCAGCGATGAAGAATTACACATACCACATCTGGTGTTTTCCACATTATAGTATTAGATAAGTTCTGTCAGTAAGACAGGCACGCCAGATAACAAATCAATAGTTTACAAGAGCACTACCCTATCCCGACATATCAACGCAGTCACAGTATAAATATCCAATCTCAAGCCTTCACACCATTGACCCCATTCACACTGTGGACACCATTCACACCATTTGTACCATTGACGCCATTGAGAACGCTTCGGACGGGACCCTTGGCGGCGACCCTCTCGTAAGTTCTCCTAAACTTTTCGTCGACCCGCTTGAGGTAATAGGTACCAGGGAAAAAGTTGCGCTCGTCTACAGGTGAGACTGGGTCGTAGTCCTTGACATTATGTGTTTGTTCGCGAAGGTTCATGATTGCGTCGAATTCTGCTGGTGGGATTTCAGTGCGGTCGGCGAGGCGGGATGACAAGTTGAGGATTTTGGCGATTGGAGATGTGTCGCCTCGAACGGTGAGGGAGAACATGGATGCTGCCAAACCAGAGCCGTAGGAGAAGAGTGTGATGCGCTTGTTTTGCTGAAAAGAACAACAGTGTCTGAGTTGGAAACCTATGGAACGAGAGCCAGATGTGCATACTTACCAGTTGACTCGATGGGGTCTCGGAAAGGAGGGAGGCCAGACCGCAGTAAACAGATGCGCAGTAACTGTTACCAAGGTTCTTTGCCACCAACAGAGACGGTAGGGTCTTTGTCTTGAAGGCATCTTTTGTGTATTCCATAAATGCCTTCTCTACCTCTCGGTTGGTATAAGTATTTTCACGCTTCAAGTCCTTGAACTGAGCAAAAGCAGCGAAACGTTCGTCATCGGGATTCCGCAAAAAGTCGTTGAACCCAAGACGACCAACAGATTTTGCCACCAATTTTGCATAAGGACAGTGGAAGACAAAGTAGTCAACGCTGTCCATTGTCGGATTCTCGACGCCTTCTTGTCGCGACAGTTTGTCAAGGTAGCGGTTGTATGTCACGTCGACAGCTTTGATGTAGCAGGAGTTGCTGAGAGGACCATCCACCTCGGGGTATTCAGAGTGCAGGTCTGGCTTGTAAAAGTCGTAGACATGCTCCATGTGAGTGGCACGGACGCCAGCATCAAACACAAGTGGTGCGTCGGCACCGATCAGTAGGGCAACGGCACCAGCTCCGCCGGTAGGTCGTGCCGCTCCGCTCTTATATACAGCAATGTCTGCAGCAACAACCAGAGCATAGCGTCCGTCCCATGCGGATGACTCGATCCAGTTGACAGAGTTGAAGACAGCATTTGTACCTCCGTAACAGGCATTTGTCGTGTCAATGCCTTCAATGTCCGTATTACCAGAATCGGCAAAGAGCTGCATAAGAACCGATTTAACGGACTTTGACTTGTCAATGATCGTCTCTGTACCGACTTCGAGGCGACCAATGTCATTGTATGCAATTCCGTACTTTTCCAAGAGCGACTTTACGACTGCAGATGGTACAAATTGGTCAGCAATATGAGGGTTGAGTGAAAGGATAAAGTCAGCCGTACCCGTTAAGCATATCGAGTTGATATCCTCCCGGTCGTCGCAAATTCCCATCTTTGATTGGCCGAGACCGATAGTGTACTTTCCTTGCGAAACACCATCGTGCTTTTCCAACTCTACTTGGTCTACGTACTGTGGGAAAGGATGGTCAGCCCGAATAGTCTGCACAAGACTGGTTCACCAGAGTCTTGTCCCAATTCTACCATTCCCCACCATTCGCCAATGCGTACCTTTCTTGGAAAATAAATGTCTACAGCGTGAATTCCCACATTCTGGGCTCTTGTCGGCGGCATTCCACTTAGCATGTTGTAAAAGTAGTGTATAGAGTTGGACAGTATTGGAGCGAGGTGCGGAATGCGTCTATAGGTTAAGTGTGGTACCGAGGGTCTAGTTGAAATATGCGTGCGTGACTTTATATGGACGTTGGCTGCAAGTAAAAAGGGGGGAGGGGATACAACGAGGGGCTAGGCTTTATGGAGGCAAGAGTTCCGTTCTCCCGCAACCTGTGCATACGTTCCAAAAAGTGTTGTTTTTGCAAAGGGTTTGTGAACGCACGATGCAAGTCGATCGAATCCTTTTTTGGATTATCTCCGTTAAGGCACTGCTTATCCCACAATGGCGCAAACGACAAGGTGGCGAGGAAAGGAGACGGAATCCCCTCGGTGGTTCTTGTCCCAAAAACAACGTTCGTCCAGCAGCAAGGCCAGCAAAAGCTCAAAAAAAAGTGGGATGATCGTCGTCGTCGTTCCATTTCATCGATGACTCATTCGCGTCTCGCCCTTCAACTCAGTCCCGCGGGCCCTTTTTGACATCTCCTTCTGCTGCTACTAGCTGCTATTGCTAATGCTATCGCATTGTGTGTTGCTCGTAAATATGCATGTTTATTCATAACTTTTGCAAAGCACATCTTCCAAAGCAATAATAAATGCATCTTTAACGATGCGATGCGTTTGTCAAAACGACATGAGACCATGTCCAAATCGGGTTAAATGACGCATTAGCTCACGCAACACGCGTTCGAACAGCGACGTTCATCGCGCGGTTGTCCTTCTGGCGTCGAATGAGCTCTCCTGGACGGCTCGTTTGGATGGAACTGTTTTTTTTTCTTTCTTGTCGGGCTTTCAGTGTGTAAAGAGTGCTCAAGATTTGGGATACAAATCGAGTCACTGTTACAAGCTGGTTTTTAGGAGCATTTTAAATAGCGACCGTTCAATCCGCTTCGTTGTAGAGTTGTTTGTTTTCTTTGTCCCGCTCCCTTTTCAATCCAATTCCCCCCCATTGTGGAAAACGACGACGACAAGATGGCCCTCGTCAGCGTTCTAAATCGCACAATGCTGGACCTGACGGACTTGACAGGCTTGCCCCAGGATAAGCTCTACATGTACGGCGGCCTCTTTGTGTTCATGTTTGTTTTGTTGCTTGTGAACCGCCAGGTAAGGACGCTCTTGTCAGTCTCCCGCAACGCAGCAATCATGCTGAAATCATTGCCCACCTTTGATTGTAGTCTGACGGAGTCGCTGCCAAGAAGAACCTGCCCCCAGCGGTTCCTCACACTGTTCCCCTCCTGGGCAACGCCGTACCCTACGGAATGGCCCCTGTGGAGTTTCTCCAAGACTGCATGAAAAAGGTATGCAGACGAGACAAGGCGGAATCTATGGTGTCCTCTTGACACGTGGACATGAATAATCATTAACTATCCCTAATTGACAGTATGGCGACTGCTTCACCTTTATCATGATGGGCCGCAAGATGACGTTCTGCCTCGGCCCAGACGGAAACCACTTTGTGTTCAACGTTAAGCTCGCCAACGCCATCGCTGAAGGCGCATATGATAAATTGACTGTCCCAGTATTTGGTACAGAGGTCGTATATGATGTCCAGAATGCTGTCTTTATGGAGCAGAAAAAGTAAGTAGGTCCACTTGTAACGGCATGCCCAATGATGCAGCCAGCTCACTGATTTAACAAAACCAGGTTCGTAAAGGATGCCCTTACCACAACTGCTTTCAAATCCTACGTCCCAATCCTCACTCAAGAGGCAACTGATTTCTTCCGCGAATGGGCTGACGAAGGCTCACGCTTCGATCTCTTCCCCCAAATGTCGGAATTGACCATCCGTACTGCTTCTCACTGCCTTATGGGCAAAGAAATCCGGGAGCAGCTCCACTCTAACGTTGCCAAGCTCTACCACGACCTTGATCAAGGTTTCCAACCTATCAACGTTTTCTTCAAGTGGCTGCCGCTCCCTGCCTACTTTGCCCGTGACAAGGCCCACAAAATCATGACGGATACTTTCTTGAAAATTCTTGAAAACCGAAGGGCAAAGAGTGACTTTGATAACAAGGATGTTCTGCAGAGTTTGATGGATTCAGAGTACCGGGATGGTTCAAAGATGTCGGATCAAGCAATTGCACACATGATGATTGCTGCGCTAATGGCTGGCCAGCACACGAGTTCCACGACGGTTTCCTGGGTCATATTTGAACTAGCAAACAACCCCCACGTGATGTATGTATATCGCAAGATGTTTACCTGCTACAGATAGGACCGCCGTGCTAACAACTTCATCTAGTGTGGACCTACTCAAAGAACAGGCCGAAGTCCTCACCGGGGACGCTACCACACCACCACACCAACTCCCTGCCCTCAGTTATGATGCCTTGCGCAACCTCCCCCTTTTGGAAGCTGTGCTAAAGGAAACCCTCCGACTTCACCCACCAATCCACACCGTCATGCGTCTCGTTGTCAAGGACATTGAATACAAGGGCTACACCATCCCCGCAGGCCACTTCCTCTGCGGGTCCCAAGCCGTTTCCCAAATGGACCCAGTCCGATTCCCTAACCCTAAGAAATTCGATCCCACCCGCTTCCTCAACTCTGATGAAGGAAACGGAGAATGGACCATCAATGGTGTTGATATTGCCCAGAAAAGCGCTAGATCAAATTTCTTGCCTTTTGGTGCTGGACGGCATAGATGCATTGGCGAGGCCTTTGCCTACGTTCAGATCAAGACTATCATTGCCCTCTTTTTGAGAGAGTTTGAGGTTGATCTGATGCGAGACGCAAAAGGAGAACGGATTTTCCCTGCAATGGATTACACGTCATTGATTGTCATGCCCAAGAAACCAGCCTACATTCAATACAAGAGGAGAAAGGAGTTTAGAAAGTAAGATGTACAGGGAAAGAATTCGGATACATAATATAATTTTGTTGTTTCAATAAAGAAGAACGTTTGCCCATTCGGCTCATCATGCCGCTGCCGGCTTGTCATCATTAACTTGTCCTCAGTCTGACCGGGCACAGCCCATAGTGAAAAGCGGCAACATTTCCGTAATGGAAAACCCCTTTGGCTGCAGGACCAAAAAGGTTGCCAGCTGGTTGACATCTGGGATTAAAAATTTGCTCTCTTAATTAAAGCCAAGCTGCAGTCGATAACTTTTTAGAATTTATCAAGATGCGATATGTATGACGGAGGAGACCTTTAATTAGCTACCTCGTATGGATCGGCACCGAATAAAGACATTGCTGCCTAGCACCATCCAACTAATTATAGTTAGGCCGTTGGGGTATTCAACAGTTCCAAAAGTCCTTTCTTAGAGGCAAGCGTTTTGACGCAACTAGGGACTTTGACCCATCCCCAGAATACATCGAGTGTCCAAGGTTCTGCATCTGCTTGCACATTGCGATTCCACGTTTCGCACACTCGATCGGCGCGGGAAAGGGGGAGACACATAACTAGAACATTAAATTGGGAACGTTTATTCACCGTAGCTCACGAAGCTAGTTTATTTGAGCATCAAGAGCATTGTTTTGAATAAGGGCTCCTTAACATGGTAAACCAGTTTCATGCAGGAGGATCGTCGGGGATATGACAGCGAGCCAGTTGAACGAAAACCGAGGAAAATGTGCCGTCATGGTGAATATTCATAGTGGAATTGCAGAGAACTTTAGCATATTTATACCAGATGACTGCCAACATAGGTATTATTTTCGGACTCAGGATAATCTATGCGCTAGCAAAAGCATCTTTGCATAATTTGAATGGACTATCACTCAACATCTCCTGAGGACTCATCCAAAATCACATCCTACACACTCCTTCACCTCTCTGTCCTCCAATCATAATCCGAACCTGCTGCCCTCATCTACATGATCTACTTCTTCGTCAAACATTACATTTGACCAGATATTGAGCTGGATATCTACAGCGATCAGCAAAAATGTTTCCCTGGATCTACCGCGGACCGGTTACTAAAAATAACATGCATGAAGATTCCTGGAGAACGCAGCTTCCGGGCAATAATGGATTGGGTAATCTGTGGCCAAGCAGTCTTGGAACTAGAGTGCAACAACCATTCCAGCTCCAGTTCCGTTATTTTCTTGTCTTGCGGGTTTGCAGGGGCGGGTTGTTCATTCATTTTGATCAGCGACGATCTGTCGAAAGACGGTGACAATTCAACGGATACCACGGAAACCAACCCCGCCTCCGAAACTGACTAGTTGTCAATATGTCACATCTTTCGTTAAAAATTACCGTGGTGGGCATGGGGCTCACTAAAACCTTGCAGGTTTGTTCGCAATGGAAAAAGAAAATGCTCAAGATGATTTCTAACTCGTTATCCACCTATCAGTTCTCGGGTGATATGTCTGTACACGAAGTATGCCGAGAAATCCGTGAAAAGTTTGGTGAAGGTGCGGGCGGGTCAGATCACGGTCTTTTATGGCCTGACCAAGGGAAATGGCTGCAGGCTTCAAAGATCCTCGACTTTTACGATCTCAATTCGGGAGATGCCCTGGAATATCGCAAAAAGCACCGTGCACTGAAAGTGAAGACCATGGACGACAGTGTAAAGACTGTCATCATAGATGAAAGTTTGCCAGTTCAACAACTGGTGGAAATCATTTGCGAGAAGATTGGAATTCAGAATCCCGAAGAGTATTCTATTCTACCAGAAGTGGCCCCAGTGGAGGCAGGAACCAAGGAAGGAGGAAAGGACGCTGGGAAATCTGCTCCAACAAAGATTAAAGGAGGACGGGAAATGCTTGCTGGCGATCAATCAAAATGGCTACATCCCGATAAAACAATACGGGAACAAGGATTGACAGACGAGGACACTGTTCTCCTAAAGAAGAAATTCTTTTTCACAGACCAGAATATTGACCGCAACGATCCTGTACAGTTAAATCTACTCTACAATCAAGCACGAGAGATGATCGTCTCTGGAAAGCATCCCTGCACTGCTGAGGAAGCTTGCCAATTTGGTGCGATTCAAATGCAGGTTCAGCACGGCAATCACGAACCAGATAAGCATAAACCGGGCTTTATAAAGTGTGTATACTACCTGCATCATCAGTTCGTTTACGCTGCTGAAACAATACCTACAGAGTGAGAGACTTTGTGCCGCCCGAGTATCAAAAGAACAAGGACGTTGAGAAGCGAATATATGTTGAACATAGCAAACTTCAGGGATTGGGCGAGCTGAATGCAAAGTTCCGCTATGTGCAATTGTCTCGGTCGCTAAAGACATATGGCATCACCTTCTTTTTGGTGGAGGTAAGCTGTTGCTTGGAATCCACTCGTGCTAGTGTGCAGTTCTGAATGAGCTCTTAGGACGAAACAGCAAAAAAGAAGAAGAATGCACAAATGCTTTTAGGAGTTACCAAACAAAGTGTAGTCAAGCTTGACCCAATCACAAAGGAAATCGTACGAGAATGGCGTTTGACACAGCTTCGAAGATGGGCTGCGTCACCAAATAGGTATTGTCCGTCTTTACTGGCATTTGGCATAATCTACAGAATTGTTGTGTTAATCCTACCGTCTTTTGGAGAAAGCTTCACCATGGATTTTGGGGACTATGCAGATGCGTATTTTTCTGTGAAAACCACAGAAGGCGAACAGATTTCCCAGTTGATTGCTGGTTATATTGATATCATCATCAAGAAGCGTAAGGAGGCAGAAAAAGTCGTGGAGATTGATGAAGAAGAGCAAGCTACTATGGAAGAGTTTGTTACACCGAGCAGAGCAACAAATGTGGGAGTTGTTTCCTCCGGTGCGCGAACGGCTGTCGAAACGAAACTCTCTGTACCGGCGATGACCGCTGATGGAATGAGGCCGGGATGGGGCCGATCTGGTACGAATGTTTATACGGCGCAATATGGCGGTACGGCTGGAGGATTTGTCCCACAAATGGCAGAAATTACTGGTGCGCAACAGACGCTTATGCAGAGTATCAGTAACGGATTTGCGATGGTCAACAATGCTGCAGCTGATATGATGGTGGCAGCGAACCTGCCGCCACTTGGTAACGACGCTGCAGCCATTCAATGGAAGCAGCATACAGTGGACGTTAATGCCGAGGCGGTTGCATCGCAAATAACATCAAACTTGGCGGCTGCAGGGTCTCTCATCAATACCGCTACCGGCTACGTGGAAGAGATGGACTATGAAGCCATTGGTGCCAACATTTCCACCATGACAGCTAATTTGAGTCAGTTGGCACAGGGAATTAAGCTGTTGGCCGGATTGCAAGAGTCCATGGAAGATCAAGAGCGTCTTTTGGCCGCTGGGCGAGGGCTAGCAAAGGCTTCAGCCAAGCTTCTTGAAGCTGCTCAACCTATTTGCATGGGTCAGACAAATAGGGATGACTTTTTTGTCTGCTCAAAGGCTGTTGCCGCAGCGTCTGCGGAGCTGCTCGGTCTAATGGGTCGATTGGATATTAGCGAAGACGGACAAAATGAACTGATAGACGCCGCAAAACACGTTTCGAAAGCAGCTATGGATCTAGTATCTTCCGCTCGCCCGCTGGCTGCTGCTGTAAAGGATTCTACTGCCCAACAAGTTATAATCGCAGAAGCCAAACGAATAGGGGAGGCCGCGCCTGCTCTAATGGCGTGTACATCCACTGTCTGTCCAGCAATTACCAATGCCCAATGTTTTGACCAATTGGTCGAGTCGGCAATGTTGATGCGAGATGGGATTGAGCAGCTTGTGGAGTTATCAGATGCCTCCTCAAACCCGAAACTTCAAACTCAACTTAAGGAACATGCTCAGAAAGTTGAAGAACTTATTGCGAAACTGATTGAAAAGGCCAAAAAGGGAGGAGATAACTTTGTTAGCGACCCGATTGACATGCAGTACGATTCTGTTATCACCTCCATTGACCAAATGATGGAAAGCATGGATTCCGTTGATGGAATTGTAAACGGAGCCAGGGACCTCACTCTCATTTCTATGCAGTACGTCAATATGTTAAAAGGGCTTGGCTTGGACCTCAACGATTTCGATGAGAGAAATCGTCTGTTGAATGCTGCGCGAACATTGGGCGATGTAACGTCGAAAATGGTGGCAGCTGCCAAAGATGCTGCTAGAAATATCAACGACCCAACCAGTCGAGGTCGATTAGAAGAATCTATACTAGCATTGCGCGAGGCAACAAACACCGCTGCTGGACCACAGCTTCGCGGAAAGGCGTTCCAAAAACTCATCAAGGCGGCAAAGGACACTGTTGCATCTTCCAACCAGTTGATATCTGTTTCCCGAACGGTAGCTCAATCAAACCGCAACCAGGCTTCGCAACTACAGCTTAATCAAGCTGCAAAGAGAGTCACGGAAATGATTCCGGCTTTAGCCTCTGCACTGAAAACGAGCGCAAATGAACCAGAGAACCTCGTGGCACAAATGAAGCTTATTGAAGCCGCAAAGAAATTCATTACACCTGGTAACTCTCTCGTTGCAAGTGCAAAGGTCGCTGCTCCAACCACCGCCGACACAGCTGCTCAGGGCAGTTTACTATCCAGTGTAAAGCAATGTGCAGATGACATACGCGACTTGGAAAAGGCATTCGCATTAGCTGAAGAAGCTAGTGCAGGTCTCGAACTGGAGAGTGCATTATATTCGTTGAAGGCTTATCATGACGAGCTCATGGCAGCATCTTCAAACCCTGATGCATTGGTCCCTCTTGATGGATACTCTGTAGAAACTTCGCAGATGGAACTTCTGGGAGCGGTCAAATCGTTGCAGCATACGATAACCCAAGTGCTCGGTGCAGTTCAACAAGGGAACGAGAAAATTACTGGAACAGCTGCCACGGATGCCGTTGCAGCACTGCAAGCTCTGTCTTTCGCCGCTCTAGCATTAAGTGCTGCTGAATCGGATCTTGTACTCCGCCGAGATCTGTTGGGGGCGGCAAACGGGGTGGCCAATTCATTGTCTAGTCTTTTGACAAGAACCAAAGACGCTCTAGAAGATCCCACCACGCGAAGCGAATTTGAGGCGCTGGCCGCGCAAACGTCTAACGCAATAGGAAGTCTTACTGGTTACCTCCCAGGGCAGAAGGAATTGGATAAAACTATTTCCGGCATTCGTGACCGTCTTGCGGCTATTAATAACCAAGGTTTATCGACGGGCGTACCTGCGGGTGGTTCATTTCAAACCGCGCAAACGAAGCTACAGACTGCGGCTACCGGTCTAAGTGTTGCTGCCAATGCGTTGGTCTCGGCATCAAGAGGATCACCAATTGAGCTACAGCAAAATGCAACTGCATTTATGGTCGCTTTCAATAAGCTGGGTGACGCATCTGGTACTTACGCAGCGGCAACTCAAGATCAGGCGGTTGCGGGACGACTGCTGCAATTATTGCATGATTTAGGAGGGTCGTGCGAAAGAATGCTTGGCTTCACCAAATCTTCGGCGGCGGATCCAAGCAATTCCATCCTTCGTAATCAACTGATGAATGCGACAAAAGGTGTGGGAGATTCTATCAATCAGCTGCTGGAAGTCTGCTCTGCTGCGGCGCCTGGTCATAAAGAATGCAATAATGCACTTCAAGCGCTAAATGTTGCTCTGTCGAAATTGGATGCAGTCAATGATGCAACAGTAAACCAAGACACGTATAGCGAGACCGTCGGAAAGTCCTCAGCCGGCTCTAAGACACTGGCCACAGCGTTGAATTCATTAGCTGCCGACGTCCGATCTGGAAATGTCACCAAAGTTGCATCTGATGCCATAGAGGTGGCAAACGCTATCTTGACTATTACTGACGGGAACGTCCGCGCTGCATATTTGGTCGGCACGGCGGACGAATCCTCCATCGCTGCAATTCCCCCCGTGGTCGATCAAAATGTCTTCTCTCAAGCAGGCAGTGACATCAAAGAGGCATGCAGAAAACTTGTTGACAGGAACAATACTCAACAGCAGATACTAGAAACTGCTGGATTGATTGCAAAACAAACCGGTAAACTGTGCGCGGAGTGCAAGACAGCTGGGGAAAACTCTGGTGTCACATCTACAGCGAAACATCACTTTCTGCACGCTGCGAAGGACTTGGCGGCCAAGACTTCCGCGCTAGTAGCTGCAATTAAACAGCTTGCGCTGAACCCTAGTGAGGACGCGCGCACTGAATGTGAGGACACTGCTCAGCCGCTTATCGACGCCGTTGATCGTCTTGTCGCTTTCGCAATGTCCCCAGAGTTTTCGGGGACAGAAGCAAAGGTTGGAACCGCCGCAGCAGCGGCCCAGAGGCCTATTCTTGATGGCACGCAATCTTTGATTACATGCGCTCAGGACCTGGTGGGCACGATAAAGCTAATATGCAGCAACCCGAAAGATCAAGCATCACAACAATTGTTGCAGGCACAAAGCCGCGACCTTACTGAATCAACTCAGAGCGCCCTACAGACAGTCACAAGTGCAGCTCCTGGTCAGCGAGAATGCGAAGGGGCTCTTCAAAAGCTCTCCGAATCTGTCGCAGCTGTTGATTCCGCGATCGTTGAGGCGACAGTCAACAATCTCGCGCCTCATCAAGGAACCATTTCCACGTCTGCCTTGGTAGACAACGTGCGGGCTCTTGCCAGCTTAGGTGACGTCGTCGCCAAAGCTGCCAAGGAGGATGCTGCAAGACTAGGCGCATCAGTGGGTGAGATGCCAGCTTCCTATGCAAGAGTAAGTGTCATTTCATCAAAGTTTCTTTGCTCCAGGCTAATGCGTGCATTTCCAGGCGGCAACGGCAGCGGTTGCTCTAGCTTCAAATATGATGGATATTCAGGAACAGATGAAGCTACTGGAGCAAGTAAAAGCTCTGGGAGATGCCATGAATGCCTTTGTCTACGCTGCAAAGAACAATGGTGGAAATGCGAAAAATGCGGCGGGCGTTCAAAAGGTGGATGAAGAGAAAGCCAAATTCCGCGCCGTAGTCACAAAATTGGTGACTACATTAGAAGGGTCCCGCGATGAATCTGGTGAATTCACAAAAGCGTTCGAGCAAATTGAGGAAGTCGTAGCCACGCTCGAATCGCGAATACCGGAAACCGTGAAGCAGGCCTATAATCTCTTTGAAGAAGAGCTAGAAGGTGTGGGTAAGCAGATTGTGGGAGCAGTCGGTGATGTGATATCGAAAGCAAAAACCCCCGATCAATTCCGCAAAGCAGCAACCCAAATAGCAGCTTTGTATGAGGATATCTGTACAAAAGGTGGAGGTGCGATACGAGCTACCAATGATGCCAAAGTGAAGCAAGGAATACAGGACTCACTACGAAGCTTGGGAGCATCCAAGATAAAACTAATCGAGTCCATACGACACGCCAGCGGAAAAAGTGCGGCTGACAATGTGTCCAGATCAAAACTTAGTGCTTCTGCCCGTGAGGTGTCGGGCGCAGTCGCCAACTTGATGACCGTAACCAAAGAAGGGTCAAAGGGTTTGCTGCAATGTAAAGCGGCTATCACGCACATCAACGATACCGTCGCAGAGCTCGATGGAACACTTATATTTGCGCAAGCCGGACAATTGGATCCAGTTGATACCAAAGAAAATTTCGCGCGGCATAAGGACAGTCTACTCGGAGCAGCTCGAGCGCTCACTGAGCAGGTTAAAGTGTTTATCTCCGCTGTCACCGGGACACAAGATGAGCTTGGCGCAGTCTCAACAGCAGCCATTGGTGCTTTGGACGTCCTCAAGAATGAAGCACGGCTAGCAGCAATCTCCATCACCTCTGCCGATAAGCACATGCAACAACAACTACTTGGCGCGGCCAAGAAAGTGTCAGAATGTCTCCAAGTTCTCATTTCCACAGCGACCAACGCCTGTGGCCGATCGCCAGATGACCCACTTATGTCGCAATTTGCAGAGACGGTCAAGGCAGAGTTTCAGGCAATGGGAGAACTCATACGAGCTACTAAGGTGCTCGGTGATGAAACGAAGCGAGGCACACGCGCCTTTGACGGAGCCATGGCGGAAATTGAACAAGCATTGGTTGTTCTCGAGTCGAGTGAACCTGCGCAAGGAACTGCTCTTCCCGATGAGGTTGCTGGATCCGCTAAATTGCTGGCCACAGCTGCCGCCTCCTTGGTATCTGCATCAACGGGCAAGCAGGATGAGCTCGTTGCAGCTGCAAACGCCATAAAGAAACAGATGGAGGACCTTGTCCGGGCAGCTAAGGCGGCAACTGAAAAGGCCCCGCCAGAGCAAAAGTCTAACATGGTTGATGCTGTCAAAAAGGCAGGAGCAGCAGTGAAAGGGCTGATAGGCGGAATCAAGCTCCAGCAAGAGAACAACACCCCTCAAAACAAAGCGAGTGTTCAAGGTGCCGCAAAAGAGGTTGCGCTTTCTGTCAATGCGGTTGTCAACGCCGCTGGAGCACTCATACCGGGCGGTTATGTCGATCCCAATGATCCCAACGTCATTGCCGAACGCGAACTTCTAGCTGCCGCTGCGTCCATTGAAGCCGCAGCTCGAAAGCTGGCGAATCTGGTTCCGGCTGAACGTCCAAGAAGTGCCAATGAAGATCTCAACTTTGAGGAGCAGATCCTCGATGCAACCAAATCAATTGCTGCTGCAACGGCCGCTCTGGTGCGTTCTGCCACTGGAGCTCAACGAGAAATTGTGGCACGAGGTAGGACAGGGCCAAAGGAAGAGTCGATGTATTTCTCTGATGGGACGTGGAGTGATGGATTAGTTAGTGCAGCGAAGATGGTAGCTGCCGCCACCGGTGATCTGTGCGAAGCTGCAAATCAGGCAGTGAAAGGCAAGATTGAAAGGGAAAGGGTTATTGTTGCAGCGAAGGCAGTTAGCGCATCAACAGCCCAACTCTTAGCGGCAGCAACGGCACGAGCAGATCCCAATTCACAGGCCCAAATCCGCTTGCGGGCGGCGGGCAAAGCCGTGACTGGCGCAACAGACAATTTGGTTAAGGCTGCAGAGGAGAACATGGCATTCGATGATGCAGATCAATTCTCATCAATAATGTCTGCGGCGGGCAAAGTTGGTGGGGCCATGCAAACAAGAGTGGCAGAGATGGAGGCTCAAGTTGCAATTTTGAAAATGGAGAAGGAGCTAGAAAGGGCTCGGCTGAAACTGGCATCAGTACGTAAAGGCAAGTACGATGCTGCGAAAAAGGACGCCCCTGCAGGAGATGCAGGAACCGCTGCGACGAAGTTGGCAGCGAGAAATAAAGCTCAGGCGCAATGAAGACAGTACTATCTAGCTAGTTACCTTATACAAATAATGTTGAATATGGCAATACGCATCCGTTCAGATTATAATCAATTCTGACATCGTATCATGATGGATCCCAGAGACTTTGGTCTGCCTTGGCAATCACAATCCTTGGCTTCTTTACTGAACAAAAACCAACTCGCAAGTCCCACAGAGACTCAAGCACAAACACAACGTATGGAGCACCGCAAGCATGTATTAGAACAGGTTTCCACGCTTAGTCGAAGAGACCGAAGCCCATGTCATCATCAGACTCCTCCTTAGCCTCCTCCTTCTTCTCTTCCTTGGGCGCCTCAGCAGCACCTCCAGCAGCTGCGGCACCAGATGCACCAGCGGCAGCAGAAGCGCCACCTGCGGGGAGAGAGGACAGCTTCTTGGATCCCTCAGCGATCAACTAAACCCGACATCAATCAATCAGATCAACAAGCCTTGCAACGACTACTAAGATCCCACAACATACCTCGTTGATATCCTTGCCGTTGAGCTCAGCAAGGAGTTTGCTGATGCGTTCCTCCTCGGCCTCAACACCGACAGCACCAAGGATCTTCTTGATGTCGGCTGCGGAGGGGGTAGCATTACCACCGAGGGTAGCGAGCAAGTAGGCTGCGAGGTGCTTCATTTTTGAACTATGGCTATTCAAAAGCAATAAGAATAAGGGCATGTCCTGGAATTGTTGGCGCACTTCCATTTTCGCGGGTAGTCCCACATTCTTCAATCCATCCTTTCATCCATCCTTTTATCCATCCATCCATCCCTTCGTCATAAACATAGATATCGCAAGACCGATACTTACAATGAAAGGTCCTGACGTCAAACCCGTTTTTAACTCAAAGAGCGGCTTGAGTTCGCGAACCGTTGGTGTGTTGGAGGTACTGCCAACAACGACAGCGACGGACTTGCAAGCAGCACGATCGTTCCTGCGCCACTACTATATCTCTATATATGGATACATTACCATTACATAAGCACTGAGTTGAAGCTAAGCTAACACCAGGCTCCCCATCCTCTCCAAGCTCTCCCAAGGATATTAGGATCCGTAGCCTGATCAATCAAACATTCTACTTGTTCCTTGACGCTGCTGCATTTTTGGCCAACGTCGCTGCGACGGTTGGTCCCTTTCTCGCCCATCACCACATCACGGACAGCCTGGAACCAAGGTTTTTCTCCATGACCCCATTCCAGCTCTTGTGTCGTTATATCTGCGTGGTTGTGAAATACATTAGCACCTGTTGAATTAATGTCCAAAACTCAACAAGATACATACAACAAGGGTTGTCGCCCTCTAGCTTTCGTCTGCATGCACACGTTTGGTGGTTTAGAACGTTATTGGACGAGCGGGTCTTTTTTTCACCATGCAAAAAAATAATATTATACACTACCTTGCTATATCCAGTTTCTGCTGAGGATACCACTCCGGTGGGTTGAGAACATTTTCGCTGCTTCCTGAGGCATCTTGACTAGTCTTGCCTATTGTCAAATGATGAAATGTCAAACTCCAACTTTCCACATTATGACTTGCTCACAAGTACCTTGCTTTTGTGCTTGACTCAGAGCAAACCTGCGCCACTCCATTAATGGCTCCTTGATGAAGATATTCAAGGCATTTAGGAGCACATCTTTGCGGCTACGCATTGCTAATCATCAGACAGGTCAGCCCCTCGTCCATGTTCCATTGGCATCTAATCATACTCACCTGTGAGAACGTTTATCATGGGATACTCGAGTAGTACTGAAATACCCAACGGCTCCAATGCAAGCTCCATTTGTCTTGTAAGGCGGAAGGGTATTAGCTCCGGAATGGGCAGCACTTCTGTCGCCGACCTGCGCCGGGAAAACAAAGACATCAGAAGCTTCAAAGTGACCTGGACTATCTTTAGACCGGTACCCGAACGCATGTCCAAAATCAATTCCGACAATTTGCCCACTTGGAGGTTTCGTCAGTACACGTCAAATAAACAACCCGCCAAATTACTTACGTTGTCATATCGATCAGAAAGTTCTCTGCGTGCCGATCTCCGATGCCAAGTAGGTACGAGCAGATATTGAGCGTTGCGAGACTCTTTGCGAATTGCGCGCGAATGGAAAGGAACGCCTCAGGTGATGCCGCCAGTTTATGCATCCAGGTGCGAAGATACGGCTCAAAAGACGTGAGACTGCTCATATGGTCCACGGTGCGGTTTCTACTCGCCTTTCGAAACATATTTCCGTACACTACAAGAGGCGAATGTTTAGGAACAAGGGCGTCAAGTAATCCTCGCTCACTTGCTACTAAACATACTGTCGCCTAAATTTCTTGCATGTCCTTTGAAGCTTTCAACGAAAGCGGCGTGTTTCTGATCTGCCCTAGAGTACTCCTCTTTGAATCCGGGTATGCTCATCATTACTTCGCGCAGTGGCTTCGTGTTTTCGACCCATTCTAGGATGCCCAGACTCGTACTCATGGGAATAACCTATCGAGTATGGGAATGTTGGAAGACCTCTTAACAATACTCGCGAAAGAGGTAATAATCACCTTGTATGTACGCAAGAAGAGTCCGCCCTCCAGGCAGTTCATATCATGTAGCATTATGTCGTTCATGATCGAAAACATCTGCTGTACTCTTTGATCCAAGCGCAAATCTTCACCGCCCTGTCCGTCTTTATGTTAGAGACCGAGATATATCACACGCAGGGGAAAAAACGGAAGGACCTTAATAAGCCATGGATGCTCCTTCTCATCAGACCCAAGAATGATCAAGCGTTTAGGCCGGCGCATTGAACTCATGACAAGCACCTCCGAATGGAAGCTAATGACTTTCACATGCTGCTGTGGTCGTGGCATCGTCAACCCTTCATACTGTCCAGGTATTTCTAATTCCTGGAATGGTGGTACGTCAGCATCGTGCCAACTTAGGTTTGGCAATCTGTCACTAACCTCATTGTAATTGCGCGCATTGAAGTTTGCTAGCCATGGCGAATAATTCTTCAAGGCAACCATTCCTTGCGGAAGCGCTTCCTTTCCGTGAATAAACTGGTGGTAGTATTTTTGTACCTCTTTCCACTCCGGTAGTTTCATATTTGCCAGCTTGGAACCGTCCTTTCCTGTGTGGCAGTTAGAATCAATGGGTGGCAACCATAACCCGCCACGTTCGAGCTCTTACCAAGTATTTTGAACAGCTTCGCAGCATGTTTGGACGCGAACGCCCTTCCAACCTCGCCCATGTCGGAATTCTGTGTCAGACAATAGGCGGCCATTTCTTCAAAAGCTGTTACGATGGCAGCTTCTTTGTCAGGTCTAACGGATCGAATTAAGCTGTCAGTGCGCTCTAGCCAATCTTTGAAAATATGCACGGGCTCAGTTAGTCTCTGCAGCTCAAATTTGAATTTTTCCAACAGAGGGGAGCTGATTATCGTCTTGAGCGCTTCAATTCTCTTCTTGTTACGCTGTGAGCCGGCATCGTTACCGAATGTGTATTGCTCGCTGCTGATTGATAAAGGGAAGTACAGGGCGGAGGGATAGTCCCGTCCAATCTTTTCAATAACGGGATACACAGCTTGAGCACTTGGTTTATCAAGAAGGGCGGTCATCTGTGGCATCCACCGTAAGAACGTCCATGATGGAACAGAAGTTGCCATGCGCTGGAAGTCGTCGGCGGTTTCCTCATACAATTCAATCAGTTGGAGTAATCTCGGATATGCTTCTATCGCATCCCGTTTGCCGCTTTTCATCGCAGCGAGCGTGTTTGTGATCACCATCCGAGCATAGAGGCAGGTGTCAATAAATGAACGCTAAGCGGGATTTAGTAACCGTCATCGCGACTGCACATAGAGGCCCTACTCACCAAGTCGCCGCTAGCACCCCTTTCTTCCTCCATCCTCCGCAGTGTCCTATCGCAATGGATCGCTATGCGCAACCGATGCTTATCCTTCGGGCTGTCGCTAACAGCCTGTTGAAGACAAGCATACGCTCTGGAGGTCAATACCCGCAGTAAAGCCGTTCCATCGTGCGGTTGGTCGCAGCCTAGACCCTTTATTGCCTTTTTGAGGTGCTTGTTTGACAAGAAGAGTTCTACCAAGTCTGTTTCATCGAGAACAGTTTGGACGATGGTATCATAGAGACGACCTTCTAGGCTCAAAAACTTGGCTCGTTGCAGTGGCTCAAGTTTCTGGATCTCTGTCTACAGGAATGCAGTCCTCTATTACTAACGCAGTCTCTGTACAAGTAGTCAAAGCGAAGTACCTTGTAGAACGCAAAATTTTGCATTGCTTTTCCTGCTATTTCGAGCATCTCCTGTCCTTGCAGCTGCTTCATCCGTACGAAGCTCAGCTTCAAAGCATTGTAATTGAAAATATCATCGAACCCATTTTGGACGCTTTGGGTGAGGTAACGCTCTGCCATGTAGAAGCGATGGTGCTTGCGAGCGGCTCTCGCCATGATGTGACGGGTATCTTGAAGTTTTGAATTCACAATACTTTTCTGTTCTAGTGAAAATCCAACATCTGCACATTTTTCGGCAATCACTTCGCGTGCGAGCATTATATCATCCCAGACTTCTATTGAATCCAGGTCTATTAATGGGTATCTGATAGAGTAAATTAGTCGGCATGTATGATAACAAACCAGGCATTAAAAAATGTACCTTGCCCATTGCTTTACCAATGCCTCAAATCTCATCGAACGGGACTTAGGGTCTTGAATAAGCTGTAGGAATGACCGCAACTCCATTATGACTTGTATCTGGGATAGCTTCGATAGACGGGCCTCATAAGCGAGAGGGTTGAGAGTCGCAAACCCTTGTAAAAATTCGTCTTGTGCCCGTCGTACGTAATGCAAAGCCCGATTCAGATCGCCAGAAGAGACTAGTGCGAGGCTGAGATCTACAAGGATATGGGTACGAGGATACATGTCTTAAAGCCCGTACGTATGGTATCATTACCTTTTGAAAATAAGGATCCAAGGAAATCTCTGCATCGAAAATCAAAAATGTGCGAGATCGTATTGAAATCATTTTTCGAGCGTACCTTTTGACAGGATCTTCCATTGCCTTTGCAATGAAGTCGTAGAGCGGATTTGGGCGATCTTCTTTCCACTCTAAACGTATACCGGAGTCATTTTGGAAGCCGTGCCGCAGTCTTAGAAACGCTCGGAAAAAGAGCCGCAAATCCGGGTCCTGATAATCTGCGTCCCATAAGTGTTCCGTGGAATTGTTTAGATCCGTCATGATATAGTGAGCAAGTTCATCCCACAGCCCTAGTTTGTTGAGGCATTCAACCAGACCCCGGTGACAGATGTCTGCCTATAGTACAGATGTTACAGACATAGTAAGGCCATGTAGAATGCACTCGCTCGTTACCTCATGTTCTTCGAGTTTCTCGTCTGTTTCCAGCGCCTGCTTGTATGCTCGCAACGCACGGTCATATTGCCCCAGAGACTCGGCAGTGATCGCCTCTGTCAAATATCTTGAATATCTTCCCATGCTTTCATGGCATCATTATACTTTCAGAACTGACCTTTTACAACATGGTTGGAGGATACTCTCGTCTCATACAACGGCCGATACACGTCGACCTTATTCATCGACCGATAAAGCCGTGCCAACTGCACCCAAAACTCTATGCTCTGCTTTTTGCTCGCATTCCGCCCTGTTCTTGAGCGCTTTGAGGCTACTCAATGGGTCGCAATATGTCAATATAATGAGATGTTCTCCATTGGCGCATCACAGCCGAGGGATCCCATTATACTCACCAGGCGGCTGAGGTGCATCATTTGCAAGTTTTTCCCTATGATTCCAAGAAATGTCAAAATGGACGCCACACCTACTGCTAGAAAGAAAAAAAGAAAGTCCGCTGTACATACAGTAATAGAATTCCCATCTCGTTATTAGCGCTCCCTTCACTAGCCCGAAAAATCAACTGCGGCGAACAAGCGGCGACTGGCATCTGATACAGCACACGCAAGATGGCAGCCATGACAGGCGGATGAAGATTAACAGATCGATTCAGAATGTCTTGTAAATGCTGTCCAATGACACTCTTGTATTCCTCTTTTCTTTCTTCATCCTAATTGGGCCGTATATCAGGCAAGTATTGTAGCAATACGGAGATGTTGGCGAGCATACCATGCCTTGGTAATCATCGACATGCCCGAGAACAGAAGCTACCAAAGAGCTGAACACTTGCTGGCCAACCTCCGAGTCTCTCATCGCTAGTGCCTGAAGAGGATTGATGATCTCGCTGTGCTGTATCTCGATATCGGGCAGCTCGCCTATGCGGTACTTTCTTGCCAGAGTAACTGTCCGGGCACGCGCAATCTTCTGAAGCTGCTCGTTCTTCGCTCGAGCGCGCTTTTGTCGTTCTTGTTGAGTTGCGTAGAAGCGATGATCGTAAGTGCCTTGCGCTTGGCGCCTAGTATACGATGTAAAGCGAGTTCTGAACGAGAAGCTACATTAGCTTCACATAGAACCCAGAAAAACAGTTGGTGACACACCGATCTGCTTGAGGACCTTCGAACTGTGTGGATGTGAATGCAGAGGTAGATTCAGACTCCGAACCAGAGAAAATATCTCTTGCTTGAACCGGTCCTATCTGCGTGTCTATGAGACCGGTAGCATCAATGATTCATAATATATCCTCCGTGATAATCGTCGAGAGTTCCAGCAATGCATACCAAGAGTGGGGGTCCACTGGACCTGTTGAGTAGCACGAACAAATCCAACCGCTTGTGTGCCTCGTGCCTGCATCCGGGCTTGTGTAGCAGCAAAAAGGGGCTGCATTGACCCACTGCCCAGCCATGAGACATCGGTGTCAAGTGAGGCATCAGCGAAGGTGGCATCCGGGAGCCCACTATCAAACTACTTGAACAATGAGTGCAAAACCTTCCGACGATACCTAACGGGCCAACCTTACCATATTTGTACCGTACTGCGGCGCCTCCTTTGCAACGTCAATGAGAAAATATGTGCTGAAGTTCAGATATGAACTCTCAACTTCGGGTTCATACAGAGATCTAAGACTCATATCAGTACAGCAAAATTTGATCATGCAGCTCAGAGGATGATGTACCCGAGAAGGAACTCCGTCCGACTGAAGATGTCGCCTTGTCCCATGCGACCTCCCTGTCTAAGATAGCTGGTAACTGCACCTCGAATCTCTTCGGTGGGATCGGTTAGACCTTGCAATATAGCAAGTTTGAGGACGCGATTTATCTTGGCTTCGAGGTCTGTTCGCTCATGCAGACGCATCATCAAGGTGTAAAATGCGGACCGACATTTCGCTGACGGATGTCCGCTGAATGTCTCAATAGCGGTTGCAAGGAAATACGATACGTCCTCGTTTCGCAAGGAAGGTGCCAAATTTAGGAGGATCACAAGAACATGCGCCTGGCTTTCATCATCACGATGTTGGATCAGTTGTTGCAGATTCTTGGCGCGGAGGTCTGCAAACAAGCCCTCAATGTCCGGCGCCGATGACGAGAGGGCATATAAGCATTTTGCGCGTACTCTGCCATAGAGGCGCGGAAGAATAAAAAGTAGGTCTTTGGCATAGTCCTTCACAATGTCTGGGTACCCGACGCTCAGCCGGTTCAAGATCAGTACAAATCGATCTTGCTCGGTCCCAGAGCCTCGAACCCCATTCAAAGATCTCAGCTGGCGAAAGTAATTATTAGCACGATGTCAGGTCTTCATACCCTTTGCGCGTTTTGTATACCAAGTTTCTTAGCTTTTCTTCCAGTTGTGCGGCAATTCCAGCACCGTTTTTCCGTGCGAATGAGATCCAGCGACCTAACACTTCGGCTGAAAAAGAATAGATTTCTTTCCGACTGTTAACCAGCAAACTCATGAAAGCATCACAGAACTGGTCTTCCGATAAAGAAAGAGCACCAAGTCCGCGCATGTCAAACGGAGGCACCCCATGAGTTACATAAACCAAGATTAGATATATGCCCGCCAACAAGTTCTCCCTCTTTTGATTAGTTATATACTCGTATATTATTCTCTGAGAGATATTGCAATTAGTTTTGGCAACAAAAACCGTCAACCTAATAACATACCGTTGGTGCTACCATTAGCGAAGGCCACAGCTCGATGAATGACGCGATAAGTTCAAGATTCTCTCTGACTTCCGGCATTGAATCCGCGACACAGACACTGGCGACAAGAGACTCCTGCATTTGTCTCCAATATCAGCTGTGGATGCCTTGCATACCTAAGGCATTCAATATTAGATCACAACCCACCATCATCTTGAAGAGAATGGTACGTGTGTCATGGTCGTCATCAAGACCAAGGGACTGCTGTGTCTCCTCCCCTTTCGCACTTCCACCCCATTTGAGGAGCTGTAAGCATAGATCCTGACATGGCCACACATTAGGACGTATCGCGGGGTACTAATTGCAGGCAGGATTCATACTGACCTGAACAAACCCACGTACTCCTTTTGAAAATTGTGTATGGACGGCAATCAGCTCCGCAAAGCATTTCCACCATTCCCCGGCGTTGGCTGAGAATGCTTCTGGGACATTCATGACAATAGCAGCTATGAAGACTCGCACATTCAACGGGGTGTCTATGCATCTTTTAGATCAAAAATACGCATCAGAAGAGAACTGAATTGTTTGTTTACCTGTCTCGCTCATCTTTTTTAACAACTCCTGCATCCATGTCGGTGTCTTTCCATCGGTATTAGGTACGGCATTGAGCTTTTTTATAATATCGACGATCCTGCTCATGCAAATGTTATGATCGAAGATCTAAGGGATTCTATTAGACACTTCATGGATTCAGGAACAGCGGACGATAAATTACAGCTACGCACAAGGCTCGTGCTGCTCTGGTCGCCTGTTGGTGAAGTGGTCATCAATTCGCCTTGGTCAGGATTCCAGGTATCCCCTTCTTGCAGTGAGGACTGAGTCGGTGCGCTGTACACAGGTCCGCTGCTCGCATTGGTCGACGGACGATCCAAAGGGATTGTAATAGTCTAAACCTCAGAGATTGGAAATCAGTTTGATGCAATTGAGGCTCAGCGATCCAGTCATACCTGACTCAAGCTGCTATCTGCTAGAAACTGACTAGGACGATACGCTTGGCGGATGGGGAACGCGCCGATCGCTCGTGCTTGGAGCAACGAAACTTCGTTGAGCTTTTCCCGAAGGTCTTCCTACACATGCCCACGAACATTCAGTGAGACCCGGTCCCAACCACCCAAAATCTTTGCCTACTTACATGAATATCTACTATATTTTTCCATGGATCCTCTTGCTTCTGGCGATTCTCCTTGAAAAGGAACGTCGTGCAAAATTTGACAAGTTGATCTCTTTGAGTTGACGCAATGACCGAAGCCAAGACGTTGTAAGCCGTCTGGTGGTATGTAGTGCGGAAGGATGTTACTCCACCCGGTTCCTCGCGGAAATTTTCATTCTTGGACGTATTGGCCAGCTTAATAAGGTCTACTGAGAGTTCCTTGCCAGTTTTCGGTGTGCCATTGCAATAAGATTTAACAATGCTTCCAGCAGTGCTATGAACGTCATGTGTGTCCAGACGACTGTAGCACACATCCATAAGTTCGTAGCATGCTGTTCTCGTCAAAAGTTGGGATTTCTGCTCGTGCTCCTTAGACGACAGCGGCCCAGACAGTGTTGTCATGATCTGATTGATATGGCGGACGAAGGCTGTGCGAACGTAGGCTTTCGGTGCCACCGACAGCGCCGGCACAAGCATGTGCAAAACCACATTGCTCCTCACCTCCACTGGGAGCGATGAATCGAAGAAAAAACTACACGAACCACGTTTTAAACCAGTCGGGGTACGGATGAAATAGTATCATGCTACTTACCCCAACAAAGTACTCGTTAGCTTGTCCATATCGGAGGCGGATAGTCTGCGTGCTGCAATTCCCACAGCCTTCTTCAAAGAGGCGGCGAACAGATGATCGCGCTCTCTGCACACATGGCGAGCCAAGACTTTGGGAATGACCACGCCATCGGATAGTTCTAGAGCTCTCATGAGAGAATTCATTGCATCGACATAATCACTGTACTGTGCAGTTCCTTCAACGAGATCCTTTGGAGATATCGGAAATTGGTTTACCACTATGTCGTTGAGTCGCCTCTCGAGCTACAACAGTGATGAGTTATAGAGAATGAAAATAACGTCACAAACACGTACCTTTGCGGCGTTCGAAGGTACAAGGAGGTATGCCGGTAGTAGATTCAAAGCGTCCGTTATAGTGGCCAGAGGATTGGCCACATCCAATAGAGTCACATATGCGTCGGTGAAAACGGTGAAGAAATCGGAGGTCGCAGTTCGAGCCAGTACGTTCGGGTCCAGTTGCACGATTTTCTTCAGCAATTGCAGCGTATTTCCGAAGTTATATTCCCGGACTACCTTGGTCAAAAAGGCAGAGTGTTTCACGAACTACAGAGGCCATTGTCGTGTATCAGTTCAGTTTCAGGGGTGGGCAGGCTGATTTCTCGCAGTTAAACTACCTGATCCATGAATGCAAGGCATTCATCCGCTTTAGAGGTTCTGTTCACGATCAAATAGTCGGGAATGCCGAGCAGAATCGTGTGTACGATAGGATGCTGCAGGTGCTTTTCGAAAAAGTCTACATATTGGTCCAAATTACGAGCGAGCTCTGAATTGATCTTTTGCGCGACATGAGAAAAATGCAAACACCGAAGCTTAATTCAGTAATGTCATACGTAGGATGCATAACGCTGATAGAACTTGATTGATGTCTCAGCATCCTTCTCATTCTCAAGGCACTGCAAAAGAAAGCGGTAAGATGTCTGCTGATTGACGGACCTGACGCTTCATCTCACCAGAATCTGGGAGAAATACTGCTCCCTTGACGACGTATGCATTAAACACACTTGCAGTAGGCTTCCAACTACTACGATTGTGCTTGGGTCAGTCTCGTCTCTCAACGAGCCGATTAGTCTGACTATATTCGCCGAAGTGTCCATTGCACGTGTTTCCATCACTGCATCAAACATGTCCGCTCGACATAGTTGCTGTAGCCCAGCGGTGGTTCGCAATAGCATCCCTCTACGTTGTAGATCATTTGGATTCACCTTTGCCAGATCGATCTGGTCATTAAAATAAACATCCGCCAGAGATTGGACCATGACTTTTTGCCACATCTCGGGCAAGTTCTTCTTCATTGATCTCAGTACGGACTCCATTCTTCGAGGAAGATTGCGCTTTACTTCCTGACTTTCGATAGCGAAGCCGACATCATGCGGGCGGAATACACAAGTAGCGATAATGTGGAAGAATTTGGAACTCCATATCTTGGCTTTCTCTAACTTCTTCGCATTTTCAAAGCCATCGCGCTGCAACACACTTAGCAGGAAATCTACCGCCTTTGCTATTGTCAATGAGCGTATTTGATTGTATAGATGTTTGGCTGCAGGGTTCACCGTTCCATCAACGTCAGCATCAGCGTAGATGTTTATGAAACGGACAAAGGCAGGCAGCAGCTGCGACTGAGTCTGCTCTAAAATCGTCCTTGCTTCCATGATTTTTGCATCAATCAGGAATGTATAGCCACTGAGGGCTGTAGTTAATTGACTCAGCCAGAGGCTGACCGTTTTTGACTGCAGATCTGCATCCGAAGGAAAGACAAGATTTGTGCGCTCCAAAATGTCGGGAATGAACGTTGGCTTTGAACTGCTGCGACTGCGTACAAATTCATTTGGGGCTGCAAGAGGACATCAATCATAATTCGCCATTAAACCCTCATTCCATAAACTTACTGGATATGAGAGGAACCAGCTCCATAAACACTTGCATGCACTGCTGAGCATACGTCAGTTCAAGACGTCCAATTTCAGCGAAAATCCAATCTACGAGTCCCGCAAGGTTGGCCTCATTCAACCCGGGGAATGACCTTCGAGTGCTTTTCGAAGAGCGGAACAGGTCAGATTTGCTTTTGATAATCTTGAGTACATGCTGCACCCCTTTAATTGTCATCTGTTGTGTTCCCAGGCCCGTATGATCGTTTTCCGCTAATCTCAGCGCCATCAAAAGATGATAGAGTATCTCAAAAGAAAACTGATCGACAAGGGACTCCTCCTCCCTTAAGCGACAGAGAGTCAGTGCCTAGCCCCATATCTTTTCAGGCGGGAAGCGTACCTGAAAATCCGGTAAATCCGATTGAATGTCACAGCGCCTCCCATCCTTTTATGAGAACTACTATGCGAAAGAAGTCGGTACATGCGCTTCAACAACGATTTTGCATTCATCGGGCTCTGATCAAGCTCCTAAGGCACGCAGTTTGGACGCTGTTTGTGGCCGTTCATGAAATATATCATTGTACCTTCGGTAGCGTGTGTTTTATTGACCACGCCAGGAATTCTGCTATACATTCCCCGGCAAATTCTCGTCCCTACAAAATTGTGACACAGGTTGGAAAGTATTGCAATCAAATGCGCAGACGAGAGAACGTACCGGACCATCATCACCACTGACTGCATCGATGCAAGCGTTCAACATCGCCATTGTCTCTGCATTCTCAGCCTTCGAATTTTTCGTCAACCAATGTATAATTTGAAACACCAGAGGTCGAAAGAGGTCTCTGGTGACTTTGTCCAAGTCAACCGCCAGCCGAAGCAGCCCCGGGAAGACTTTGCGGTATAGGTTGTGAAATGGACTCTTACAGCGAGAATAGTATCCATCCATCATTATCACAACTAAATATGCGAGAATATACAGGAGAGGGACGAACCTTCTTTGCCGCTGACGTTCTCCCTACATTCGTAAGCTGCTTAGCGCTCCGCCCAATCATGACGATCACACACGCATGCAGTAGCTCTGTCGCAGCAATTTTCGTTTTACGGTCTGGTGAGGATTCTGCCAGGTCCATCACCCGAGGCAAGATGTCATCTACAATAAAGAGGACATGAGTGAAGTCTTGTGGCAAACTTAGTGATCATATCCTTGCATCATACCCATATAGATTCGACAGTTGATCTCTTTAAAAGGCATGTCAAACCACACTCTCTTTTCAGTATCCCAAGCTATGAGCTGCTGGCTTCCGCGACCTTCTTCTAGAAGAAACCTATTGTCGCCTCCTATCATTCCTAACAGAACTATGATACGATAGCGTATAGCTCTCAGCTGGGTGTTCGTGGTTTCATCCTAGATTATGGAGAATGTAAGGCATCGTGGGTTCACGAAAATTACGGCGAATAATTCTTACAATAGTGGCCAGGGCAGCAAGCTTTGCCCTAATCTTCGCGGCCGAAGCCCTTTGGATTGAGATTAGCCCATTCTTGCTAAGAGATTGCCTTGGCGCGGACGATGAAGGCTGGTCGCTTTCGACATCCAGCACTAAATAGTCGGCTAAAAGAGGCAGCACTCCTTTATACGCAGGCCGCAAAACGTCCGCTGGAAAATCAGCAATCCAGCGTTCAAGAGTTTCGAGGGCGATATTTGCAAGAGGTGGAAAGGACAAGCCCAATCTCAAAGCGATTCGCAGTGGTTGGACCGTGTCTTTAACGGATATGAGCTCCGAAGGACAGGCTAGCACGACCCGCAAGCAACTTGCTAAAAGGTCGTCTTTGTAACCCTGCAAACGGACAAGCACTTCCCTAATATAGTTAAAGAAGAGCACATATGTCCGTCTCTGCTCGCTGGTCGCCTGCTCTGCAAAGTCTTCTTCGGTCCCCTACACAGACAGAATCGTAATTGAGAGACTGCTGGTTGCGCTTTAATGAAACTTCGGACATACTTCATGGATCCCCTTACGGTCAGGTGCCAGAGTACCTTCAAAAAACCCGGTGGAATTGCTCAATCTTAGTATCACACTGAACAGGTTATAAAAACCGCTAATCAGAGGATTCCTCAGAGAGAGTTCGATCCACTTATTTCCAACGATGTAAATCCAATTGGAAAAGCGCTCCGTCCGCACGCGTGTTAGGAAGTGCTCGCAGAATCTCGAAAACGTGACCAAAATTGCCACGTCGACTCCGTTTACAGCTTGTAAATTCGTATCATTGGCTGCTTCAACTACAGCAGGTTGATTTACTTCGGTCAGGGAAAGATTAAGATTCTGTGGTAACTGAATCAAAGCTTTGATTGTTTCGTCGTAAAGCATATCGTCCAATTTCTTGCGGTCATCAGAATCCAACCGCTCGTTATCAGCGCTTGTCGATTTGAAAAGATGTTCCCAGAAAAACAGGTAATCATCAAAAGCAAATCGTGCCGCCGCAGGTTGTCCATCGTTCACAATGTCATCCGATGATGTTGATGTGCAAGTGATGACAATGGTTTCATATGCTATAACGAGCAATCAGTTAATAATCGAAAGCAAATAATTTCTTGCATGGTAGCGAACCTATCTTTGACCATAACGCTGTTCCTATTGGGCCCTTCTTGTTTAATACCCCAAGAAGATTGCGAAAGGCAGACACAGACAATCCTCGGTAGGCAGCTCCCATGCTTGAAAATTTCGACAACATTGTCTTCGCGATGGCCTCTGCGTGTGGTGCATATTGTAGGGAAGCTATTCAAGACAAGAAAACCACCGAACGTAATGATCCGTACCAACAGCGGCCAGAAGTTCGGTGTCAATGACATCCAGCTCGTCGGCAATGAACGCGTAAGCTTCCAAAAATGACGGTATGTGGCTCAAGATGTCTTCCCGATTTCCTGTTCCTCTGTCGGTTGATATGGTCAAGGGTGGCCATCTATCTTTGTTGTCTAGTAACCAAAATAGATCTTACTCGGAATTTAGAAATGCATTCTTCGCGACAAGATGCTCGAGCATCAGGTTGAGTTGGCCGGGATCAAGAAGTTGCTTGCAAGGCCCTGCAAAAAAACCGTATCCACGAATCGCAAGGGAAACATCCTTGTACGCTGCTTTGTTCTGCTGCAGTATATCCGTGAATTGCCGCATGAACCACTAGAATAGACATAAATAATCATAAGATTATGTGGATTCCCGAACAACTATTCCAACGTGCTAACCCAGAAACATTTCTTGGCATCCTGCTCCGACGATTTATTTTTTAGCACCATTGCGATTATTTTCAAGAATTGGTCGATGGCTCGATAGCCAAGGCGAGAAACGTCAATGTTTTGATGCTGACTGGCATTGCGCAAATCTACGTATATTGCTGCATAGTTTTCGTAAAAAGGACCTTGAAGTTTGGCGGCATGGTCAATGACGATTTGAAGCGCCGCTTTGGGGATGCTGTACTGCGTCAGTTCTCCTAGAGGCTCAATCATGCGTCTCACGTATCCACCGATTATGCCCAAATCTCGATCGAGATCTATCGATGATCATTAGACGAGTTCACTACACCATTATACCCACCCTAAAGCGGTTACCTGCTCTAAACATCAAGTCATCGAGAGCTCGAATAGCACCTTCTATGTGAGGAAGATCTGGATTTTTTTCAAAGAGAGTGGACACGCATTGGATCACAATGTGGTGCAGGTGGGAAATTTGACTAGCATCGATGACTGATGGGAAATATCGGCTAATATTTCCCAAGAGTCTCAGAAGGGCCCCTTTCACGGAGGAAGTGAGCTTGGTTTGTTGTTGGACATATGTCTGCAAGTAACTTTCCAAGCAGATGAGTATGTGTTTGTGCAGGGGAATATCAATGCTTCTCACAATTGGAATAGCTTCTGGATATCAATTTTCTTAGGATCGATGATGTTAAGGGTGGGATCCAATAATGCAGAGAGGACATTGAAGCTTTCAGCCTTTACTTTGGATGACTCTTTGAAAGAGCTGAACAAGGACTGACAAATAGACTACGAACTTAAAGTCAGGCCAATCACACATACTGAGGAAACCTGTCAGTATTAGGACACACCTGTATGTCAATAGCATACTGCCTCAATGATGATGATGTTTCATACATAAAGCCGGCTAGGGCCTTGCATATAACAGCTTTTGCGTCATTATGAACTTTATTACCCAACGACAAACGAAGGAATTGGAGAGCACCACGTTCGGCATCGAATAACAGGGCTGTAGCGAGAGCTGATAGGAAGAATGATAATAGGAAAGTATGAGGATGAAACTTCTTCCTTCAATAACCCGGCCCAACTATCAACGCCAAATAATATGGAGAGTAGGCTCGCTAACGAACCATCGTCCTGGCGGTCTAAATCTCCCAAGGCCGCTTGAATGTCTTCTGCCAACGCCTTTGTGCTGGTAATTGTAGAGCTCTTTGACACACACTCGTTCAGCTCTACCAGGCACCTCCGCAGGTTCTCCACTGCTGCCTGCGATGCCATGAGATGACAATCGCCGAGGAAAAACGTCAGCAAACCATCGTCTTTACAACCAGCCAAATACCCTTGAGCGATGCCATCCCATTCCAATGCATTCGATGTATCAAGCCCATAAAGTGGTGGCAAAGTGATTGTGCCTTGAGTGGCTAAGTGTACATTATTGACTCGGATCCGTGTGACAATGACTGAAACTGGCGAGATGTCGGGAAGACTCATCGGATAAAACCTACGGGGACTTCCGTGAAGGTTAAAAACGCAAAAGGATTCTGCCATTCCCCCCGCTCCCATCACCTTTCTCCGCCTACGCACCATGTCCAAGCTCACTCCATTCGAGAACGCAACAGCCGGGGCGCTTGGCGCCTTGTCCGCAAACACCGCAGTCTTCCCGCTCGATGTGTAAGTCTCCTCAGTTTTTTTACTGTGATCGCATGAAATGGCCGTTGCAACAAGTACAAATGTTTACCCCTTTCGGTTCCTAACCTCAAATCTTATGTTAGAATAAAAACTCGTCTTCAAGTGCAAACTCGCGAGCTAAAGAGCCTCAACCCTGACCGTCACTATGATTCCACATTGGATGCATTTTTGAAGATTTTGAGCACTGAAGGAATTCAGGGACTGTATGCTGGACTCGGCGCCGGCTTGTTTGGAACCGTAGCAAGCTCCTTTTCCTACTTTTACTTTTACTCGTACGTTCGTGGAACATACCAGCGAAAAGTGCCGGGGGAGATTTCGACTGGAATGGAACTTATCCTGGGAGCCGTTGCGGGAGCTATGAGCCAAATTTGCACGTTGCCGGTTGCCGTCGTAACAACGAGGTGTGATTGCTGTGTGCTTGATTGGCAGTTTAAACTATACCTGACGAGACAATTTGTGTGGCTTCCATTCTTAGGCAACAAACCTCATCAAAGGAGGAGCAGCTCCCTTTTCTTGCCACCATGCGGAAAATTATCGAGGAGGAAGGTCTCGGAGGACTGTGGCGAGGATTACAGGCGTCCTTGGTCCTTTGCGTAAACCCAGCCATTACCTACGGGATGTTTGAGAGGTTAAAGACATTGTATCTTCGACGTGCGGGCAACGTCTCCGACCGCCTTTCACCTGGTCAAACATTCATCATTGGTGCTCTCTCGAAGGCGCTGGCGACGATTGTTACATGTATGTGTCTGGAAGGCAGAGGCATTGATGGTGGCTACTTGACTAACCGAGGTTCCATGACATTTACAGACCCCTACATCATGGCCAAGGTGCGCATGCAATGGAAGCCACCAAAGGACGTGGGCGGCTTGTCGGCGAAGGACAAGGAGAACATTACCTACAAAAGTTCGGTCGATATCTTACAAAAGGTGCTTGCTAGAGAAGGTTTGGCAGGATGGTACAAGGTGAGGGCTTACAGTTGCACGAATGTACTCTGTTTGAGAAAGGCAAATTCTGACGTTGATCTACTTGAACGCAGGGCCTGCAACCGCAAATTGTTAAGGCTGTCCTATGCCAGGCTATTCTGTTTGTCTGCAAGGATCAGTTTGGCACATTGACGTTATTCTTGCTTTCATTTTTGACAAAAGCAAAGAATGGCAGCGTGAAGAGCCTAAATTAGTTTTGATGTACCTGATAGTAATAAAGCATGCATATATTTGAAGTTGTAGGAGTAGTCGACAGTAAGATAGGGAATGGTGGTAACAAGGGACTCATGTATTTAGCCTGCACTCGATACCGGGTCACCATACACAATTACTTTGTGAACCGATGTGAAGGGGGCGTGGCCTTTTGCAATGATGAGTCGTAGATGGCGAGCCAAAGTCTCCGGGTTGGACGAAAGTAGCGTCACCGTTTGGATCGATTGATCCGCATCCTCCACATCTATATTGCGCACATTGCGTGAGGCGACTGCATTCCTGGTGTCCAGACATATCCTCTTACCTTGTTCAGTAAATGGCTCAAATAGTTGTGGTTTCTCTGCAACGGACGATTCCACAGTCCAGCGTGCCACTAAAATGCGATAAAGATTCATGAGGGTCCCTGTTTTGAACTGTGTATGAACCCTGATCTTACCTTTCATGCTCGTTATAATGATTTTTCGGACAGTAACCACTTGGGGTAGAGTGAGTATTAACTCATGAGGAAAGAGCCCTGTGGTTACCCAAAAGGTCTTGTTATTGCTGTTGGCAACATGAGCGTTGTTGAATGATCATTGAAAACTTCATCAGATCCACATCCATTACACACTAACCTGTCAATGGTATTCTCTGCCTTGTGAACGAGGTGCCACGACGTGGCCATAGATATTTTGGCACCAGCTGATGCTAGTGCAAGGTTCTCCTGGGCAGGCATGGCGTACTAGTAGGAATGTTGCAATTGGTAAATTGCCAACCGGTGAAAAGCGTTCGGACTCGACGCGTCCAGTGCGCTTACGCGAACGACGCGATGTTGAAAGTGTTCTCCTTCTGGACATCTCATGAAACTACATGATAAACGGTATGAACTACCGTCAACACCATAATGACTCTGACAGCAATGAAAATATAATGGGTTTGCACTAGCGAGATCAAGGACTAACACTACGTTCAGCAATACTATCCTCCCCGTCCTGAGGATGAGATAGCCAATCCGCAAATTTCTTCAATGCATCCCAAACGTCGCAAATAGAGATAACGCACACAGCATTTCTGTGCTAGTAACACATGGGTGGGCCGTCCTAAATGCTTTTAATTCCGCAGCGGATGCCATCCATAATAGCCGCTATGTCGATCGTCGGAGCAGATACAGGCGCAGGGCAGCCACTCTCGTTAACTGGATCAGCACCGTATGTGTTGTTGGCATAGTAACAAGTGACGGCACAGTCATGCATCGTAAAGGTCGACGGTGACGCGTCTTGAAAGCTCAAAGCGTCCTTTCTGCTTGTGGTGCGGATTGACCGTGTTGCAATCTGTAGTCTTTTGAAAACCGCCATCTTCTTGCTTCTGAGCGAATATAAGTAATGTCGGGGTACGACCGTGCGCTTACAGTATTTTCTCCGGATGGACACTTGTTCCAAGTAGAATATGTATGTCTTCAATTGGGGTCGATGACATTCGGTGGGCTTCCTTACCTACCATTTCGTTTGTTTCGTATAGGCTCTTGAGGCTGTGAGGAAAGGAACATGTGCGGTAAGACGAGAAGGGGATTGAATGCAACATTCCCGGTGAACGACACCAGGGTCCCTCATGAAAAGGTCAGCTCTAAGATGCCATGTTTACGTTGCAGGTTGGTGTTAGGGGCAAGGATGTAGTTGTGCTGGGGGTGGAGAAAAAGTCAGTCGCGAAGCTGCAAGATCCGCGAACAGTGAGGAAGATTGCTATGCTCGACGACCACATCTGCATGACGTTTGCAGGTAGACGCTCGGAATGCTTCAAAAAAATTGATATTGCATTTGCTCATCCTGCATTTGCTCAGGCCTCACCGCAGACGCTCGTGTACTGATTAACAAGGCCCGTATTGAGTGTCAAAGCCATCGTCTCACGGTGGAAGATCCCGTTTCTGTCGAGTACATAACCCGTTACATTGCTGGTGTTCAACAGGTACCTTCCTACACAGTGAGCGAGGAGTATACACACGGTTTACCTAACCCCCATTCCATCAGAAATATACCCAGAGTGGAGGCGTCCGACCATTCGGTATCTCAACTCTCTTGATTGGATTTGACGCGGACAAAGTCCCAAAGCTCTATCAGACGGACCCATCTGGCATTTACTCGGAGTGGAAGGCTGCTTCGATTGGCAGAAGCTCAAAGACAGTGCGAGAGTTTTTAGAGAAGAACTACAAGGAGGAAATGAACAGGGAGGACACTATCAAATTGGCCATCAAGTCGCTATTGGAGGTTGTTCAGACTGGTGCCAAGAATATTGAGATTGCGGTGATGGGTGAGGATTGCATCCTTCGGGTACGTAGCCTCTGCATGACACTCTATTGGCTGTCATTGATTAGATAAACTCTTTTGTTTTCGGTGTTTAGACACTAGAGGCAACAGAAGTCGAGGAGATTACATCCATTATTGAAAAAGAAAATGCAGCAGAGGTCAGTGATCCTGTTTTCGTTGCAAATCTTTCGTATTTGGTGATTAACTGCTTCAATAGGCTGAGAAGAAGAGCAAGCGGAAGGGTGATGCGGGTGCTGGCAGCAGTAGTTAAACGTTTAAGATGTATCATTGAATATGACCGGTCACAATTTTCGTTTGCCTTGATCCTGATTCCATCTTGTAGCACTGAACAGCATAACACGAACCGCGAATAGACGAAGTATGTCCGGCGTTGATAATGCGCTATTGATAGATCTTGTCACTTGTAGAGATGGCAAAATCGTGACTCCCATTCATTATCGATCTGGGAGAAGACAAGCAGAGGCCCACACCAAGCAAGAGTCACTTATGCGTATCGTGTGATATTGGTACTCTGAATAAATGTGTCAAATGCTTTCTCCCTCACTCCCTCCTTCGCTAACCTAAAGTGTGAACTACGATAAATACGAATAAAATATAAGAAAAATGCAATTCTATCTCCTATCTAACTCATTGATGATCTCTAAGGCTACAGCGACATAGTAACAGTAAGGCCTTTTCCATGGACCATAAAGGTAGGCGGTAGATCTTTTGTCAAAAGATCGAGTTCTTCAAGGTAGCGCATCGACTTCTCTCTGCTATTACCCGTCCTAAAGTGATACGCGTGAGTTTACCGCCCAAACTTTTTCTACCTGAACCATTCTATACATACCCAGCTTCAGGAGCAGGTAGTGTCATCAAAATGACCGCAGTACTTGCGTGCGATGAGTGGCGGAGGAGAAGTTGATTGAGAACAATGTGCTGTGTACGGGTTGGCAGACTATCGAAAACGGATGGAACTCCTGATCGGCGTGAAGGGCTATCGGCAATCGGTGACGAGTTGTCTGATTGTTTGTCGTCTGATTGCTCGTCTTCAACGGCTTCACTGAACTCCCAGCCATGCACATATTGCGCTGAAAGTCTGGTGGACATTAACACGGAACGCCGTTTGGGCGTTTCTTGTGATGATTCGCCAGCGGCCGGATCATTGACTTCCCTTACGCTGCGTGGAGACGACTGCATGTGCAGGCGGCGGCAAATGCGCTCATATTCCTAACAGAATCGAATGCAAGAAAGATAAGCCTGTATGAAAATGGAGATGCTCGACCTCAGAACCTCCTGCCCACCTGACTGTCGCTCTTTCCAAAGCGTGGTCGCAACCATACCATCTTAATCTCAGCCTTCATGCCAAGATTTACGTTAGTGGGAAAATTGGCTGATAAGTATGAAAGGAAAAAAACACACTTTTATTCTCAACCCTTGAAGTAAGGACATTACACGATTTCGCTCGTCTTCAGCTTCTTCTTCGTTCTCCACAAATATCATCGTGCGCAAGATATAATTCTGTTTCCAATATGGCACCATGTATAAGATAGTTCCAAGTTGCAACACCAGCGTGTAAGAGTCGAATGTGTACGCAGATTTCGCAAGACCAGTCTGTGCCATTTGAATCGGCCAGAGATCTATATATCGTCGTTGCGGGGCGGCAACTTCAAGGTCATCTCCGGCATCAGAACCGGGACGGCTACCGAGTAAGGGAGATGTTTCGCCTTGGTTAGCTAGCATGGTACTAAAATCTGGTGGCCGTTGCGCAAGGCGGTTCGTAACGAAGAGGGACAATCTATGCCAAAATATGTGTGACCGGAGTACCAGATAAAAGAGATGTGCGCTTCACCCAACTTACCTTTTGTATTCCTCCGCCGCATATGCAGTAAACCTTCTTGCCGCATTCGTGGAAGCATTTTGAGATGGGCGATATTCTCCTGGCTCCTGCTCGAGCGCTTCGAAGCCACGTGCAATTCCAACCGCTTTGTTGAGGCCAAGAGCGTCTTCAATGATACCTACATACTCGCTTTCTGCAATACCGTCGTCCAGATCGATGGCATTTGGTAAATCTGCTGCCAACGGATCCTGCTCCAGTTCTTCGACCTGATCTGCCGTGCTTTGACGAGGGTTGGGCCGTGTCCACATGCTTGCTATGCCCCCGGTATTGTCACGATCGGCCAAATCGTCATCATCAGATTCCAGGAAATTGGGAGAACGTCGTCTGTTGGGCTCCAGGAACCCTAACACCTAGTATTTGAAGGTATTAGCTTCCACTAGTTAACAGTCTAGGCCTGAACGTATGCTAACCACTATGTTAGGCTATAGTTAAGCGTCAAATCAGCGTGACACGACAAAGTTAGGAAATTGAAAGCTTTTGTGAATGCAAGCATGCATTATCACCTTCATGCCTCCAAGTCCACTCCCAAGAAGAAGGTTTTGAGCACCGACTCGTTCGCTGGGCGATATTGTGAGCTGCACAAAAGCCTTGACCTTCGCAATATCCACGTATCGGAGCCACGCAGGTAACTAGTGTGGGGTCAGTTTCCGCTAAAGGGCAAGTAGATTGCTAGTATGTTTTCCTACCTGACGCTTGTAATCTGGTAACCGGGTCGCAAAGTCCCCCTTTAGAATATGCCCAAGAACGAATAATCCCCCTTTTTTCAGGTCGTTAAGAAACTGAATGACATGCGAAGTAAGTATGCAACGAAAACATCATCCTTTGCTGAGTATTGTCCTACCTTGATCAGAAGAAAATCTTGACGTGGATCTTGCACAAGGACCATGACCTGTATGGAATCTCCACATGAGTATGATCGGATCGGTACAAATTCAGTCAACGTGTAGAGATACACACTTGTGGTCGCCAGAACTGGTCAATGAGAGCCATCCATTGAGTCGAAGAACGTGTATGGCCGAAGGGAGAAACCGGTAACGCTCACCTTTACGTGCTCTTTGCGGAGGTCCAACCTTAACAAGTACTTGCGCGACTATTCAAATTCTCTGCGTAAGCATGCCTCCTTACAGCCAATGGTAGAATGGGTATACCTGGTGGTAAATTAAAGACTGCGTTACGTCTCCCCATGTTTTGGGCGGGGCATAGTAGTGGATCATAGCGAAGACGATCGCCGCAAGCAAGCATGAGTACAAAGCATGTAGGTCATCCACGACGAACATTGCAATAAGGCATCCTGCGAAGCCCGCGAAAGCTGTCCGCCAGTTGAAGAGCTCAAATGTTGGCCGGAAATTGGGAGATCCTGATGCTCGAAGCAGCAAACATGCGAGGTTCAAAACACCAAACTAACAAATGACGATTTTGTCAACGTTTTACTGCGATAACCAATGCCAGGCAGTCAACTTACTGTCAGAAGAGAAAACATCGTTACGAAGGGGGCAATCTGTCATCCATCTACAGTTAGTGCAAATGAAGCAAGCAGGTCACATTCCCGATCAGGACAAACCTCATTAATATCGGTTACGAAAAGCAGGACAGTCTGCATGAAACCGAATGTCAACAAGATTCCGCGCAATGGCTCATTATTGGGAGGCTTTCCGTGCTGAAAGAACGACACAGCCGGTAGAAGGTCGTCTGAAGGTGGCTGATTTCAGTATTGAACCACTTTTCATCACGTTACATAAACATAAGAAGGACCTTTGCCAATAGCTTGAAGGATTTTGGCCGCTCCAATCATACTGCCAAGTGCCGAGAAGAAGGACGTCGCGGCAACACCGACAGCCACCAACGACGGGATAAGAGAGATCTATCCGGAAAAGTAAGTTGGACAATGTGACGAAGGCAGGCAGGGAATTCCAAAGAGTCATACATCCTGAAGAACGCTGAGATCCTTGAGCAGCGTTGTTCTCTCGATTGATCCAGCCACCAGAACGGCGAGTGACAGGTAGGCTACATACGTGGAGCCCACTGCCCAGATAGTGCCTCTTGGTATTGCTCGTGAGGGAGACTTTAGATCTCCACTCATTGATGCACCAGCAAGAACTCCTGTACAGGCTGGAAACACGATTGCGAAAACTGTTCGAAAGTTTTGCTGAACATCCATATCTACACTGAATTTTGGCCATAAATTATCCATTAACGTCTCCCCATTGAATCCTTTGAAGACAATGTCCATGGCGGGTCTTTCAAAGGGCTCTCGGAAAGCCAATGATGCCATAATAGATGCAGTTGAAACAAGAAGGATACAAGCCAAGAACACGGATGCACGCGCAACAACCTGCGAAAGTCTAGTGAGCACGGCGTTCTGGTGTGCCACCATCAATCAGAATGACGGCTTTTACCGAAGATCCCACGAGGCACAGTCCGAGACAGACCAGAGAGGCACAGGTTGCATAGAGAAGCTGCCACCAGCGTCCTTCTGGAAGAAAGGTACCCATTGCCCCATTGCTTTCCCCAAAGGATGCTAGTAATGGCTCCACAAATCCGAGCAGATTCAAAGCTCCAGTCAGAACCGTTCCAAGAAAGAATACAATTCCAATTGATCCGCCAAATTCCGGTCCCAAGCATCGTGAAATCATGTAGTACGCTCCTTGGAGATCAGTCAAGTTAGACAATACCATAAAAATAAACAAATCATATCGGAGACGATGACTACATACCTCCACCGCGCACTTGGCCATTCGTACTTATTGCTGAGAGAGATAGTGTAGTCGTTCCCGTCATGAAATATCCAGTCGTGAAAAGAGCAATGGTCCCGACCAGTCCAGCTTGCCCCACGATCCATGGAAAACGAAGAAAAACAAGCACGCCCTATCAGGACGTCGCATTTAGAAACGCGCGATCAACAGTGCCCTCCAAAAAAAAAAGCGGAATTTGATCAAATCATAAGACCGTACCCATATAGATAAACACACGGGCACGAATACGCCTTCCAGCGTTCCCAGCTTTTGGGTATCTGTGGGAACGCGGGAGGCCGAAAGAACTGAAGATCGGCGAGAAGGTTCGGAGGGAAGCGAAGATGAGGTAGAACCAGGCCCATTGCTTAGCGGATGCCCTACTCCAGGCTGCTGTCTTTGCAGCTCTTTGCTGAAGAGGTCAAGCTGCGTTCCAGCTCGGGATACGAATTTTGTTGACGTCGCAGACATTTTTTTTGTGAAATTCGCTGCCGTTCAATTCACCCTTTGCCGTTAAATGATGTGCGCTGGAGCGTACCTACGAATAAACTGTATCTTACTATGAGGTCGCTAACTGAAAAACTCCTTGTTATGCTTGGAAAATGTGCTGTCGAAATGTGTGTTTTGGGCAGCTCGGCCCCGCAGGACGCGCTGTGGGAGTTTTTGTCCACGCGCTTGCCAGCAGAGCGTTGGGTGGCTTGACGAATACGGCCTCGAATTGGGGGGTAAAACGTTTCGCTTACTCATCTAAAACTCCGATCTGTTCATCATGTCGACTCGAGTTGGATTTATACAAAAAACTTTCGTAATATCTCATCGTTTTAACTGGACAGTCGTTTATGTCATTTGCTATCACCGGACGCTGACGGTAGAGTTGATCGATTTTCAACAGTCAGCGATCGGTCGAGCTTACCCAATGATGAAGACCCTCAAAACGCGCGACAATGCCTTGCTGCGATGCTAGCGTTGAACACGACTCTCATCTGACGTGCAAAGAAATCGAAAGAGAAAAGAGTGGCTTCATCGACGTAATGCATCCAAAGCGACGCAGGATACAAATAAAGCGCGCTTGGCACCGCGACCTGCTCGCGTTCACAAGGAATATCCTTCTCGGTCATACATGTTCACCATGTCCAGGCTTGGATTCCTCCCTTTGACAGTCTTTCTCTGGTATAGCTGGGTTCAAACTTTAGGGGCGTTTCCTTTGCAGATTCGTCAAAACAAGAGTGAATACCCAGGTAGTGTCGATAACGGGACCTATGGTCCCGCTTTGCAAACAGAGTGAGTAGGGAGCTTGCCTGGTACAGTTGGAATATGCGGCTTCACAAGGCATGTACTGATTGGACTTTGGGTACCATGAATGTCACCTTCAGGTTTCTGTTTCATAAACAGGCATGTAGTTCTCCATCAGTCATGACTGGGGCGGAATTCTCTTCATCTGTACTAACGAGCATGGCATAATCATCACTAGATGCCAACGGGTGTCACGGTCTCGCAAAAAGGTCGGATATTCGTCAACTACCCGTACTGGAGCGATGATATTGTCTTCACCGTTGCAGAGTTGAAGGACGGTAAAGAGGTTCCTTTTCCAAATAGCGTCGTCAACTGGAAAGTTGGCCCCTCTTCTTGGAATCAGTCGAATCAGGCTGAATACTTTGTATCAGTCCAATCTGTCGTCATTGACCCGCACGATAACTTGTGGATATTGGACACTGGCAGACCTGTTGTGAACGGAACAATGCTAGACGCAACATACGGAGGTCCCAAACTGGTGTGTGTGGACCTCAAGAATGATACAATAATCAAAACGATAGTGTTTCCCATGGTGAGATACTTGGTTTCATCTTATCAGCGCCCGCCTAGTATGCTAATCATCTGAACCTCTAGAATGACACCATCTTTCCGAAGAGCTATCTCAATGATGTTCGCTTTGATCTTCGCATTCTAACTGAAGGAGTTGCATACATCACTGACTCTTCCGATGAAGGGTACACTGGAATCGTAGTTGTAGACCTTGACAGCGGAGAGTCATGGCGTCGTCTCCACATGCACAGCTCCACCCGTCCGACCCCGCGCTTCGTCCTTTCAGTCGCTGGGCTTCCAATCAGGCTCCAACCAGAGCCATCAGAGCCTCCTGGCTACATTACCACCGGGTCAGACGGCATTACACTGTCAGCAGACGGGCTTCGTCTGTTTTACTGCCCTCTTGCATCTAGGCGCCTGTTCAGCGTCGATGCACGTATCATGGCCGCCCCAAACGCTAATGATAATGATACTATTCTCACGGTTACGGCACATGGCGAAAAGGGCGGCACTTCCGATGGCTTGGAATCCGATGATCAAGGCAACATTTACATATCAAACCAGGATCAAAATGCCATTTTCCGTGGACGTTATCAAAATAACACTTTGATCATTGAGCCTTTTGTCCGCGATCCACGAATTCAGTGGGCAGATACGCTCAGTGTCGGATTCGACCATCGTCTTTATTTTACCAGCAATCAGCTCCATTTGCAAGCCAAATACTGGGGGGGACGTGATTTGAGAAAACCCCCATACGCACTTTACAGCGTCCCTCTTGAACACAACGTCGGAAGGGTTAATTTGACATGTGTATCTACTGGCCTAGTTGAATGCTCTGGTAGCATGCGCCAGAGACAATGTCGGTGCTAGGAATCTATGAATAGCTTGCTTTATTTCTTGTACATGAGGTTGCATTTAAAGAAAAAAAGTGTATCGTGTTAACAGCTTATACAAGGTTTCTTTTTCGAATTAATGCTGTGTTGAATCTCTTCAAATGCGAGAACGCGCAGATGGCACAGCCATGATGTTGGTCATCTCGCTGCCAAACGTAAACGAGGCTTTTTTCCTCTTACGAGAACTTGGGTGGAGCAAGCCAGCCTGAAATCAGGGCGACGGTTGCGTAGACGCCGGTCATCCACCATAGATCTCGCAAAGTGAGTACATTTGCATTTAAGCCTCTGCTGAGGTATCCTGACGTGTACCACATCTGACCTGCATTTGGGCATATAAATGGGAGCAAATGAGAGTTGCCGTACATGCACACACACACATTTGACTCTGCAAACAATTTCATTCATTTCCGCATCTGTTTCTATCTTTCCCAATAAGACAACTCATGACTTCTGCCTGGGACCCGTTCACGTTTGATCCGTTCTTCTCGTACGTATGGCCTTTTTACTCGTAGGTACGCAACACTACCATAAAGAAACCTCATCTTCTTACCTTTTCCCAGGGATATTACTCGTCCATTTGGCGGATTCGGCGACCGGTGGAGCGACCGAGGCGACCGCGACAGATGGAATACTCCACTTTTGACTGACCCTGGGAATCAACCTGGCGCTTTAGCCACTACCGGCGGCCGTGGTGGAGCATTGACTACCCCTTCCCGAGGCTGGGAGGCCTTCACCCGTGGTCCTCGCCTTGATGTAACAGAGACGGACAAGGAATATATCATCAAAGGTAAGAGCTTGCTTGATCAGGTACCCGTGCCACCGTCAGAACTAATATCTCTGTTGGTATCTTCAGCCGATCTCCCCGGTCTCAATAAGGTCTATAAGCAATATCCCTGAGCTGATGCAATGTCTTTTTGCCAACTTTTATTCAAATAGGATGACGTCAAGATTCATCTGGATAACGATGTTCTCACCATTGAAGGCGAGCGTAAAGATGAGCGCGAGGAAAGAGATGGGGATCGCTTCCACATTGTGGAACGCACATTTGGGCGATTCCGTCGTTCCATCCGCCTCCCGCCGGGTGAGATTTAGCTGTCTTCACACACAAGTCCACCTCTTGCTAACCTATTACTTATAGATGCCCAAGTCGACAATGTGAACGCAAAGATGGAGAATGGTGTCCTTGAGCTTGATATTCCGAAAAATCCGGAAGTTCGTGAGCAGAGGAAGAAGGTTGATATTCAATGACCGAGGGATGAGACGCTGGCATATCCCAAATCACATGAATTTTGCATTGGAAGATTGTATAGCTTTTATTGGAGTGTATGGCAATGCTGCCGTGTTGGTCTATACCGTCGCTGCTTCAAAATGAAAGATGTATAAAAACATGGCCAGAAAAAAGTTTTGGAGTCAGGCTTCCAGCCAGGATCGAACTCGATGAATGTTTTAAAGGCATAGCGCGTGCACGGTCCAATTTGCAGTGTGAGGTGACCATGATGAGTTCCGCAGATTCATCTCATCCGTTCATCAAGTTACTCGGTTCGTCGCCGACCTCCCCAACATACATCAACCATATCGCCACTTACCATCCGAAAACACTTGACAAACCCGAATCTTTCAAGTCATTCTGTGAGGTCGTGTTCTACAACTACCCGTCCCTAGGCATCAGCTACAGCTTTGACATCACTCCCACCATACAACGTCTCGCGGCGATTCACATCTACAATGCCAAAATATCGGGATACGAAAAGTACAACTTGGACCTTAGCCTTCCATTTGGACTTGATATCAATATGACGGGGAAGGAGGTCGTCGAAACGCTTGGCGAGCCAAGCGTCAAGTCAAAGTACCCAAAGTGCTGCATTGTTTACCCTGATAAAGGAGTGCAAGTAGATCTGGCAGCGAAGGACTGGGAGGAACCGAATTGCAGCATAGAGTGCTTAACGTTCTATCAAGAGTTTGCCTGAATTTGCTCACAGAGTAAGGTGCCCTGCAAAGACAACTGTGAAGCGAGATTTGGCCGAGCTACGAGTGGGACCGCAGTGGTGTGTATGCTTGTTAATTGATTGATTCCCAATCTGACTGGAAGCCATCGAAAGCGTTGTCGAATCCTGGTTTGAGATTGATAAAAAATCTCAAAAAGTTCTCTGGTCGACCAAGTAACAGCCCGATGCGGGGGTCGAACCCGCAACCTTGAGGTTAAGAGCCTCACGCTCTGCCGATTGAGCTAACCGGGCTTCATGGAAAGACAGGGGTAAATAGATCTTGTGACTGTAAGCCACGATTCCTCCAAGTGATGATGTCAAAGGCCGATCTGGCGCAAGTTGCTGGCCCTGTCTCCCTCCGACCACATGTTTGTCCCATTACGCTTCCATCGGCGTATGGTCCGCTCGTTGCGGACAAGTAGTAGAACAGTCGTTTGCCCATTGCACTTTCAACATGTCACCCGTGGACGTCTTCCAAGTACAAAGGACGGTTTGGCAGGGTCGCTGTCTCATTTCAACATGACTCAACGCAGACGGCATGGCACCCACGGGCATGGTCACTCGCATCACCATCACCACGGTGCAGAGCTCCTTGACCATGGTACCAAGGAAGGTTTGTTGAATAGTATGCAAGTTGATCATTTCCTACCCCAAAGTCTAACGCATCCGATGGGTGTAAAACAGGAACGCGGGTTACTGTGGTTGGGTAAAGCAGCTGAAGCCTTTAGGAAACGTATTGGAGGGTTATGAGGCTAATTTAACCATTGTGGGCTATTTACAGTCTCGCGGTAAACATCGGGCTGACGGTGTCAAAGGGTGTTGGTGGAGTGTAAGATTCCTAATTGACCGTCACGCGAGCAATGACAACCCCGTAAAGGCTTGCTCATGATTTCATAGACTATGGCATTCTGCATCCCTCCTCGCTGAAGCAGTCCATTCGTTAAGCGACTTCATGAGGTGAGCACCGAGCATGCTTCAGCGGATCCCACCGACAAGGAGGTCTAATGCTAGATTATAGCGATTTCGTCACCTTGTATGCGTATCGCAAAGCGAGGGCCAAGCCAGATGCAAAGTTTCCTTTTGGATATGCCAAGTTAGAACCTCTGGGCGGTGTCATCGTCTCTGGGCTCCTCATTGCGGCGGGAGCTGGAATAGGTATTACTCTATTTACATGTATCAAGATCCAATAACATGATCGAATCATTGTTCAAGCGGTTCACAGTTGCGAACTTCTCCTTACCTTGCTCCACGACTCGACAAATCATCATCACGGCGCAGCAGAAAACGTGACAATGAATCCACTGGCCCTCTACATCATGCTTGCATCCGTTGTATCAAAAGAAGCGATGTTTCAATGGACGATGAGGGTTGGCCGTAAGGTTAAATCAGATGTACTGATCGCGAATGCGTGGCATCATCGCGCGGATGCAGCGTCGAGTCTTGTTGCGCTTGTGGGAGTTGCAGGCGCCGTCTATGGAATAAAATGGTTTGATCCTGTTGGAGGCCTCTTAGTGTCCGGTAAGCGCTCGTTTTCTCCCTTGCAAAGAGCTGGAAAGCCCTTATCCAACCAACGATCGCGCAGGTATGGTTATCAAGGCGGGGTTGGAATCCGGGATACCAGCTTTGAAGGAGTTGATTGACGCAGGTGAGGCGCACGCTGATGGTGGGGATCCATATTTTGCCTGACTGCTTTCTCAAGCCGCACCTCCGGAAACCACCGAACGCGTGACGGAAGTGGTCCAGCGCCTTCATGTAAGAGCATGAATTACATTGTGGTACGCATCATTCCACGCTAGTCTTACACGACACTGGCAGGCGAAGGATCAGAATATTCGGGGTATTGGGCCGATCCGGGTTCGCAAAAGTGGCCCGTTTCTGAATGGTAAGAAACGAGCCGTCGTATCGCACATATGCATCCAGCTTACTTCATGTTGTTTGGGGACAAGTTGATATGCAGGTACTGGTCAACCCGTACATCAGTATCTCGCATGCCCATCAGGTTGAGGCTCGTAGTATTGCGAAGGAGTTCTAGGTTCGCGAGCTGAACAGAATGATTGTTCACTATAGATATCGGAGAACCTCAAGCATGACATGGTGAAAGAAATTCATGGTACTACTGCCGATTTCAAGTTCAAAAAATTGTAGACTTAAAAAACTTGAACGTCAATTTCCTTTCAGGCCTGCAAGAAGTGTCCATCCACCTTGACAGCGAGATGCACGATCTGACGGAACCTTCTCCGTCCATCGCTCCTACTAGTGTCATTGAAGCAGATATTGTACGAGAAGGAATGAAGGGCATGGAAGAACACGTTCAGAGAATTAGCCATATAACGTTGCATTTCTTAAAGGTAAGATTTTATCATCGTAGGGTAGAGCCATCTCTGGTAATTTAACGACCATAATAGGGAGGCATTACTGTCCATGCTGACATTCTGCCCAGGCGAGATGATATAACCATTTCAGAAGCAAGAGAAATCGCGCGACAAGTTCAGAAGCGCATTGAAGGTATTGAAGGTGTAAAGTGTGCTGATGTTCATTTAGAGATAAATAGCAATCACTAGATACGTGGTATTGGATGGTCCCACGGCTACCAGACAGGCTACATAGATACTAGCTCTCTATGCTTCAGATATCTCAACAGGGCAGAAAAGCCCTTTCATTTGTGACTATGCTCCAGTTATTTCAATGGGGAAGACAAGCCCTTCCATCTGTGACAATGGAAAAGGATCAGGACAAGAGCAAAAGTCATGACCTCTGTACAGAAGGAAGCGACGAACCTTTCGTAGATTCTTTGGCAACTTTTTGCTATTCGCAAACTTCTTCTTGGTCTCCTTGATATCAGCTGTTGCAGCAAAGAATTGCAAGGCCTGGGCTGTCAAATCCAATGCATGGCCGAGGTAATCCATCTCCTTGTTTTCCTTTTCAAAGGACGAGAGGACATAGGATGTGACAGGGATGTTTGCGGCGGGGCGGCCAATTCCGATACGGAAGCGGATAAAGTCTCCTGTTTTCAGGTACGCAGCAATGCTTTCCACGCCCTTGTGACCTTGTACTGCGCGAAGATCACCGCCGTCTGCAAAGTCAAATACCACCAATTATGCATCAGCCAAACCTAAAAGTTCTATTGCACCAATTGACATACTTTGGACTGCAATCGACCCTTGAAGTGTGTTCATGTCGTCGAATACAACAATGAGCTGCTTGCCAGGGTTCTTGATACCATACGTTGAGATGATCTTTGATACAGCGAGCCCAGAGTTGTTCATTCCTGTTAGTGGTTTCACCAGTAGCAGGCGGAATGTCCTCTGTGGTAGATGGTGATCAGTAAGGCGATGTAGATCGCTCCTTGTTCACATCTCACGTACCAACTCTCCCTTCTTTCCAGATGCGCGTGCTGCCACGGTCTGAGACGGGAACACATCGTCAGGGGCCAGCTTGAAAATCACATCGTGCACATCGGCGACCACGTCGCCTTTCCGAACAAACTTTGGTGTCACATAATTGGATGGGATGGTAACCGGCGTATCCTTCTTTGACTGTGCTCCTGTGGCGGCAGAGTCTTCTGCCTGCATTTGCTCCAAGAGGGCGGTTTGCATGGCGATACAGTTTGCCAGGTAGTCGCAGAATATGAAACCGACTAGAATAGTTTGGTAGGTTCAACAGGCAAAGTTAGCGTGAGTTCCAGAGCAATGTGGCTCATTGCAAGCAGCTTCCAAATTGCGAGCATTGGCGGAACTTGCAAGTGACACCAACAGATGTTCACACTGCATAACTTATCGTCCTCCCTAAACCCTTGTATCTGCATTGTTGTTCACACTGCATAACTTATCGTCCTCCCTAAACCCATGTATCTGCATTGCCTTTTGACGCTTGTAACGTACCATTGTGTCTCGTCGTTACATAGTCCGCGTCCGGGTTCCCCAGCCCAACAATAACATAGTCAACAGGTCGGTCGGATGTCATGATGCAGTGCTAGATGTCTGGGGGGCAAGTTCGTAGTTTGTTTCTTCCTTTTTCGCCAAGGCTTTCCTAAAAAGAACGATAAACACTCGCAAGTGTTGCCTTTGATCGGGGTTAGTCACGCGTTCCTAGCGGGCTGTGTTTGAATTTCAAAAATAATGGAGCGCTTGCTTGCATTTTTGGAGGATAAACAATGGGAGTATTGGGGGTTTTGTTGGGCGCGGGGGGCGTTTAAAAGAAGCAAAAAGCGCAACAAAAGGAAGGTCGGTGGAAAGGAGGAGGAGGGATGAACAATGCGATCTTCCAGAAGTATTTACTCTTCCGGATAAACAAATCGCTGCCCGGCATCTTTGAATTTGAGCGACGCACGCGGACTCAGCGCGGCCCACAGCCAAGTCGCTGCTTTTTTCTTTGGGGGTTTTTTTTATATAAAGACCATTTGCCTTGGATTTCTGCACCATTTGATACTTGCACCATTCTAAAAGCAGCACACACATAGACATGTCCCACTATTCTGCCCCCCAAGGGTATGCACCCAACTATCAAGCACCACCACCACAAGGTGGATATCCGGGACATTTTCAGCAGCAACCACCGTATGGTGCTCCTCCTGCCGGATACCCTTCGCAACAAGGATATCCACAACAGCAAGGCTATCCTCAGCAGCAAGGCTTTCCTCCTCAGCAAGGATACCCTCAGCAGCAAGGCTACCCTCAACAGCAAGGTTACCCACCGCAAGCGTCATACCCAGCCCAATATCCTCCACAACAGCAAGGCTATGCCCCTCCAGCTGGTGCCCCCCCTGGTGGAGCTCCACCTGGCGCATATGGACAGCAACCGCCGTACGGCTACGCAGCTCAAGCTCCGGGATATCCACCTCAGCAACACTCTTTGCCGGGTGGTCAACCTGCACCAGCGCAGCAACCTTATGGAGCACCTCCTGGTGCGCAACAGTCTTTTTACGCGTCGGGATCGCCCATGCTCAGTGCACCCGAATTGGAACGCGATGCACAAGGTCTCAGAAAGGCCATGAAAGGAATGGGAACGGACGAAAAGGCTTTGATTGAGATCCTCTGCAAGCGTACTCCGGAACAAGCCGCTCAGATCGTGGTCGCCTACAAATCCCACTTTGGTCGCGACCTTGTAAAAGACCTTGAGAGCGAATGCAGTGGAAACTTTAAGAAGCTAATGACTCTTCTCGCAATGTCACTTCCCGAGGTGGACGCAGTTTGCTTAAGAGAGGCCATGGTCGGTGCTCCTGGCGAGGCATGTGTGTTTTATCCGCTGATGTGGTGGCATGGGGCGCTAACTTTTTTGTGTGTTTCATTCTATAGGCTGGCCTAGGGACTGATGAAGATGCTTTGATTGAAATTCTGGTCGGACGGACAAACCCCGAAATCATTGCCATCAAACAGGCATATCGTGCCAAATTTTCAAAGGACCTTGAACAATCCGTGCACTCTGAAACCAGTGGTCATTTACGCAAACTTCTCGTGGCAGTCCTTCAGGGTGCTCGTGATGAGACCGGAAGATGGGATGTGAATGCCGATGTGGACGCTCTGTACCGTGCTGGTGTTGGCAAAATTGGGACGGACGAATCCGCATTCATCTCCATTCTGGCCAATAGGCCCAATGCGCACCTCCGTGCAGTTTTCGCCGCCTATCATCACAAGTACAGCATGACCGTCGAGCAGGTCGTCAAGAAGGAGTTTTCGGGAGATTTGGAAAAAGCGATTTTGGGCATCGGTAAGTTAAAAGTACATTTGGGTTGTCAAAGCATAAACTGAATTCTCTCTTCTCAGTTCGCTCTGCAGAGTCCCGAGCATGGTACATTGCCAACCTCTTTGAAAAGTCCATGGCAGGTCTCGGTACAAAGGACAACAAACTAATCCGTTTGGCAGTCCGTCATCGTGATCCTCGCATCATGCAAGCCGTGAAACAGGCATACCAGCAACAGTACGGAAAGTCTCTGTACTCGCGGGTTGAAGGGGAGACTTCAGGAGATTATAAAAAGGCCTTGTTGGCGTGTATTGGAGCATAAAAGCGCAAAGATTAGAAATTTACTGTGTGTAAGAGTGTTTTATGAATACCATCAACCTACAATACTGCACACACCCATGTAAAATAATTTGCAGACCCTAATTCACTGCCGATAGTCAAGTTTGGATTGCCATATATGTGCGGTATGAATGCAACTATATACAAGAAGAAAACGGGTAATTCTGTCTGGCCAGAAGCTGGGCAGACCACGCTGCTACGGACTTTGGAGTCCACCACATGTACAATATGTCATACAAAGACATCCTGCACACACGCACTTGCGCCAGTCCAAAACGATTTGCTACTGTACTGATCCCGCTCCATTTCAATTATGGACCTGTTCGGTGACACATTTAAAAAAGTTACTCAAGGGGTGCTCCTACTCCACGAGAGGTACTCACCCATACTTTGGGTCTGCTATACCCACAAACAGACCATCAGCCCCGTCCCCACTTCCACCTGGTGTAAAACTCACTCCAGCAATTTCTCCAAAGAAATCTACCACTTGGGTTCGGTATGCACTGTCGGGGGACATGATGGACCCATATGGACCTCGTATGATTTCGGTGGGTGCGCTGGTGAGGTCCACAATGTGTACAAAGTCCGCGGGTTCTGCGAATACCATGTGCCGTCCATCATCAGAAAATCGGATGGATCGGACGGCGCCCATTATTGCGGGAAGGACAGCGAGTGTATGGGACAGATTGCGTGTGTCGTAAATGCGTGTTGTCATGTCTGGTACCATGATTTTGTTAGTCCTCATATTTGGGTTAGAATTCCTCTTGGAATAAGAAGCCTTTACCTTGATTTCCTGTAGCGACTAGCCGCCCACAGGGCGACCAGGCGCAAGCAAAGGAATAGTCGATGTGGCCTTTTAACGTTGCCAAGTCTACACAGACAGTATTAGTAATAGGTCATTACCTGGAGATAGGTGCGTCCATTATACGTACGTTCTCCTGCTTCAGAATCGACAATCAGGGTATTAGGATTGTCTCCCACAACACAAAGCATTCGCCGGTCCGGGCTCAATGTTGTGCACTAAAGAAACGATTAGCTCATCGTCATTAGCGAATCACCTCTTTGACCTTTCTTACATTGATGGGCCATTTAAACGTCAAAGTCTTTTGAACCTGCATCGTCTTTGCATCCATGATCCGAGTGCGCTCGTCATTGCTGGATATAATGGCTTGCTTGGCTATAGCCAAGGGCAAGTTGCTATACATTAACTTCCGCTTTTCAAGAAGTAACGAGCTTGAAAATCTCTACTCACCTCCACTTCGCGATTCAAAAATATCCATATGGTTCGTAATGCCATTTGGATCCGTTGTCACGCATCCTTTCCAAATCGTTGCCCGAGAGTCCAATCGTCGACAGATATATTCCCCGCTGAACCCTCCCACCATAAGCAATCCCTCTTTCGCAACCATGGAGCTGACTTTCATGCCGCCCATATCATGCTTCTTAAGATCCAGTGCCATCCGTGTCGTTTTCGAGACTGGGCACCAATGGCAAACGCCATGCCGATCTTTGAAAGCGAGAAGTGTCAACGATGGGCTGGTACTGATGGCAAACCAAATGAAGCTGCTCACTCGTGTAAAAGACATCATTTTTGCTCGTAGCCCATAGGAGATTTCGTAGTTGAAAGTGCACGATATGACATTTGCTGTGCAATTGCGCATGCCGAAACCCATAGTACGATCCGTCGCGCCGAACCGTCAACATCTCCTGATATCATTCATGCGGCGCTCTGTTAGGTGCACGCGATTCTATGTAAATATCCGATATCTTGAACTCTTACATCCAAGATTGCGTCTTGAGCTATGGACATGTTCTTGTAGTTTCCATAATTCCTCACTCGCGACTCGCGAAATTTGTCCCGTGGAATCGGAAGCTGGGACCAGTCTATCCCCTGTATGTCCACTGACCTGAATGTGTCATGATATGTTTATGAATCTGCAGCCAGAAGAGTCGACGATCTCACCTTTTCCGACCTGGACATCTTGCACTGTCACTTCCTTTGGCATGGAGAGTCCAAATGATGGCTACGGAGTAAAAAAAGAACATTGCATGTCAAGAGAATGTTCTAGCCGGCATATTCCCTTCCGGTCTTCCGCACCTCGTCGTTTTCTTCCACTGTATCTGTGTCTGATGAAATATAGAACAATATATGAGCAATTCCAGCCCGTCATAGAAGAGCGGTGCATGGCTTCCGCAGCAAACGTCCCAGTCCACTTACAGTCGAACTCATCATAGTCCATTGTGCCCGCTTTTTCTCCTCCTCCGTGATCCCTCCAGCACCCACGGGAAAGGCTCAGCTGCTATTCGATGATAATGTCCCAGCGATCGCGAAGCTTGATACTGAGATATTCGGCCAGTTATATCCCCCAGGGTTGAGTTTGAGCAAAGTGTTCACCGCACAGGTACTTTGCCGACAACAGCCTTTCTCAAAATTGTCTTCGTAAACAATGACAAGTCCGCTCACTGCCCTACTCAACAGGATCTTCTGTATAGTCAAATGACCACAGATAAAGTTCTTGTCCCGCTACGCTCAGTTGGCAAATGTGTGATACTTGGGTTTTTACAAAGGCGGCTCACATGGGCATTACCAATCCCGTCGTCGTCGTCCAAACCGTCACTAGTGGCTTGGAGCTCACATCTGATTCATCGTCCCTTCAGGCTTCTAGAAGCCATAGAATAATATCATGTGATGTGCATTGGAATGAGGATCCAATGAATATCTCCAGTTGCTTCACGCCACTCACGGGATCACGAGAGAACGGAAGGCAGGCTGGGACTTGCCTACGAGACGGGCTCCTCCTCGATTGCCATTTCCCGTCATCCGGCAGACAAGGTAAATACATCCATCCATCCATCCATCATTGTCGTTGTTGCGGGTTTGGGGTACCATCCATCCGTCAGGAGAGTGTAACGATTGTCAGATCTGGCTGGGTATCGGTGGTGGACGAGGAAAAGGACGTGGAGCGAATTCGCGAGGTGGAAAATGTTCGCATTGGATATGGACCGCATGTGGAGAATGGCGGAGAGGAGAGGACTAGATAGTTTACCTGAAAACGGACTAGTTGGTTTGGAGCCACCAAGTGGAAAGAACTGCAGATAGTGAGAGGTCTTTCAACTCGGTCTCTCTTGTGAAATGAGAATCGGGAATGTGAGTCTTGTGGAGACGTTTACGAAGGGAGATATGTTATATTACGAGGAGATGGGATGGACCACTGACAACCGCGGACTGACAATCGTACACTCACCGGAAGAATGTGTTGGAAATTCGCATGTGAATGACCGAGTTCTGATCTCGTTTTTCATTTTTCTCTTAGTGGAAACGTCAGCAATGGCCCACGCCCCTACCAACCCGTTGATCGCCCCCGGTGTTCACCGGTACTCGCGTTCCCAGGCCTACGCCAAGAAGGCCTTGTTCAAGAAGGCTAAGCAGGTTGCCCCCGCAAAGGCCGCTGCCCCTGCTACCACAAAGACCGTCCAGGTCGGTGGAGCAAAGAACAACCAGACCCGTGAAGTGCCTCTCGTCAAGGCCCCACGCTTCTACGCCGCTGAAGATGCGCCTGTCCCCAAGAAGTCTCGCAAGGCCCCTCGCCCCGTCAGCCTCCGTGCGTCCATCACCCCTGGTACCGTTCTCATTGTCCTATCTGGAAAGTACCGTGGAAAGCGTGTTGTATTCCTGAAGCAGCTCGAGTCTGGTCTTCTTCTTGTGACTGGTCCCCACAAGGTTAACGGCGTACCCATCCGTCGTGTCAACCAGGCCTACGTCATTGCCACCTCCACCAAAATCGATATCTCTGGTGTGAACACTGAGAAGTTCACCGATGCTTACTTCAAGCGTGACAAGGTGGAGAAGAAGAAGGCAACTGAAGAGGCTTTATTCGAGGCTGGCCAGGTTTGTTACAATCTAGTGTTCCTTACTTTATTTTGCCACTGACATTTCTGTTTACTTTTACAGAAGAAGCCCGTTGACGCCTCCCGTGTTCAGGACCAACGGGAAGTGGACAAGGCGATCCTTGCCACCCTTAAGAAGGACCGCATCCTTCGCGGTTACCTCAACGCTTCCTTTGCCCTTAGCCGAGGTCAATTCCCTCACTTGATGAAGTTCTAAGGAGTAGTTGTGGTAATTGTGGGTTGGGATTGTGGTTGGTCAAGTGTGGACTGTATATGATTGTTCTTGAGGATGGCCGGAATATAGGAAGCATAAAAAACGCAATGTCTGTCTGCTTGTACTGTGCAGAAATTTGACACTATGCCTGCTGGCGTAGATAGATGGGGGACAGGACGTCCCCATTCCGATTCATCAGAACATCGTGCATCGCTTAAACAATGGTGATTAATGAGAGCAGTTACGACTGAATCCATGAAATATGTTTTAGATAATAACGGTGTCGCTTTCTCTGCAATCCCGAACAAGCCATCCAAATATTGACCCTCTGACTTACAAATCTTCCAATCCTTTCAACGTGGAGTCAAGTTCCTGTTTTACTACTCTATATTTCTCTGTCATCTCCTCTAACCGTTTCTCCAATTCCGTCCGTTCCGCCTCAGACTGTTTGGTTTTGCGTTCTGCTTGTTCTGTTGTCAGCTCAAGGTTGCGAGTTCTGTACAATTGCCGAGGTCAAATAAGCCTTTCAGCATGTTAATGCATTGGAAACAACAACACAACGTACTTTTCGGAAAGCTAGAAGTTACAATGGAAAGTAAAATGGCGTTAATGCATAAGCTCATAATGTGCGCCATCGATCTGCTTTGAGTCCCGGCCGGAGAATCCCTTTCTCTTGTCGCTTTCCGAACTCGTTCAAACTGTTTGTTCTCATCATACTTTTGTCTTGGGCATCCCACCCGATCCCTTAAGAGCCACCTCATCCCCTCATCATTCCAACAAGCGTCTGTTGAAGGTATTTTATCATTGAGCTCACCTCTTCCACGCGCTTCTCAGCTCTGTCCAAGTTTTCTTGAAGCAAGGTCACTTTGTTGTTGAGACTCTGTACCGTAGTTTCCCGTTTCGCAAGTTCCTCTTTGAGTTGTTTCACCTCCGCTTCAGCATGTTCAGCTCGAGATTGGCTTTGCTCAGACTCTATTCGGAGTTTCTCGAGTTTCTGTGCGGAGATGATCGGTAAGTCAAACGGTATTCATGTATCGTTCGCGAGCAGAAACGCAGCCCATAGGGGATATCGTGCACACAGCAGTTCCTTTTGGATAATTGCTTTACTACTACAAAGTAAACGCACCTCCTTTATTTTATCCATGGCGGCTGGGTTTGTGCAAGATGCAGAACAATCCGCACGAGCGCGTCAAGTCATTGGCACTCGATATAAAGTCGAAGCATAATGTAATGGACATATGATAAGCAGAGCTTTCTCCTTTTATGGCGAGATGGCCGAGTTGGTCTAAGGCGTCAGGTTAAGGCCCTGATCTCTCCGGAGGCGTGGGTTCAAATCCCACTCTCGTCACTTGCGAAATGCCCAGTTGGATTTTTTACCGGAATAATATGAAAGCACGTGACCGGTCGAAAGCAGGTCATCCTTCAGCATCTTGCTGGATTTGTTGAATGCTCTCAACCTAGCGTGCCCAGTGGTCATATCCATGCGGTCGAGAGATCAGCAGCTCGACCATTTTACAGAATGGCTACGAGGGAAAGGATACGACCAACATCGGCTTCAGCTGGCAGAGTTTCCCGAGACCGGGCGGGGTATGATGGCTAAAGAAGCCATTCAGGTATGCGGGCTTTCTCCTACAGACTACTTTTATCAGTGTATTGAGTTGAAATTTCAGGTCGGACAGCCTATCGTTGAAATTCCAAGATCGTTGCTTATAACCTGTAAGACACCAGCTGTGGAAGCGACAGTCAAGAGCTTTTCTGGTGACAGGTACTGTGAACAGCGCCCTTCCGATACTATCTTGTTGTTTGTTAACCGGTGTCGCATTGGTAGTACTTTGTTATCTGAGCATCAGTCACTTGCGCTCTTTCTCGCACATCAACGGGGTATATTAGGCGAATATCGTCCGTATATTAATTTGCTGCCGACGCATTTCACAACGGTTGCCGCATTGATGCCAAAAGAAATATTCAACCACCTTCCGTGGGAGCTGCAAGGTAAACTGCCAGTTCTGCCATCATATCTCATGCATGTTTATGCTAAGAGACGCATAAATAGCCATGGCCAGTGCTCAACGTACCCATGTACGGCGGGACTATGCGCGTATCATGGGATTCTGTGACGACTGTAAAGGCAAGGCGGAATACTCCTCAAAAGACGGTAGTTGCCCCAACTGCTGTACGCGTCCGTCCCTCACGTATACCGATTTCGAATGGGCTTGGTTTGCAGGTACAGGATGCAGATAGTATAAGTAAGCACATTACATGTGCATTCTGATGATGATGTGAAATGAGACTAATTATATGGTTTACGGCATCTAGTGAATACGCGATGCATTACACTGAATACAACTCAACGGCGTATAACGCATAGTGACACGCCAAAAATCGCCTTGGCCCCGATGCTGGACTTTTTGAATCACACTTCAGAGGCAAAGATTCAAGCCGGGTTCGATGCAACAGGGCAGTCATATCGAATCCGAACGCTGATGCCCTATGAACCAGGAGAGCAAGTATTCATCAATTACGGACCTCATGACAACAGGTAAAACCAGAAAAGTCTGTGAAATACTGCTTTGGCAGGCTTATTTTTAATCTTTAATTTTTCCTTTGACAGTTTTCTACTAGCAGAATATGGTTTCGTCTTACGGCACAACCCATATAATCACGTCATCGTTGATCGATACATTGATGAGATCATATTGGAGGGTGAGACTGTGGATAGTCGAAGAGTTGCAAATGACATCTTGGACGGACACGGGCTTCGCGGGTGAGTATCAAGCCCGCATAGTACCATCATGCCCAAGGACTTATTCTCTTCTCATACACTGTAGTGACTATACACTTCATCTCGATGATGATCCATCTCCACGCCTAACAGCGGCCCTTCGAATTCGCGTCCTTTCTTCCGTTTTAAAGTCGGTCCCGCCGAACGTCGCAGACATGTGCTGGGAGCCACTCGTACCAGAGCAAGAACGTCGCGTCCAAGACGGGATCCGTTGCGTGTGCGAAGCCGTGTTATTACATGCAGAGCAGGCTCTTCGCGGCCTTTCGGGGCTCGAAGCCCATAGCAAAGAGTCGCTGGCATTCTCCATGGTGCAGCAAGTATGGAATGACACGGTTGCGATCGTGAAGGGAGTCATGCAGCGACTTGCCGACAAAGAGGATACGTGTCAGATGTGAATTAGCCATGATCCAGATCTGGCCTGGTTTTTATGTTGAGAATGTGTACATAATGCATATATATATACAGATGCAAGGATTGCTCCCTTATTTCAATTTTGCAAACAGCTTATCTGCAGCCTGCCAACTGTCTTGTCAAATTGATATATTCTTGATGATATCAGACAATCCAGCCTTGACCAACTTACGCAGTGGTTGACGCATTCCATGAGATCAAAAAATTCCTCGACACATGTTTCTTCTCCAGCGTCGCCTGCCTCTACACGCTCCGTGCATGCATCCAACTTGACCTTGAACGGCCGGCAGTGATGACTCTTGGCACATTCTATTGCACACATCGCTTTATCAGGCCCTTGGCGCTGGACATGGTTCTACCCAAGAGCCTGCTGCTCACCAGCCTCAATTTCGGGCTTTGGGTCCTGTGCGGGGTTCCAATCTTTTGGCATTTGAAAGTCAACGACAGCGCAGAGCAGTTTCTCAAAACCCAATTGGGATGATGCATGGCTGTGCCACAATGCTGATTGGATAGAATTCAGAGAGGCAAAGTGATTGTGCCCCATCCATTAGCGAATTGGTTTTGGAAAAGAAAAATTCCTTTTGAACTTTTGAAGGGCTGGCTGCTGTTTTTTTCTTCCTTTCTCCACCATCCAACATGGCTACTGACTCAAAGTAGGTGAACAATCACAAGCGGTCGTTGAAATTGGGGAGGACGACCGGGTGCTTGGGTTGACCCGATGATCTTGGGTTGTGACGAGACTTTGCAATACTAATATCTTTTGGTCAACAAGGAATCCACCCGCTGAAGGGACCTTCACCGATGTGCCCGAAGGTGAAATTGAGGTACGTCCCCGGCTCCTGCGAAATCGGTTTGAGCAACTGCGAGGGGTTGTGGTAACTAACTAGATCACGTTGATAGTCCAACTGGGACGAGGTTGTCGACAAGTTCGATGACATGAAGCTTCGGGAGGAGCTTTTGCGTGGTATCTACGCGTATGGGTGAGTTAGCGGTAGAATGAAGATTTTACTGTCATCAAAGTCTTTCTGACCCATTTTACCTTGTCAGTTTCGAGCGCCCATCCGCCATCCAGCAACGTGCTATTCTCCCCGTGATCAAAGGTCACGATGTGATCGCTCAGGCACAATCCGGTACCGGAAAGACTGCCACATTCTCCATCTCCATCCTGCAGTCCCTGGACATGTCGAAAAAGGAGTGCCAGGCTCTTATCCTTGCCCCTACTCGAGAACTTGCCCAGCAGATCCAGAAGGTACTGATCGCCCTCGGCGACTACATGCAAGTGGAATGCCACGCCTGCATCGGTGGTACCAACGTCCGTGAGGACATGCGTCGGCTTGAGGCTGGCGTTCATGTTGTCGTCGGAACCCCTGGGCGTGTGTTCGATATGATCAACCGCCGCGCTCTCCGTTCCGACTCTATCAAGATGTTCGTGTTGGACGAGGCCGATGAAATGTTGTCTCGTGGTTTCAAGGAACAGATCTACGATGTGTTCCAACTTCTTCCTCCGGCCACCCAGGTCGTTCTCCTTTCTGCTACCATGCCCGGTGATGTCTTGGAAGTTACCAAGCGTTTCATGCGTGACCCCGTCCGTATTCTCGTGAAGCGTGACGAGCTTACCTTGGAAGGTATCAAGCAGTTCTACGTAGCTGTGGAAAAGGAAGACTGGAAATTGGACACTCTCTGCGACCTGTACGAAACCGTCACCATCACTCAAGCTGTCATCTTCTGCAACACCCGCAGGAAGGTCGACTGGCTTACCGAGAAGATGCACGCTCGTGAGTTCACTGTATCTGCAATGGTAAGAGGGAGCAGGTCCATGTTTTCCTTGGTTTATCTTGTTCTATATTTATCATCCATATGTTAATAGCACGGTGACATGACCCAACAAGAGCGTGACGTTATTATGAAGGAGTTCCGATCTGGATCCTCTCGTGTTTTGATTACCACTGACTTACTTGCTCGTGGTATTGATGTGCAACAAGTTTCCCTGGTTATCAACTACGATCTTCCAACCAACCGGGAGAACTACATTCACCGTATCGGTCGTGGTGGTCGTTTCGGTCGTAAGGGTGTTGCTATCAACTTTGTAACATCCGACGATGTCCGTATGCTTCGTGATATTGAGCAGTTCTACAACACACAAGTGGAAGAAATGCCCATGAACATTGCTGACCTGTGAGTGGTTCTTCTGGATAACATTTTTGCTCGGCGCATGTCAGCTAACTTTTTTAATATCCAGTATCTAATTTTTCGGTGGAAGATGAGCTTTCAACCAGACCTGACTCTCACAGTGTCAGCCGTAATTTCGGCCCATCTTTTGCGCTTCTTACTTGTTTGTTCTTATGATGCTGCTTCTCATGCGGCCCTGTATAAATGTCGTTGTGCCGCGCCGCAGTCTGCACTTTCAATAGATTACTTTGCTATCTAAATATCTTAAAGTATTTACTGTTAATGAAAAAGTCCCTTGAGCAACCAGGACGAGTTACGACCGATCAAGTGTCCCTTGGCTGTAATGGGAGACATGCAGGCCATATGATCAGGGAAAGAACGATCACGTAGTAGCCACGGTAGCTTTACTTTCTCCTGTTGGCGCGCGTTGGACAATCAGATGTGCTTAACGCAGGCCAAGCGTTCACCTACTGCGCTGAGTCTGGGAGTCTGGGGAGGGCGACGTCCTCACGGCCACGATGGAGCCGGCGGTGGAGCGCCCACAACAAATAATTTCCACATCTCATTGTTTGATGGATATATGGTTAAAGTTCTCCTATCGTTCATCCAAGGTTCCGAAACTTTAAAAATATCCGGGTTTGTTACCTTTGGACGATTCTCCAGCGGATCTTTGATTTGACAAAAGCGATCACAAGTTTCGATCTTCTTTGGGCATGGGTTGTAATGGGTATTCTAACTTGAACACTAAGAAGACTTTCAAGGCTCATATTGCTCTTGATACAACTTGAATGGTAGGAGCACCTATGTATTGTACAGCAACTTTAAAGTGATTTCGAATGAGTTAAGGTTAAGAACCCTGGGGTTACGGCAAGGAAAGGTAAACGTTTATTACAACACTATTCCTCTCTTGCATGATACATCACTCTATAAAATCATATCTGTAGATATACTCGACAGTCTCTCGTTCAACTCATTCAAAATCATCAATCGCCCTCTCCTCCACAATCTCCTTATTTCTTGATCACATCGAAATCAGCGGGAGGGAAGATGATACCGTACATGACCGCAACAGCTTCCATGATGACAGCAACGAACTGGAATGCGACGGTTACAGGGATACCGATGATGACCAAAATAGGGTTGTAACCCTTGTCGACGTTTTGCACAAACATGCCGAGCACATACAGGTAAATGAAGACGATGAAGGAAAAGTCTTTGAGAATACCGAACCACCGTGGGGTATCCGTTGGTACATAGAATCCGAGAACAATGGATGCGATGGTGCAGTACAGAGAAACAAGACCAAGGGCCCAGAACAAAGCCAGCACCTTTGGAAGAAACGATGGAAGACGACGAATTCCGACAAACCATCGTCGACGCTGTTTCAAGAACCCAATCAAGTCGAGTGGCGATTGTTCGCGAACAATACCGGAAATGTTTCCGCATTTGAAGCCGAGCTTCCATGCACTCACAGCAAATTGGAAGTCTTCGGTCAAACCTAAAGAGCAGGTAGTGAGTATTCATTTTGAGGGAAGCAACGGTTTTTGTTACGACACTTACTGCCCAAGTCCCAAGTAACCGCATTTTCAACGGCACCGTTGGTCAAAAGAAAACTGCCATGAGCACCGAAAACTGGACGGCGAAGATAGGTGTATTGCAAGTGGAACCTCGCCAAATCATCACCAACCCTCAATCCATCAGCAACGGTAAAGAATGGGTTGCGCCAGAATTTGTACTGGTTGTAGAGAATGATTCCTTGACCCCAAGAATAATCCTTTTCGTATCTGATGAAATTCAAACATCTCTGAACGGATTCATCGTCAATCACACTTTCCTCATCCAAATGCAGAACCCAGTCATGCTCAGTGTAGCGCATTGTCGTGCGGTACCATTCCAAGGCGCGGGCCTTGTACTTTGAGCGGGCAGTAGAGAAGGATTTGGGACAGGTGTAGCAGTTGATGTTATCGAAATGGTTAGGCTCATCTGTGAGGACGTGGACCCGAATGCAGGGATCGAGTTTTTCGAGGTGCTTATGGGCGTTCCATGCACGCATCACAGCTTCTTTGTTGTCGCCCTTGGTCACCGTTAGAATGTAAAGGTTATCAACCCGACGCGGTGCGACGTCCTTGGGGGGCGGACGTGCATTGTGAATGGGAAGAATAAGCCCAGCAAAGCAGATAGCAGTATAGGGAAGAGGAAGTAACCATCCTGACAGATTGAAAGAAAGCTCTAATTTAGTACGAAAAGCAGAGGGTTCTTTTCTAGGTTGGCACACATACCCATCTTCCAGTAACAACCCTTATTCCAAATCTCTTCATCCGTATAGCCTTGAGGAATCCAAAAGCTCATGACGTAGGTTGCACCCAGGATAATGATTGCATGGAAGATCCACGCCCAACTCATCAGAGCCATAACGAGCTTAGTACGGCCTTTGTTCAACACTACGTCCTTTGTTTCTTCAGAAAGCTGGATATCGCTGATATTGGCCTTCTTGGGCGTTGGCGCAACGTCTATTGCCAGATTCTGATCATTGAGTGTTTCAAGAGAAGATGCATGGCTGTATCGCGAAGCAGTGTCATTGGAGTAATCGCTGACATTTGAAGGCCTGCCAGGAACTTCGACCAATGCAGGCGGTTCAAGATCCGGGATGGCCTTTTTACGAGGAGAACCGGGTTTACGAGGCATTGCGGTTTTCCTAGCAGGCTTTTCTCTTCACGTTTTTGGTTTCTCGTTGCCTGTTGGGTCGCGAGCAGGAAAACTATCAAGACAGGGGACCAAAGATCATCCAATGTCTTTTATTCGTAGATATCGGTAAATCTCCGATATCAGTTTACCAAGAGGTATTCATCCATTACTCTTTTGGCGCCATAAATAGCTCTTGAGTCCACCGCCTCACGCGCCTGCGCGTGCCGGTAAGCTCACCCCCCAGAGATCCTATACTATTGACTGGATAAGTTCATCCAACGGATCTTTAAGTTTATTCGGAAAGCTTTTTGGTAGATAGTATACGCGATGCTTCTAGAATCAAGGAAAGTAATTTGCAGATGTCTTCATTCCTTTGTGCAACGATTATACCCGCGGATAAGATGCAACAATCATATGTCCGTGGTCCTGAGACGGGGGTTCCTGTCAACCTTGCTATCATGCCTCGTGAAAAATAAGAATCTACGTGCAGATGAATACCTGCTGATAGTCGGTTGTACTATCACCAGCTGTTTTCGGAATAAGGGAATACTAACGCATATCAAAAGAATGCTTCTGCACAAGTCGCTGCAGCGACTTCATGGACGTCCACATTGAATAGTTGTGATATATTGTCAAGTCAACTCTCTTTGTATATTAAATGCACAAGATAAACCATAGTGGTCACTACTCTATCATAAATGCACACAGAACTGGAATCGTCAATATTCAATCTGGCTACTTGAAAACAGCAGCACCTGGTCAAGCAGTTTGTCGGACATGGGTTTCGTAAGCGCTAAGCCACGCATTAGCCAATCCCTCCACAAGTCCACGACGTCACAACTTTCCGCAAGCTTTCAGCTGGAGATCAGCAGACGGAATTCGAGTTCTAAGCATCCCTTGGCTTGCAAACGTAGTATAAAGCTCCCTTTCTCTTCGATTAGTCGACTAATCAAACTAGCGCGCGCGAGGACACACTGAACCATTAGGGTTTGCAAAAGTCATAATGGACCAACTATCTGAATACCGGCGCCGACACGCAGAGCGGACAGGGCAAAGTCTCAGTGATGATATGCCAGGTGCATTCCCATCCTTAAGCTCAGACACGCGACAAACCGAACAAAACACATCAACTCCAGACCGTCAAATCGAAGAAGATCATTTGTTGGCCATGCGTCTTGCCGAAGAAGACGAAGAAACGTACAGGCGATTTCGACAGCAGGCGGAAGAGGATGAGCGATATGCTAGGGAGCTGGAGAGAGAGGAGCGAGCACGACATGAAGGAGCCTTGGACGAGACAGGTGAGAAGGGCATTTTCGAGCGCGTTTGTGTCCCAGCATTTTCTCACATGTAATAATATCACACAGCTGTATCAACCACGCAAGATCACTCCCTTCCTTCTTACAGATTCGGATATGAATTCTCACCAAGGAGCGTACCTTCCGCAGTATCAGCTTCCAATGACACCGATCAGCATCCATCACTATCATCCAGTCGAAGAGGGAGCGGCGGGGAACAGCCTCCCATGACCCCGCTGCGTCGCGATCCTTCATCTGCTGCATCTCGTTCATCACAATTAGACTTTGACGCACAATTAGCACAACAGCTTGCTTTGGAAGAGTCAGGATATGACCCATTCCACCCGAGTGAAAGCGACGAAGAGTTTTCATCTCGGCCTTCAAGTTCCCTCAGCCCGTTTCTTCATCCCTCGTCACGTTCAGCATCAGATCGAGACGAAAGAGTAGCAGCTGCTCTTCACGATCCAATGTCTGCGGTTTTGGCACATCTCTTTACATCTGTTCCCACAAGGCAAACAGCAATGAGGAGACCGGAAGGTGGGGTTCGAACATTTACGTTTGGGTATGACTCGAATCGGGGATTCTTTGCTGGCCGAGGGGGTGAAGATGGGTCTAATACGGGTTCAACCAGTCGTCTTATTTCTCCCGGTAAGAATTTTATGATTTCCTCAGAATATGTTTCAGCGGCATGCTCCGCAAAAGTACGAGAGGTCCTCACTATACTACTTTTGAAAACAGGAATGGATCCTATGCTTGCTGCTCTTCATCTCATGTCGTCTGTCGAACCCTCAAGCTCGAGCGAAAACAATCCGTACGCCGCTTACCGTTCTCATTTTCGTCCCCTATTCGTGACCCAATTTGGCGCTGACCTTGGAGGCGCATTGTTTGATGCCATGCCTGCTACTTATGAAGATATGCTTGCATTAGCAGAGCGACTTGGCCCTGCCAAGGAGCGTGGAGCGAAAGACGACGAAATCAGTAATTTACCCGTTATAAAATGGGGAGAAAAAACCGCGGATATGGAAGAAAAGGAGGGAAAGGCGTGTGCGATCTGTATGAGTGATTTTGAGAAAGGCGACGAGGTGATGATGATCCCCGCATGTGCTCATCCGTGAGTTTCGCGTTGCTGTTCATATCCTTGTTTAGACTTGCTGATGGGACTTTTGAATCGCGTAGATTTCATAAATCTTGCGGCGCCCAATGGTTGAAGGTGAATCGTACATGTCCAATATGTAGAAAAGATATCAGGGATGTAAAAGATAGCAGTGGTAAAGCAGGTCCGAGTACCAACAAGAGCTCATAGGCACACTACTCGCTGTTAGGGTAGAATATCAGGGCGTATAAGCCGTAGAACTGCGTAGTGGATGGGGTAATAGTCTGAAGCCACAGTGCAGGGTTGGGTTCTACTCATATCTCTCAGCCGTGACATGCTACGTATGGTTATTTCAAATATCCACTCATTTTTTTTGATGATCAAAATCCGACTTTTTTCTATTACTTGGAGCTTTTTGTCCATCAAACGATCGGTCTTTGTGTTATGTAATGCTTACCACGGGAGCGCGAAGCTCAACGTCATGACTTTCGAATGTTCTAAAGCGGGAGACGAACATTGTCCATCTCCCAATTCACTGTGGACTTGTTCAGCATGGCTCAAGCAGACAGTAGGAAAACCGTTCCTGGTCAGGTCACCATTGTGATGGGGACAGCAGGGAGCGGAAAGAGTACCATTGCAAAAGCACTCGCCGACGCACTTGCTCCCAATGCGGCATACCTTGATGCTGACGATTTCCATTCTGAAGAGAACAAGCAAAAGATGGCAAGAGGTGAGGTAAGGTCTAGGGAGGCAATATGCGGAGTTTGTAAAAACCTCTGTATCTCATTTTATTGTCGTGTCTAGCCACTGACGGATGAGGACCGTTGGCCATGGCTCAGACGGTGTGTGGAAGAAATCAAAAAGCAGTTATCACAAACACCATCTGCCTACATTTTCTTTGCATGCTCCGCATTGAAGAAAGCGTACAGAGATTTTCTTCGTCAAGCGGGGTCTCCAGAACATCCTATCCGATTCTTGTATCTCAAAGGGTCCAAAGAACTCCTCGCGAAACGGGTCGCATCCCGTCCTCACCATTTCTTTAAAATGCAATTATTAGATAGCCAATTTGCGACTCTTGAAGAGCCGGATCCCAAGTCAGAGCCTGATGTTGTGGTAGTCAGTGTGGATGGGACTGTACAAGAAGTTCTGCAGCGAGCCAAGGAGGCTCTTGGTCTATGATTTGCAGCATCAACCGTTTGTAGTTTTAAGGCCTTTGCTACATTTTGTATAGGGTCCATAGTCATCTGTAGTGCTGCATATTATCTTTCAGGTTATATTATTTTCTGTATCTGAGGGTATAATGAGATTTATTGGTGAGGTGCTCTGGCGACCGCGCGGAGACGAACGGCGAGTTCCATGGATATTTTCCATCATCATTCAGCTGTCGACCAGTCAAGCTATGGCAAAGCATTAGTTGTTTGTTCACCGCTCTACCATGAAACAGGACGGGAGCTACGACGAGAGCGGATGCCCTCCTTCAACTCGAGGCGCTCCTAAAACAGCCTTTCAGGTTGATATGTTTGTCAATGGAACAGCAGTGGTACGGCGAGATGCGAAAATGGAGGTGTTCTCATTCGTATGCACAATATCGGACTACATATCGTGCTCACAGGTGTGGAGATCGTATATTAAGTTAACCTGCTAGCAACCGATCTACACGTACACGGTCTTCATCGGTATACATATCCTTGGGAATATCGATGGTTTTATGTGGTCGTAAGGCAAGATATTCTTTGAGTCTGATGGCATCAATAGAGTTCCGCTGGCCCTCAACAAGAAACTGGAGCTCCATTTCCTGGGAAGTGAGAAAACCTGACGTGAAAAACCGAATGCTGGAAACGCAAGGTTACCACAGCGACAACTTACTCTAAATGCCAAAGCCTTGTTCAGCTTCTTTCTCATTCGTTCTCGCGCTCGTCGAGCCATCTCCTCTCCAGCATCTTCCCTTTCTTTTCCGTTTCCCCATTTCATTCTCGCTGCTTCAATTTGTTGCCTAACGAGGCGCTTTTCGTCCCGTAATCGTGCCTTTGCACGTTGCCCACTCCGCTCAATCATTTGTGCCACTGGAGCTGGTGGTGCGGTATATGCTTCGTATTTCGCTACCGTTTGAGGTGCTAATGACCGGAGCTTGCCTTTTGGGATTGAGGCGGGGGAAAAACTAGAGGTCTCTGACAGGGGGAAAGGTTTGTAGGGAGTAGCGGGTGGTAGGTTCGGTGCTTGTGAGTTTTTCCGACGAATATTCGAAGGTCGGTCGGGTGTGGGTGAATCAAGAGCATTGGAGGTAGCCGCGGGATGGGATGAGCCAGCATTCCCTATGCCCCGCTCTGAAGAGGCAGAGCTTTCTGAGTGCCTGGTATTACGATGAGATATAGGTGGTAATCGCGGTTTGTGTGGTTCGCCGTGCGGCTTTACCAGGGTCTCCTCAGTAACGTCTTCTCCTGATTTATTGAGTGCTCCGAGTAAGCCTGCTGCTCTTTGAAAACGTCGAGAGAGGATCAAGGGAATCTGGTTTCGCGAAACGCTCATGGGCGACGGTTGGGAATGTCCTGGTGCGGGCAATGCCGTTCTCATATCAATATGTGCTGGCATGATCGTAGTCAGCTTTCAGAAGATTATTGGTGTTAAATTGCTTTGATCTATGATGAGGGTTGAATTATGTCTCATGGTCCTTTTTATATAGTCACAAGGATTACCCCCCAATCCTCCGAAAAATCACCGATTTCTATTCAAAGTTCGGGCTTTTTATTTTTAAAGATTCAAGGACCAGAGTCGTTTACAAGTCAACCAGCAGTTATATTATTCCTGGTAGCTGCGCAACTAGCCTGTGAGCATCTACTTGACTTTTATATCTTTTCTACACGAGCATGGCCTCGGGTTTAGAACGGGTAACTTGGTGCTCCACCTATACCACACTCTCTGGTCTCTCCTTTCCAACTTGACGATCAATAACTCTGGCCAACTCTACATCCCGAATACTTAGACCGCTGCAGTCGTGAGTTGAAAGCGTTATGTCGACCTTGTTGTAAACGTTGAACCACTGTGAAAATATCGGTAAGTACGAGGAAGGCGCGGACTGTTTTCCAGTGTGCGTTCACTTGCCTCTGGATGATGGTCCATTTTTTCTGCTTGCATCGCTACTCTTGTCATGAACCCAAACGCTTCATTAAAGTCTTCGAACCGGAATGACTTTTGAATTGTGTCCCGCTTGCCATCGTTTACAAGTTTCCATCCTTGCAGAACTGAGAGATGTTCGGTGCGTTCTTTGACAGTCAGCGGGGTCACAGGTAATGGGGCGTTTTGAGTACTGCTGGTGGTTGTTCGGACGGACATTGTAGACATTGTGGGTTGCAGTAAGGTTCGTTTGGGGAGGGATGCAACCAAACGAATCATGGCCAAATGGAGAGAGGGAGAGAAGGAGGACACCCAAAGGCGTGTGTGAGTCAGGTCGCGCGACATTTCGAACTTCAACTTTTCAACTTGCGATTTCGTTGTGTGCGGTTTTTATTCCAAACAGAATCTGCTGTTCCTTTGTTGGCTACGAGTCTGTTCTACACGAGAGGAATGCCTGAACCTCGCGGCCGTATGCAAGGTCGGCCATGCGATGGTTCTGCACATATGATTGTGGCCGTTGAACAAGCAGAAGCACTGGATAAATGGACTTTTGATGCAAACAGAGTAGCCATCCTTTGCCTAACAGAAACGGCATCTCTTTGCGCATATTTGGATAGATTTCCCAGAGGTGTTCAAAAGAACTGAGGATGACTAGCTCAAAGGCTATCAGGTGTCGCATATTCCAACTGTCCTGGTTTGCTACCTGGACGAAATGAATCGGGGACGTCCAATGCTCAGAGTCGTTAGGTGATAGAAACAATATTAGATACGGTCTCGGCGAAAGAAATATGATACTGCTGTATGAGTATCTAATTGAACAGTGATATCTCGGCTCAAGTTGCCCAAGTGTCATCCAGGCGTTAATGCTCAAAACAGTGATCTTTATCCGTCCTACGGATCGGAATCAAAAGGCATTGAACCATCAGCTTCCTGTAAGCTTTACAGCCCACCGTCGTCAACCTAAAAGCCTGTCGTTAACGGCCTTTTGCTGGACTGAACGACGGAATGTCCTCCCGTGGGTGACATGCCCTCTCGGTTTGTGACTCACACCAGGAAACCCAAGAATTTTTGGCAATCTCCAACTTTTTCAAAGGATTTGAACGAGTAACTTGCGGGCGATGAGCGCTACTACGAACTTGCGTCTAGCCAATGTATTGCTCTGCCATGGACGAATACCGCCATTATATCGCACGACAAAGGTGGTCGTAAAGGGACCCCTTGCAACAAGATCCACCATTGCCAGTTTACATTCCGCCATCTGCATAAAGCATTTCTCAACCCCGCGTACGATTGTTAATGGTTCAGGTGTCGTGAATATCCTGGCAAAGCGAGTAGCGCTCGGCGTACAACGAGTGCAGGTGACGCAAGGTCTCTTGCGGTCAAGCGTCCGCTACTCAACGGGCTCCAATGACGACAAAAACTCAACACCTGTTCCAAAAGTACGCTTGCCTTCTATTCCATTGATGTCTAGCTCTTTCTGGTTTTGTCCCCTGCCCTGCTTTAACCCCATTGTCTTCAAAAACAGCCTTCTTCCAAGGAGAACATTTACACAATCCCCAACGCGCTGACAGTCGGGCGACTTGTGCTGTCCCCCGTCATTGGATACCTTATTGTCAGCGAACAGTTCACATGGGCCTTGGGTACCCTATTTGTAGCAGGACTGTCTGATCTTGTTGACGGCTTTATTGCACGACGATATAATATGAAAACTTTCCTGGGATCGGCGTTGGATCCTGCGGCGGACAAGGTGCTGATGACGGTTTTGACAGTGTCGCTGGCGAGAGCTGACTTGCTCCCACGTGAGTACTGGTACTGACGCTGTTATAAACGAAGCCTTCATATGCAGATATTTTGAAGGTGGTTGCTAACCTCGGGTTTCATATACTTTCTTCTAGTACCCCTCGCAGTACTGATTTTGGGTCGAGATGTTGGGTTAATAGCGGGGACAGCTTATTACCGATATAAATCCTTACCTTCTCCGGTATGACTTTATTGCCAAAGTTTTACACATTCAATATGAACGATTAATCAAATGCAACTGTAGAAAACTGTGTCCCGATACTTTGATCTCTCCCTTCCTTCTGCAGAAGTCCATCCTCCAATGATCAGCAAGGTGAGTATGAACAACGTTCGTCCGCGTTATGCTGACAAACTGACCCATACGCAACCTTGTAGATTAACACGCTTTTGCAACTTACATTGATGTCGGTATCCCTTGCTGCTCCAGTTTTTGGTTTTACCGACTGGGTTGGATTAGAAGCGCTGAGGTATTTCACTTTCAATCAACCCTTTCACGGAGGTGTCGTAATGTATTGATCACGCTGATTTGATGCAGATGGGTCGTGGGGATAACTACCATCTGGTCGGGAGCGCAATATGCACTAGACAAAAGCGTAATCAAGATACTACCGCAGCCGAAATAATATAGGAGATAATAATTAAATTTTCTGAAGATGTCCACACGCATGGCATCCTCGGAACCAGTTCCCTTTGGGCCCAAATACCGGCACTCTATCGAACAAACAAAGTGACTAAAATACTTCTGTAGAATACTAACGACTGTACATGATATATACATTGCTTTGGGGAGCTTCCACTTGCAAATATTCAGACATTCGTAGGAATGCTTTTTAAACCGTTGTCTGCAAAGCACTCAAAGAACGTGTCGAGGTCGTATCGCAAAAGATCTTTAGCCCCCTTACGTTTTGGCGGATCCACGCCAATGAAAACCCATTTTGTGCCATTCGCCTCCTCGACAAATGCCAAGCCCTCTTGTCCGCGAATATCAAAGGACATCTGCGAGACGGCCTGTAATGTCGCTGCCTCAATTTGCATTTCCGCCCCCTCCTTTGGTAGTATGCTGACGGACTTCAATGCCAGTAGTTGGTAAGCTTTGTCATACAGCAACCAGAGGTGGTTCCGCCAGAGAGTCATTGCTGAGAGGTCGTATCCGGGACCTGGCGGCTGAATCCATCCCCTGAATCGTAGCTCACTTTGAATCATTAATGCCTGTTCCGAAACCGGGAGTTCGAAAACGAACACACGCGCATCCTCTTGTCGGCCGACGTAAAAGTATCCACCCCAATCTGAAGCTGACGATGGAACAAATACTAGTGACTCCAGACCACTGTTTGTGTCTACTTGACTCGGATCTGAATCTGGATCCGCTGGAACCGGGTGCTGGTCGAAATATGATTGCAGCGGCCATTCACGAACGATGGACGAGGAGTTGAGGTTGTACTCTAACACCGCTGCAGGGTATTCAACCCCAAGATAAATGGTATCTGCTCTAAATAGAAAAGTGAGCTATAAAATCCCCATAGTCAGAAGATGGTTTCACATACCGTCCGGGTACAAGCGTACATCCTTCCAAGTCAAACTGTTTTCCCAGCTTCCATACTTGAGCCGCATCCTCACTGTCAGTCCCAACATTGTCCAGCGCTGCAACGCGCCCGTTATCGCTGACTACATATAACAGCTGTTTGGAAGGATCCCAGACCAAATCTGAGGGTTCGAATTTGCGAGGCAGTCGGGAATACAATGACGTTCCAGTACAATTTGGCTCACTGGTGGAGAAGGTCGTTGAGGGAAAGGGATGCAGCATGCGAGCCTGAACAGGCCTCGAGAGGAGGAGCAGCGCAATAGAAGTCAGTAAAACGCCTAAAGGAATGATTGTCTTGAGCAAGGTTGGCAGTCGATGTCGTCTTGAAGCCATCCCCCTCGGTTTTCTTGGGTTGCGAGGAAAGCCCTTCTGGAAGTCGTTTTTGCTGGAAAGCGCCCGACAGCTTCATTTAGCCAAAAATGGGTTAATGAAATCCAACGACTTTATCAAAGCGTTTGGAGGATCCAGTCCATCCTCCATAGATCTTTGGCATGTCCCAACGAGACATGCAGCAAGTGAATGTTCCGACGCCGTATCCGCCTCCAGTTCTTGGGAACGAGCAAGTTGCTCTTGATTCTCCAATTTCTCAACCATATGAGGTGTTATGGGCGCTGGCAGAATATTACCTGAAAACCGCCACGTCCCTCGTCGCTGCCAATTACCCTGAGAAAGAAGAAACCACAACGTCCATTTATACCCACGTTGTAGCGGCTGTCCGCTGCCTCGAAGCCGTCTTGGTATCTGGTGTGCTTCCCCTGAAAGTCGAAGTAAAGACCCGGTATCGGCTTGCACAGATTCTGTTGGCCCACACGTTCAATTTGCCGGAAGCCGATACACATTTGCAGAAAGCGGTTTGTACCCTAGTCTAGAACTCTGTGCTTGCAATGAATGCGCAGGACTCATTCCAAATTTGTGTTCTGTAGATCTTGCTAATACAGAAGGTGGGCACCGTATAATCCGGCAGTGTACTATATCATTTTAGTTCCCAGATCTGATATCCTCGTTGCAGACTAGCGATGAGCAAATGCTCGAGTTCCGATTTATTATTAAAGACTTGCAATGTGAAATTTACCAAGCTGATCCAAGTGGCTCGGGTGGGAAAACTGTGAAAAATGTGTTAAAACAGGCAGCCGCTGACGCTTTACGGTTCGTCACGTCTTTCATGGTTTCAACAAAAGCTTTAGCTCAGTTCTGATGACAGCTTTTGGTTTTCCCTCTTGGCATTTTTTATCTCAGGTTGGGTATGCCACGATGGTATTACCATTTCATTCAACGACGAGCGGAATTACACGCTAGAGAAGGCGATATCAAACTTTGCTTTTCTGTTTTAATGTCAGGAGCCGAGGAAGCAGGAAAACGGGGTGACGTTGACATGAAAGTACGTCTCCTGGCGAAGCTGGGGGTTGCGGACACGTTGACCATCTCACAAAACCCATATCTAGGCCGTTTTGCTACTGTTCCTTGCTCACCACACGTTAATGGCTCGCCACGATATGCTCACTCAAGATGCGATTTCACAGCTGCAGCAGCTTGTCGAACCACAGGTGCCTGCCGATATCGGTTACAGCAACGATACATCTATGCCACCTGTCACAGATAACGGCACGGCACTTGTCTCGCATGGGCACCTCCGTTTATACTATTCCCTTATCCTTATCATCCATCTCATCCACCTCGGAAAAGCGAAGGACGCTTTGAACCGATTAACAGCACTGCATGCTCTCGTCGAGCATCCTAGCATGTCAGCAAACGTGGAAATTGATAAGGGATTAGCCACTGTTACAGTTCGAAGAGGAGATAGCTTTGATACAGTACCAGTTACATTGCATTCACGAAACAAACTTTATGCGCTGGTATTCTTGGTTTCTGGCATCGCCCACAAACTGAACGATAACTTTAAAGCAAAGAAGCACTTTCTGGAAGGGATAAAGACAATAGAGAGTGAGTAATATTCCCATTCTACTGGCCATCTATATGCCTGCTGACCATCCGCCTGTCTTGGTTGTAGAGGAACTAGGAAACATTTCCAGTGAGTTCCATAGGTTCTTTGTCTGCCATTTCATACATCTAATACAGCAGTGCCTTTGCTGTGTGCAGCTGAAACTGGAAGCGTGCAAGAAATGGTGGAAGCACGACAATGGCTTGCGGAAACCAAGGTCGTCCTTCTGCGACATTTTGCCGAGGTTGGAATTGTGAGGGGCGAATTCTGCGATGTTTTTCGCGTAAGGAGCTTGTCGCCACTGCTGGTACTTTGTGTTCCATCTAACAGCTATCTCTAGTTTATGACCAAGTTGGTCGAATGGTGCTCAGCAGATGCTGTGCTATGGCGAAAGTACCAGCCCATCGTATCGCTGGATTGGGGAATGTTCTATCAAGCAATCGGGCAGTACGCAAGGGCTGAATGGTGGTTGAAGAGCGCCGCGGAGGGCAACGATGCGAATGTGCGTCACATTGCCAAGATTCATCTCATTTTGTTGTACTTTACGGAAACCATTGGCGATCGCTCTATGGTTGGTATCTCGCTTTCCAGGAGCAAGGATGCATGAAGAACTCATCTCATTTCATTTCCATCATACCTCAAGGGAGCTGCGATGCTGGAGGATTTGGACCGTGAGCAGGAGAGCGGCCAAAGTCTCTCGGATGGACAGCGAGCCTTGCTTGGGACGGTCAAAGGTGTTAGCCATATGATCAATAAAGACATTCGACAAACCAAGTGAGTCACATCTGTATTAGTACCATCGCCATCCAAACCTCACCAAGATCCTAGGCTACATCTGTTAGAATCGATCAAAATCTGCGAAACCCTTTCCTGTACCCAACTCCGATTTATCAATGTCGCACTTCTTGGCGAGCTATTCTCCAATGTCGACTCAATGCAAGCTGAAAAGATGGTAGCGACCGCCTACATTATGGCAAAAAAGTCCCATTGCGAGTCCTTTGCACTGGTTTGTGCTCGCGTGCTAATCGAAATATATCAACGCAGAGGTGACAAGGAGAAAGAAGAGAAGTATAGAACAATGGCTGAGGGACACAAAGAAAAGGTAGAAAAAGCCTATATGGATGTATGGAAGATGGTGGAGGATGCCGAGCGGGCCTCGGCAGCGGCTACTGTAACGTCGCAGGCGACGTGATTGGCAACAGCGGATAGGCACTATCTTCCTTTTATATTTTTAATGTACCCATGTAAATACAATTGTGCATTATACCCTATGTCATGTTTTGGTGGACTTGAATGTGCTGAATGGGCAATTGATCTATACCGGTTGAACCGGAGCGGAGTGTGTCTGGAATGGATATTTGTGTGATAGGATCCTGTTTATCGTCCTTTGGTTCGGCGAGTGGACGACGTTTAGGACGAGTGGGCTCTTGGGCTCGGTGAGCTGCGAAAGGGTGAACAAAGGCACTTTAAGCATCACCAAAACCACAATAAACATACCTCTGACATGCTTTGTATACTCTTTATGCGCCTCAACGATAGCTTGTGCCTAAGGACCAACCAAGAGTCGTTATAAACCGCTTTACACTTTTAGATAATGGCGCCATACGTCTTCTGACCTTTTCAGGCGACTCGCCAATACATCTGATAATATTTGAAGTAGTTGGAAGTGCGAAATGTGGCACAAGCTCCACTTCTGGTGCCGGGAGACCTTCATGAGACGGTCGATGAATACTATCGCAGGACAGATTCAGCATATAATATCTTCATGCAAGTTAAATTGTATGTGCAGTACCGTCGTTTAGTCAACATCATGTACACATTCTCTACAAAGAGCGTGGCCGCATCCACCTGGCAGGTCATTACAGCATGCATGGCCTCTTTCGGAATGCCAATATCGTGTTTCTTAAAAACTTGAAGAATAGGTCAGGGAGAGTTTTACATTCTTTGATTCTTTGATTCTTACATTTTTCCAATTGTTCCTAGGATGAGGACAATATTAGCCAAAGGGAGAACACAGGACTGATAGTATTAAGGAAAGAGGTTATACCCAGTTCTTCACTTTCTGAGCATTCGAATCCCCCGTATAAAATTGCTGAACATTGAGCAAAAGATCATTTGGGTAGTATCGGCAAAAGATTTCGGCAATAAGATATCCGTTGCTAAAGTCTCTGCAATGTGGGATAAGCAAAGATGAAGAGCGGAAAGAAGAGCCGCTCATTTTACGCACCGCTTTGGATTCTTTATGGGGTACGCCAGATCCAGGCTTTGAAGCCATTTCAGAACTTCTCGAGGTAAACCACTCATGGTTTCATTGTTCTTGAGCAAGGGTTAAGATCTGAACGAAGGCGGGTTCATGTTGATTACGAAAGCAGGCCAAGCCACGTTGCCGTGAGTGTTAAGCGACTTCGATCAAATTCGCTCTTGTCTTGGGCTACGAAGACGAGATGGCTGCATCCAAATTGGCAGCAGAACCAGCAAAACAGTATTATTCATATAACCAGATTCATGCGCTCATACAGTCTTCCATTCCCTCCTTCAAAGACGTCCCAGATGCCTTGGTACTACCTGAAGCTCACTACGACATAACATCTCCTTACTAATAGTTTTGCCTAAGGTAGCCATAAGTGGCGGTGGGCTTATACCGGCCCGAATTCTTCGCACTCTCCTTAAAGCACGATACAAGAAAACTGTTCCAATCCGTGTAATTGGTCTCCAACTCTACGATGACGATGCAGAACATATTGGCGCCACAGGTGTAAAACGGACCCAATGGCCTTGTGCTGATGAATGGGGTGATGTGCGGAATGTGCTTTTGGTGGATGAGGTTGATGATACGAGGTAACGTTCGCTCCTTTTTCATGGAGTATTCTTGGATGTGGGTCTTAAGTCTGACGTGCTAGGACAACACTGGAATATGCGGTTGAGAATTTGCGTCGGGACTTGGGAAAAGGTGTGTCAATAGGGGTATTTGTTGTTCATAACAAGCTGAAGGAAAAGAGAGGGACACTACCCAAGGAAGTGGAGTATATTGCTGCATTGGATGTGGAGGATCTTTGGGTCGTGTATCCATGGGATGCCGTGGATATTGAAGAGCATCAACAAAAGTGTGATGAGCAGCGATAGGTGATATTGGCAATATAGCAGGGAATTACAATAATGTTGCACCTTGCTTTCTATCAACGGTTCAAGACAGGCCGTGGTTTTGAGAACCTGCGATATCAAGTACAATTGATGACCACGCGCGATCAGATCTAACATCTCTTTATTGGCGTCTACATAACACAATAAATTGTGACATCAGCCATCTATCCCTTGCCCCTTCAATAATGTATCCATTGAACTCGTTCATCTCTTTACATCTTTGCTTTCGGGACCTCTTTCCCTAGGAACCATGCGACATGATCCAACCGATCACTTCCAAAGAACACCTCAGCTTTCCCGTCACCCCGATCAACCAACATCGTTGGTGCACCAAACACACCCTTTTCCACTACTTCCTTGCTGAGTGCAACAAGACTATCCTTTACCTGTTGCGTTTCCATGGCCTTCAAATACTCTTCTCCTTCCACGCAGGAAGCAAGGACCTGAGGAGACGCGATGTCCTCTCCTTTGGTCCAATATGAAGCAAATAATTTTACGGTAGCGTCCTCCAAAACTTCCGCCGAGCCCTGCAGTTTGATAGCGTGGAGTAGGCGCATGGCCTTTAGTGTATTGGCTGGAAACGGGTTCGGGAACACGTTCATCTCAATATTGTGGATGGTCTTGATCCTTCCAATATCTTTGCGCATGTATTCGACTTTGACGGGGTTAAAAGCTGGTGGTGGTGTTCCTACGTTCTGCAATAATGTGAGAATCCTTGCGTTCGTGCAAAGTGTTATGAACATTTACCTTTAGGGTGAAACCAAGGAACATGGGCACTAGAACGAGGTCAAAGTTCCAAGTTGGGCGGTACCTCCTCAGGAGATGGAAGGCAATGTACGAGTAAGGCGAGACAACATCATAGTAGAACTTGATGGAAGGTCGGACGGGCATTTCTCTTTTCCAGTGTCGGTGGGATGCGATGAAGGCGATTGTGGAAGAGTTTCCTTCAAACGATGCGGGAGCGGTAAAAATCATAGATCGTTCCTGTGACAAAGCTGCTTACGTGATAGGGACCGCGGTGATCGTCCGACCATTTCGCTGCATCACCTTATTGCCTTTAAACCACTTTCTTTTTTCAATCTACCATGAACGATGGCATCCTACCCGAAATTCCGAGCCGCTCTACGACACCTACTCTCTCGGCCCGCTTTGCAATACCGACGTCCCTCCAAGACACGGTTAATAAAGTCGAGAGGGCAAGGGAGCTAGAACGAAGCGAAATTCAGCGTAATGCAAATGAATTACAAAAGAAGGATGCTTTAACCGGAATGGTACCGCTCATGTCCGTCACGGGGAGTGGGTCGGGGGAACAGGCGAGGCTTGCGCTTCTTGATAAGCGAAAAGGACGTGCAAGTTTAGTTGGATCACCCAGAGGACGAGAGTCACCAGTGTTAATGTCAAGACCGGGCTCTATTGTCCTTCGACCTAGTTCTACTGCAAATTTGGACTCTGCACCTAGCACCGCCCTTTCCTCCCGTCCCCAGTCGGCAAAGCCCGCCTCATCATCAGAACCAGAACCAGAACAGGCTGAAGATCAAACCCCCACCTCGTTGATAGAAGAGTACATATCACAGTTAACCGCAAGATCCATACTGGTGGTTGAGAAGCTCCCCCACATCCGATGGGAAAAGAACGGGATGCTGGATCTGAAAGAAAAGGGGCGTTTAGTGAATAGAATTCTGGAATTGGAAACAAAGATTGGGGAGACGTCGGTGGAGATCACAAAGACCTCGGGGGTGAAGGCAGAATTGTTGAAAGAGTTGGATGGATGGAGAAAGAAAAAGGAAGGGGTAAGGCTTTTATACTTTTTTTTGGGTAGGTTAACGCTCAGAGTCGAGCTCCTCTAAATTCATGTCCTGCAGATGGACGCCATTTTAACCGATCTCCTCCTTCTTCATCGGGACTTGATCGCCCGTCGATCCCAATACTTTGAACAAATGATGACCAACTTATCCCAAAACACCCTAGACTCGAACGTCAGCCTGTCGAGCACAGCTACAACAACCCGACGCACCCGTAGACGAGATTTGCGATCCCACATTGGACTTCAACAACAACGATCACATCTGGGGTTGAATGCAAATATGGCGGATCCGGGTAGATCACATTTGACGTTGGAGCGGCTCGGGGAAGGTGGATTGCGGTCTCATTTCAACAATAGTGCTATGTATCATCTGGAACAGGGGATGGTGCCGCAGCGGGGTTTAGACAGTAGCAGTTCGTTAGGTAGTACGGCTGGTATAGAGGGTGGTTTTACAATAGTCATTGAGCCAAGTGCCTAAAAAGATGGCAAGTTTCCAGAATCTTGACATGTTGAGCCAACACTCACATTAATTCAAGAGAAAATTGCAGCACAGTTTCCAAAAGTAAAAAAATTCAAAATTGTATTTCACATAATAGAATAATATGTAAGGTGCAATGTGGTCAATTTATGTAACATCGGCTGAGGAAACTCGTGGGTGTGATGCAGGTGGTGGATTTGGCGGGTCGGCTTGGAACGCATCCACGGCTTTTGCAACAAGAGCTTCCAGGTCCTAAAGCAAAACTGATTAGGGCTAGAACAATAGTATAATCAGAAGAGACAAAGCTTACCGCTTGCATTGTGTTCAGCATCTGCTCGACCTCCTTGTATTTTTCCAACACAATTGCACTGTCATCAGCAATGTCCTCTCGTGATGATTCTGGATCATGACTTGATGAAGTATTTGCTATTTGCGGCGTTCCTAAACGCCCCTCTGATGGGTTTCCTACATCCGGTACGGCCGGTACGGCCGGTTCTGCTGGTGATGCATCTGCAGGCTCGTCTGGTACGCCTTCCGAGGCGCTTGTGAACGAGTCAAAGGAGCTTTGTGAGGTGTTGGCAGACTCCTCCGGTTGTTTTGAGTCAACAGCTGGTTGGCGGCGGGTGCTTTGGAGGGATTCTTCTAGGTCGGCCTGTAATGTGTTGTAAACGTCGCTCAGGGACACGCTCGCTGTTGATCCTTTCCGAACATTCTTTCGTGCTGTGGTAGAGTCCATTGAGACGGTTCGTGGACGGAGTATCTCATTCAGTCCACAGTCATCGTACGGTCTTGGTAACACGGCGAGCTCTGGCACGGCTGCTTTAGAAGACCCTCGTGGAGGAATTGGGATTGTCTCTCGCAAACGCGCCTCCAGACTCCGCAACTTTTGTACATCAGCTCCTTTCAGTATCTCTTCCAGATATTCCTCCATTGTTTCAAAGTTGGCTCGACTTGATCGGACAGGGTTGACTGTAATGCTGGCCCGGCTGGCTTTGGTTGTACCGTTTCCTTGTATCGCAGAATTAACAGCCTCGCCGTCCAGCGGAGAGACTGTGCCGTTAGTGGTAGGCTTACCAGCAGCAGTAGCAGCGGTGCCGGTTGGTGACATTGACTTTACGCTAGACGATTGTGTTTGTAGCTGGACGTTTTCTAGTATTGGTACCGCTTGTCGAGTCTGGGGTTCTCCTTGTCGTAGAGCATCAGGTGGCGATAGATCGGGTGGGGATGAATACGTCGACTTGGAATTTATCGTCGTTTCAATTGAAGGATTGTCTTTTGCAGGAGGAGTGGGCGGTGTCTCCCTGACACTATGCAAAGTCGAATTCTTCTTCGAAGGCGGTGGTTCCGAAAAGCTTGCATTGCTGTCCAGTCTCATCAGCGTTGCCTGCGCAATGACACCCGGGTCATAGCGTAAGGAACTCGCACGGGCGTTGACCCGTGGTGGTGGGGTTGCCTTGCTTGGTAGGACCGAAGGCGGTTGAGGAGCTTCATTCAAAATTCGACCTATCAAGCTGGTAGTATCATAGAAGTCTGAGTGAGTGATTTCTTTGACGATCATCTGGTCGCTCGTTTCCTTTCGTAGCGGTGAGAGCTGTCGTTGTTCTACCGACAGACTATCTGAGCTGTCATTTCGTGATCGCATGGGGGAGTTGCTGGATGTTACGCTACTGGTGTCAATACTGTCAGTAGAGAGCTGCGGAGATACTCGCAAATCTGGCATTCCACCAGCAGCAGGCAACTCCTCCAGAAAGGCGGGCTTCGAACTCAGAATGCTCTGAATGTCGTCCAACAAGGAAGTTCCAAGGTTTGTGTCCACCGAAGAAGCCAGAGAAGGAGCGGGTGCAGTGCCTTGCCCGGTCCATTCTTTCCGTAGAACAAAATCAATTTCTTCTGCAGTGCCTTCTGCCATCATCAGGATCGGATAGACGCGCTCTGTATCTTCTCGCATTATTTCTTAACAACAAATTTGCTGTCAGACCGGCTAAGGTTTCAGAAGGAGGAGGATACAGATAGCAGATACGAACCTTGTCCTTTGAAGATAGAGTGCAGGGTGTACTTGTAGGAAGAGCTTGATCGTATCTTAAACTTTTTCAAGGCCATGTCAATAATTTCGCCGACTGTGACATTGCTATTCACGCCAATGGTCTTGTAGGTGCGCATCTTTCCAGTTGGGTCCGACTCGTCGTACATAAAGATACGAATCAAGTGATAATTCTTCTCAAAGAGGTTGAGCTTCTTGTTAATTATCACTTTGATAATGTTGTCGTCCGTCATACGAACACTGCTGATACCACCAGTGCTATTGACGACATGAGAGACGGAGGCAGAGTCCCCAACACCAGGTAAACCCTTATGGCGGAGCTCCTCCAGTACATTGAAGACATTATCATTTTCTCCCAGCCGTTTCTCCTCTGTAACACAGAAGTCTTAGAAAGGGCCACGGCTTCATCGCATACTATTTGATACGTACGTGAATCCATGTGAAGCACGCTCACATAATATTCGTTCGGAGTCGCTCCAGGTACGCGAAATCGCCGCAAAGCTACCGCAAGCAATTCCGATGCCGTCAACGATTTCGTCAGATTCACGGTTTTGAAGGTTGCTTTCAGGTCAACATTTCCGGCGTAAATTCGGAGTACATTAATTGGCTCCTACGAGATGGTTATACATTAGCTGATTTTAACACAATCTAAAGCGTTGTTATCTCACCTTATTCAGCTCCTCATTCGATGGTGCTCTTCGGGTCTCCACCACCACGGGCCGCTCTAGTGAGCGAGCGGCATTTGCTACTTCCTTGGCCTTCTTGCTACCCGTGCGCGATAGCAATTTCTATTCGAGAGATGAACAATGTTCAGACCACGAAATGGCACACTCTGCATTCAATCCAACATTTTCAACATATAAACTGCCCCATCTGCATACCGTCAAGAAATTGCGACTAAGAGAGTTGTGATTTGACTTTTGTTGTCGAGGAATAGTGCCCATTTCTGGAGCGTCAAACTCATCAGACAGGTCATCATCGTCACTAGCATCGATGTATTCTACAAAGTCTTCCGGAAAGACGATATTCCGTCGCTTTCCAGTTTGGGACGGCGGTGGCGGTTCTAGATCCTCTTCCTGTACAGTGGTGACGGACACGTTTCGCATTTTATTCAGACGAGCCAGGCGCTCAAATGGAGTCTAACGGAATGATGTTGCTTTTTCGTAAGAAGACAAGCGGAATCAGTTGTAAGAGAAGACTACACAAATGTACCTCGACATTCTCCGCGGGTATATAGCCAATCTATTGGATGTTGGAATAAGGTAAGAACGTAGGCAAACTCTGGTTCAGATTGCTCTCTTGATATGGTTCCAGCACGTACCTCATCTGTTTTGATGCATTTCACCAGCCACCAATACGAATTTGAGTCGTCCAACAGCTCCAACGAGTCTCCTTTAAGGACGCATACTTGGCCCTCCAAATTCGCAACAAAGGTATGAAGTGCATAGACCAATCCAAAGTCTATCGGTTCGTCTGGGTCTATTATATCTGGTGATTCAATGTCATATTCGTCGTCCGTGTCCCCGTCCGAACCCTGTCCATTGAACCCCATTGTGCGCGGCCCGGCTCGACACCGCGCTTGTTTACAGGGCGAATTCTTTTATTTTCTGGCAGGATGAGTGAAAGATACGGCAGTGACTCGTGCCTCTGCTTTCTTCCGTGTGCTGGCTACCTTGAGGCTAGACGAGGATTGTGCGGACGCAAGTGTCCTAGCGAGAAACTATTGAAACCACAGTGTTGTCTTTGCAGAACCCGAATTTGCAAGTGTACAATATGTGTAAAGGCGTCAAGTGTACTGGTAGCGAGCGTGTCCTAAGGCTATTGCTGGTCCTTGCAGAACCCGGAATTTGCAAAAGTGTTAAAATGTCGTTGCGGACCTTTTGGCGGGGTTTTTGGGTGTTTTCGTGTGGTAAAGGCAGAGAATCAAGCGAGTGTTTAAAGACGACCTTGACCAACAATGGTCACAGGTCGCTCGTATGTGAAGCAAGCACACGAGGGCGCGAAGCAGCGATAGCGTAAAGATCTCCAGCTGAAATGATTTCCTTGGGCGGCGGAGAGCCCGACGGAAAGGTGTAGCGCCGTGCTGGCCGGGGAGTTGGTTCAAACCGCCGCCCAAATATGGATAAATGAGACGCGCAGAACGAGATTTGAAAAGAAATGAGATGGAGATGGAAATGACAGCAAGAAGTCATGTTCAAAAGGTGTGCTACGGGGGCTACGGGAGCAAACGACGTTGTTGTGTTGCCAAGTTGACGACGACCTCCAAAAAGGATTTTGGAAAATGCAGCACATGGAGGAAGGTCGAAATCGGCCTACGATCACGTGCACATGATTGCAAAGCCAAGCGCTTGGCGGCCTTTTTGAACTGTTGACAATCTCTTTTCGTTTGCTTGGCCTGCTCGATTGCGCAGCGCGGGCAAGTTCTTTTACGGACTTTGCAGCCCAAACATGGGTGTAAAAAGCCTATGGAAGCTGTTGGAACCAGCGGCAAAACCGAGGAGACTCGAGACGCTTGCTGGCCAGAAACTGGCGATTGATGCAAGCATCTGGCTGCACCAGTTCCTCAAAGCCATGCGAGATAAAGAAGGCAATCTCCTAAAAGGGGCGCACATTGTCGGATTTTATCGCAGAATCTGCAAGCTGCTTTATTTCGGTATACGACCAGTGTTTGTGTTTGATGGTGACACTCCGGCGATGAAGAGGGTTGCATTGGTACACTTTGTTCCTTGTGATGATCTTGTAGTTTCAATTAGAGTTATCTGAACTATATCCATCTTCAGACTGAAAGGCGAAGGCGAAAAACCACAGCAAAGAGCAATTTGGCACGGACGGCGCACAAAATCCTCTACAAGCGTCTCCAACTACAAGCACTACAAAAGTCAAAGGCCGATGAGACAACCAGGTTCGGTGAATTGCCCTTGGTGGAGACTATTGTTCTCAATTAATAAACATTAATTGTCATGTCAAAAAGTGCACCAGCGGCTCTTGAAAGCACTTTGCTGCGTTCAGACGCGTTGCAAGAGCTTCCCCAAGACGTTCGATACGTAGATCAGACGGAAGATGCACATGTCACGCCACCTGCACCTGCCCCACAAAGCAATAATCCTCGAAGCTCTAATCGCAAGGGGAAACGGGATGAATACGAACTTCCAGAGGAAGTCGAAGAGTGGGTACTGTTCGTGCTTGAAAGTATGAAGGTTTCCCTGCGTGCAATGTCTCATGTCCTGTAAATTTAGAGTGAGCACTGCCGCGTTCGTTGATCATCGGTTTGTTACCGAGGAGGAAATGCGAGATTTTATCAATAATCATAAGAACGATGTGGACCTCTCGTCTGTTAATCTCGATGCTCAAGCTTTCAAAGACCTTCCTATTGAAACCCAACATGATATCGTAACTGAACTCAAAAATAGGTCACGGCAAGCGGACCACAGACGACTGGCGGGGCTGGTGAATGCTGCTCCCAATCCTATGGCTTTTTCTGCACTTCAGATAAAGCATCTCGTGAAACGCAATGATTTGACGGAGCGCCTACAGAACTTGGCAAAGAACGCTGGTGTCACGAGCAATCCCGGATTGAAAAAGTGGAAAGCAAAGAACGCGCGGCGCCCACAGCGTGTTGCAAGCGAGAGAGCTCGGGAATACATGCTAGTTAAGAATGCTGACACAGGTGGACATACCATCAAGCTGAATGCTCAACTAGAGAGAGGAGGGGCAGGGGGCTTTCAAAATGAGCCTAGTATAGCCCCCACTGTGATTAATCTAGTTGATGAGGATGGTGAGGTATCCGAGGAGACATCGGGTGAGGAAATTGAGCCCGATGTCGATGCTCGTATGGCATCCGTCAGGAGATTGCCCGCAAAGAAACAGTTGAAAAGAATCACTGCCAAGCAGCATCATACTATCACTGCCGAGCATCATCATACTACCCCAGCAACCGAGGTAGACAGCGACGATGATGAAGAATTTGAGGAGATAACAGGTGAACTAGTGTATTGCGTAAAAGTTTAATTCGATGACCTGACATAGCCCGGTGATGCATCAGACATTCCAACCCCACCTTATACGGCATCCGCAGTATCGGGAATGGAGCAGGATACTAATGTGGATATGACAAGTCACGAAAAGGACCAGGACAAGTCTCTCCTTGCCAATTTTCAGGCATACCTTCCAGACAACCTCCCAATTGAAAAAATAATGGAGTATTTCGCCACAGGACCACCGGAGGGCCCAACAGAAGATGGACCTTCTACCGACATGTACGAGGACGTACCACCACAGCCTGGGTGGGGTGGGCACCGTTCATCTCCAGTGCCTGCCTGGCCTGACTCTGGTTTTCAACCTGAATCCTATGTTGGCAGAAGGGAGGTAGCCACTGAAGGTGGGTGGGACGCTCAACCAGCAATGGATCCTGGTTGGACTGGTGAGAATACATGGGAAGAGAACAAATCTAATGCGTGGGGAAAGGATGTTGCGCTTGGGTGGAGTACAGAAGTGGAGAAAGAGGTTACTACGCTGCAGCTAGAAGAGAAACATTCATGGACGAAATCGGGCAATGACGATGAACAGGAGGGTGCATTTGTAGTTGAGGATGAAGCCCGCCAGCTGAGGGTCGAAGACGAGAATGTAGATGGGTGGGCTCGTTCACCCTTACGGAACACCCCTGACCCACTTGAAGACGGCCAGGTTACCTATCCAGAAACCAGCGTTGAAGAACAAAAACTTTTGACATA